ATGTTTTGCCAAAACGATTAGCACTAGAACGTGGAGAGTTGGACGAGGGACCATTGGATCTCGACGAAGAGCTACTTTGCAGAGCGTTTCCACTAGAAGAAGGTGCGTACCGAGACTTCTTTGCTTCGTTCGAAACAGGTATGTCAGCAGCGCGTTTTCTTCCATCAAAAACAGAGCCCAAAGATTCTTGACCCGTCTCAATAGCCATCATATCCATCTTGCGCACGAGAGAGGACACATAATCAATGTCATAAAATGACGATTCTGGTGCCTGACTCATAGCAACCATTAGCAACCTAGCGGTAACCTTGGGGAAAGCGTCAAAAAACACCATCGCTACGACACCCTTATCACTGATGTCAGCTCTATTTCTCAACGTCTTAAACCGCTCTACGAAACCATCAACGGATTCTTCGTTTCCTTTAGTACAACGAAGAAACTCCCTAATTCTTTCGAATCTGAGCTGTTCTTTTGGTGTACCAAAACGACCGATGATAGCTCCCTTCAAGGTAGCCCAAGACACAGTGGAGCCAGATGCTTTCACAAACTCATCAAGCCAATTGCGAAGATCGCCGGGAAGACAAGGAGGAAGCAAACGATACCAGTGTTCGTCAAGATCAAGCGTGCAACTGCTCAACTTATCGGAAAACCGGCGACAACACTCCTCAATGTTGGCAAAAACTTCCTTTTTTTCATCTTTGACACGTCCAAACCATTGGAACAAAGGAAGATCATCAGGTACAGTTGAACTATTAGCCGCACCTTGACTAACCACTGTTACTTGAGAAGGACTCTGGTTAGGTGTGACCATAGAGAGAGCTTTCTCTATAGCCTCCAAGTTAGAGCACTTCTTCGACAGGGCAGCCTTCAAAGCGTCGACCTCTTCGTCCGACTTGTCCCCACTGTTCGCAACTTCAGCGATCAACCCATGAACCTCCTGACGAAGTCGCTCTACAGCTCCTCCGTACGAAAGCTCGCTTCCAACAGCTTGAACATCTGAACTCTTGTTCTGTTCTGCAGGAGACACAGTAGAATCATTCATAGTCATATTTCGGTTTAAATTAGATAGGTAGGTTAAAATCTGGAAGATTCTGATTTACACGATCTTAAAAAATGTTAAGCACAAAGAATAAAAGGATTATTATTTGTAGCTTATAAAAAATGTTCAATATTATAAAAACAAGAAAAGACTTATTTGAATAAGATCAGACACAAAAACTAATGATTTATTGATGAAGACAAGAGTTATTCTATTTATACTAAGTTCTGAATGCCAAAGTAGCAATTTATCTTGTACAACGCTTATCACATCTGGTGAACCTCAGTATTTAGATAGCTGAGATGCACTTCACTTATCATAGCTTGTCCATGTTGTTGCACAACACAGACATATCTACCCATCAAGAATACCTTAATCTTTATAGACAGTTGTAGCCCTTCTGGCACAACAGGATTAAACATCCATGATGTTGGGGGAAATCTGATTGAACTCTGTAGTAGTTAAATTTGCACACTTTGTTTAATGTAACATGTAACTCTTTTTGAGTACAGTGTGGTACGCAACAGGTCTTTTTCATGTGTACTAGTAAGGGAAAATTCTTGAAAATCAAACGATCGCGTTTTTCACCTCAAAAATGAAGACGTTTCCTATGACACATATTAGATCAAATTGATGGTAAAGATGAAATGCAACGTTGGAAACTACTTTTATAAAACTTTTATATGCTGAATATTGGCATATCCACAGAAGACCTGTTTTCATATTTTTACAAATTGCTCATTATTTTCAGTCTGAAAGCTCAATGTAACCAACATCATTCGATACGCCCTTATTGACTCTTTACAAATGCATTAGAAAGTTGGGTTTGACAACGACAATTTTCATAGTCAAATCTAGCAGAAACGTTTAAAGAATGTCAGATCTAGTCAAATTTGAACACAAAAATGACAACTGCACAAATCCAAATTTGAGTGCCGCAGCGACAGCTGCTGTGGCAGAAAACTGAGGCCAAATCTACTGGCCGTGACGTCGGGTATGGCGCTCTCTCGTTTTCCCATACCCCTATTTTTTTTTTTTTACCCTTTTTGCAAAACGCGTTTAGTATCAAACCACGTTGGTTTTGGAGCCCTTTTGATTTAAAATAACACTCTAGCTTCTAATAAGGCGGCCTTGTACTGTTAGAAGTACTTGATACTACTTCTTTGAAGTGGAATATAATAGGTATCATTCGATAACGAGCACTGGCATACGTAAAATCAGCACTAATTGAATTTGTTTATCAGGTTTTGATAATTTTTTTTCCTGTTTGACGTCGGTGCTGTTGTCATTACTTCTCTGTTATACCAGCTGTCTGCTTTTTTGGTTTACCATGTCTGGTTGTTTCTTCTTTGGTCTCTATCTCTGGCGGTTGCTTCTTTAGCCTTTGTCTGGTCTCTGATGGCGCTTGTTCTTCGGTTTTTCTATGGTGTTGCTGCTGGTGTTGCTGCTAGTCTGGTCTTTCTTGGTCTGCTGTCTCTGTTGTATGGTTGTTCTTTGTTCTATCTCTGGTGATTGCCTATTCTCTTTTGGTCTATCCGTGGGTGTGGTAAGTGGTAAGTATCTTTTTTTCTTGTGATCGCAATGATATAAAGCTTCTCTGAGCGTTTGTATTATTGCTTCCTTTCTCGTGATGATGCATTCGTAGTGTTTGCTTTGTTACGCTTTTTTTTTCTTTTGTTGACTGTGATATGATCAGTTCAACGGATGCTTGCAATGTTGTTGCTTCTTATGTTGTATGAACAACAAGCATGATGTGCTACTATATATCTGTATTGCCGTTGTAATACTACTTTGTTATATGGTCGTGGATTGTTGTTTGTGTTGCCACTGTCGCTTCACATGAAACAACATTAGTCATTATGTTGTATTGCACACTTATAATACTGCTGTTGCTCCTGCAATTGTGCGTGTTTGTGTTGCTTGACATCTGACTATTATCATGCACGTTGCTCATGTATGCATTTTCGTTGCAACAACAGCGAGCTGTTCTGAACATCTTTGATGTTGTCTTTGTTATACCTTTCTTTTGTCTCACTTTTTTTGTGTGAGTGTTCCTTTTTTGCTTACATACTACTATACTCCTATAGTACATTAGTATGTTCTGTTCTTCCTTTTCTTTCTTTTATTATGTTTCTTTGAAGCATACTTTTTTTTTACGTTGTGTGGATGTGCCTATCCCTGAAGCACAACAAGACTCTATCCGAGGCTAGGAGGTAGATAGGCCGCCTCCACTTGGTTATCGCTACTTACTTTAGTGATGATTGAGGGTCTCAATGCCTGAATGTAAAGCTAGGTGGTGTAAGTAAGGCATGCTCTAGCACCTGAGGGAAATTTGATGATAGTAACGGCTATATCGCTGTATATAGCGGAGCTTAAAATTTTGCCTCACATCAAAACAGGGGGAAACCCTCGCAAAATTTTTTTTAATTCAGCGGAGTTTTTACGCAATCTGATTGGCTCAGGGGTCCAAAATGCAAAGGCTTATAACTAGTTGATTTCCTATAAATCTGTCAATAAATATGGTTTTGTCTTTTAATAAAAAAGTAACAAAATGGATAAAATTTATATTCCTTTATATATCTTAAAGCAAGACAAGGTGCAGCCATTTGATCTAGCATCCACAAAGCGCTTTCATATGAGGGATATCTTTTAAGTTTACAGTATTATGTGGAAAATGATCTATCAAAATTACAATATCCGTATTCATAAGTAGATCGACAGATAATTGTACCTTGAATATACTACATGATGACAACAATGAAATCTATCTCATAATAGCAAAATTGCTATTGAAACATAGCATGTAGCATACTGATATCTCGTACCCATTTACCGTCACATCTAATGAGTCCATATTCAACAGTTCCTTTGACCCTGAATCCGTTAATATAAATACCCATATCCTGTACATCATAAAAAACGGTGCTTTTTAGGCTGAATTAGTTGGTATATGATTCTTTAGTTAATCAAAGAAAGTTATACTATAGGTATAGCAGTGCATTGATTACCAGGTCCTCTCAGCACCAGATACCCGGCCAAACATAGGCGTTATTTATCCTTGCTTTCCAAAATGCTTTAATCTCAATGGTTACTATCTTTAACCTCATATCAAAATTTTGAATGTACAAAAGTATTTCTGGTTTCAAGATTTCGGCATTTCAGATCAAGTCTTAAATATTGATGCTAGAGCTCTGAAAATAGCATGTTCTTTTAGCAAAACTCTGCGAGGAAAATGATAGTGTAGTTAGATGTTAGATTGAATGGTGGGTTGTTGTTCAGAAATGGATGCTAAATAAGAGTAAAAACCTCTGCATAAAATCTATTGAAGGCTGTTAAATACAAGCGATTACGAGTCATATATTAATGATTTAGGTTTTGAGAAACATTGTGTTGAAAATCGCTTGGTAATATCTTTCTTCGATGTGGTTTAGCAAGGAGTCAAAGGTGTGCTGCACGCTTTAGCAAAAGAGGGGTATAGCTTTTTCAAGCTCTACGTTAATACTAGAGATATCGTATCAAAACGATTTTATGCCTACTTTGAAGGGTTGTTAGATATATGAATGAATTTGCAGTTGTTATGTTGGTTGTCGAATAATTGAGTGAGGGAAGTGTAACAAAACCAGTATTAAAAAAGCAGTGCTTGGACGCTACTATTGTTCAATTGTCAACTCAACCTGGGTTCTCCATTTATTCAATCTTACTTCTCTGTGTTGGCTCTTTAAGATAAGGCCTCATTATCTACGATGCTTCCTTGCAAAACCGAGTTTTCGACCCCCCCCCCCCCGATTGGAGTTTACAGTGGTAAAAAACACATTTTTCTTTGCAAATCATAGATTGATCGGGTACCTGAAAAAGCAATCCATTCTATTCAATAGCGGCGAAAATATCCCTACACTAACGTTGCTTTAATAGTATTTTATTTTTCCACAGTGCTTTCTATTCTTTTCTTTTTTCCAACATCATGGCAAGCAAGCAAAAGAAGCCTTCGATTCAGCCGAGAGCAACTAAAGCCTATATACTGCGCTTACAAAAGCAGCAAGAAGCAGCATCAGGTCTAGTAACAGCCAGTCAGCCAGAGGAACAGCCAGTCGTACCAGAAGCAACTCGACCTGCCACCAAATCTCGCGTCGCAAAAGATACAGTGGGGCCAACCGCTGGGGTGAAAGCATTCATGGCACAGCAGAGAGCTCGTATGGCTCAACCCAGTAGTCAAAAGCAAACAGTAGAAAAAGAGCCTCTCCGAAAAACGAACAATGTCATGACGGGTGCTCAACGTTACGGAGGAGGCAGCAGCACCAAAGGTGAATCAACGGTTGTAGAAACGAGAAGAATACAAACTGTTCTCAAGCAAGCAAAAGCTTCTGGAAAACTGGATATATCAAGCCGAGGATTAACAAGTATCCCACAAGAAGTCTTAAACATGTAAGCATACAAACTCATCATGATGAAGCGCAGTAATTGATACAGGGAGAACACCAAAGGTACCATGTGGATCCAAATTCCATCGTTGTCGATTTCACCTCTGCAGGAGACGCTTGGTATGATTCTGTGGAATTGACCAAGTTTATAGCTGGAAATAATGCGATTACAAAGATTGACGCTAGACTGGCAGATGAATTTGGCGCATTAAAGCTACTAGATGTAAGTAGATGGATTAAATCAAAAATGGGAAAATTGAGTATTGAAGGGGCTGAACCCTTAGTTCCGTGACAACAAGTTATCTGGACTCCCTGAATCCTTGTGTCAATTGAAAAACTTGACATCCATCATGATGCCTTACAACGATTTTAAAGAGATACCTTCCGTTTTATACCAACTGCCTCAACTCAAAGAACTGAATTTATCACACAATCAAATCAAGGGCGATGTATCTATGCAACATGCCACTATTGAACAACTGGATCTCAGCTACAACCACATTGAGTCTTTTGATCTTCAGTATGGCGCATCGTCTATCGTTAAACTGAATTTAAACAACAATCAAATAGAGCAACTGCCACCTGTTTTGCAATGGCCAAAGCTAAAAGAGCTGCTGGTAAATCAGAATAAGCTGAGAACGTTATTCCCAGGTATGTTACATACTGCATTCGATTATTAGCGTTGAGAGAATTGACATGCTGCATTATACAGTGACCAACGAGGAGATATCTTTTCCTTCTCTTGTGCGCCTAGATGCTGGAAACAACTTGATAGCCATGTTTGACAATGACGTATTTATGCCCAAATTGGTTGAACTCTCGTTAATGACCAACAAATTACAAGATGATGGATTGAAGGGCTTACCGGGCGCTCCCAACATCCAAACTCTTGATATTTCCTCGAATCAACTGCAAAATATCCCCATCTTGGTGGCAAACCTAAGTCAATTGCAACGATTAGATGTCAGGGGAAATCAACTTCATGCATTACCTTACGAACTCGGCAAATTGGAATACTTGAAAACAATTCATCATGAAGGAAACCCCATGAGATCATTTGCATCGATGAGTCAGACGCAATTGATTGAGTCTTTAAAAAGCAATTATCGCCAACAACAAGAAGATGGCCAGGAGCAAGAGCAGAGTAAAGCGTCTGATGTCAATCTGGATGATGTTGTTGCCGATCAAGATGGCGACACGACGAATTTAAGCAGTAATTTCACACAGAAAGTCAGCTTGACTAAACGACTCGATCTATCCAACAATCAACTTACAGAATTAAGTGCTGAATTACTAACATTCACAGATGATATCCCAGGAACCATCATATTACATCACAACATGTTCACTGTCTTTCCTAGCAATTTAAATACGATAGCCAGCTTCATTGTCAGCCTTAATCTTGAACACAATCGTCTGGCAAGCTTCACTCTAACCATGGCTGGTGTTGAGTTTACTCATCTCAAGGTATTGAGCTTATCCAACAACCGACTGAAAGCAATTGAATGCACTGAAGGACTACCATCGTCTTTTCCGAGATTAGAGGAATTCAAGCTGGATAACAACTCACTCACAGCACTGCCTGAGAATCTGCCAACAGCACTGCCACTTTTGAAGCTTCTCAGTGTCAATTCAAACAAATTGGATAACATTACAGAAGCACCGTTTGGGCAGAGTTTGGAGATTCTGATTCTGAGTAACAATGATATTGGATATCTTCCACCTGGACTATCCACATTGAAGAATCTCAAGGAATTGATTGTCTTTGGAAATAGGTACAGCCTTTTCAGGTTAAACGTCAAATGAACAGATTTAACATTTTGCATAGGTTCAGAGTCCCTCGTCCTGCGGTTGTGGAGCAAGGCACGCATGCAATTTTGGAGTTTCTTAAGCGTCGTCATAACGCTGTTTGATTACTCCGAGCCCACATGTAGTCATTGACAATGATCAGAAATAAACCATTATTTGGTAATGTCTTTAAGATTACGGCACTTTCACTATAAAGTCCTATGAATATGATTCTATTTGATTCTTGTAAATTCTGTTAGATGATGCGAGTGTTTACGTTTCGGATGGCTCTCTCCGAAGCGAAGCGAAGGTAGAGAGCCAACGAGCGCAGCGGCAGCTCACGCTACGGATTGCCCTTGTTGCGTATCTTATCGAAATACTGCTACTTTCATTTTGATCCTCCACTTACACATAAAAACCCTTTATATTATCTGTGGATTTGGTTCTTATGTGATGCTCTACATCCATATACATGTAGCTGTTCATATACGAACAAGTATCATACAGATATTATCCCTTTTTTAGTCAAGAGTGTGCCTAATACAGCAAAATTTGAGTGCATTTGTGCTGCGTTTTCTTGCGTTCAAGGCCGTTTTAGATTGTCAGAATAGCACCAGACAATTACTCTCATCTAGCACTTACTTTCCGACACCTTTGCTCAACTTTTTGGGGATCAAAAAAACGGATGAAATTCGACCAAAAAGTATGAGGTACCCCTCATAGCTTTCATCGAAAATCAAACGATCGCATTTTTCACCTTGATAACGAAGACTTTTACTATGGTATATCTTGGATCAAAACGTTTCTATCGATCTAACGTAGCCCCTGAATCATCTTTGTGGGACTTTGATATGTAAAATTTCCGCATTTTGGCCAGAAATCTCTTTTCATATTTTCGTAAACTATTCAATAAGTTTATTCAGAACATCTATCTTATTTGGTACCATTGGATGCATCTTGAAAAGTACTCTAAGAAAGCTTAGAGAAGCATTAGATGATCAGCATATTTTATATAGTCGAATCTGGCAAAATAATTCAATCAAATCGAAAAACCATTAAAACTTGTCCAATCTGGAGTAGACTGGCAAACTCAACGCCCTTGTCATGGTGAAGGCAATACAGTAATAGATGCTTTTAAAGCGTACGGAAAGTAGGTGGCAGATTACATAGCACTATCGTTAGCTATACTGTTTCTCTTGCATTCTATATTCAATAACGCCAGTCTATGAAAGTACTTGTTAGGTCAATTCCTTTCCTTTTTGAAGCTTTGAAAATGTCTAGGGATCATAAATTTATTACTTTATGATGAGCATTTCGACTCTTCGGTTGGTTTCCACCTACGATTCGCTTTGGTGAAAACTTGATTGTTGATTGATAGTAATTTAATATAAAATCTCTAATCATATACATATAAACCATGCCTGTCAAACGCCTGGCAACTCAATTTCCATATTAGGGTTCTAAAAATGTCTAGGGACTAGCATTTATTATGTTATGATGATAGTTGTTCTACTGTCTCTTGTATTCGATAAAGTTTTTGTATCCAGGATTCAAGGTTTTCCACCAGAACATGGTTACTGTACTAGGCCATAAACCATAAACCTATGTCATCAAAGTTAAGGAATGAGTAAACAGACATCAATATGATCCTTACATCGCCATCCTTGTTGAGATACCAAGAGCTGCAACCACTCTTCCAAACAGTACCGTTGAATTGTCGCTTTAGATTAGCTGTATAGGCGTTCTGAACATCCAGCTGTGGCTCCATAGCAGTAATGTTATTTTTGAGTGCATGTTTCATGCAACGAATAGCATATTGCACTTGACTAGCGCTCTATGTGAGTGCCTTTGTCATTTTCATTCAAAACTATTCACGTACCATTCAATGACAGTGACAACAGAATTATGACCAAGACCTACACCAGCGCCGAGTAAAAGAAAGAAATTGGGGAAGCCATGAATGGTGGCACCCTTGTATGTGTCTGGATAGCTGTTTTCCCATTTATCTCTGAGCGAAACATTATCTCTTCCATGGACTGCTCAAGGTGTAAAAAAAAAAAGGTAAATCATTGATATCCTCACAAAGAGACATTTCAAGCACTTACTCTCTAAATTACCCAAAAAGCCTTCTACATTGAAGCCGGTGGCCAGCACCAGGACATCTACTTGGCGAGAATTACCTTCAGAGTCGATCAGTTTATCATTTTGAGCATCCTTGACAGCTCTTGGTACCACAGTGACATTCGGCTTAGCCAATGCCTCCAGATAGTTTTCTGATTTAGCGACACGTTTACATCCAGGCGGGAAAGAAGGTGTCAAAATGGGGATTAGATCAGGACGGCCCACTCGTTTCAACCTGAAAGCAGTGAGTTTTTCAAAGAGGCGTTGGACAAATTTGCCAATGAATGTGCCATGGAATCCAAAGCCTGCATAATAGAGTTCATGCTACATTTACAAAAAAAGATGAATTACGGATTTTTTTTTGTTTGTCCATGTTTATGATATGCGCACCTGAAAGAAAATTGCATTACGAAAGATGCGCATCAAAAAGGGAACGTGTCTCAAGAGAAACTTGGTGACTCGAGAGTAGGCAAATTGATCTCTGGGAGCAATCCAAGCGGGTGTTCTCTGGTAACTGATCAGATGTTTGGCAACTCTGCGTAGTTCAGGAATAGCTTGAATGGCACTTGCTCCACTGCCAACCACAGCGACAGTCTTGTCTTTGAAATCAATGGAAGAATCCCACATTGCTGTATGAACAATTTCGCCACCAAAACCCTTGAATTGAGGAGGGATGTTTGGGACACGCAAAGGGCCTAAACCAGCAAATCTACAGGGCAATTTTAATGAGTATACTTGTACAGTGTGGTGCCATCTATTGTAGCACTTACACATAGTCAAAGTACTCGGTGACAATGGGTTGTGGTTGAGCCGTGTCTGTGTGTCTGGAATCCACCTTCCACACTTGCTTTTCTTGCATCCAATCAATGCGGATCACCTCCGTATTGAACTTTGTTTGCTCATAGATGTTGTACTTTTTTGCCACTTTGCGGAGGTATTGATAGATCTCATTCTGCGGGCTGTAGTGATGAGACCAATCTGGATTCAATTCAAAGCTGAACGAATACAAGGGACTCGGGATGTCACTGTGTTTAGCTAGCACATTAGCCGTAAGATCCTTGATCTGCATTCATAGGGACATGTTTCCTTACCAAGCACATCCAGGGTAAGTGTTGTCGTGCCATGTTCCTCCTACGTCAGCTGAAATTTCATACAATTGTGCTTTGATGCCCAGTTGCTTCTTTACTTGGATGGCAGCACACAAACCGCTGAATCTACAAGTGTGATTTGTAAATGGAAAAGTCTATTTTGAACTGTCCTTTTTGCCTCATTCCATTACCCTGTTCCAATGACGGCGACTGTTGGCTGAGGCATTATGAATTGATACAAAAGATGAGCAAAAGATTTCAAAGAAGGGTCGTATCTCAACTCATGGCTTTAAATATTCATCTTGGTTTTCTTAATTGGGCGAAAAAAGCTTATGTGATTGAATGGCCTGTTGTACAAAAGGAGCACATTGGATATGAGATTACCGTCATGAAATTTACCCCATTTATTAACAATTTCGGATGATCATGTATACATAATTCGAATTGACATGATTTCCAAGTAGGCATTCTCTCACATGGCAACTTTGACAAGTGACACTAAAATGGAAGGTTTCTTCCATATTACATTTGCATTTTGCAAAAGGGCAATTGAATGACGTATCGAAATGATGGTGATGGACGAATCACCGAGTGAGGCTTGTGTGTTGTTTGCAGGTTTTTTTTTTTCTTCTTTTTCTTCATCATACTCATTTTGCATGTTGGTGTGTGCCAACTGATTTATTTCCTTTCTTTTTCTACTCTGTGCATCTTTTTTTTTCCTCTTCTACTCCACCTTTTGTACTCTTCACGTATTACATTTACTTTGGCAACAACGACATTTACACCCGACATCAACCATAGAAAGCGCAAAACCATGGACATGCATGAAGATTCTGACCAAACGCCTGCCAGCAACAGCCATTGCATCTCCAATGAAATTGCCGCCATCTATACATCGACCTTTCAATATGTTGGCATGGAGTTCATTGATGCCCTTATGCGAGAAATCACCGTGCAAGCACAAGTCGATTCTGCACTATTTCTGCAATTGCTGTCGCCCGAAGAGTACAAGGAAATAGCCAAAATCTACACAAAAGACAACAAGAGCAGGTTCCATGTTGTTTCTTGTGCAGCATCTACTACGAGTTCCCCTGAAATTCAGCACTCGTCTTGCTCCTCAGGTGATGATCCATCACCATCGTCCAATGTGGATTTAACATCCGATGGTCTTCAGGACCAGTTTTTATTGATTAGGTCTTGCTTTTCAAATCAAGCGAGCATGAAATCAAGGTAAGAGTGGCAGTGTGTGTGTGTGTGTGTGTGTGTGTGTGTGTGTGTGTGTGTGTGTGTGGCAAAGGATGGGACTGACCCGCATTTCTAGACTGACAAACGCCATTATACCTCTATCAACACTGAGCGCATCATCGCCCTACATCAAGACATTACTGCACAGCGAGAAAATAGCGTCCATCACTCACAACAAGGACAAAGAGGAAGTGGAAAGGGGCATTTATCCGGATTACGAGCACTTTGTTGGATACCGACTAGAGGCAGCACAAAAAAAGGATGATGCTATTAGAGGCTTATTGTGTGTTACGGATCATGCTACTATGGATAATCGAAAACTAAGCATCATCAGTAATATGCTGGGCACTGTGCATACCCGATGTATCAACGAATTGAATCAGCTACAGAGCAGGGAACAATTGATCAGTGCGAGAGATTTGGCTGTGTTGGATGCAGAGAACAAACTCAAGTTTTTGGCAGACATGAGCCATGAGATCCGGTAAGAAGAGGTTCTGGATAGACAATGCCAGCGTGTGTATTCATATATGCAATAGAACACCCATGAATGCTGTCATTGCATTGACTGATTTGCTGCTACAAGAGAGATCCAGCCTGAATATCGAGCAGATTGAGCACCTGGAAGTGATCCAAACCAGCGGCAGCCATCTCCTCACAGTAAGCCACTAGGTATTACGTGTAATCAACAGACACACTAACAGGTCCAAACAAGATTATCAATGACATTCTAGATATATCTAAATTAAATCATGATCCCAAGTTCAAGCTAGAAAGCCGCCGCTTTAGTCTCAGAAAATGCTTAAAAGGTAAATGCAATGTGTGTCATATCAAAAGTACGATCAAGCTAAAAACAACAAACAAGATACGTTAAATATGGCTAGACATCAGGCGTCCATGAGCCAGCAAAACAAGGTTGTCTATGTGCTGGAATGTCCACCTGACAAGGACGATAATATGCCTCTGCCGCAACTTATTGCCCAGCTGGAAAATAAGGGTGTTCTACTAAGGCCTCTATTGCATAAAAAGGGTAAGACTGTATTGCCAATAATTTGGAAAATTGATCCAGATGTGCCGGATCATTTACTGGGCGATACCATGCGACTGACTCAAATCATGCTGAATCTCTGCTCCAATGCTGTCAAGGTAAGCAGAGTAGCCTAGATCAAAAGGCAACAGAAACTCATGCATACTGTTTAGTTTACCAAACAGGGCGGTATTCATATTCGCATCAAGAGATCCACGCCAACACCATTTCGCACTACCTCATCATCTCAGGCGGCTACCAGACACAACGAGAGACGCATGACGTTTAAAGAACGTTATGACGCAAAGATCGAAACAATGTGGACTCAAGCCTTACAAGACAGAAGAGATAGAAACAGCAATGCCTACAATCCAGCCATGTCACCCACATCGTCTTCCACAAATACTAGTGGTGGACTCGTCACTGGCAGCTCTGCATTAGATGATCCAGACATGGACTATTTTAGCGAAAAGTCCATACTCGAGATTTCAGTGACGGATACGGGCATTGGCATACCTGCAGATCGTTTGCCCAAATTGTTCAAGTCCTTTTCTCAAATTGATATATCCACAGCCAGACGATATGGTGGTACAGGTCTAGGCCTGGCCATTTCGAGCACACTAGTCAACCGTATGGGCGGTTGTGTCTGGGTGGAATCAGAAGAGGGCGTAGGTTCTCGATTTGCATTGACATTACCAATGACAGTCGCTCCCAGAGGCAGAAATTACAGCAGTGATAGCACGCCTCTTGGCTTCGCTGGATCACCTTCATCACCAGGCTCCACTGTGTCCGACAGTAGTAGCAGTGTGCATTCTGCCCTAGGCGGCAGCAATACTGGCAATGACATCATATCGCCCATGTCTTCCATGTATACCTTTACTACACCAGCAGTGAACAATACGCCCAATAATCCAGGCTATTTCCCATTGACGACGATGCATACCAGCAATATGACAGTTACTCCACAACCACAGCCACAACAACAGCAGCAGCAGCAGCCGCAAATGCATCGTCCAGCTCTGCCTCGAACCACACATCAGCAATTGTATCCTTCAGATACACTCAACATTCGAACCGAGCCTCAATTGATACCGCAAATCATTCAATCGAATACTGGATCTAATGAGTCGTTTTCTCCCATGGCCGAAGATACACACGCACTAAATGCACCGGCTAGGACGATGGAGACTCGAAATGCAGAAGATGTGAAACGAGTGATAGCCAACACAGATAGCAGCAACAATACCATCCACAACAGCCTTAGTGCCAATAATGCGAGTGCGAATCAGGGCAGAAAGTCGTACAATGATCTGCTATCGCCAGCCAGTCGAAGCACTCGCGTAGGCATCACAAAGCAGCATTATCACAATCGAAAGCCGCAAACCAAGGAAGAGAATCTAGCGAAATTGCATCCACTACGCATTTTATTGGCAGAGGATAATATATGTAAGTTGCCATTGGGGGTGGGTTAGGTGATTCATGTGTTGATGCCTTGATGTGTAGTGAATCAAAAGATTGCTATAAGTATTTTAAAGCGATTAGGCTATGTGGATGTTGCTATTGCGAATAATGGAAGTGAAGTCTTGACGTTGATGAAGACTTCTGTGTTTGATGTCATTTTTGTAAGTATACGTCTTGTTTATGTGCAGCTTTGAAAGAGACATCACTCATGATTCACTCTTTTAGATGGATCTGTATATGCCAGAGATGGATGGCCTTGAAGTCACTCGAGAAATCATCAAGGAAAGAACTCGACAAAAGCAAGCAGACATGGCGCCGTCCAACGATACAGCACAGACCAGCGAATCTTCAGCTTCAGACCTGCTAAACACCGTGGATGTCTATATCATTGCTCTCACTGCTTCAGCATCCCGTGAGGACAGACAGATCTGCATTGATGCTGGCATGAATGATTTCATCAGCAAGCCATTCACCATGACAGAGATGAAGTCAGCGCTCAAGACTTGTGCCAATAAACGTAAAAAGAGAAGAAAGCTTGCACAGCAAAAGCAGATGGAGGAAGTGTTTACAGATACAGTAGCAGCAACAGCCGGTATTCATCCTACAGCCTCCAGATCGACAGAGATGATTCATGCCACGACGGATGACCCCATGTTGGATGTCCAGACTGCGGCTCCATCTTCCTCCACACCGTCTACTTAGTCATCATCCCTTTCGTATCCTACGCTCTATCTGTTTACCACCATTATTATACTTCTGCATACCCCCTTTTTTTTTCCTTTATGTCTGTTTTCACATTTGTTTATTCCTTGCTTTCTCTGTAAATATATATATATATATAGCTATTTTCTCGAAATAAAGCTGATTGCTACGTTTTATTGACATGTGCAAAATGAAAAATGTATACTATTGAATGGATAATGAATGGTATGTATATATATATACTAAGAGCTCTGCTACTACTTGGCTCGGTTATCTGCAATAAGGAAGGCTTCTTTGAGTATGGAATGCACACCTTTTCGATTGCCTGCTGGAGTGTCATTGTCCTCTTCCTCCAGCATCTCGTCGTCTGCTGAAGACATGTTCTTGTCCAAACGCAGCTTCATATTGGCCATCTTGAGAATGTACTCTTCAATTGTGTCGCTACAAATCAGTTTGTGGATAATCACATCCTTGGTTTGACCCACACGATGAGCACGATCTTCAGCTTGCTTGTCGTTTTGTGGGTTAAAATCGATATCATACAAGATGACAATGCTAGTAGATAGGTGTGAGTCGAAAGAGATTGCAATGGACTCATAGAGTCAACTTACTTTGCAGAGGTCAAATTGATACCAAAGCCACCAGCCTTTGTGCTCAGTAAAAACACGTTGATGTCTGCATTGTCGTTGAATTCATCAATCAGGCTTTGTCTTTCCATCACCTTGGTTTCACCGTCCAGTCGCAAGAAAGAGATATCGATGGTTTCCATGACGAGTTCCAGGATATCCAGCATTTTTGTAAATTGACTGAAAATCAGCACCTTGTTGCCCTCCTTTTTGAACTTGGGCAGCAATACTTTGAGTCGTTCAATCTTGCCAGAGTCCATCCATTCTTGGTTTTTTAAGCTGTAGCGTTGGATTCTCTGTTTGGATAGTACAGTTAGCTACCACAATCAATCAGTGTAATCAAAACAGCTTATACCTTCTCTTCTCTGCAGAACCGATCAATCTCGAAATCAGACATCACTGTGAAATCTTCATACATATATTCCAAGTTGGAGTCCCAGTACTTGACATCCTTGTGAAGCTCCTTGGCCATGTCTCTCAGCATGTCATCGGTATACACATTTCTAAACATCAGGGGATGATCTGCCGCCTTTCTCAAGTGAATCACAACATTGGACATGTCCTCAAACTGTGCCTGCATGTCCGTTTTTTTCTCCACCACAAGTGGCTGCTGTTCTGCTACTTCTGCTGCTGTTGTTTGCATTTCTTGGTACTTCTTTTTGGTTTGCTCGATAATATGGTTATACAATTTAGCTTGGTTTTCAGTCATGTCGCAGTGTTCGATAATCTGTTCCTTCCTGGGCAAATCCTTGAGCACGTTTTCCTTTTTACGACGAAGCACGAATGGAGTCATCATCCTCTTGGCACGGCTGATACGCTCTTTAGCAAGCACTTGAATCGATGTCTCGTCGGCCGCTGTCCCAAGCTCGCTGTTTTTAGTGTCGTTTGTCTGCGATTTACGAATCTTGAAGATGGAGCGAATGTCTTCTTCGTGCTGAGCAAATGTGTCCGGCATGATAAACGTCAACAATGATACCAGTTCCTGCAAGTTGTTCTGCAACGGTGTACCCGTCAAAAGTAGGCGGAAAGGCGTCTTGATGCCCATGAGAGACTTGTATCGTGCACTGGTGCAGTTCTTGACCATATGGCCTTCATCCAGAATCATGGACTGACATGCTAATTTTTTAAAGAACTTTCTGTCGTCTGCGTGGCCCGAAGCCAAGTTGTATGTGGTAATGATGACTTGAAATTCGTTGTCTTGATTTTCTTGCAGTAAGTTTATGCGTTGCTCCATGCGTTCTTGCTGAGAGCCGTGGTACACTCTGATCTCCAGGTCAGGACAGAAGCGCTCAAACTCTCGCTCCCAGTTTTGGATGGTGGAAGATGGCACCACAATCAGATGAGGACCAGTTTCGCCAATTTCATTCAATCGACCCAGAAAGCTGATCACCTGCGCTGTCTTGCCTAGACCCATTTCATCTGCCAGAATGCCAGAGATACGTTTACGGTAAAGCAACAGCATCCAATTGACACCCAGAATCTGATAGTCCTTTAGCGTCATTTCAGGGTTGACAATGTCTGGTTGCTGCGTGAGATATCCTTCCAGAGCATCTCGATAGCGAGTTGAATTTACTTTAGCACTGTCCAAGGATATGCTGGTGAGGCTCATACCAGGCTGATCGTCATCGTTCTCATCATCTTTGGATGTGGCAGCAGCAGCAGCAGGTGAACCTTGTCGACTGTTGTTGAGTTCTTCCCAAATGTTGATAATGTTGCGCAACTTGACGCCCAAGTTCTCCACCTTCTTGATAATCTGGTCCACAGCGCGATAGCCACTCATCATCTCATAGCAGTTTTCAATATACTTGGGACTCAGGCCCTTGGTTTGTCTTAGTTTGGTCTCGAGATCGTCTTCATCAGCAAAGGGTCGCAATTCGATCAATTTATCAGCAGAGGCGGATTTGCAGCCTGTCATGATCTGGAAATCCTTTGACGAGCATGTGTTAAAGTACAAGACGACAGCTGTCTGTTTTTGCTGTCTATTCTCCATTTGACGACCTTCTTCCGCATCTGAATCACTGTCATCGTCGTCGCCAGAGTCTTCTTCTTCTTCTTCTTCTTCTTCAGATTCTGTGTTGATTTCAATTACGCCATCGCCGTCATTGTCACTGAGTTCAATCACACCGTCCTTTTCAGTGTAATGTTTATGCGTCAAGCGAGGCTTTTTGACATGTTTAGGCTTGCTGGCTGCTTTCGTTGCCAATGTCTGATACGCATTCACAATGGATGGATCCTTTCGTAAAACAGCTCTAATCTCCTTATCTGGCACATGAACTCCATTCGACAGCTTTGATAAACGATTCTTCAAAAAATGCATTTTCTTGGTCTCCTTGGTCTTTTGATGAAGGTCGATTGTCTTGGTGAGCTTTTCATTGTACAGTTGATCATCCACATCTTCCATCATGTCATCTTCAGAATCACTGAACGGTTGGCGTCTCTTTTTGGTGTTGGTGCCTGTGGATTCCTCATCGTCATCTTCCATGGAGCCTTCATCTACCTGCGCATCATCATCGTCCTCTTCTAAATCTGCTTCTTCATCAGAGGAGAAAATGATGCGATTCATCACTGGTTTTCTTTCTCTCAACACACGCTTGTTTTCTGTGATGTTGGCTTCATCATCATTATCATAGTCAACCACCTCTTCATCGTCACTGTCAATGGGTCGTCGTTGCTGTTTCAAGCGTCTTCTAGGCGCTGCTGCTGAAGTGAGATCAATCAACGGCTTCTTTGGCTTGGAGTCGAATCCAACCTTTCCAAATGTCTCTGTCAAGTTTTCGGTACTACTGCTGCTTCCACTTCTGCTGCTGGGTAGAGAGAAGACAGATGATTTGGAGGCAAACATAGAACGGTTGGTGCTCTTCAGATTAGGGTTGACTTTGATCTTTGATCGAGTGTCATTTTCTACGGGCTTTTTGACAGGACTGAAAAAGGAGCTAATGCTTTTCGTAGTAGAAGGAGGTTTAGATAAAGATGAAAAAGTAGGGGGCATTGCGTTGCTTGTGTGAGTTTAGAATTGACGGACAGGAGACAGAGAGAGAGAGAGAGAGAGAGAGAGAAGAAAATGGAGAAATATAAATAATGCTTTCAAAAAAATTTTACGTGAAATCGCTGTAATCAAAGGCAAAAATTCATAGGCCTCCTGCCAATCCCCTTTTTGTTTCAAATCGAGATATTGACTTCATTTGGAAAGGTCGTTATCTCTGGTTGTTAAAAACGCCCAACAACAAGGTCATGTTTTGAACCAGGTATAAACATTGGGAGCATTGCTCTTTGCAAGCTGTCCTTAACGACAGCAAACTGGAAGGCTATCATTTGCATGAATGTAGTCATTGCGCAAGGTAACATACAAAGGTAAATGCATGACAGAACGAGAATTTAACCATTTTGTCATCTCAAAGCTTCAAATCGCGCTAATATATGCTGAAAAATCTCATTTACTAGCAGACAGCATACTAGCACTGCTTCCTACTACTCAAAAGTATGCAAATCACAGCGAAATCTGAGTAGACTAGAGTCTTGTTTGCTCGGGTTAGGAGCCGTTTCAAACTTCCGGGATAGCACCAAATAATTGCTCTCGTCTAGCCCTTACTTTCTGACACCTTTGCTCAACTTTTTTGGGATCGCCAAAAATCCACCAAATCCATGAGGTATCCCTCATGGTTTTTATCAAAAATCAAACGATCGTGTTTTTCATCCCAAAAACGAAGACTTTTACTATGGTATATTATAAATCAAAGTGTTTCTCTCAATCCAAAGTAACCCCTAAAACTTTGTTTGTGGGACCTTGTTATATAAAACCTCGACATTTTTGCCAAAAACCTCATTTCGTACCTTGAAAGATACTCAAAAAGCTTGTTTAAAAAACCTCTTGTAATTAACATCATCAGATGCGCCATGAAAAGCTCTCCAAGAATGCATTAGAAAGTTTGGGGTGATCATTACAGTTTACATAGTCGAATCTGGCAAAATAGGTCGAAACGAATCCAGAAAGTTGGAAAATCATCAAATCAGGACATTGCAATGTGTTGTGTAACACCATATCAATGGTATAAAGATCCAAGCATCCACATCAATAAACGTCAGTCTTTCTTCTTCCTATATATTACAGTGGTCCCTTTATTCCTGAACAATACAAATGATAAGTGGAGAATAAAAAATTGGCTGGCAAACTTCATGCTATAAATGGTGCTCTCGAAAGCGCATGAGAAAGAGATTGCAAACGAAATAGTATAAGCCTTAAAGAAGTATAAATGTCAAAGCGTCAAGCTCCTCTTAAACATGTAACAAATTGTACAAATGTTTCAAATCAAGGAATAGCACCTTTGGCTCAAGAGTATTAGAAGCTAGCCATTTGTATACTATCAACTACAAGCAGTGCTTACTACGAGTAACATATACGTTTTCAAAGTATCAGTGTGATAAAGTGACGCTATTCATAACCCTTACTATAAGAACGGGTAGATGATGCCGCAGTAACCTTTTCTCTTTTTCTTTAGCTTTTTCTTCTTGATCTGAGAGGTTCTTGACAAGTTGAGCTCCCCGTCAACCATGCCTGGGTTGTATTGATCTCTTTTGGTCATGTCTTGTCTGCCTGATTAACGTCCGGGTTAATTCTAGGGAGGTTTCTTCGAAACTAACTCACTCTGCTTTATCGCAGAGGATTCATTGGTAAGATATTGATATGATGCAGTCTTTGGTGTTTCTCTCTAGTAGTCTCTCTCTCTCTGTCTCTCTTGTACCTGCATCATACGCTTTGGCGCACCAATGTAGCTCGTAATCCCCTTGAACGAAGCTTATGTGTGTATTTGTTGGCATAAGTGGGATTCTTGGGATCAGATCATCAAGTTGGATTAGCTGGAGGGTCAGAGGGTTGGGATCTGGGGGTTGGGACCAGATGTATTTCGACCTGCTCGTTGGTTGGTCCTGCTAATCATGGTTTATTCATGAGAACTGACAGAAATACTCATTTTACATAGTATATACTTTTTAATGAGCCTTTATCTGAGCAGTCTATACAGAGCACTTCTCAATAATTTTGTATGAAAAATAAAAGGTTTATAATGCTTAAAAGGATGTGAGATAATGATTTAACTCATGAGTTTTGTTGTTAATTAATATAGTATTAAGTATTGAATCTTGGCACTGACATGCAATGATTGTATATTTGAACGAGTCGGTCTCCAACTACAGTGCTACTGTATATGGATACAGAGATACATCGCATGCTCAAATCATAACCACAGCTCCTCGTCTCATTCTTGACAAAAACACTAGTGAAAATGTCAAGCGATATACAACGTTTATAAGGGTATGGAAACGAGAAATGAGATTATCATAACGCTAACATTTACATCTGAAATTACAAACATATATACAATTCAGCCAATGTTACCCTTGTATCGATACGATCCAGCCAAAGCTGTTGGGATATTGACATCAATTTGCACCAAATGCATTGAAGTCAAGGTAAGGTACACAGGAGTCACAAGAAAACGTGGGGAAGGCTCTCTGCCACACTTTGAGCCTAATTAATACACCTTCAAATTAGAACAGATTCTCCTATCCTTTCTTTTTTTTCACTCTTTTTCTATTTCTACAACACAAAACATCCAGGGAAGATGGCCCAAGTGGACTCGAGCAATGATTTGCAGCACAAGTCTCCAGACTATTATCCCATCTCACAGCCCATCCTAATCCATGTAATACCTAGCGACACAAGCAAAAAATGATAGACATATGCTAATATGCAACATTTGTTGTTTCTAGTCAAATCAGGGCAAATCCACAATGAGTAAACAGGATTTTTAAATGAAAGAGGTCCTATACTAACACTTGTCTTATGGTTGTAGTGTTGTTGAATAGTAGCAAGAGCGATAGTGGATATATCCATGAATCACATCTTTCAGGGGAATCACAATTTATCAACAGTAATATCACGCCCATTCACGGTTGCATCATGGTATTCAGAGCTAATCTGTCTCACATTAGAGCCTCCAAGTATCTATTTGCATGAACACCTTGGTGATGATGAGGATGAGGATGTCGACAAGTTTTCGATGCACAGTAGCATGTTTGAGGATGGAGCTACTTCAAAGCCAGAGTAATTTACACATTCAATTTGACCTTGAAAACACTATTAATAGCCATCCTCTATGATATCAGTAAATCTTCCAAACGAAGCTTTTTTGAACGAATTGGCCTGAGAAAGAAGCATCATCTTCAGCCAAATTTCGAGTACAATCTTGAGCAAGACCATCCACAGATGTCAGACGAAGACGAGCAGATGGATATCATTGATCGCAACGAAGAAGACGATGACGATGACGACGAACTATCGTCCTGCTCCTCATCAGAGGAAGGCAACGCACCTCATATTAGTGTGTCGACTCCAACGTCTACTCCTGGGCGGCCAAGTTCATTGAGTAGCCAGTATCAAGCCGGAAAGTATGTCAAGGTAAAGCAAGAAACGAACATGCCCACAGCAACTGGATCGTTAACGATAGCAACACGCAGACAAAGACAAAGCATAAAAAGAACAACCAAGAGTTTGCACGGCTCATGCTGGCTCAGAGCATCCAAACGTCCTATAAATCCGACACACTCAACAACAGCAAGCATGAATATCACAACCATTACCGCATGTCATCTGACTCATCAACAGAGCCAAGCCCGAACCATCCTTACGGTGCAATTTGGGCACTCAAATTTAGTAAGGATGGACGGTATCTCGCATCAGCAGGGCAGAATTGTGTCATTTACCTGTGGACATTGTTGGCTCCTCAAAATCAGCAAGATGTTCCTGAATTCTCAATCAACGTATTGGAGGAAACCCCGCACATGGAATACATTGGACATAAAGCGGATATTTTGGATCTTGCATGGTCAAAGGTGAGACTCTATTTGTTTCTGCGATGCTTGTGCTAAATGCTTTGCAGAACAACTTTCTTCTATCAAGCTCTATGGACCACACAGTGAGGTATGTGTCTATGGTCTTATTCGGCATGTGCTATTGACACTCACGCCGTGTCAACAGATTATGGCACACATCACAGAAAAATTGCCTGTGTGTGTTTCAGCATTTGAATTTTGTCACATCCATTGAATTCCATCCCAAGGTAAGATTACCAGAACAAATAGCGAAAAATAGAGTCCACCAACATGCCGCCTATATTAGGATGATCGCTTCTTCTTGTCTGGATCCATGGATGGCAGAATTCGAGTTTGGAACATACCCGAGAAACGAGTAGCTTTTTGGAACGAGATTCCTGGCAACCGGCTAGTTACTGCAGCAGGCTTTACGTTGGATGGTAAAACTGTGATTACAGGCTCACATGATGGTCATTGCTATTTTTTCGAGACACAAAGCCTCAAGTACATCACACAAATTTCCGTGAATAGCGACACCAACAGCAATCGCAACTCATCATCGAAAAAGGGTCCCAAAATCACAGGCGTTGAGATGATGCCTGGTATGCCACCAGGTGACGAGAAACTGTTGGTCACTAGCAATGATTCCAAAGTGAGATTATACAACATGAAGGATAAAAGTCTCATGTTCAAATACAAGGGCGTTGAAAATACGTGTCTTCAGATCAAGGCTAGTTTCAGGTACACAGTTGAGCATAAGCTCTGTTGATCTATTACTCATGCTTCTATGATTTTCTTAGCGATGACGGAAGATACATCATCAGTGGTTCAGAGGATTGCCACACATATATATGGCGAACAGAGCAATCCAGTGTATCACCTCTACATCACTTGCAAGAATCCAGAAGTAAAGCATTGTCTGTGTTTGGACATCTTGGCGAATCTACTCTTAAGTTCCCTTCGCATCATTTTGACAACCACTCTACACCTACATTGCAACAAAATCCGTCTACACCGGTATCAGAAAAGCTGAACCAGCAGCAGCATCAACAGACACGATTTTCAAAATGGCTCAAGAAAAAAGACAACCACACTGATAAAATTCGAAGTCGAACAGAGTACTTTGAAGCGCACGATTATGTAGTGACAGCAGCCATTTTCGCACCTGCCAAAACCAGACAGTGGATTGCCAAATCAAAGCTAGACGCCATCTACAACAACACGCCTCTCCATCTTCGACGCTGTTCAACAGCAAGCAGTGGGAGCCATACTTCCTCGTTTGTCAAAGAAGAAGATCAGTATTCTGAAGGGCATATACTCATTACGGCTGACTTTCGTGGACTCATCAAAGTATGGCGAGTTGATTCTGGGTCGTACCAGCCATCTAATACTACACTGCTACCACCTCTCGATACCCAATCCTTACATGCTGCATCGACACCGCCATTCGATATCCTATCTACTTCACCCAATAGTGGCAGCGGTGCTCGTTCTATATCATCTTCGTCTTCGCCAAAGGTCAAGAAGAATTTTGGCTTATTTTCATCTCGGCATTCAAAGTAGTACTATATATAAAGCTGAATGTAAACCCTTGAAAACTGGCCATGATGGCAATTCAATGTCAGAGAGGCGGCAAAGCAAGGTTATTATGGAAACGGTTTATTTACTTGTTTATACGTCTAAAATACATAGTGGAGGATGGGCAAAGGAAAAATACAGATATTTCAAATATATGTGAGGTAAAATGGAGGGAAAGATGAGTTTATACAAAAGCTATTTACTTGCACAACATGGCAATCAAGGCACCGCCTACACTGCCACCTTCAGAAGCAACTTCGAGAGTGATCTTGCTACTGGTCTCCTTGCCATACCATTCATCTAAAGCACGACGGACACGCAAATTCATATGGGGATAGAATTCGTAAGTAGAGCCATTGATACCAACGACAATATCATCACGATCAGCTTCAAGCAGTTTTTGTTGATCAATCAACGAGATGATGGAGACAGCAGCCAACGAGGCAGAGCGAGTAGAGACAATGCGACAGATGCGAGTCAGGATGGCAATATCATTCAAAGTGGGGGTATTCACGCAGTTGAAGTTACTCAAGAGTTCAAGGCTGGCCTTGTGATCCACCTTGTCATCGTTCTCCAAAGTGCTCATGTACATGGTGGGGAAGGCCCAGGCCTCACCAAAACCTTCAGGCACATGTCCTTCAAACAATACACCAGCCCTGATGAAATCCATAGCGATCAGACGAGTTAATTCACCCATGTAGGCACCAGAAAGCATTTTTTCGTATAGTTGGAACTTGGGTTGATTGTGAGAATTGTCCAATTCCAGATCATATTTGGTCAATGGTAAGTAAGCCTCGGTTCCAAAAATATCAATCTCGGTGTTGATCAACATTTCCGTATTCTCGGAGTATTTACTGCGGATACTTTCATCGAGCTTGGTGATGAGGGGCACTTTCTCAGGGTAAGCAGCATTGATACCGGTAGCAAAGATGAGACCAATGCGACAAGCAGGATTTGTATAGCCATGAGCAACCAGAGTGCCAACTGTATCGTTGAGGATGGCAGTCACCTTGACATTCAAGTTCTAAATGGTTTAAATGAGTCTCCAATGTTCTTGATTGCTACTGTTTTTCACCCTTCACACCCCAAAGCAGTGTATTTTTAGAAACTCACCTTGCGCTTGAAAGCATCATGGAACATATCAGCAAGATCCTTTCCCTCCGTGTTCTGAAGAGTGAATCCCTTACCCATTCTGAGAATAGTACCTCGATCGACAGCAGTTTGGCTACAAAAAAGTAAAATGTATGGATCAATATATGATGTTTTTCATTGTCGACGAGCAAAGTACAACTTACTCTACAGGGAAACTCCAGCAAACACCTAAAGCAAGCGTCTCTTTGCCAGCAATCTGAGGTTCGGAAAAGAGATGCTTAGCATCCACAGTAACAAGGTCATGAATGGCATCAGCAATCCAATCAAAGAAAACGGAGCCCTCGCCAGTCTTCAATTCAGGGCTAGGACGACGCTTGAGCTCATGAACAACAGATTTACCAGCACCTTTCAGTTCGACGGCAGCGATACGCAAGTTGGTACCTCCCAGATCCAAGGATAGAAAAGTTCCGGTCTCGTCACCAGTTGGCATTTTTGTAACAAAAGAGGGAATCATGGTAGCTAAACCTTTTGAGGGCGTTTTCAAACCAGTTTGGTACTCTAAATTGAACCCATCAACAATAGGTTTGAGCTGGTCTTTGGAGAGAAGGAAGTCCTTCTCGAGCGATTGAAATATAGTGTCAGCAGACATTTGTATTATAAAAAAGGTATTTTATCAAAAGAAAATAAAAAGTAGAGAGGAAAGAAAGAAAATATAAAGGAAAGGCAAATTTGAAATTATATAAATAGGGGTTGGACAAGAGCAAGGCCAGTGAAACCTAGTCTCAAGTCATTTTAGCCTTCAGGGCCAATGATCAAGACTCGGGGAATAATGGGAAGCGTGCTTTCTTGTTGAATCACCCTTTGAACCCTTTTTCCCATTAGATTTATGAACATGAGTTTCAAATTAAGGTATTGCACCAGACCCTGAATAAATATTTGATTGGTTTCTCAAGGTCTGTTATGTAATGCGGGAAAGAAAACCCTGACCGAAATCTCTATGGAAATAGACCCTTTCCATATTATCCAAACATTAGATTGAATGACTGAATCACACCATTTTTGTTGTTGGATAAAAACTTGTTGGACCCCGAAAAAATAAGGGTCCCCTTCTTCATCTAAACTCTCTAGTTGGTTTAGTAGATGGGCATTTCGTTTCATTGTTTCCCTGGACGTTGCCCACCACTCGTTGTTGCTAGGCAACCAAAACAGGTCCACCCTGGAAATGATGAAATGACTACTCTAATTTGTGCAACGACCACGATGCACTATACCAATCGTCATCTATATATTGTGTTTGATAACATGTCAGTACTCTATTGGGGTGGGGTCCATCTGTCCTGCTGTTCTTTTTCCCTTGCGGTAAATGTTTTTGTTTCGTGAGAATATTCTACATCAGGGTCGCACCCTTTTACATTAATAATCCAAAAATGTTAAGCCATTTGTTTAATTTCATTATGAGAAATGATGATTTTTTACAGTTTATTTCTCTTCATGCTTTAGAAAAAATTATATTAAAGGAGGGATAGTGATACAAAAATAAGAAATTATATGCGTTTTACATGTATAAGATAATAGAGAGGTGGGGAGAAGAGAATTAGATTTCTTTTTTGGGTTTCCTTGGTAGTAAGGACTCTAAGTAGCAAATGAAATAATATAAATATATGAATTCATGTTCTGTATGAAGTAGAACAATCTTTTGTGTTTGTGGGGTGAGAGATGGCAGAATATTCATCCAACATTGATTTACAACTTTTCGTTCCTTGCAGCAGCGATAGCACGGCCTTCCTTGAGAGGATCAGCTCCGGAGTAGGTGATGATAGCGGCAATACCGAGCAAGGCAGCAATAATACAACCAGCCATGGCACCCTTACCCTTGGCGGTGAAGCCGTCAGGAATTAAGGTAATACCACTGGGAGCACCACTAAGGTCAAGAGCAGATTTAGCAGCAGCGTTACCTTCGTAAGCATGACCACCAGCAGTACAGACGTCCTTGAAGGCTTGGGGTAAGGTCAAGCGTTGTTGAGCGACATCGGGAGCTTCAATCATGACGGCAGCCAAACCAGATTCCAAATGCCATTCAACGTGACAATGGAAGAACCAAGCTCCAGGATTGTCAGCTCTGAAACGGATCAATACAAAAGTTTCGGAAGGAACGAGGATAGTATCACGACGAGATGGGTTATCCAAGAACCATTCAACATTGCTAGCATTGCCATCATAGACACCATTACCGCGACCCACCATTTGGAAGACATGTCCGTGAAGATGGAAAGGATGGTGGCCAGCATCGAGATTGTTGACGACGATTTCAACCATATCCAGATGGTTCAAGACAAAAGCCATAGTTTGAGGACCATACACTTCTTCACTGAGAGAATAATTGCCCTCACTCAATGTGGTGTAGAGAGAAGGAACCTTGGGAGAAAGATAGGGAATTTCATTGAACATACCACGATTGAGACCGTCAGTAGTAACTTGGAAATCAAATGTGAGGTTTACTTGCTTGTCAAAGGGGACAGCAGCTTCAACAACAGCAGGAACAAGGACCATATCATCAAAGGTACTACCCATGCCAACATCTTCGCTAGGTGCAAAAGTTGTGGATTGGTTGTTGTACCAAAGAGGGGCGGTAATATTGAGAATAAGGTCATCAGGGATAACATCGTACATCTCACTGTTCAAGTCAGCGTGGATGTAGTAGTTGGAATCAGTGGTGTTCTTTGCGGTAACAAGGACAGAAACACGTTGAGCGGCAGTCAAGTAGACACTTTGTACAGGAGCACGCTTAGTAACAATACCATCGATTTCAATAACTTCGAGTTGATGGCCATCAATACTAAAGTAGAACATAGAGAAACCAGACATGTTGATGAGGCGAAGACGGTAGGTTTTACCAGGAACAAAGCTAAGACTATCATTGACGCTATTGAACATGAAGCCAGATTGAGGAACAGGTTCAGCACCAGTGGGATTCCATTCACTCATGAAAACCTTGAGGCCTTCTGTGCTAGAAGCGTGATACCAATCTGCAAGAAGTAAACAATAACGGTCAGCTTGTAATTTACTTTAAAAGGGCCATTTACATATATTACCTTGTAAGGGAATTGTAACATCGTAGTCGTACTGATAAGTTTCGTTCTTTGCATGAATGATAACGGGAGCACGAAGACCGTCCAAATATTGACCCTGTCATTCACAAATCGTTTAGTATCTCGTTTGACACATTCTGGCGACTCCCATTACCATATAATGAGAATGAATCCAGTAAGAGCCGTGTTGTGTGAGTTGAAATTCATAAGTAAGTTGATGACCAGCAGGAATGGCACTATAGATGTTTTATGAATACACTTGCCTATATCGCCATAGTGAGCAAAAGGCACAACTTACCATTGAGTAACACCAACAGCGCCATCCATCCAGCCTGTTCCGTTTTGGAACATACCATGAGTGTGAAGAGCAGTGAATGTATCTAATTGATTGTCGACATTGATAACCAAAGTATCACCTTCAGTAGCCTCAATGGTAGGGGGACTATGGGAGATATTTAGTAACCATGGTAACAGATTCAGGGATAGAATTACAAGAACTTACGGCCATTTTCCATTGACGCCTACAACTTGACGTTCAAAGAGATTATCAGGATTTGCAGTAGTATATGTGATGTTCCAGTCAAGGACAACACGAGCAGCTTGGGCAAGCCCAGTTGAACCGGCAACTAACAGACAAGTGGCCAAAAAACGCATTTTTTTTTTAGATCAAGAAAAAAAAATGAATAATGGAAAGAAAGATGAAAAAGAGGAGATGTTTTTCGAGTCAACTTATAGATCAAAAGTTACATATTAAAATAGTGTGGGTCCCCATGTATTTTACTTTTTATCTGATTTTGGGTCTTTCTTTCTCTTTTTTTTTTTTATTCGTCTCCACCATCAGATAATTTCAAAGATCTTCTCTTTGTACCTGTGTAATTGGTGCAACAATGTACCCGGAGAGACGCGGGAGTTTGGTAGTACGAAATGTTGTATTACAGTGTTTCATCTGATAACTCTTTTTTTTTTTTTTTTTTTATTCTCATCATCTTGTTTTCAAATCATAGAGTGGGGGGGAGGAAACAATGATATTGTTAGGAGCATCATCAGCGGGAGGTGATGGGTTACCGATCTAGATTTTTTACAACTCCATTAAATCTTCTTAAAAAGGATTAACTTTTGACCTTGTTCAATATCTGATCTTCTTCTTCTTTTTCATCAAATTTTTACGCTCAAAGATGTCTGAAGATCTCTTTAACGTTCCAATTTTTTTCATCTTGTTTCGTGAGACAACTGAGGCAGCCATCATTGTCTCAGTGTTGCTCTCTTTTCTGAAAAAGATGTTCAACCCTGAATCTCCTACTTATAAGCGTCTTCGCAATCAAGTGTGGATTGGCTCTGCTGCTGGCCTGTTTATTTGTATATGTATAGGTGCTGCCTTCATTGCTGTTTACTATACTGTCCTCAACAATCTTTGGGGAAACTCTGAGAATATCTGGGAAGGTGTCTTTTCTCTCATCGCTGTCATTATGATCACTGCTATGGGTCTCGCCATGCTCAAGACTGAACGTATGCAAGAAAAATGGAAAGTCAAGTTGGCTATCGCTGTGCAAAAGTCTACAAAAGAAAAGTCTTCATTTAAAGAGAAGCTTCAAAAATATGCCTTCTTCTTCTTGCCCTTCATCACTGTTCTCAGAGAAGGCCTCGAAGCTGTTGTCTTCATTGGTGGTGTAAGTTGGATTGATTTCATTTTTATAAGTTCTATAGACTGACATTTGTATAGGTTTCTTTGGGTATTTCTGGTAAATCTATCCCTATTGCTGCTATCATGGGTATCGTTTGTGGTGCTTTGGTTGGTTTCCTCATTTATCGTGGTGGTTCCTTGATTCAACTTCGTTGGTTCTTTGTTTTCTCTACTGTCATTCTTTACCTCGTTGCCGCTGGTTTAATGGCCAAGGCTGTTGGTTTTCTTGAGCAAAACTCTTGGAATAATGTCATTGGTGGTGAGGGAGGCGATACCATTTCTTACAGAGTTACTACTGCTGTCTGGCATGTCTCTTGGGGAGACCCAGAGCTCCGCGTTGGCTCTAACGGTGGCTGGCAAATCTTCAATGCCATTCTTGGTTGGAACAACACTGCTACTTATGGTACTATCATCAGTTACTGTCTCTACTGGTTGTTTGTCATTGGTTACCTCGCCTATTCATTCTTCAAGGAGAGACGCAATGCTATCCGCAAGGCTGAAGCTGGTGAATGGGATGATGGAGATGCCGCCTTGGAAGAGGCCAAGCAATATATTGATGAAACTGGTGAAATTCGTGCTGTCAATGTTGATCAAGATGAAGAAACCAAGGACCATCATCCTGAGACAATCGAAGTTGTACCTACCCAAGCAACTGCCAAAGCTTAAACAAACCTGTACTCATATTATAAAAAATCTATAGAATCCTAAAATCACTTTCATTTCTTACCTATTTACTTCATGTTGTGCAAAGAAAACTTCAATGCAATACATGGAATCACTTTTTTAATTGTCCCCACTCCATACTGTAATGTTATTAATACTATCCCATTTATCTTTGTTTTATTATCCTCATCTTCTACTATTCTGTATTGTATTGTAGCGAAGTTAGCCTTCATATCATTTCTAATAAAAAAAAATTATGCTGCAATTGACATGTCTTTTCTTCGATATTGGTCGAATTACAGTGGATTTTTCTCAGAAATAACTCTGCGCATTGTTTTTTCAAGTAACAAGAATACCCGAGAACAATCATATTTTGAGTTGATTCACCACGCTTGCTGAGATGGTCAATTTCGTAAAACGGCTGTCAGTTTGAAAATCAGATAATTATTGACGATGATTCATTCTTGTGCACATTACGCCAACAAACGGACCTAATCATGTTCAAAAATAATTACTCATTTACATGGTCTGTACAACCATGGTTCGCTCTCTCAATACAACAAGTTTTCACTTCAATTTGTTAACCTTACATCTTTGATTATCCACTCGGATCCTTTTGATTTCTGACAGAGAAGAATTAATAGATTTTTCTATAGAAAGCTAGTATTTATTACCCTTATCAGATGATTTTGGTATTTTGTAAAAAAAAAATCTTTAATCTGAGGCGTAAAAGCTTTTATAAATATACATAAAATCCATCGTATGATGAAGACTTGGTTATACATACAAATCATATGGTATAATAGCAGCTTAGCCTCGATCAGGTGTTGAAATGATGTGAATGGCAAGAGCATCAGATAAATGGAGTATCTATTACGGCTAACCTATAAGAAATCGATTGCCTAATCAGTTTCTTTTTCGTGTTCAATTCGCCTCTTTTGCATCTTTTTTTCGTGCGACTCAACTGTGAAATCAAACAAATAGAATCTAATCTAACCCTGGAAGATAGTGTACAACAAATACTGTGCTTGAAATCAAATAATCTGGTTTTAGAAAATAGTATCATATGGCCTTCTTCCTCGGGCCTGAGTAGATCTTTGGTGTGTTACTACTTGTTTTGACTGTAAATATGCATCTAGTATGAATGCCATTCTTTGGTTTCAGATGATGAGATGCATGTATCGTGTTATCAATCTGTATTTGTTTTGCTGCATAAGTTAATAAACTTGAAACTGAATCATTGACTTCTGACAAGATCAGATAAATGACCAGGGGCGGTACTAATGAACCGCACTAAAAACTTGTGGGGAGGGATGTCTTTGAATTGATACGTGCTACAAACCAACCGAGACAAGACCGGCTATTCAATTAGATGAGTACGAGGGTTCTTTTGAATCTGTCATACTAAAGAGCCCAATTTAAGCATGGAGTATGAGAAATAAGCAGAATCTACGAGATAGAAGAGAATCATACGATAAAAATAGATAAAGACTGCAATACGTTGCGAAAACCGAGAACGTAATACTTGAGACATTTGATCCATTGTATGCCCATTCCCCAGATAAGAACATACACTCGTTAACGGTCTTTGTATCAGGGCAATTCGGTATACGAATAGATCTCTATTCTAGAATTGTTAGGGTTTAGTGTTCTACACTTTTTCGCATCGTCTAAGTTCGGGTCTCGTTTTAGGAATTGCAGATGATCAAGATTAGTGATTGTATTTTGTGATTTCTGCCGTGCCCGCTCTATTGGTGCTAGTATGAAAAAAAGGTTATGTCTTCTAACTAGTTAAAAAGACATGCTGATCGCCGAGGCTTACAATCTATACAAAACTCATCTCTGACAGCAGTAACAAGCAGTGTATTGCAAGACAATAATAATGCTTTAACTGTTTCAAGCATGGATTCATTTGCAATGTGATAACATCTACATCATAGTAAACTGTCGCTATTATACTTACCTCGGTTGATCTATTAACATTGCATCTGATTAAAATTAATCAATCAAACGAATAGCCTATTTGAGGCGGCAAGAGTCTAGATAAAAATTCTTATATGATCTATCGCCAAATATGGATAATTTCACCAGCAGTTGCAACGAACCATTATCAGATTTTCATTTTGTGATTATCAAACAATTATTGGTTTACCCGCAAGCCTATAAGACAAGGAGAAGGCATTCATCTGATAATGCTTTTTGAGGACAGTCAATATCTTGGTGAATATCATGAAGTATTTGCTTTGTGAGCATGTCTAGATATGGTGGTGTTTATCCTGATGTTATCCAGCATGTCTCCCAAAAAAAACCCATATCCCGCTCCATGCAACTCGATGCGGGTTGTTAACGTTCCGAATATCTGCGGCGACCCTATTATGACAAATCGTACACCACTTGCTAATGATTATGGGATTCAAACCACTTCCCCCGGGGTATAACGATGAGTTGAATTGTACTTTTATAGGTCATTATAAATTATATTTGTCATTGAACATGTTAATGGGCCTTAATTTTGGATGTTTTTTTTTGGAATTGGGTCTATTGTAGCACTATATCAAGCTATACACATTGTAATGATAGATAGGATGGGCTCGCTTATAGTGCAATTTGTTCAAATCGGATCTCATTGACAGACCTACAACGTACAGAAAAGTGACCGAAAGGAATATCCAGGTGCCAGTTGTTTTTATCTTCGTACTTGATTCTGGATCCAACGAACGATATTTGCTCCCATAACTGCTTTGTCACATGCAAACCTTTGATTTTGTCAATATCAGATTCATCTAAACGCTGTACTCTTGGTTGCAGCTTGTCCATCAGCATGCTTTCGTTGTTATGGCCTTTGCACCTTCGCTGGGATTGATACAAATGATACCAACGCTCTGGATATCTAGTGGTTGCGGCTACATGCTTGTGGTTTTCCAGTGCTCTTCGTTGTCTTTCTAGCTGCTTTTCTGTCTTTTCAGTTTCTTCTAGAGATAGTATAGTCGCATAATGATTGCACTGGAAGCCAGAATCCTCAATACGGAGTCCAAGTTGCAGCTTTTCAATATGGATCGATTTAAAACGGTGGTAAGGCATGTTGATTGTTACTTGAATGTTGTTGTCATAGGGTTTGATGACATGGGATATATCCAGTGTGTTGAGAAATGGGCATCGAAGAGCCAAATACTCAAATAGCCTGTTGTTTACCATAGTGTGCATGAGTGTAATTGCCTCTAGGCGGTGAATCTTGACTATATTGTCATTGGCATCGTCTCGCACAAACAAGTTATATGTATTTGAGAGTTCAAGCCGCTCCAGATGTATACAACGGTCAAGTATTATGTCAATGTCGAATTCTGTCAAGGTGCCAGGTTGAGGCGACAAAGAGAGGTTTCTCAAATGACTGCATCGGCTTAACGGTTCTAGTATATCCAGTTCATAATCCCAGCTTCTGTCCCAATTGCTGATATTGATGTCTGTCATGGTGTTGATTGAATTGCTCATCAGCAGCTTGAAATTCCTCGCACTTCGTCGATGATAGTCAAAGTTGAAAAAGTGGATGGATACTTGCTCCATTTGCGTAGGGATGCTATTAATACCGTTCAAGAAAACGTCGCAAGGAAAATATTTTTCATCAAACCGAGCCTTCAGTCGTTTGAGATGTCGAAAGCTTGTTGCCATGACAGCAAAGGATTCCTTCATTCGAGAGTTTTCTGGTTGCACTGCTTCATGATAGTATTCAGGCTCTAATAATCGAAGTTGGATATCCAGCGTCTGAATGAACGGATACTTGTGTGCCCAATAATGCAGAAAGTCTTCGCTGTTGATTGACATGTTTAGCCGCAAATTCTTCAGTTGGGATGCTGTGGGTAACGTCTCGATATCCACCAAGTATCCATCTTTAGTCATTAAATGGGAGTCGAATGAATCAAGGCGCAATGTCTCGATATGTGGGCAAAATGTGTGAATAGATTCGAATTCTGATATGGAGATGTTCTGAGACGTCATAATGCCATTTGACAGCTTGAGTGAGATGAGATTGGGTGTATATTTGAGTAGAGAGATGATGGTCATGTTGGTGTCCGCTAATTCATCCACCATCACATTGCTCATTTCCAAATGCGTGATACTTGATCCTGTATCCTGTAAAATTGGAAGTGTCAGCCTCAGCCTTCCCATGCACGGAAACTGAGCCAGATATCTCCATTGCCCTATGTGAGCTGTATATGCGAAATAGCGCCATAGTGCTGGGTTAAAGTCAATATATTCGAGATACGGACAGTAGATGGGCAAGAGATGAAACTCCTTGTTGCTCATACCGACATGTGAAAGCAAAGCTAGTCGACGTACTAGCAAACCTAATGGTCGGCTTGAGTTGGTTGTTTCTGCCAGTTTAGCTATAAACTGTTTCAATTGATGGCGACTGGAGATGTATATACATTGCATTACGGTAGGCTGGAATCGATCTAACCATGACTGACAAACACACATGCATTCTTTTCGATCTTGATGAGAAAGACAGGTAGATATTTGGTGGAATATTTCATTAGGTAAAGTAGGTAGTGACATGGTGCAACAAAGAAGAAGATGTTTCTGTGATGATTTTTTTTTTTTCATCTGTGAATAGCCCAAAGTGAAACAAAAATGATACTATTCTGACTGGTTAATGCAATTTCAACCATCAAATACAGCAGGGTGTTTATTGGTAACGAGCCTTTGGCCAATATCGCAAAATTAATATAGTTAAAATGTTAGAAGAATCCTGATTGTTGATTGATATAAAATCACTAATCATATGGGTGTTTATACTTTGAATGATTCTCTACCCTCGCTTCGCTTCGGTGAAAACCAACCTACGAAGCGGCAGCTCATGCTACTGATTGCTCTTGTGTATCTTATCAAAATACTGCTACTTTCATTGTGACCCTCCACTTACTCATGAAAACCCTTTATATTATCTGTGGATCTGATTCTTATGTGATGCTCTACATCCATATACACGTAGCAATTTCATATACAGGCAAGTATCATACAGATATTATTTCTTTTTAGTCAAGAGTGTGCCTAATACAGCAAAAAACGAGTGCATTTGATCCGCGTTCTCTCGCGTTCAAAGCCGTTTTAGATGGTCAGAATAGCACCAAACAGTTGCTCTCATCTGGCAGTTACTTTCTGACACCTTTGCTCAACTTTTTGGGGATCAAAAAAACATGGACAAAAATCGACCAAAAAGCATGAGGTACCCCTCATGGTTTTCATTGAAAATCAAACGATCGCATTTTTCACCTTGATAATGAAGACTTTTAATATGGCTTATATAAAATCAAAATGTTTCTATCGATCTATCGTAACGCCTGATATCATCTTTGTGGGACTTTGGTATGTAAAATCTCGACTTTTTGGCCAGAAACCTCATTTCATATTTTCATAAGTTTCTCAATAGATTCATTCAAAACATTTATCTTATTTGGTACCATTGGATGCGTCTTGAAAAGTACTTCGAGGTTGTATTAGGAAGCATTTTTTTTTTTTTTTTTTTGTAGGGGAGTCGAGCTCCAGGTTTTATTTAAAGTCCTTTAAATGTCATGCTGAGGGAAAGAAAAGACTGTTGGTGGACCCAATGTCTGCAATGAAGGGGAATAAGATATTTTGAACTAAGTTGGGAAAGAAATCTACTACTAATAAGGTGCGAAACCTAGAGCCAATGCAATCTTGCGGAAATCGTCAAAAATAGATAATGGATAAGAATACAAAACACCAAACGAGGACATCAGTACTAGGTCAAAAAATCAAACAACTTGCGTTCACCAGGATTTGAACCGGGATCCTCCCGTTGGCATACGGGAGTTTTACCACTTCGCCCTACCACCAGGGGCTTGTATTAGGAAGCAAAGGATGAATATCACAACTTGTATAGTCGAATCTTACAAAAGAGTTCGATCAAGTCGAAAAAAAGCAAAATTTGGCCAATCTTGAACAGATAAAATTTTCTGGGTTTGAATTAATTTTGGCGGCTGGTGGGCCGGCTGGCAGACTCAATGCCCTTTCCATTATGAAGGCAATACAGTAATAGATGCTTTTGAAGCGTATAAAAAGTAGGTGGCAAATTACATAGCACTATCGTTATCTATGCTATTTTCCTTGCATTCTATATTTAATAGAGCCAGTCTGTCAAAATACTTTCTAGATCAATTTTCCTTTTTGAGGCTTTGAAAGTGTTTACGGACTGAACATTTATTATGTTATGACAAGTCGATCTCTACGATAATAGCCGCCAACGATAATATATAATGCAAGTCGCTATGCCAAATCCCCTCAAGGAATGTATTCAGCTAATTTCACCTTGACGTTTTTCCCTTTCACAGCATTCTGTATGAGTTTAGTGAGAGACTCTTCTTTAAAAAATAGGCTGTTATTCACTCTATCTATCAGATCGGGGTGAAGAAATATATTGCAAAGGCTTGTGTCGTCCTCCAGGCATTTTTCAGCGAACGAAAATTGCACAAACTCCTTGATCGGCCCCATTAGATGCCAAATATCTGCCTGCTCGTTCAAGTATTTTAAAAAGTATTTCGTGAATATGACACTTATATGACAGATTGATTTGGCGATATGTCTACCAGCTGTGAATAGTCCAGGTCCAATAGCGAAATCAACAAGCTTCAAAGTCGCCAAATTTGGCATTACTTGAAAGCATTCAGCCATGGCAGATTCGGCATCAGCACGTATAGGCTGAAACGTTGAGCTTCTACTAGCAAATTTACCCAACTTGCCCAACTGATCCCAGCCATGTAACCCTACATACTTCAAGTGAGGGTTGCATTCTGCCAAACAGCGAAAGCTTCTCCACATGGCAGGCGTCCAAGCATAGCAAAATCCAAAATCCAAATGCTCCAAATGTCTTAGACTCGTGAGGTAGCTGTATTTTCTCAATAACCTCTGCTCGACATCGTTCCAAATCTGCAGTAAACCCGCCTTTTGCTGTTCAACTTGCTGTATCTGCTCTTGTGAAAATACCTCGTCCATGTTTGCCTCTACTATCTGCACCTTTTCCAACACGTCATGCTGATCCATAGCCTCGTCGTCTCGCACACTTGTTAGCATCAATGATTTAATACCATTCAGAGCAGGCGCTGCTGATTCTGGTGCATTATGGATTGATGCAAACCCTGAATGCCCATCTTCGTTGAAATGGAAGCAAACTTGATGTAAGTGAGGGTGAGCCGAGAATAAATCTGTGCTGAACTGTCTTGTGTCGCACCAAGTCTCGATATTATTGCACGTAATTGATTCGATATCAGATGTTATCAGCTTGACCTGTTGGGATAAATGGCCTATTTCTGCCAAACAGAGATTGGATGTTTCCAAGTGTGTGACATGTTTTAATGCTTCCAAAGGCAGTGATTTCGGATGGCTGTGTCGAGTCTCGGTTGGTTTTGATATTTGCAAATGCTTTACGGACGCCAGGTGCTGTTTGGTGTATTCAGAAGAAAGGAATTCGAAATAGGCAGTATGTTTGTATGGAAGACTGACTTGAAGCGTACGCCACTGTGTTGATGTTAAGATACATGCATAGCATGAATATCACTCATTTAATACAGACTTACCACTGAGGGTCTTTGAGCGATATGATACCATCGCCGACACACCTTTGAAATGCTTGATAGTGTCCAAGGATTGCCTTCACAATGGATGAAAATGAGCTCCAAACAATCGTCTGCTAGTTCGTTTATCGTAGACATAAAGCGTTGCTACTTGTGTGTGTGTGTGTTGAAAAGAGAAGCGCGGGATTTATGTTAGGAACAGAAAGAAAAAGGGTTGTTGGGTTCAACACTCACACACCCTTTCAAATAAGGAAAAAGACCGATACACGATCTATTGCACTTCCATGCTTGCTTGCTCTAAACTGGTTTCGAGTAATTAGAGTCATGTTAAACTCTTTTGGGAATACTATTTTGTTATATGCGTATCTCTGTCTAAAATGCTCATCATCTGTCTCGTTCTCGCCTCATTGAGTAGTCAAGAAAACTCTAAATGTTTCAGTTAAAGGAACACTTCGCATAATTCCATGGGGAAGCAAAACTGAATCATTGTCTACGCTTTCAAGCTGAATCTAATACGGTATCTGAATCAACTCTGCCTGTCTTCAAACCCAAGTAATGAAACTCACAACACTGAGCATGGTATGTAAGCCCAATGAAGACCATGTGTAAGCCAGTGTATTGTTGCAACATTCATATGGAGAGCTGCCGTTAAGTGCGAAATCGAGTAGTGAGTCTCGATTACATACATTAATCGATAGCTCAGATTAAGCCTGCCACAATTTTCAGCTGTTCAACTCACCTTACATTCGAAAGTCTGGTTGTAAGGCCCTTGATTGTTCCTATTTCACCAAAAAGCGACAAATTTAGCAATTTTGACCGCGTATTTTGCAACGTTTTGGCCATTGCCAATGCTCTCAAATATACCAAAGGATTCCTCTCAATTTATAGATTCTATCTGATGGATTATTTTCAAATTTTCCAGATCCAAGATTTTCGACGATTTAGCATGAGGGATACCTCATGAAAATTCTTCAAATTTACAAATTTTTTTTTGCAAAAATGACATTTTTTACTAAGGTATATGTTAGCATTACTAGCACACAAAAGTTGCCTCTATCTTCTGGGAAAGTTGTATTACAGCTGTACTGTTGAGGATTTCGACCTAGAGGCTAAAACCTGAAAATCCTCTTTTTTAAACGTAGGTCCATATTTCGGATGAAAAGTTTCTCTAAAAAAAATACCATTAAATAGAGCTCACTGAATAGAGCTAGTTTGCTTACTGCTCCCCAAACAATTTAATATTCACTTTGCTGTGTAAAAATTCTTTAATGCTGGATTTTTTTCAAAAAATGCCATGTTGAATGATTTGGGTCAATTGCAACATTATATATTTCAATCTCCGGCTTGGTTTCTCTTGCATGCCTTGAATTTTGCGAGCATAATGTCTATCTGCCAACCATCATCATCTCTAATATATTTACCAGAAAACTATATAAAAAAAACGTCGGAATGGCCAATCAGAGATCAGAGACGTAAAAAACTTAAAGCACTGAGTACCATACCAGGTTCGAAAAAACCACTGGCGAATCTGGCACTAGGGGGGGGGGAGACTTGGTATCTAATTCAACATTTGGTAACGTTGACCTATAAGGGGGTTTTACCTCAGCGAAAAGAAGGTGCAAAACCATAATATTCAAGCAGCAAATTCAGGTTTTTATTTCCATTATTAATAGACTTATCAACAACATAATGCATCAGAATTTGCATGAATTAGCTTTACCAAAATCAATATTCGTTCTATCTGAACTAGAAATTGCACAGGCCGCAGAAATGCCCTTCCTCCAAAAGACTTCAGCTACCAAGGATGCGCTTCATGCCGTGTAAATAAAAGCTATAAAGCAAAACATAACCAAATTTGACAGCTTTCAAACCTTCATATCTTGACATGTAGACCGTTCAGAGCCACCGTAATAACGCTAAACAATTGTACTTGAGTAGCAGTAACTTCTTGACACCTTTGCTCAACTTTTTGAAGACCCAAAAAACATGGTCAAAAATCGACCAAAAAGCATGAGGTACCCCTCATGGTTTTCATTGAAAATCAAGCGATCGCGTTTTTCACCTTGAAAATGAAGACTTTGACTATGGTATATATTAGACCAAAATGTTTCTCTGAAACCAAAGCAACCTCTGAAACCACTTTTATGAGGTTTTCATATGCAAAATATGGTTATTTTCGCTAAAAACCTCATTTCAAATTTTACTAAATTGCTCAACAATTTCAGTCAAAACATCTATTTAACCTGGCACCATTGGAAGCGTCTTGAAAAGTACTCCAAGAATGTATTAGGAAGCATCGGATGATTATCACAATTTATATAGTCGAACATCACAAAATTGTTCTGTCAAGTCGAAAAAAGACGAAATCTGTCCAATCTTGAAAAGAAAAAGATATACTGAGTTTGAATCAATTTTGGCGGCGGCGCTGCTACTGGCTGACCCAAATGCCTTTCTAACGATGACAATGATGATTGCAATGCTTATTAAATGGGGACAATGAAGTTGAATGAACAATTGTTTGGCTTGAAGGCTTTTTTGGGGAGTTTTACTTCATAAATGCATATTTTGCAATGACAATATCTCAAAAAAAGCGCTGTAGATCTTACACAAGTCCTGTATTTGCGCATAACCAGCATTATGCGCCATCTTAAGAGCATCAGCAGCAGCAAATGGTATAACAATTCTACTATAAGAATAGGGAGATGGTGGTGTATAAATGCTGCATAAAACTTGAATTCTCTTTTACATCGTCTCAATAATAGGCTTTTTTTAATATCAGTGTATAAGCAAAAAGATGCTGAGGGAGATATCTCCTCTCCTCCTCCTCCTCCTCCTCCTGGCTTTTATATAACCTTTTACTAATAATTGACTGTTTAAAATCTACTTGATATATCAAAAAAAATTTATATCTGATATAAGATGTCTTCGGCGAGAGCCCGCAGGGCGACATCGTCATCGAGTGTAGCGAGATTGATCGGCTAGTCTATTACAGTATATACTGAATATCAAACGTACACACAGCTTAGTTTACAGAGCTCTTGCACAATTAAATACTTGCTTCACAGGCAGATATTTGGTGTCAGTTGTGGAGCAGTTGTAAAGCAAGTGTACGCTTTTCCAATATTTCAATGTAATGTTAACGAATGTATTTGTACATATTGAATTGCACAATGCTTTGTTTACTTTTTATACAACTTTTTATTGATCAAGCTTGTATGTCTTCTCTTCAGGACATGATAAGTAACATTTGAATAATGTAAAGATAACTGCTGTCTAATATGTAGCGGTGTATCTCTTCATCTGTCAAACAGTTATTGACAACATTATTTAAGGCACCCCAAACTTGTTCTACATCTGATATATTGATGACTGACCTGTAAAACCGCTTGAAATACTCCTTCATGAAAGCTGCAGCCATTCTCAGTATGTATTTCTCTTCTCTCCATCCTTTCTCGTTCATTTACATTCTTTGTTTGCGTAGCATCAACACTATCTAAAACCAATTCTTAGCTGTCATATTTTTGTATCTTGACAGCTCTTATTTATAACCAAATCTATAAAGCGCTACTCTTGTTACAGTATGTATTAATCTGGTCAATCGATGTATTATCACAAATGCTCACATTTTTCTTGTCTAGTTATTTTTTTCTGTGTCAAATGTCTAGTGTGCGAACAAAAGTAGAGCAAAGAGATCCGTTTACTGACACTCAAACCAGTCGTCCTCCCCAAAGAAGAGTCGTTGCTAAAGGGAAAAAAAAGAAAATATGAAGCTGTAGCATCCACAAATGCCATGTCCACATCAAGTTACCAGCCTGTTGTCAAAAGGCCCAAGTCATTCGGTGTCTCGCCGCAGCGTTTGATGGATAGTTTTTTTTCAAGCAATGAGGGAAATTATTGAAAACAAAGCAAGACCCATCATTGACAAGCCTAGTAAATTGGATGTACTCAAGAAAGTATTACTCTCGGTGAAGAGGCTCCCCCTAGGTGTCATTACTACTGCTGAAAAGATCTGTCAATGTGCCAAAGATGAGTTGAAAAATCATCTTAAATACTATGGTACTAAGCAAAACGTTCAGTACTTTCAAGAGTACGTCAAGGATCATTTCGATGCTATTGTGGTATTTTTACAGCTTCAGGCTTCTACGTCTACATTCACTGGTGAAAGTGCATCCATCCCAGCTACACCCGTTATTGCTCCTTCTGACTCTGTAGCGTTCCTTCACCGCGACCTCTCTGGCATGGACATGGCATCCGACATGTCTTCTGTGTCTGGCGCTCCTTCACGTGCAGCAATGTCTTCAATCTCGCATAATCCCTCTGATATATCCATGGTTGAAGCTCCCCCAGAAAATGTAGGATACCGCACTTGTACCGTGTCTTTCAAGAGCCTTTTACGAAAGGGTGTGTCTTCCGATCTTGTCGAGTCATTTTTGCAAAAGCTAAATACTGCATTGCATAATGTATCTGACTATGTTACGGACTTGCAATTGGTGGTATACGCATTGATGCTCTCAATGAAGTACTCGCAGTTCGTAGCTCGTAGTGATAATATTCAGCTGAAGAAAGCTCATGGTTTCTAAATACAAGATATTCTCCCAGCAGGCTACAATATTAAAACTGATGTCACTACCTCTGCTCTTCCATTACCCTCTAATGCCTTGAAGTCTACGGATTTTTGCAACGGTGTCAAGGGTCTTCTCCAGAGCAGACACATTGATTACCTGCATACTGCTTTGTTTGGCCAAAGAGGTACCAAGATCTCGCATCCTACATTTGCTGCTCTGTCGTCCGCCAATGCGCCAATACTTGGTGCTATCGTAAGGGATACGCCTCAACCTGCTAATGAACTCATGATGGTGACTCGAGGATTGTACAAAACAAATCTCGAAAACATGTGGGCAAGTAATAAGGTATTTAACAAATCACTGAACAAGCTACTGGAGATTCTTCTTCGCGTGCATCTCGCTCCAAAACGAGAGTCGCATTACTGGGAGCTTCAACAAACCAAAGCAAAGAAGCAACCCAAGCAAGTTGTCAAGTCGATCAGAAACTCGTTTCACAACGCCATTCGATCAGAGAAGTACAAACTTCAAAAATATCAAAGAAAGGCACAGGACAAACCAGAAGACAACAACTGGGCGAAGCGGGCCAGAAATAGTCAAGAGCGCATAACTCACATGTACGCTGATGCCAAGCGCCCTGTCAAGGCTGTTTCTACTTCTGGTACTACATTTGATCAAGCTGTTGTATCTGCTTCTGGCTCAGGTTCTTTTACTACAGCTGTATCTACTCCTACTGATCCCTCTAGCACTTCTGATGCTGTTGCTGCCTCCAATGCTAGTTTTGATATTGATAGTGCTGATATGCCTATTGACGAACTGCTCCCTCTTTCTGAACTGATAGACGAGGAAGACGACCAAGAAGAAGAGGAAGATACCCGTGATCTGCCTAGAAGACGAATTATGATTCTCAAAACTACCCTGAGAAATCTCTTGGTGAGGCAAGCTGGAAAGTCTATTACCCATACACAGCTCAAGAAGGAACGTCCGATATCACGGAAGAAGAGAATCGCGTGTGCATGCTTCTGGGAAACTTATGTTGAGCCTCTGCCAGAGTCATACAGGATGCGTGCTGAAGATATCGACTTTGGTTCTGGCCAATCCATGAGGCGAAAGATCACTTTGAAAGACAAGAAAACAACAGAAGAAGGAAAGAGGGTTCAAGAGATTGAGCAACAATTGCCGAGATCCAGTGTGTTCAGAGCCAAAGAGGTAGAGGGTGTTATGTCAAATCTTGATGCACACAGAAGCAATGGCCAAGCATTGCGAACGTTCTATCACTCAAAGAAGCAGAATACTCTCTCTAACAAGACTGAGCACATTGACAGGCGTTTCCGTTCTCGTTTCGCTTCGCGTAAAAGATCCTTTTGTGCCGGTGTTCGTCCCCAAACGTCACTTGTAATGTTCATTGGAGATCGTGGTCTTTGTGTCGGCTCTCGTTTGAAGGGTCATTTGAAGTATGGTGGAAAATGGAAGCCTCGCTTACATTCATCCGTCGCCACTGTGCATACTACCAACGAACACAAGACATCCCAGACGTGTATGTACTGCTTTGGTCCCACCTCTCATCCCACACAAACCATCAGAGCAAAGGATGGTAAGACCAAGGCGAGGTCCATTCATGGTGCATTCCTGTGCTTAAATTCTGCCTGTGTGTCCGTTCTCAATCACAGAGCCATTCAAGGTAGAGACAGGACGTCTGCTTTGGCCATCGCTGTCTTTGGGCTTTCCTCTCTCCCTTATTCAGGCAGCCATTGCCGGTATTCAACCCAAAACCCAGCCAATCCAACACTGGCATTATCTCCAAGACCACCTCTTTCTGCAACAGAAACGAGATACGGGACGGCAGCGGTGCTGCATTAGCGGACGCTTGAGTCTTCAAGGTAATAATGTGCTCAATCTGGCTTATTCAAGGGACTGCTTTACTAATTTGTCATTTATTTATACTTGGCAAGATTCAAGTTTTCGCTTTCTCTTTGGCTATGAGCATTCCCTGTGTAAATCATTGTTAGGCATCGTGAAGCAAATAGTCTTGCACCATTATCCGCTCGTTTCTATCTCTCACAGGTGCTCACAGCTATCCAAGGAATTTCCGGATGCATTTTGATGGAGATACAGGAGATATTGCCTAGGTTTAGGCTGCTTCTGGTGTGGATCTAATTGAAGCATTGAAGCATTTCGAGCAGGACATTTCAGTATCTCTGGATACATTCAGGTGTGTTTGATCAAGTCCAGTCAGTTTATCATTACAAAACCAACAATTTTTGTTAAAAGCTGCCTTGATTAAGTACAAAATAGTATTGCAATGCATCGGATTTGCTCATATTATATTTATTCATTTTAGAGGGGTATATATATATACGGATGAAATTAGTTGTTTTCCTCCTTCTGATTGACAGTTTGAATCTCTTTTTCTACTCGCTGTTGATAATAATCTTCTTTGAGTGTTGCTAAAACGTCCTGTCTGACAGCGCTGTAGACACCAGCTCTAGTAACAGTTTAGAATTGAGAATTGCACCATGTCATTTATACTTACTTTTCTAATTCGGCAGACACTTGGTCATGAAAAAACGACGAGTCCTTCTCAACCAGTGAAGGATTACGAGCCACCATGTCTTCCATGAACAATTTTAGCTTGCTTAAAAATTTTTGGCCATCTTCCTATTACTCAATTCGATTAAATGCATCGCACAGTAGCAACCGGTGTACAACTTACGCCATTCTGAAACTCTGTCAGTAGCCTCTTCCTCAAATCGTCAAATGTACCGTTTCTTTTGAGTTGCAAAACAACTTCTTCAGGTGTCATTTTTGGATATTGTGAAAGGAAAGGACAAGAAACGAAAAGAAAAAAGTCTGCGCACGCTGGGGAGATTCATTTTCGCCTGCTGATCCAATCATTATGATAATTGATGCCACAAAATGTTGAATACAGGGGATTGCACTTACATGACCATCAGAAAGAGCCGATGCCAATATGCATATTCTTGCTAATGATTAGTGAGGAGAGACAAAGCCAAGGTAGGTTATCATTGTTTGATAATAGCTAGAAAATGGGATGCAAATTCTATACATCTGTACTTGCAATTCCGCCTGCTTTCTCTCAACAAGTAGTTTGCCATGGAAGCAACGCAACACTAGTTTGACGCTTGATGCAGGCACGTCTTACGACTCAATAGGAGAATTAATATATATCAGCCAACTTTTCTTGCTTGCTGTTCACGGCATCAACCATTCGAAATGACAACTATCGATTGTAATGCATATTTGGTAATGTCATGCCCCGCGTTGAACATTTGTGCTGACTTGATCTACAGAGACGGATCTACCCAGTCGTATATAGTTTAGCGAGAATCCACATTACATGAGTTATGCCATCAACTCCGTTGGACGAGCATGTCAAAAGGCGATGGAATGGCTTGACATATTTTGCATTTTGACGGAACTGTTATGCTAGAGTGACCATACGACGCCAGGTTATAAATTATGACATGTACGCCTACTGCTGTTATTGTTACAAGATTTCTGCTACCCCACCAATTGGATTTCACAGAATCCGCTTGTTGAAATTTTTCATATTTATACTTTGATCAAAAAATTTTCTACACAAAACCATCATCTTTCGTTTTCTCTTCCTCTCCCTCACTTGTAATTGAAATATAGAGATGGCAGGCTCCTCTAATTGGCAGAACAACCAAGCGCTATTTCCGCCGTCTTCATTATATCCGGCACAGCAGCAGCCATCTCCACAGCAACCGCCTCATTATGGACAAAACGTATATGCACAACAACTACGACAACAGCCATCTTCATCTGGACCTTCATTATTACCCTTACGACCTTTGCAACCTAGCCCATACCCTTCAATGGGATATCCCATCTATCCATATCCTAGAAGCAGGAATGGCTCACAATTTGAGCAATCAGAGCAAGATAAAGCAGAAAATCGACGCACTCGTATCAGTCGAGCATGGTTAGTTTGCTATATACAAGACAAATGCTTTTTGTTTACTAATATCATATTTACATATTGAACTCAGTGACGCATGTAGACGTAAAAAGATAAAATGTGACACAAGTGGACCTGGAAACACATGTAAAAACTGCAAATCATCAAATCTGGAGTGCACTTACAACGATAGGTAATTATCTATGCTTGCAAATGAACGATTTGAGATACTCAGACTTGGGCCATCATTATCTAGTGCCAAAAAACGTGGGCCTCCAAAAGGGTATGTGTGTGTGTGTGTGGTACATGGAAAACAGAATATTCCTCCAATTTTTAACATATGATTGCGTCCAGATACATTGAAGTGCTGGAAAACAGATTGAAGCGAATGGAGCAGATACTTGGTAATCTGACTGATGATGAGAAATTGGCTTCCAGCAGCGCCAAACCAGCAAAGAAGAGAAAGACAGACAATGCAGCCTCAACCTCACCTACATCGACAACGGAAGCAGAGACAAGCAATACGACTATGAGTCAAACAGAGCAAGTTACACCAGAGGACAAGGTTGTTGCCATCGCCGCACCTGCCATCGAAAACGAAGCTACAACAGCCACAACCGGCGCCATGACCGAAAAACCATTAGCGGTTGAATTATCGTCATTGAGTACAGAAATGCAGACACGTTATATAGGCGACATGAGTCCATTGCCTTTTCTAGCACAGAAGATCAACTTTGAAGATGCTCGGATTGCATCTCAAATTGGCATCAAGATTAGAAGATTTGGACAAAGTTTAGTCTTGTACGAGAAGGCTGATCCGTCTGGGAAGAACGCAAATCACAAACTATTGGAGGAACTAGGCATGTTGAAACCTGGGGAAACGATCAAAAGCTTGAATGATTGGATATACAAGGTCGCCGGTGTAGATAAAGTGACAAGTGATAGCTTGATGAAGATGTAAGTCAATTTGTTCAAGTGGTCATGGCCTTTCTATTCACGCCAAATCAAGCTATTTTGCCTATATTCATCCGGGTCTGCCTGTGGTCAACAAACTTCTTTTCCTAAAACAGTATCGAGGGGAAATCGGCGAATATCCTTCCGCACCACTCTTGAATGCTATATTCGGCGCCGCTGTGCGGTATATTGAAACATGCAAATTGTTTGGGGATAAAGTGCCGTTGGATCACCAAATTGAGACAAAAGAGGACTGGTCAGAAAGATTGTTCGAGAACCTGTTGATCTATCTCAAGGGCAGATATAGTCCATGTATCTCAACTGTGCAAGCCATGGTCATCGCTCAAAACCACAGAGCCAGCCTAGACGAAAAAATGACAAGTGGATGGTTACTGAATTCAGCTGTAAGTCCTTGGTTATCTACATTGTGCTTTGAACAAGTTACTGAATAGCTATTATAGGCAATCCGCATGGTTGGTACACTCTTTGAGCTATAGTACTGGATATGTTTTAATCGTCTTTCAACTACAGGCACAAGATTTAGGTCTTCATCGTCAAAGCGAAAGCTGGGATATTCCTACATCTGAAAAGGAAACGAGAAAACGGGTATGGTGGTCAGTGTATATTATGGACAAATGGTCTGCTGCCTCGACTGGAAGACCTCAGACTATCTTTGACGAAGATTGCGATGAAACGTATCCCAGTGAAAGTGCTGATTGGGAAGAAGTGATGGATGTTCCTTCAAAAGACAGCGATGAAGAAGGTCCAAGATACCCTTCGTTGGATAAAAGTGTGGCACAGAAAGCAAAGAGCGAGAATATCCCTATTTATCAACCGTTTGTACAGCTTGTGAAATTGTCTGAAATACTGGGTCGATTATTACAAGGCTTGTATACGCCTCTTGCAAAAAAGCACAGTGAAAAGCATGGCAGTGATGCTGTGGTCACATATCTGGACAACGCTCTTTCGGAATGGCGTTCTGCTCTCCCACCTGCTCTCCAGATATCCAGCTTCAATGTGCGTCGATTAGATAGCCATGGTCGAACACCTCTGTTATCCATGTCAGGTAAAAGATATATTGCAAGACAGCAGCGTCTGATTTAAATACTCATGTCATTGTCTGAGTATAGGCCTCATGTATCTGTCGTACTGTACACTGCTGATACTGCTTCACAGACCTTTCATTGAAAAGGACAGCAATCAAAAGACGAGATCGTCCCAATCCTCGCTAAGCATCTGTACCAGTGCAGCTACGCGATGTGTGGATATCGCTGAAAAGATGCACTACCGTGATTTCCTTCTCGTGTCCTGGAACTTTGCCATCTACCCCGTCTTTACAGCCTCTCTGATTCACATCTACAATGCCACCAATCCTGACAGCATTGTATCAGACATTGCAAAGACAAATCTCGCCAAAGCCTGCGGTGTTATCAAACGTCTCTCCAAGCTATCGATAGGTGCAGCTCAACTCTACGACGTGTTGCATCAGTTGACAAAAATTCGGGAAATCAGCATTGACTCTTCGGTCTTTGATGAAGAAGAGGATCCTGTTAGAGATCGTGCTGTAAAACTAGCCAACAAATGTCATGGCCACAAAGTCTTTACCAGCAAACTCAAAAAGGATAGAAAGACCTCTGAGGACAGTAACAATAGCAACAGCTCTGAAGGCGCTGGAAGATTGTCGGATGTTGGTCGCGGTAGTAATGCAGGTTATAACAGTACCAAATCACATCTTCACCAAAGAGACTCATCCACTGAAATTGCGTCTCCTTCGCTTACAATTTTATCAGACCCAGAAGTGCATAATAGCGCCAACTCTACTCCTACCTCTACAAACAATGGAGACTGGATCAATGGTTTGTACTCTTCTATGCAAAACGAGTCGCTCAATCAAGGTAAATCATCACAACTCGGTGTGTAAAAGGTCGTTGCTAAGGTATTCTGTAGTGAATGTTCAACAGCAGCAGTTTCAGCAGCAGCAGCAGCAGCAGCAACAGCAACAGCAACAACAGCAGCAACAACAGCAACTGGAGCAAAACCAGAGACAATATCAGCAGTTGCAACAACAGTTGCAGCAACAACAGCACCCACAACCAACGCAGCCAGCTCGAATGCCTACCAGCTATCAAGACTCAGAACCCTATTCATTACGGCAATTTGGCTTGGCAACAGAACCAATGTATGCACCTGTCAATCATAATAACCAGGCACTAAATATGCAACCTCCGTATCAAACAAATACAAACACAAATGTTAATGGCAATTTGCAGCCATTTATGCTTCCTGTGAATCCCTCAGACAGCTTTTTATTCAGCTTAACGGATGCTGGATTCTCTACACCTACTAATATGCAACCCGTAATGACAGCTTATGAGGCAGTGCCTAATACAAACACCAACAATACATCAATTAATAACACTAATACAGCACCCACCAATGCCACATTCAATACAAGCGCTGCATCATCGTCCAGCAATAACCTGCTGGATCAAACCATCTTTAGAAATAGACCTGATAATCCATTCTGGGCTGTTCCTAGTAGCATTGAACTGGATGATTGGACAGCCTATCTGCTTCCTCAACAACCTACAACATCAAATCAACAGCAAGTTACCTCTCAAGCATCATGGAATTCAGCTACTCAAGGTTGGATGTGATAGCATCTATTATGTATATATATATCCAAGAGTAAACAAATGATGTAAATTGTAATTAATAAATACAAATATTTAATACAGCGGTTCATCTTTCACTGAAAGAGATGCCAAAATTAGTAACTGATAGTGTGTAGAATATATAATTAAAATAGTAGCGTACAACGATCAAGACGGCACATGCCTCGGCGTGAGATCATTCTTAATTAAGCATTGCTAGACGCATTATCGACTTCAAGTTTAGTGATGGCAATGTCGTTGTCCTTGTCATCTGTGATCTCTACACTGTTCATTTTGCCAGTTTTGCGAGCGACAAAGTCCCTGAGCCAGTGAATCAATACTTGAATAAAGAAGGCAACCACACAGATGATGCCAACTGCAAAATACCAAATAGCAGCTGAGGGACCTTGATACCAGTCCAGGAAGGGGTAAACCCATCGATGGTTTCTATTCAATTGAAAAAGTTAAGTTGTTTGATAACCATATGGCTTGAATGCTCGTGTTACTTACACAGCATAAATAATAAACGCTAAAAGCATATAGAAAATGATAGTTAACAGAGGGAAGATGGCCATACGGATAGACAGCTTCATTCGATTAAAGATGACATCAAAGATCATCAAAAAGAACGATACACCATGCACAGAGACGTTCATCCATACGCCTATAGTGGTTTCTATTGAATGGAAACATTCTAATGAGTATTATGTTTAAGTTAATTATAGAAATACCTCTTACTTGCTGCCATTGCCTTTGCTAAAATAGCCCAGAACACTACGGGAGTTACAATACTTGTATGCGGATTAATATGCTGATTTTCTCACTGAATAATTACTTTCTTACTTGAATGTTACAACTGTCGAGTAAAGATAAACATAAAGGTAATTCAAAACTGTAGGCTGGTTCACAAAGAAGGAAATGTCTTTTGTGTAGAGGTAGCGAATATGATGAACCAACGAGGTCTAAATATTTGAGAATTAAGCTTTGTTTGTTTTTTTTGATTTGCATGCCTACTTGTTACTTACAATCTGATATGCATGTAGGCCAATGAACGTCATTGATGTAAAATACTGAAAGAATATGCCTCCACTGGTTCCAATGTCTGTCCAGAGCACCACTGTTGAATACAAGGTCAAAATGGATCGAATGATCAGAAACGTTTTTGATGAAACCCAATGTGAGGTCACTGCATGTTCAGGAACAAATTGATCGAACCCAAACCATCGAAATACGGCATAGTTTGACGGCGTCAAGCTTTGATCTTGGTATGAAGAGACCATTATAGGCGGATTCAAGCGAGTTTAACAAGAAAGAAAGAAAGAAAGAGGGTGATCAAGTGGGTAAAAAATGGTTACAAAAAAACTTTTCTAATTGAGCTTTGTGTAATGCATATTTCAAGCACAACAATTTCGATTTATAGACTTTTTCCACGGATCACTTAACATGAAAGTGCGTTGCATACTCAAATTTTGAAATTCTGATCAGTAAGTTGCATAACCTAGGGTTTAATTTTGATTGCAGGTACAGAGCTTCAAAAGTCTTGTTTGTGGTTGGCTTGGCCTTTATCGATTGTATCAAGCCATGAATACGTGAAAGATAACAGGCAGAGCTGAAGTGAGCCGCCAGCGTTAATATATAGGGTTTCAATCTATTTATCAAGATTTGAGCCAGAACATGTAAAATTTTCATGCGCGCATATGTTATGAGAGTAACTACAGTCAATTCTGGAATAAAAAGGGGTTAAAAAAGCAGATAGAATACTGCTAAAATCCTTCTTTAATCGAAATTAGGATAATGTACAATAAAACGTATATTCTACGTCTCTATTTATACTATCTGGTTTATATCTCTTATCTGGCAGTAGTTCAGTAGCTGCCAGTAGTTTCATTATTATTTTGTACGAATGTTTATGCTTTGGATGGCTCTCACCGAAGCGAAGCAAAGGTAGAAAGCCATCGTGCGCAGTGGCAGCTCGCGCTACCGATTGCCCTTGTTGCGTATCTTATCAAAGTACTGCTATTTCATTTTGACCCTCCACTTACACATGTGAACCCTTCATATTATCTGTGGATCTGATTCTTATGTAATGCTCTACATCTATATACACCTAGCTATACTGGTGTTTCTCCTTTTTAGTCCTTAATGCCCCTGATACAGCAAAGTCTCAGTGCATTTGAGCTGCGTTTTCTTGCGTTCAAGGCCGTTTTAGATGGTCAGAATAGCACCAAACAATTGCTCTCATCTGGTAGTTACTTATTGCCACTATTACTCAACTTTTTGGGGACCAAAAAAAAAAAAAAAAAAAAAAACGAACAAAATTCGACCGAAAAGCATGAGGTACCCCTCATGGTTTTCATCGAAAATCAAACGATTGCGTTTTTGACCTTGATGATGAAGACTTTTACTATGCTAGTAGTAGCTTGAAAACTAAATATTTACTATTGTCAATCATCCGGTGTGGTGATTGCGGTCCAATGCCCTAAAAATGGCGTTGGACCAACTTGGTAATTTTTTCCTAAACGTACTCTTACAGTCCGGCCTCAACCAAATCAATAATGAAATTCTCCTGCTCACTGAATACCTTTCTGACACAGAGTCGTGTTATTAGATCATTATTTGTAATAGTTATATGGCTTTTGGAGTCAAGGCGACGTTCACCAAGGACCAGGCGAACCTGCTAACATTTGCTGTTTACATACGGAAAAAGGTATTTTATGTAAGAGAAATATTTTCAATTTTGATGCATATTGCATATGAATAAATTGCCCTATAAATACTTACGATAGCTGTAGATGTTTGATGATGACCGAGCTACATACTTATTTACCACTAATGACTGATTGCAAGAGGTACATCCTTGTTTGCGAATAATGAAGAAGCATACTGTTCTTCCTTTAGCTTATACGCAGTAGTAATTGATATGCCAATGCAATATTTATTTTATTTGCTCTAGGCGTTTCTATGGATCTAGTTGCTGCTGATCCCGTCATATATACTACAGATTTCAACATAAACGACCATAGGAGACTAGAGGTTAAATGCCATCATGCACTTGATACCCTTTAGAACCAAACTTATATGTATTATTGACCCAATCGTACCCTCTTCTGTCCTGAATTTATCTCACGAGGAATAAACATAACTGTCAAACTTTTTTACTCGACCAATTCTAGAGACATGCTTCCTCATTTTATGCATGTCATAACTTGAAATCCAATTGCTTTTAGCATTTTATTTCTGATTTATTATCCATTTGAATCTTATCACACGGATCTAGCTCGATAGTTGGAAAAGAGCTGTTCCAGTTGAATTTCTCGCTATGCCTAGTAGTCATCATCCAATGAATGCACCTGTTCTCCTTTACGACATATTTTCAGGGCTGATGCTCATTCAATGTTGAAATACCTTTGATTTCATCGGTCCGGATCCGTGATCAACTGTCACCGGGTTCAAAGAGTCACATTACAGCAAGGATTATTCTATCCATATCAAATGAGAGGCAGAGGCGAGAAGCAGGATGGAAAAGTGAAAGGCAGTGTGAAAAAGCAGAAAAAGGGAAAAGTTTTTTCTGAACAGCTATCTTATCTTTCTTTTCCTTTCTAGCTACAAATTTCTAAAGATTATTACGTTATAAAAGCTAAAAGGATCCGCCTTTACTATTAGCAAGATGAGTAACAATTTCGAGGTAAGCAAGAAAAAATAAGGAACAAAGCAAAATCCGCGCGAATAGACATGTAACCCATTCTCATTATCAAGGTACTTCAGAACGACCTGCGAAATGCTACAGTAAAAGAGATCACAGATTGTATGAAGGCGGTGAATAACACACTGAGCACCCATTCTCGAATGGTGGTCTCTGGCAGGAAAGAGGAAATCATCTTGCGTTTTACCAACTTCATTGTTGGCCTCATCAGCAACAACAAACGATCAAGCATTGCCACAGTAGTTCGTATCGTCAATGATACAGCACCGAGAAAGTAAGTGCAAAGTACTAATGCCAATAATAAGCCAATTGACCTTTATTACATAGATTAGCATGGAAGTACGAAGATGATGAGATCACTGTCAACTGCTTTAGACCTCGAGTTGGACGTGATAGACCTGCACAAGCCATTGAGCAACTTGACTTTAAGCGAAGTCCATTTCTCAACCCAATAGCTCGACTGGCTAGTATCAAAGTATGCCCTGGTATGTACTCTTTTTCGGTCTAACCCAATGCAACTCTTCTTAACCATTGATGATTAGCTGCTGCAAACAATTATCGTCAGTCCAGATTGTTCCAATTCACGTTAACAGATGAGCATCGACAACTTCTAGCTACCTCAAATGCTGTTGACGATCGGCCACCATATCAAATTAGATTTTATTGTTCACAATACAATGGCAACACATCGAATTTACTTGTTGAACTCCCCAGCGTGTGTGAACTCAAAGTAAACGACACTGTGATTCAAGGAAGCGTAAGATTCATCTCTCATGGCTGGCGGATGTCAGTATACTGACTTGGTTGCAATAGATTTTGCGTTGTTTAAAAGGAAAACCTGGCACTGTCAATCCTCCAGATCTCACCATCATGACACGAAAACATGCACTCAACAATGTCGAGTTAATCTACATCAACAGCGAAGTTCCGTTCATTGCTAGTGTCTATTTAGTGGAGAGAACACCTGTAGCAAAGCTGATCCAGATTATGAGGGAGGAAAGATTGGTGACCAAAGAGCAAGTCCGGGAGAAATGTAAGTTGTCTGCTAGGAGGGGGAATGGTGGGTATGATACTAAGTATTGCTATTTCATAGTACAACAAATACAGGAAGAGGACGAGATCATCATGGAATCTGAAACCCTCTCAACGAAAGATCCCGTAAGTAGCTTATCAGCGTAGCATGGCATCTGTTTTTCTAACCTGCAAAATTGCATTATTGTAGCTTGCATTCACCCGTATTAATACACCCATTAGATCCAATGCTTGCAAACATCTTCAATGCTTTGACGCCAACGTATTTCTAACAATGAACGAGCAAACGCCAACTTGGTCTTGTCCAGTGTGTTACCGACGGATCGAAAATTGGGAGGATTTATTTGTGGACGAATACTTCATGGAAATGCTACATAGTACTCCCAAACATATCGATAGCGTGCTTGTAGGATCCAATGGCATTATCACAATTATAGACGAAGATCCAAATAAAGCAGACGAAGAATCTGAGGAAGAAGAGGAACTCAATGTTAAATCCGAAGAAAAAGAGATTACAACGATCCTATTAGACGATGATGACGAAGAAGAGGATGAGGTGGGCAAACCCACAGACGCACAAGTAGAAGCAGAAGCAGAAGCAGACAAACAACAAGAAGCAGCCATATCTAATGATACTATACCCAACATTGCGAGTACACCTGAAACATCGACTGTCAACCCTGATGCCAATGCTTCAACGTCTCGTGAAAGAATTGCAGTGTCTGAAGGCTCTGAGGCTGAGCAACCACCAAGAAAGAAGGCAAAGTCAGACGTAATCGACTTGACATTAGATAGTGGAGACGAGGAAGATGGAGTGGAGATTACTAGTGCTCATTGATATCACCCGCATTGTTTGCAACTATATGCAGTAATTAATTGTCAATAAACATGGATAAAATAAAGCTAATCTTCATGTCAAGTAAAAAAAAAAAAAAAAAAAAAAAAGTAAAAAAGCTTATTATTATGGTTTATTCAGATGCACGCAAGGCCTTTTGCACTTCTAGTCTTCTCTCCTCCAATAAGGACTCCAATTCACGCTTCTTTGAGCGAACATCATCCACAATGCGGTTCAATCGACGAACGGCATCACGAGCTGCATCAATGTCTCTTTCTTGCTTGCGAACCTTGTCTTCGATGTCACTTTGGTCAGTCAATTGGCGCAACTTGTAGTCGTAGAGTGCTTGGAATTGATCGCGAAGAGGGCGTGATGCAAAGGATTCATAATTTTCGCTTTCTTTGGCCTCATTGGCTTTGCGCTCTGCTTCTTTGACTCGCTCCTTTAATTCAGCCAATTCTCTCTTGAGCATATCCTCCTCGTCATACTTATTTCCAGCTTTAGTGCTCTTGCTGCTCAATGAGGTACTAGCAGCACCGAGGCGATTGACGTAGCTATCAGCCAATTTAGCACTGTTTGACATGGATTGATTCGTTCCTTTACGAGCACCAGTGCCTGATCCAGGGCGTTCTCCGAAATCAGCTGCATATTCACCAGCAAAAGCAGCATGAAGATCTGGTGGTAGTTCTTTGGGAATGCGAACACCACGAGTACGCTGATTCAAAACATGATAAAACATCAAACACTGATCTTGCGTGAGTGCATTTGTGTGGTTCACATCGATTAAAGTCCTGCAGAGCACGCTTCAATATACAATGCTTACGGTATCCCAGACTCCTGCTTACCATGCGTTTGTTAAATCTGTGCGAGGAAGACCCAATGTATTGTAGAAATCTTCCATTCTACTAACTGTAGCAATTCATTCAGTCAATCCATCAATCTTGTATGCTTTTGAAGCTTTCTTACATTTGACTTTGCCTGTATCATTGGCATATTTTGAGTAGATATTTTGATATGAGGTCATTTCATCAGGAGTCATATCCCAGCTAAATTCAGGCTCTTGTGGTTGACCATAGTAACCTGTAGGCTGAGGTTGCTGATATCCAGTAGGTTGCGGCTGTTGGTAGCCAGTCGGTTGAGGCTGTTGGTAGCCGGTGGGTTGAGGCTGTTGATATCCTTGATATCCTGTAGGTTGTGCTTGTTGGTAGCCAGTAGGTTGAGCATATTGTTGTTGAGGAAGAAGGTGCACTTTGTTGGCGGGTATCAAAGAAGGAGGAAGAGATATAGGTGCTTCATTACCATTGATACAGTCGAAAGTGAGATGCATGGCGACGCAGAACTCTTCAAAGTCGAGATTACCATCCTTATCAATGTCAGAGAGATCCCTAAAGCAATGTACCATGAGAATTCGCACGATCGAATACATGGTGCGCTGCACGTTTTTACCAGATACGCTCTAAACGATTAGGTGGTAGGTTAGAGTTCAAAAGGACGTCGCGAGCGGTAGCACCTATATTATTCACATTTGAGTCATTTGTTCAGCAACATGGTATCCAGTGAATGTCATACCAGACATGTAGCCATTGACTTGGCCTCTGGCTTGAAAAATTTCGGCATATTTCTGTCTTTCAGCTTGAGTAATAGCACTCATATTCAGTCTTTACGATACAAGTAGGGAAAAGGAGTGTAAAAGAAAAGGTAGGGCTTTCTATCTATTGGAGTGGAAAGATGGAAATAGGTGTGCGGGCAAATACAATTGAGTGAATGTCGCACGGTGACGGTTACTGCATTTAGCTCTATTACATCAATTGGGAAAATGATGGAATGGCGAGCTATCGCTTGACAATGATCTTCCGTACATCAATGTAAATTGCATTAACCAGCTCTTATGTATATAAACTTTGCAAATGTATACTATTTTTTTTTTATTATGTAATACCATAGTATAGACACAATGGATGTTTTATTCAGAATGAGAACTTGTTCCAGAGCGAACTACATTTAATGACGACGGGTAGAGGCAATGACACCTTGGAGTTCCTCAACCTTCTTCTTGGCACGGAGGAAAGAACCGAGCTAGACACACAAATCCATGTTAGTATCCATATGCACACTGTATCCTATCAAACTGCTTTTCTTACCTTGGCCTTACAGAGCTTTCTGGCACGCTTATCTCTGGAGTTCTTGATCAATTCCATGAGACGACGTTCATAGGGAGCGAAACCAGCAACCTCACGGATGACGCTCTTGACGAAGACGGTACGCTTGGAAGCGGCCTATGTAAAACACATTTAGTACAGGTGTTTAACAAATATACATGATCGAGTGAATATGAATGTAGAGATGCCAACCAAAGAAAATGACATGGAATCGAGACACAGTGAGCTCACTGAATCCGATCCTAGCAAGCATATATGTTTGTCTTTTAAACGCTATACATGTCATTGCAAGGAGTGGGCCCATTATCACTGTAAATGTAATTTACATTTCATGTTGCAAAATTCACATCCACATCCAAATTTTCGATCATTCAGCATCCATCTATCCATCCACTAAATACGTACACCAATCTTGTTAGAGGGCTTAGCCTTGAGTTCACGACGAGCAGTGATGTGGCCCTTGTTGAGACCAACAGCAATTCCAGACTTGGCAGCAACCATTGTATATATGATGAAAGAGGGGGGAGTAATAAGCAACTTGCAACTTGCACAGCTTTCTACGACATCTCCAACTCCACCCTCAATGGAAAAAAAAATCAGTGCAAACACCCCGGCCAAAATTCTCAGTTCGAACCGGAGAAAAACTACTCAATGACATTAAATCAAGCTACAGTATTACAGCCATATTATTACAGTATACAAGCCTTTCGACACTTCAGGTGGTTTCCTGACCTACGCTTTGCTTCGGTGGAAACCAACCTACGTTCAAACGGTTCGCGTTGCCGCGGGCCTTTGGCTAATATCTCAAAATTAATATAGCTAAAATGTTAGAAGAACCTTGATTGCCGATTGATGTAAAATCGCTAATCATATGAGAGTTTATGCTTTGAATGGTTCTTTACCTTCGCTTCGCTTCGCTTCGGTGAAAACCAACCTGCACAGCGGCAGCCCGCGCTACCGATTGCCCTTGCGTATCTTATTAGAATACCATTACTTTCATGTTGACCCTCCATTTACTCATGAAAACCGTTTATATTGTCTGTGGATTTGATTCTTATGTGATGCTCTACATCCATATACATGTAACTACTTCCCACAAGGGCAAGTATCATACAGATATTATTTCTTTTTAGTCAAGAGTGTGCCTAATACAGCAAATTCTGAGTGCATTTGAGCTGCGTTTTCTTGCGTTCAAGACCGTTTTAGATCGTCTGAATAGCACCAAACAGTTGCTCTCATCTGGCAGTTACTTTCTGACACTTTTGCTCGACTTTTTGGGGATCAAAAAAAACATGGTCAAAAATCGACCAAAAAGCATGAGGTACCCCTCATGGTTTTCATTGAAAATCAAACGATCGCATTTTTTACCTTGATAATGAAGACTTTTAATATGGCTTATATAAAATCAAAATGTTTCTATCGATCTATCGTAACGCCTAATATCACCTTTGTGGGACTTTGATATGTAAAATTTCGACTTTTTGGCCAGAAACCTCATTTCATATTTTCACAAGTTTCTTAATAGATTCATTCAGAACATTTATCTTATTCGGTACCATTGGATGCGTCTTGAAAAGTACTTTGAGATTGTATTAGGAAGCAGAGGATGATCATCACAGCTTGTATAGTCGAATCTCACAAAAGAGTTCAATCAAGTCGAAAAAAAGCAAAATTTGGCCAATCTTGAACAGATAAAATTTTCTGGGTTTGAATCAAATTTGGCGGCTAGTGGGCCGGCTGGCAGACTCAATGCCCTTTCCATTATGAAGGCAATACAGTAATAAAAGCCTTTGAAACGTATGCAGAGTAGGTGGCACTATTGTTATCCATGCTATTTTTCTTGCATTCTATATTTAATAGAGCCAGTCTATCAAAATACTTTTGTGATGGCAATGCCATTGTTGTGGTGCATTGGGAATGAACTTAAGCTAGTGCCTGTCATTAAAAATGCATAAACGCATAAAAAATGCTGGCAAAATTTGATTCAATTTCAAATCTATTATGGTATTACTCCAAGTGAATCTGAAGATAGCGTGTATATAAAGCGGTTTCATCAGAGTTTTTTTTTTTTACATCGGTTTGATTTTGGATATCCAGCAAAAGAGCTAAATTTTGCGGATTGGTAATGCTTAGTGATCTGTTATTAAAACTCGCAATTGAGCAAAAAGTTTCAATGCATAACATTTGGCAGCATCATATACGCCACTGAAAGCTTTCAAAAATGCTGATAGCGTGAATGAACGATGCTTTTGTATAGAAATTACCGCGCTTCTACTTTAACGTAGGATTTCTTGAGCGCTAAACAAGTACTTGTGCAACTTGGATGTCCAATTAACATATACTGAATCTAAGCTATTGTTCACTGCTGTACAAGCGATGCCTGTTTGTAGATTGCTCTCCACTAGTTGCTATGCAAAAACTGATACTTTCTACTGATTGTGTAACATGATGTTGTGATTTAGCTATGATTGCGCCACTAACTTGTCGATTATACGTATTCTTTCGATTCGTTTGCAAATGATGATGAAATGATCTAATACTATAAACTAAATTTCGGTAACGCGACCTATGAATGATATAGAAAAGGCGAATTCTAACAAACAAACAGGTATCAAGATAAAAAAAAAAACCCCCAAATGTTTATCTCTTTTGAGTAACATTTTTAATGCTATAAAAATTTCATTTTGGCTGCGATACAACTGATAGAGATGGTATCAATAGACATCTACTTGAAGCACCGAAAAGTCGATTGTGGTGCTGTCGCAATATAAATACATCCTAATCGTTCAATCTCTATATTTCTAAATAATCTTACTACTTTTTTTTTTCTTGACTTTAATGAATAGCCGACAATGATATTGATTGATTAGATGTCAATCTCTTTAGTCCACGTTTGGAGCATGCATCACTACAGTCAATGGCACAATTCCCAACAATGTAATCAAGCATCACTTGTACACACGCGAATTTTTTTTTTTTTTTTACAGTTTAAATTACCTCATTAAGTAAACTTAGATTCTTGTGGCCACGTTTTTTTCTTGGTTAATCCGATTAGAAAGAGGCCCAAAATTTTTTTTATTTAATCGGATAAGTGATCTCTGAGCAACAAAGAGTGGGTTCAGTCAGAAATGCGAAAATCAACTCCGTGAGTCCGCAAAGTGCTTTCCATTAGCACCACTGTGTATTTCCCTTGATTTATACCAAGAAAATTGTAAAACCCAATGCTAGATCCACACAATTAAATAATAACCATCATGTTTCGGGTTTTGGGTCCATAAAAAAGTTTTTACCAACAAGACACGCTACAAAAGTATCTCGTATTTTTACCCAATTTTACTCGGCATTTTCCCAAATGTTACGTTGCACAGAGTGCACCCTTTGTGTTTTTAATGTAATCAAATTGTACACAGAAAAGATGTAGTAATAGATTAAACATGTTGATTATGAGCGACTCTAAAAGACGCGCTGATTTCCTCATCGTATGATCAATTGGAGATTGAATTAACTTGCTAATTTGATGTAAAACCCCTGTGGTAGAGATAAGATGTCTTACATGCGGAATTTGGGATAGCCTTTTTTTTCGCCTATTTTATCGATGCCAACATTCGAAATTTCAACCTCTTCTTCTTCTTTTCTTCATTATCTTAATCAACAAAATGTTTACCGATAACAAGCAAGCTCAAGCTCAAGTTCAATTCCCCATGCAATGGATCGCCGGTATGGATGTCGATGTCCAACCCAAGGCTGCCCGTAAGACTTCCATCATTTGTACCATTGGTCCCAAGACCAAGCCCGTTGAGAAGCTTGTTGAATTGATTGATGCTGGTATGAACATTGTCCGCATGAACTTCTCTCATGGTGATTACGAATACCACAAGTCTGTTCTTGACAACGCTCGTGCTGCTGCTGCTGGTAAGAACATTTGTGAATAGACAGATTTTTACAGATATCTAACGCTTCACATCAATTAGCTCGTCCCGATAAGGTCATTGCTATTGCTTTGGATACCAAGGGTCCCGAGATCCGTACTGGTTTGATGCTCAACGATACCGAAGTCCCTATCAAGAAGGGTCACCAAATGAACATCACCACCAACGAAAAGTACGCCACTGCTTGTGATGGCGAGAACATGTATGTTGATTACAAGAACTTGCCCAAGGTCATTGAAGTCGGTAAGAACATCTACGTCGATGATGGTGTCCTCTCCTTCAAGGTCCTCTCCAAGGGTGATGATTTCGTCCGTGTTGAAGCTCAAAACAACGGTAAGATCTGTTCCAAGAAGGGTGTCAATCTTCCCAAGACTGCTGTCGATCTTCCTGCTCTCTCTGAGAAGGACAAGAACGATCTTCGTTTCGGTGTTGAAAATGGCGTTGATATGATCTTTGCCTCTTTCATTCGTCGTGCTCAAGATGTCAAGGATATTCGTCGCGTTCTTGGTGATAAGGGAAAGAACGTCAAGATCATCTGTAAGATCGAGAATCACCAAGGTATCCAAAACTTTGATGAAATTCTTGCCGAAACTGACGGTGTCATGATTGCTCGTGGTGATATGGGTATCGAAATTCCTTGTGAACGTGTCTTCATTGCTCAAAAGATGATGATCGCCAAGTGTAACTTGGTCGGTAAGCCCGTTGCTTGTGCCACTCAAATGCTCGAATCTATGACCTACAACCCTCGTCCTACTCGTGCTGAAGTCTCTGATGTTGCCAACGCTGTCCTCGATGGTGCTGATCTCGTCATGCTTTCCGGTGAAACTGCCAAGGGTGATTACCCTATTGAAGCTGTTAGCACCATGTCTGCCACTTGTGAATTAGCCGAAAGTGTTATCTGTTACAACCCTCTCTTCAACCAAATCCGTGGTTTGACCGCCTGGCCCACTGACACAACCGAGACCATTGCCATGTCTTCCGTTGCTTGTGCTCAAGAAAACAATGCCTCCGCTATCATCGTCCTCTCCAAGTCTGGTCACTCTGCCCGTCTTGCCTCCAAGTATAGACCTTCTCAACCTATTATTCTCGTCACTCGTGATGAACAAACTGCTCGTCAATCACATCTCCACCGTGGTGTCTTCCCCTTCGTCTTCAAGGGTGATGTTGCCGCCAAGTGGGACGAAGATGTTGAATCTCGTATCAAGTGGGGTATTCAACAAGGTAAGGAAGCTGGTCTTGTCAAGTCTAACGAACCCGTCGTCATCGTTCAAGGCTGGAAGGGTGGTCTTGGTAACACCAACACTGTCCGTGTCTTGATTGCTCCTTAAATTCATTATCAAGCATACTGCATTCTAAATTACATTTCATTTATAAAATAAAACCATGATTCATCTATTCATCAAAGCTATTATATGAACTTGACCACATTACTACTGCAAATATCGATATTCAAATTCCTGTGGGTTCGTTTATATTTCTCTACTTGATGCTTCTCTACAAAATCCAAGATCTTGCATACTACTGAAAGCCTTCCTGACAACGAGAATTGCGATGGGTATAACTGGAGTTTGTTTTATTCAAGCTGCACCATCATATATTCACTATACAAAACTGCATTACTCAGGTGGAATTCTGAAACAGCTGATTAATGAACATTTGTATATTTTTCTTACTGACATTACCTTCTACTTCGATTGTCTTCCATCATAATATAGTCAATAGCTATATGAAATAGATTACCACCAGCCATTAGCCAAAAATATTTAATCTCCGTTCTTATTTTTCCTTCAGATTGGACAGATTTGATTAAATTTGACTCCAAATCTATCTATTTGGTAGATTCGACTATATAAATGGTGGTAATTATCCCATACTTCCTGATGGTCCCTGGTGGTAGGGCGAAGTGGTAGAACTCCCGTATGCCAACGGGAGGATCCCGGTTCAAATCCTGGTGAACGCAAGTTGTTTGATTTTTTTGACCTAGTACTGATGTCCTCGTTTGGTGTTTTGTGCTCTTATCCATGATCTATATTTTGACGATTTCCGCAAGACTGTACTGGCTCTAGGAGTCGCACCTTATTAGTAGTAGATTTCTTTCCCAACTTAGTTCAAAAAATATCTTATTCCCCTTCATTGCAGACATTGGGTCCACCAACAGTCTTGTCTATCACTCATAGCGACATTTACAGGACTTTAAATAAAACCTGGAGCTCGTCTCCCCTACAAAAAAAAAAAAAAAAAAAATACTTCCTGATGCATTTCTAGAGTACTTTTCAAGGCGCTTCCAGTGGTGTAAATTAAAATGAGTATTTTGAATAAACTTATTGAGTAATGTATGAAAACATAAAATGCGGTTTTTGGCGGAAGTGTCGAATTTTTCTATACAAAAGTCGCACAAACAAAGTTTCAAGGGCTGCTTGAGATCGATACAAACATTTTGATTCAATATATACCTTAGTAAAAGTCTTCGTTTTTGCGGTCAAAAACGCGATCGTTTGTTTTTTGATAAAAAGTATGAGGGGTACCTCATGGCTTTTGATCGATTTTCGACCATGTTTTTTTTTGGTCCTTAAAAAGCTGAGCAAAGGTGTCAGGAAGCTACTATTACTCGAATACAATGGTTCAATGTCATTCCGGTGGCTCAGAAAGGTCTACATGTCAAGACATGACGACTTTGAAAGCTGCCAAATTTGGTTATGCTTTGCTTTATAGCTGTTATTTACACGGCATGAATCATATCTTTGGTAGCTGTAATTTACTGAAAGGATAGTTCCGTAGCGTATGCAGTTTTTAATTCAAATAGGAGGCATAATATTGATTGTGGTAAAGCTAATTTATGCAAATTTTGATGCGTTATGTTGCTGGTAAGCTTATTAATAATGGAAATGAAAAACCGCATTTGCTGCTTGAATATTATGGTTTTGCAACTTCGTTTCGCTAGGGTATAACCCTCAGTAAGATTAATACTGTATTGTCAAATGTTGGGTTAGATGCTTAGTTGTCGTGGTGAATTACAGTAGATGCGTTATGTTCTTGGTGGATAGGCTTAGCGCCTCCTCCAAAACCCCTTCCCAATACCGGCTTCGCTGGTGGTTTATTCACCTTGTGCGATACTCAAGTCATTAAATTTTTGAAAGGATATGATATGATTTGAGTAGTAACAAGCAATGCAAGTATGCTGCCTACCCATGTATGGATATTTTCTACTGATACAGACATAGCGCATCGCAGAAGAATAGTACATTAGCTCAAGGAGCATTAACGATTCAAAAAGTTCTACATCTATTAAGAGTTAATATTGGGTAAAAAGGGGGGGGGGGAGAGCAGTTATTTATTGGAGTGAAAGTGATTCCATGGCACCAGTTACAGGACAAGTTGCTCCCTTCATCAATTCCTTTTGCTGATCTTTTGAGAACGGACATCCACCAGTAGGTTTCTCAATTTGCTCCTCTGATTTGTTGAAAGGACATTTCCCTTCACTACCAGCAGAGTATGCCTCTGCCTGTTGCCCAGTAACAGAACAAACAGCAGTCTTGGGAGCAGCATGAACAGAAGAGACAGGACACACAGCGGTAGCAGACGACGTTTGACCAGTGACAGGACATACGGCAGGAGCAGCATCTTCTTCTGTTTCCTGTGGCGCTTCATAGACAGCAGCCTCATCTGATATTGCAGGGAGTTCGAGATCTTGGAAATAAGCATCCACAGCAGCAGCAACTTCTGCTTCCTCGGAAATCCAATCATGCTTTGACCTTAACCATTCCTTGTAATCTTCGCTTTGGCGCCATTTAGCGTTGAGCTTTTGTTCCAGTTCCAAGATATCAAAAGGTGATTTTTGTTTACAGTCTTCAACAGCCTTATAAATTACATTTAAAAGCACAGGAGGTAGCGTGCTCCAGTGTTTCAAGATGGTCTTGCTCCAAGTGGTGCCGGCTTTTTCCAAACGATGCTGGAGATCTTCAAAAGAATCGGCAGCCTATAATTGAATGCAATAGATGAACACATATTCCAAACATCTTTTAAAGGTAAAGTACTTACACCAAACACCTTTTCAATGGCATCTTCCCAAACCTGTAAGCGATTTGGACCAGCATAAGTATGGTTGATAGCCAAAGCCAACTGTACAGCAGCATTTGTATCAGGAGCAGGACACACAGCCATCTTCTTTGCAGTTTCAAAAGCATCGCTTAATTTAGCTTCAGGCACAAACACATCAGCTAACCCCAATCTCAAAATCTCTGGACCTCTCAGTCTAGCATATTCAGGTGCAGCCAAAGCCAAGTACAATTCAAGACCTCTGGGCAACGTTTTTCCACTAGCATTGGTGCGATTACGAGCCATGGAGAGCAACACCAAAGGAGGTATAGGGGCATGCGATGGCGTCAATGTGAAGTTTAACAGCGTGTGTTCTGTAATGACACGCACGAAACCAAGACCCAGTGTTAGATAGACCGCATTTAATGGAATTTGACCATTTGAAAATGTTACAGCCAATTTTGGATCTTTGCGTTGACCGATAATGTAGCGCACAAGATCATAGTATTTAGCAGCCAGATTTTCTAAAGATATTTGCCGAAAATCAGATCCAGAGACGAGTCGGGCTGTTTCGTTGTAAGCTAAACCAGAACTGAGCACCTTTGTATCTTTGGTTTCAATGCGTTCTGCCGTTTCAAAGGGATTGCTGCTATCAGCCACGGTTGCCGTAATGAAGAAGGATGTAACATGGTCGTCGCTTTGGCCATTTTTCAAGGCTGATGTATATTCTTTCAAACGATCCACTGAATACACATTTTGACTCTTGGGTGACGATAAGGTCAATGTTTCTGCTCCTGTGCCATTTGGTTTGTCAACAACAACGAATGATGAGCCATTCACTTGATCCACAGGTCCAGCTATTGAAACATGCCATCTGTCAGCATCCAATTCTACCTTGTCCAATGATTGCCTACCTTTTGATTTGTTTTGCCATAAATTTGCAAATGGACACACAGGTGCATCAGCTTCATCCTTCTTGGCCTTCCAATTGAAGAAAGCAGCCAGATCAAAGCTCTTGACACGACTACAGGACATTGTCAGGCTGAAACTAAGCACATGTCTTGCTACTGGACACTTACGCATTATAGTAGAATGCTTTGGCTTTCAAAAATTCCAAATCCAATCTCTCTTTATCCCATAATCCAGTCTTTGATTGCTGCTCCAACCAGCCATGGATGATATTAGGTAACCCCCTTGTATAGTCTACATCGTTGTCATAATCATAATCTTGCACTTGATTGAACAAGTCTTCTTGCTGTTCATCGACCTGTCTGTCTAACTTGTCCGCTTCGTATTTCATGTATTCCTCTAAATCAAACTTTTGCTGGAACCTAGTCAATGTGTCAGTATGCATCATGCACATTGCCTCTATTTTGTGTCCGTCTCACCTAGTAAAATAGAAATGCTTGGCTTGCAAAAGACGAGCATCTTGCAGTAATTCAGCCTCATCATCTTGTTGCTTTGCAGGTGCAGGAAATTGACTCAAAATGCTTTCAAGCCCTTCTTGAAATACCTTGTCTGTCTCCCATGGATATCTCTTGAAAGCTTCATAGACTTTGGATTGCTCAGTTGTAGTGGCCATTTTATGGGTAATGTAGGGTAATGGTTAAAGAGAAGTTGAGTGAATTGGGGTATCACTTATTTATACCCTTTCATCGACTCAACATGGAATTATACCCATCACACGCTCAAAAGAGCGCATCTCCGCTGAACTCGATTGTTTAGTAAGCATTAAAATGGCCAATGGAAGCACAAGCATTTTTTATTCAAACAATGTCTGTAATCAATTTGCTACACACATCAAGAAAGGGGTAGACACTCTGGACATGCTCTACATTATGATCGTCACTGATTTGCCATCTTGCTAGGTAAGGTGAAGGATCCTCGACGTCTCCTTGGTTATTAACAATGTCCATCTTTTGTCCCAATTGACCTTCCAGTATCTTGAATGGGTAATTTGCATCATTCGTAGCTAATGGTGGTGGAGGTGCATCGCCTGTTCTTTGTGTGCCAGCGTTTTTAAAATCGACCAAATAGCTGTTATTTTCCAGCTTGTATAATTGAAGGTCAAATTTCACAACCAAACCCAGGTTCTCGTACTTGTAACGGCATCGTAGATGATAGGGATCCAGGGTTCGCCATTCCTATATCACATCACGTCAGCTTATCATCCGAGTAAGTCCCTTGCAAATAGTTACCATGCCAACGTTCTGTAATGATCGATAGATCTCAAGCATCACTTCCCAAGCAGGACATTTACTACGAATACCGAAATGCCACCTTGATCTTGACTTGTGAGGCTTCTTGGTGTGTGATGGCGCATTGATTGGTAATTGACGAGGTTGTGAGACTCGGCTGGTTGTAGTAGATGCTGTATTGATGGAGGCTGCTGGCTGCATCGCTCCTGGTGGTGGTGTGCCGCTAATAGGTGCAATAGGTAACGCTCCACCTCGAGTGGAGGCACTAGAATGCGATCTCTCCCGGGATGCTAATTCATCTGGCATTTAGCTTTCCATAGAAGTAGACCAGACATGTACTTTACCTTGGTGATAAGCTTCTGATTTGGGTAGACTGGAACTCAAAACCGAAATCGAAGACTCGGCATCCAAGTGGCCATCTTCTTCTCTCGATTTCTTGTATCTATCTTCTAAAGATGTATTCCAAGGTGGAGGTGAAGTAGCAAAAAAACTTTGAATGTGATTATTCTCGGCTATGAAATCTCCCATGTGAGTTGCATGCTTTCTTTCTGTCTCCCTGCATCAGATCAACTTACAGTCTTGGAGCAGTCGCTTGTGATCTACTACCAATTGGTATGCCACCTTGAACTGATTGTTGTCAGGTTCACTGAGAGCTTTTTGAATGACTTGAGTGGAATAGCCCATCTTTTTTGATAATTCAAACACCAAATCATCATCAATCAACAAATTACCGCTCTCTTCTGTGTTGGGCAGGGGACGGAGGTAGGCAGGCAAGTTTTTGTTAAACCAAGGGTTTTTTCTGCAGATCCATCATCTTTAATGCCACCGTTTCACTGTTTAAACCATGCTGAAACTTACCGAATTTCCTGAATTGTGATACGCTTCAATGGATCAACAACAAGCATGGATGCCAACAAGGCCTTCGTTTCTGAGCTGAGATAGGACGGCATGGTGTAAATGCCACCGTTGATCTTTTTAAATAATGTGGGTATGTATTCATCGTCGAAAGGCAATCTACCGCATAACATGACGTATAAGATGACACCGCAACTCCAAACATCGACTTCAGGTCCTGCGTACAATCTATTCAGCCGAGTGTAAGTAATCTGATGAGTGAACGACGAGCGAGGCGTGCCTGATTGCTTACTTTCCAGAAATGACCTCAGGCTATCTCAAGGTTAGTGCTATGCAAGTGGCATGTGTGAATTGACTTACAGCAGCATAATTTGGACTACCACAACTTGTCTTGAGGAAATCGCCGTCTGTCATAATATTTGATAAGCCAAAATCAGCAATTTTCACATTGTTGTTTGCATCTAATAATAAACTAAAAGCAAACATTACACATCATGTTCATATGCTAAAACACATCCATTCCCATTTTACTTTTCTGGTTTCAAATCTCTGTCAAAATTCATGTTAGCAGCTGTGATGCCACCCACATTCCAATAAAGTCCTACCTGTGAACAATCTTGTGTCTATGGCAGTATTCCACTGCACAGATAATCTGCTGGAAAAATCGTCGAGCATCTTCTTCAGTCATCTAATAAAAGAGGTGAATTGATCTCCAAGCAGTATTTGATAACGGCTGTCCCTTACTCTTCCTTTCTCGACAATATAGTTGAACAGCTCTCTGCCAGCGTATTCAATGACCATGATGATATCTGTCGGCGTAGTAATCACTTCGTAGCTGCAGCACATTATGAGTATTCATCGCTCGTATGCCAAAACATAAAGACGCACTCACAGTTTGATGATATGTGGATGACGAAGCAGCTTGAGATACTGAATTTCACGTTTTACTCGACCCCCCATATCCATGCTGGCAATCTTCTTTCGGTTAATTATCTTAAGCGCTACCTTTTGTCCTGTGATAGCGTGTACTGCCACTACAAAGCATACAATGTTAGTATGTGATGGTGATTGGAATTCATACTACATTTTACATTTGACTTTGCCAAAAGAACCTGTGCCAATGGTGCTGATGATGTTGTATTGTCCAATTCGGATTCGGTTGCTGTTATTGCTGTTGTTACTATTGGTATTATTACTCATGGTGTTATGATTAAATTGGAAAAAAGAGAGTAGGAAAGGAAAAAAAAAAAAAAAGAAATATTTAATGTGTGTTTTACACTCACAAAATCACACCACCAGCAGCAACACAGATATGCTTACTGAACTCTACTGCTCCCCCCACCCACTGGCAAATCACATCAAGAGCACCCAGACGTCACCACATCCAATAAATCGTCTTAAAGTACATACACACCCAATGCCGATTCTATCTCTCTCTCGTAGTGTCATTTACTTGTGTGTGTTTGCAACGAGCTGGCGTAAAATAAAAGGGAAGTTTCATACAAAGTTTACAAAGAATTTCATGTAATTAGAAAATGGTATATAGCAAGGTAAATGTCTGATCAAGTCAAGATATAAATTCCCAAATTTGATTTGAGAGATAATCTGCATCGTACTGATCCAATCTCATCACACGGAGGTCTTGTCGGTTCGCTGATGCTATATACACTCGAGTGAGTAATTCATGCCCTCACAATGAGCAGGTCCAACACAACTTACTGAGCACAACTCCCACAGGCTTGTCATTGCGGATGTCGGCTTTTACGCCTAAACCAGTATACAGACCTAATCGAAGTCTACATACAGACACAGCAGGGTTAGATCACTCAAATCACTAGTAGTCATACAGCCAGTACATACTCATCTGTGGTGATGCTCGCCTTAGATGGATCATTGGACTCTAATTCTCGAAGCTCTTCTTCCATCGCATCGATCTCTGCCTGCATTTTCGCCATTTTGGCCAACTCTATCTGCTCTAATGCATCTTGTTCTTGAAGCGCTTGTTCTCTCAATGCGTTTTCTTGTAGGGCAGCTTCGTATTCGCGACGTACTTTGGCTTCTTCAATCGCAAGAGCATCTGCTTCCTTTTGTAATTCTGGGTCTATCATCAGCGTCTTGGTCTCTTTTCTCTCTCTCTCTCTCTCTCTCTCTCTCTCTCTCTCTCTCTCTCTCTCTCTCTCTCTCCTTTGATAACACTCTCTCAATTACCTTCAATTTCTTTCTGTGTGGCTTCCAGGATCTTCTGCTGTTCTATTTCTTTCTCTGCTTGTAAGCGTTGAACTTCTTGTAGCATGTCTATTGGATTTCTCCATAGAGATTTGTCAATGGCTTTCAAGTGTAGTTCATCAGTTTGCATTTTGGTATTAAAGAGTGGAAGCTACAGTGCACAACGAGGTGACAAGCTTCAGCCTTTATGGAATGTCTCTCAACAAGCCACAAGAAATGGCCATCCAAAATCCATTTCAGCCAAAAAAACAGGAAAAAAAAAAAAAGGGTTTTAGTGTTTTCCTCTCTTTCATTATATAACAATGTCTTCTGAACAAGAGCAAGTTCAAGTTCGCTTCACCACTCAACAACCAGAGTATGCAGTCAATGATGCTGCCATCTTGCTGCCTTCCAACATCAAGAAGGAGGGTCTCTCTGAGATTGTCAACAGTCTATTAAACAATGGTAAATTTTTTTAAAGCATATATGGAAGTTTAGAGAGATACTTATGCTCCTGCAGATAAACCTATTCCCTTTGATTTTCTGATCGATGGCCAATTACTTAGGACCAGCATTGTCGAGTACTTGAATGCTGCTCAACTCTCTACTGTATGTGTATTTTGATTTAATGTAAAGTTCATCAAGATCTGACCTGTCAAATGTAGGAAAATCTCGTCACTATCGAATATGTTGAATCAATGCTCCCTCCCATCCCTCTCACTGCCTATCAACACGACGATTGGGTCAGTTCAGTCAAAGGCTTCAATGGATTATTCGCTACAGGTTCATACGACAATATGGTCAGATTATGGAACACCACCGGCGAATGTATCAGCACCTTGATCGGTCATAGCGACGCTGTCAAGAGTGTCGCATTTGGACAAAACAACACACTCTTCTCAGGCTCTCTTGATCATACTGTTTTGGGCTGGGAATACACTGAAGGAGAGGATTCACATCGCATCATGTATGAGTGCAAAGGACACAAGGGGCCCGTTGAATCAGTCGCAGTGGATTATACCGGCAAGCATGTTGCTAGTGCCTCTGCTGATGGCTTGATCAAGATCTGGTCTACTCAAGAACCCACTGAAGATGAGCCAACTGAAGAAGTTTCACACAAAAAGAGAAAGAAGAATAGCGAGAAATCAGACAGAAAGATCAAGACAAAGGCCGTGTCTTTGGAGGGACATGTGGGCGGCGTCAATGCTGTTGATTTTGATGGAGCAGATGCTAATATTGTATATACCGGTGGCTGGGATCACTCTATTCGTTCTTGGGATGTTGAACAACAAGTGAACTTGACTACAAAGAACTGCGAAAAGGTCGTTCTTGATGTCGATTACTCTAAGCATTCTAAATTACTTGCTACTGGTCATTCGGATAACACAGTTAGATTATGGGATCCCAGATCAGAAGGTACGACACCATGTCTGACGAGCAAGTGTTGATTCACATAACTAAACTTCCTTGTTTAGATGGCACAAATGTAAAGATGAGTCTTCGTGGACATACTGCTTGGGTATCATCTGTTTCTTGGTCAAGAACATCTGAATACGCATTATGTACAGGTTCATATGATTCCACCGTCCGTGTTTGGGATATCCGTAGTAGAGAGCCTTTGTATACTGTTGACAACGAAGGAGACGAAAAGACAAAGGACAAGGTTTTGAGCGTCTTTTGGGATGATAACAAGATTCTTAGCGGTGGTGAAGACAAGAAATTAAGAATATATCAAGCAAAGGTTTAGATTTATATATTTAAAAATAAAGTTTACTCCTTGGAGGAGTTTTCATATTGGAATCAGTACCTGGGCAGTAATGCTTGATGCATTTTTGCCATAATTTGGTATTGTCTGTTACATCAGTACAGAAGCCAAACACAGTGTCTACCGTACAAGCTTGAGTGGATAGGTCTTTTATCGTTGCGACATGATCACTTACCCGTATATGATCGACATTTACTTGTATCATTGGTCGTTCCATCGCTGCGATTAAAGCACATGCACATGGTGGAATCTGTATTCTGTTTTGTTGGAGCCGTCATTATACATTTACAGCCAATGTCATTCGCGTCAATGCCATTATTTGACAGTCTATCAAAAATATTGTATCTTGTAGGTAAAATAGAAGATGCCATAGCCATAGAGATGATTGTTGTCAATGCAACTATAGTGTTCAGCAACATGTTGCTTGGAATAATGAAAGAAAAGAAAGCAAGTAGTTTAGCTAGAGTATTTTATATACGAAAGATGCTTCTCCTTTTTGGTATGTAAATTGATTTTATTATTCATTTTTATCATCACCGCCATCATTGTATTGAGAATCCCAAATCCATGAGTTATTTTCCAAGCTAAGACCATGTTTAGCGGCTTTTCTATACAATTTAGCAGCTTGTTGATCGTCTTTTGTAACACCATGCCCATATCGAAAGCAAAACGCCAGATCATTCATGGCATTAGGATTATCCATATCAGAAGCTAATTGAAAATACCAAGTTGCCATAGCAACGCTTTTTGGTACCTGAGAAAAAATTAATTCGACGTCTCCCTGTAAATGAAAAGCAATTACGAACCTCCCAACCATGCCAAAAGAACTCTCCCAATTCATATATAGAACAAGCTAATGATTCTATTTTTGCAGCGTCTACTAGCCGAGATAGAGCCGTTTGTAGTTCGTTTGGAGTAAATTCATTAGTTGTCTTTTGAAGGTATCTCAATGCAATTGCAGGGCTCTTTCTACATCCCTAAATGTGTATATAGCATAAGTATCTATTTATATATCATTGCTGCACTGTTTACAGCATTTACCCAGCCATGTCTCAGCGCTAACCCGTAAAAGAAGATGGCCATTATTTCATTTTCTTCTGTCGCTAACCGCCAATAATGAGTTGCATTTTCAAGTTCTCCTTTTTCATAAAATTGTATTCCAAGTTGCAAATGACTATTTTGGTGCATATTGATGTTGCCACCATTGATTAAAAATAGCTTAATATTATCGTTGTTGATGGTATTGTATGCAGAAGAAATAGAGACTGCCGCTGTATGTAATACATCGCTTTCTGGTGCATGATTGAAATAGTCTTGGAATACACTCTCTGCGATAAGACTGCTTCTGTTTGTTGTTGCAGCTGCTGCTTCTGTTTCCACATTACCAAGAGGTTTGTTGAATGATGCGAGCTGACCAAACATGGATCGACTCTTTTTAAAAGCGCCATTGTTATTTCTAAATGACTGCAATTGTAAAAATGATGTAGATTTTGAAGTGTGCTTGCTGGTAGGCCGATTCTTTTTTTCTTGTTGCTGCGATGATTGCTTGTGATTGGGATCAATGGCAGATTTCAGTAGAACTAGAGAGAACCGCTTTCTTTTTGTTGCCTGTGGTACAATTACAGTTTGATCTGATTTGCTCTTGTGATGACGATGCTGGCTATGCGAGCTGTTGAACAGTTTCTTGATTTTCTCCATCGTGAAATAAAGATGACAAAAGAGAGATATGTTTCTTCAAAAAGCAATTAGAAGAGACTCCTGCTTTATTTTATTGCTTTCACCGCAAATAGAGAGAGAGAAAAAAAGGGGATGCAATGGTTTACATGGTAGATGCTTCCATCATCACGTGAATCACAACCTTTGGTAACGGTGTGTGTTGAATGGCATGGATGCCTCTCGAGTAAGTTGCGCTATGATTTTTCAAGTTAACAAAGCCTGTTTTCATAGAGAGAAATTCAAGGCCATTTTCTAGAGACTCCTCCCGACATCTCATACAAGCACATGATGGCATTCTTTACAGATCAAGCAATTGTCTTTATGGTATACTTTGTGTGCGTGACACAAGATCAGCTACGGTCAAGATTTTATTAAATTTTTAGTGTCAATATTATAAGCAAAGTCCATGATGAGTATCTTTTGATCTTGACTCGTACTAACACTAAAGAGTCAACAACTTGGAAATTAAACTTTGTGTGCAATTACTCTTCTTACCTAATAATTTTGGTTTCGTCAAACATGACATCAAACACCCAACTGGTATGACATCGAGCGAATGTATGTAAACATTCTCCAGTGTGAATATCCCACACGCGAATGCTCTGATCATAGCTTCCACTGACAATCTTGTCCTTGTCAAAATGAAGTGACCTTACAAGGCCAGTATGTCCTTCGCATGTCAGCACACATTCCCCAGTATCTGTGCAGTATACCATGTCAATAGTGTATTTTGGAGATGTATTCATTCACTCCGAATTTACCTGCATTCCACACTTTGATCTTGTTGTCATTACTTCCGCTGACAACCCGTTTACCGTCAAATCGTATGCAAGCCAAACCGTGAGCATGGCCTACAAAATCACGCAGACATTGTCCAGTTTCCACATCCCATAACTTGATGACAGTATCCCCTGAGGCCGAGACCAACCGGTTATTTTTAAATTGGATTGCATTGACTGGACCACGATGGCCTATGAGTGTTTGTAGTAATTGACCTGAAGACCGACTCCATATCCGAATAGTAGCATCTTTTGAGCAGCTAGCAATGGTACGCTCGTCAAAGCATACATCCAACACGCCTGAATGATGGCCCCTTAAACAATGAATTGACTGATAGGTCTTCATGGACCACACCAGTAATGTGTGATCAGAGGACCCTGATACTAAAATAAAATCATCGTATTGTAAACAGAGCACAGAGGCCTGGTGCCCCTTCAATGTTTTGTAGCAATGTTGGCTGGCAATGTTCCAGAATTTGATGGTACGGTCTCTACTGCCTGTAATAATCTTGTTGGTATCAAACTGCACACAGTAGATACTATCTGAATGGCCCATGATGGTCTGCATTTGCTGATGGCCATGCTTCCATCTACTGAGTAACTGTGTTTTTCTTTCGTATAAATGCTTGTAATCGACAACAATGGTGGACGGTGAGGGATATACAACGCCATGATGCTGCTGATACAGTTGAAGCCATAGATGATTGTCTTTACATAACAGGTACCACCGTTTTGATACAAGTGTTGACTCGAATACAGCTCGTTCATCGCAATGTGATAGAATCAAGTAAGCTAATTCTACAGGCAATTCTTGTAAAAAATCTGGGTTTTGTAGTAGTGGAAGATTAATGGTCTTATTTTTCATGCAAAAATTCCTTGTCCTACCTATTTTCTGTATCTGATCTGTGGTTGATGATGAGGACAGTGTCGCTGACAAGTCGGTGGATGTAGTAATCAATGATGGACATGATGTATTGTTGGTTTTCTGCTGGTGAAAACCTTCGTCTATTCGAGAATCTTGTGTGTACGATTGACGTTGATGGCTACTGTTTTTTTTAAAATACTTGAGCAGTTTGTATTTAAGTGTTGTGTGTTCTGATTCTAATGAAAATTTCATGATTTTTTTTTATATATGCAGAAGAGAAGAAAAACCAACAATGATAATTTCAGCAAGAAAAACAAAATAATATGTACAGAGAAGTGGGCTTAAGGGGGGAGAGAGAAGGGAAGGGGGAGAGGGAAAGGGAAAGGGAAATATGTCGAGTCAGATGTATTTCATTATACACGATTTACTGTGTGTGCTCATACCTGATACATAGTGGTACCTGCGAAGGGAGCTTGAAGAGAAAACGATCCCCTTGGTTGAAAAGGCGTTCTCCTTACGCAATAAATTCAATCAATTTGCGAATATACTGTTTACTTGGATTATGAAGTTTATTTATATAGATATGAGAAATAGGAAAAAAAAAAAAGAGTGTAATTAATGTATTTGTATCTTATAGAAGTGAAAGAGAACGATTTAAATGTGATGGTGAGAAATATACTATATATCCTTTGAAACGGGTTAAAATGATATTATGTTACAAGTAGGCTTTTTTTTCTTCTGGTTTTCATTTGCAAAAAAAAAAAGAAAAGAAAAGAAAAGAAGGGGTCAGAGTAGAGGAGTCGTCAGAGAGGGAGGCAAACAGCTAGATCCAACAAATATTTAGAAAGTGCATGTAGTGGATGTTAAGTTTAGTCAGAATCAGAGCTTGAAGAGTCAGAGGAACTACCGCCATCATCATCGCCAGAATCACTCTCACTAGAAGATGAATCTAATCGCAATATATCAGCCTACTGATATCTCATCCATACCCATATCAAAGATACTTACTGTAATTGGGATCTACCTGATTAAACTTTTCCAATGTCTTTTCGAGTTCTTGGATTCGTCTTTCCTTGGCAGAATAATTTGATTTGCGCTTTTTGGTTTTGATTGTAGGCTTTGGTGAGACGAAATCTCTCAATTTGCGTAGAGTGTCCTTGTTCAGAGCATCAATATCAAGTACAATCTCTCCTTGGTCATCCTACATGTCAAGAATGTTGAGTCAATCAATAATAAATCAAACTAATTTCATGCTACTTACATCGCCGAGATGAGGCATGGAAGTCTGGATTATTTCAACTACTGTATTCAAGGCATCACCTGTCAACTCGTTGATTTGCTCACTTAATCTCTTCTTGTCCTCGAATGTAAATACTTCGTATTCATCACCGGAATCAGCATGTCTGGCAGCAGCAGCAGCTTCTTCGGCTCTTCTCTTCTTTGTGGGGTTCTTGTTAGGTCCACGGCCACGACGCTTTGGTGCTGGTGTTGTTGTGCTGGATGAAGATCCCTTCTTTGAAGATTTGATGGATTTGATTTGCTCTGCAATGTTCTTGATGGTGCGCTCCAATTCCGCAATTTTATCATCACTGTTATCCATCTCTTCTTCTTCTTCTTCTTCCTCGCGGTCATGATCCACATCCACAGAGTGTCTCTTTTGTGATCCGGATGGTTGCGGTTGTGAGGGTCTCTTTTGAGCTACCTTTCGATGCTCTGCTGGTTTTTGTGTCCATTTATCTCTGAATACCTTCTCAAGATCTTTGGCCATGGTGTAGATGGGCAAAGAGGGTGGATTATAGAGATAGCAGTTGTTGAACATGAGTGTCATGTCGCTTTCAAATCCTTCTGGATCGTCGTATTCATCGTTCATTAATTTCTTCTCGATAGTCGATAAATCCATGGGATGCTTAACAATCGTGGTGTAGTCTGGCAAATTCATTGCAACGGGATCGACAGGTTCAAGAAATGGATAAGCAATTTGTCGATACTTGACCTTTTTCAACTCTTTCAAGGTCTGAAGACAGTATTTCATGGGTGAATTGTTGCTAAGCTTTTTCTGTGTTGTAAACGTTTCTGGATAATCTTTTGATGGGCAATGGATTTCTCGTTTAGGTCTGGTTGACTCTTCTGATACTTTGCTAGCAAGAGGTGGAGGGGGAGGTGAGTTGTGTTGGCTAAGAGGAGGCGATGGTTCCTTCTTGACAGGTGGTGATGATTTAGGTGTAGATAACTTGGGTGTGTTAGGTGCGCTTGATGGTGGCATTTGTCGTAAACTCTTCTCAAAGGCAGATTCTACATTTTGACACAAAACAGAGATCATTGCCTCAGGACCGTTGTACTTGAGGCAATTGTGGAAGATCAACCTCACATCAGAGATGAAATCGTCAACGGTTGTATACTCTGAGTCAGCCAGCTTCTTTTCTACCAACTGAAGATCCATGGGCTGCGTAATGATGGTTGGATAATCTGGTACATTGAGTTTTATATAGTCTACTGGTTTCAAAAAAGGTGCGGCATCTCTGTGTCGCTTTAGATTCCGGATGATGGCTGTGCAGTATTTTTGTTGTTCTGTTGTCATAGTGTGTTGATGAGTAGGTGGTGAAGGCAAAGTATTTTGTTGTTGTTTACTATAGAACATGGTTCAAAAAATAAAGAAAAAAGAAAAAGAGACTAGGTTAGCAAAATGGAAATCCTTGTGCTACATCTCTCCCTCTCTATTTAGTAAGAACGCGTGTCTGTAACTCAGAAAGAACACATCCAACCCAATTGCAAGAAAAACGGCAAGCTGATATTGCTACGCGCCTTTTCTCATGGGCTCTGAGCCATTTTCCTTTTTTTTTTTTTTTTTTTTTTTTTTTTTTTTTTTTTTTTCAATCCAATCTCACCCCCTTTTTTGCACTGATCCTTTTCCACTTGAAATGTATAAATGATATTTACCTCGAGTAAACACCAGTCTTGGCAGAGAGCATTTTGAAATGTATTGTTGTGTTTATACGATGGAGAGCTATAAAATGAGATGGCAAATGTTAGCCCAAATGAGTGCCTTGGGTTTCTGATGGTCCATTACGGTTAAAATAAAAAAAATAAAATAAAAAAAAAAAGTACCGTCAGTTTTCGGAAAATAGTTCTAGCAGATGGAGTTCAAGACACGTATGGATCCAAGAAGAGATTGGAAATTGAAAAAAAAAAAAAAAAGAGGAATGAAATGAAAATGTGAAAAAAATTTTGTTCGCGCGTTTATAAGCCACGTTTCGGTGACTATTTCATCGCAAATCATATAATGCAAATTGGATTGATTGGCTAGGTTTATTGCCTCTTGTGTTTACCCAAGGTCAATTTAGCATAGCACATGAAACTGTCTGCCTTCTCTGTTTTGGTTAAAATGCATAAATCACTGCACAAAAGCAGCATCACTGGTAGAGGTCAAATTATTACATTTCATAAGTGATATGTCTGTAGTTTGCCCAAGAAATTCGCATTTCACATTAGGCTTGACATTTGGGATCGCATTTAAACTCGTAGCTTGCCATGATTAAATTACATATAAATAAATATGTAGCAAGCTAAAGAGCATAGCAAAACTAAAGTATGGTGCCTTCAGCTCGTAATCCTCGTCTTATTATAAGCTGTTAAAACATCGATTGCCTTTACAATATGAAGGGCATCTCATCATTCTTGTCATCAGCTAAATCAATTAAAATGCCGAATATGCTTCTGCTTGAGATTGGCCAAATCTGATCAAATTTGACTCCAAATCTATCTATTTGCTAGATTCGACTATATAAATGGTGATAATTATCCCATACTTTCTAATGCATTTCTAGAGTACTTTTCAAGGCGCTTCCAATGGTGCTAACTGTAATAGGTGTTCTGAGTGAAACTATTGAGCAATTTGGTAAAATATGAAATGAGGTTTTTAGCGAAAATAGGTATATTTTGCATATGAAAGCCTCATAACAGTGGTTTCAGAGGTTGCTTTGGATCGAGAGAAACATTTTGATTTGATATATACCATAGTAGAAGTCTTCATTTTCAAGGTGAAAAATGCGGTCGTTTGATTTTCGATGAAAACCATGAGGGGTACCTCATGGCTTTTGATCGATTTTTGGTCATGTTTTTTTTTGGTCCTAAAAAGTTGAGCAAAGGTGTCAGAAAATCAGTGCTAAAACAGAGCAATAGACTGGCGTTATTCTGGCGGTCCGGAATGGCTTCTAACGCGAGAAATTACTGCTCAGGCGTATCTGAGGTTAGCTGTGTTTTGCAGCTTTTGGAGTAGTAAAAGGTATTACGAGGATGCTATCTGCCCGCACCTGCCTTTTTCATTAACGAGCTAGATTCACAGTTGCAAATTACTCATAAAAGTGAAATGCCAGCATTTATTTATCATTTGAATTATTGAGCAAGGCTTTGGTTACCATAAAATGCACACAGCTATACTGGGATTTGGTTTGCTGGCTAGCAATTTATCCATCAGTCTCTTCCTCCTGTTCCTCGTCGTCGCTTTCAAAGTCGCCATCGTCAGGACGAAAGATACGTGGCCCCTTTGATTTTCTGATAGGGTTTCGTGGTATAAAAATTACCATAGTATCAGGCCTTTCCTCTTCTTTGGTCCAATTGTCTTCTGTTCCATCAGTCTCGACTGAAATACAATCATCACAAATACAAGTGTTGGAGTCAATCAAACAGAAAGTATGTTTGTTGTTGGTCACTGATTTGCCTTGAGGTAATGTTTCTGTCTCATTTTTGGCCTGCTCTTTTTCCCAATCCGCTATCTCAATGTCAATTCCTCGTTTCCACTTGGTGTCAGTTGAGCTAGCAAAGAGCTCCCAAGAAGCAGCTCCACTACTGTTATTTACCCATCCAAGTATTCCTCGTGGACTTGCCAATACGCCTCGATTCAGCAAGTCGTCGAAAACCTTCGTTTTACAAGGCTTGCCTTCAAAACCGGTAGCAGCATTTTTAACAATGACTGGTGTGCTGTTTTCTGAGGAGGATAATGAGCCTGTTTCTATTAAAAATGTGTTATATGTTGCTTGATATATATATACACAGAGATAAAAAGCATAATTACATGTTGCTATATAACCATTACCACGAGGCGTGAATTTAACAGCCTGTGGTAAATGTTGTTGCTGATATCGACGCTGCCGCTTTTGCTGCTGCTTTGCTTGCTGTCGGTAATGTTGCAGAGGCTGGTATGACAGCTGGTTCTGGATATTTGATATTTGTGTTGCGTTATATTGAGGCTGGGTGATATTGATCATTGTCTGCTCTTGTGCATGCAAAGCTGTCGATACATTGTGTCTGACAGGAATAGGAACAGACACTGTGGGAAACACCAAATCAGCACGCAGTGATTCAGAAGGCTCTGGTTGGGGTTTATTAACTATGTTGTCGACTTTATCGCCATTTGCAGTGTATGATTTCAATGTAGCTAGGCGAGGGTACGAGAGTGGCTCATTACTCTCAAAGAGAGGGTCGAAACTGCTCCAATTTGAATGGCTAACTCCATAAGTAGATATTTTTACCAAGCCTTCTTGCTCGAGAGTCGCGTTGGATGTAATTTCCCCATTATTACGCTGCTCGTTCGTAACTGAAAAGCCATCTCTTTGAACAGGAGTACCAGCACCATCATGTGCCTCCGTGCCATGTGCTTTGTTCTTTTTGACTTTGTCCTCAAGAGATAACTCGATTGCCATCTTCATATCCTTCGCAAATTGGCGTTCATTATAATCACACTCGGCATCATTGAAGTCCCAATCTCCTGAGGTGTGCCTATTTTGTGGTTTGCCTTTGTACAAATTATTGAGCATTATTGATTCATGGTTGCTGTGTCTTTTGTTTAACAATACCTGCATCTGATGTTTTCATCTCAGAATTGTGTTGATTGATATAATAGTCTTTGATAAAAAGCTCTATAGCCTTTTGCAGACATCGCGTAAATTGGGCTTCAAAAGCATCAATCTCATTGATAGTGTCATATGGCTTCACTGTACGATTGTTGGTTTCTTGCCTTGGCTCTTGAGGACGCTCTTTCGCTTTATCAAAATCATCCCCTATAGCTAGGAGTTTACAAAGAGAATCAATGGCTATATCTATTTCTCTGATGTGCCGTCCATCAAATGCCGAGAGCATGCTTAATGCAGCATCAACTGATTGCAATGTTGATTTCCAGTAATTGTTTTCAGATAATCCAAATTCCTTCATACGTGCAGAGATGTTCTGTTGCTGAGGCATTGATTGAAAAAAGAACAAAAAGAAATGCGAGTTTTATAATCAAAAAGTGATATACACTTGTATAATGCGAGGATGTCATATGCTTCCCATTTATTCAGGTAATCAAAAACAGACACAGTGATTAATTGAACAGATATTAGTTTTGGAAGAAAGCCAGAGTTAATCAAATCCGAGTTTATATGCATGAGCAATGGAAATAGATTAGAATCGCTGATGCTCATTTTCTGAAAACATGATAATAAATTGTAGATCAGATGTCTTTTTGAATTGAATTTTATTCAGATTAAAAAAATTTTAAAAATGGACGATATAAAGTGTAAATTATGAAAAAGAAGCGGATAATAGAGGACGATATATACACAAGAGCGAATATAAATATGAGTGGCAAAAGGGGTTGATCATGAAGCTGATTAGGTACAAGAACTTAAAAGAACCTTCTCTTGACCCATTTGTAAGTTTCAGCGACAGCAATGTACAAAAAGACAGAAGCAACTGTCATTCCCCACTCCCAGGAGATGGGCTTATGTCTAAAGACTTCAGTATTCAAAACGGGAACGTAGAGTGCAATGATCAGCAAGATGATACCGAACAAAGTGGACCAAAAAAGATACTTGTTCTGGGGACCTCTTAAAGCAGAGATAGACCAGGTAGAGTTACGAAGATCACGACAGGTAAAACCATGGAGCAAGACAATGACAGTCAGTGTAGCAAAGAGAGCACCGCGGGCACGGAAGACTTCATCACAAGTCTCGTTATAGTGGCCGTTACAATCTACACCAAGATTGCCAGTACCATAACAATAGAGCACGATAATGAAATTGGCCAAACAAATGACACCAATGGAGAAACCGTAAAAGATGATGTCAACTAAATTAGACCTGCTAAAAAGCCCATCTTTTTCAGAGCGAGGAGGTTGAAGCATTTGGTCCTTGTGAACAGGCTCAAGACCCAGACTCATGGCAGGAGGAGAACTAGTCAAGATGTTGTTGAACAAAATTTGGATAGGTGCCATGGGGAAGACAGAGCCACCAGATTGATCAATAAAGACCAAACCCAAAAGCAGAGGAGTCAGCTCAGCAACATTACCAGAAACCATGTGAACAACGAAACGAGCAATGTTACCAAAGACACGACGACCTTCTTCAACAGCCTTCACAATGGTAGCAAAGTTATCATCGACGAGAACAATGTCAGCAGCTTGCTTAGCTACATCAGAACCATTTTGACCCATAGCAATACCAATATCAGATTCCTTGAGAGAAGGGCTATCATTCACGCCATCACCAGTCATACCAGCAATTCTCTTACGACGATGAAGGGCTTCAATCATCTTCACCTTGGTATCAGGACTACAACGAGCAATAACGAGAGGAAGCTCAGGGAGAGCATCGATTTCTTCTTCGGTCATCTTATCGAAACGTTGAGCTGTCATGACCAAATTGTCTTTACCATCGCCAATATGAGGTTTGGCAGCAGCCTTGGCACGTTCATACAATTCCTCATCTTCTTCGGTGAGACCGTAGGTAGAGGGCACAATATTGACTTCGCGGGCAATAGCAGTGGCAGTGGCAATATGGTCGCCAGTCAACATGTGAACAGTAATACCAGCTTTATGACATTCATCAACAGCATCCTTGGATTCCTTTCTTGGGGGATCGTAGATACCAACCAGCCCTAAAAAGATCATTTCATGTTCAACAGCTTCACGGACAAAGGTATCAGAAGAAATAGGACCATGATGCTTAATACGGCGAGTAGCCAAAGACAAGACGCGAAGACCACCATGAGCAAGAGATTCGACCTTGGGAAGGATAACTTCTTGGAGTTCACCGGGAGTCATCAGCTTGACATCACCAGCTTCGGACATTTGCATACCTACACATCTTTCAAGAACACGCTCAGTAGCACCCTTCAAAAAAGCAACATGAGAGCCATCAGGCGCACGGCAGAGGACAGTCATACGCTTAATGGAAGAATCAAAGGGATACTCAGAGATCAATTTCCAGCCCTCATCAGGGGTTTCCTTGTTGACCAAAGAGGGCTTTCCATTGTGAAGCTTGTGAGCAAAGACTTGAAGGGCGATCTCAGTTGGATCACCAATACCAGACCATTCACCAGTTGTCTTGTCCTTACGGATCTCACTCATGTTACAGAGAGCAGAAGCATTGGCCATAGTTTGGAAGCCATAATCCATGTTTTCTTTGGTTACAACAGAATTGTCAGCCTCAGATGTCACTTCACCTTCAGTATCAAAACCAAGACCACTAACAGAGTAGAAGCCAGTGCTAGGTCTCCAGAGACGAGTTAAGACCATCTTGGATTGAGTGAGAGTACCAGTCTTATCGGAGCAAATGTTGGTAACAGCACCAAGAAGCTCGAGAGCAACGAGACGACGCACAAGAGCCTTACTCTTTGCCATGCCATGAACACCAAAAGCTTGGGTGAGAGTAACTACAGCAACAAGACCTTCGGGAATAACAGAGATAGAAGTAGAAATGGCGTAAAGAATAACATCGTTTGTGATATTGAATTTGGCAGCAGCGAATACAATGATAACTGCAACAATAGCAACAGCGAGCAATACCAAAGCCATGCGATCCAAAGACTTTTGAAGAGGAGTTTTTGTACTGTCACCCGAGTCCAACAAACGCTTAGCAATTTTACCAATTTCGGTTTGCATACCAGTTGATGTAACAATGGCCTTACCACGGCCCTTTGTCAGCACGGTACTTGAGTAACACATATTTACGCGATCACCGAGAGGAACATCTTCACCTTGAATGACATCAGAGACCTTGTTAACAGGCATAGATTCACCGGTTAAAAGAGCTTCATCGACATCCATGTTGAAAGATCTGCAAAAGAAGTTAGCACACTGGATTCACATATTTCTTGGTTGCTGAATATACACTTACTCTATAATTCTACAATCTGCACCAACAACATCACCGCTCTTCAAAATAACAACATCGCCAGGAACTAGCTCACGGGTAGGGATAGTCATTTGATGGCCATTGCGGATAACCTGACTGGTAGGAGAGGCCATTTGACGGAGGGATTCCATGGTTTTTTCAGCTTTGAACTCTTGCATAAAACCAACGAAGGCATTAAGCAGCATGATAGCAGCGATAACAGCCCCTTCAATATAATCCTTAAACACAAAGGAGACGATCTATGACAAACAGTTAGTGATATGGATGCCATGGCAATCTAGTAGCCAGCAAAACTTACCATTGCAATCAGTAAAATAAGCACCATAATATTGGTGAATTGCTTGATCAACAATTTCACTGGGCTAACACCGCCTTCACCTTCCATTTCGTTATATCTCGATTGAGATCTTCTCTCTTCAATTTCAGATTCATGCAAACCATCTTCCAAATCAGATTTGAGCAGTTGCTGAACTGTATCCAAGTCCATTATATGGTAGGGGGGGCCCTCGACTCTTTCAGATTCATCTATGCTCTTTCTTCTTCTCTTAACCAAGTTCATCTTGTGGATCATAAGACTTCTAACTGATTTGGTATCGAAATCCATGGAGCTTGCACCAGTGGATTGCCTTGTTAATGGCTTCTGAGAGTATTTTTCATTGTGTTGAACATGGTGTTCTTTCATCTCTTTGTTCTGTGATTCATCAAACTTGATGGTTGTTTGGGGTTGAGGTTGTTGTTGTAATTCCTCATTGTTGAGAACTTGAGATTGAGTGCCATCTTGATATGTGTTTGTGTTTGAACTAGAATTCATATAACTATTTTTTTATGATTGATAGTAAGAAAAAAACCTCTGTAAGAATGATCTAATCGACATTTTGCTTTATATATACTTTTTTTTCTTAGGAGAAAAAAAACCAGAAAATGTTTCTGATTTCAGAATTTTTGACAGAAACTTGAGAAAGCATTATTTTCTATTTGAAATGTCACATGTACACCCAAATCCAACACATTTATTGGCTGAATGTCTCCCCTCAAAATTCATTTTTTCTATCTAACAACCTAATGCTTCTAACGTTTCCACAATGATATTGACGGAAAAAAGGCACTTTTCCATCTAAATCAATTATATACCACCTGGTTCTGTTTTTACTTGATTTGGTAAATGTGATTGTAATCGGTTCCTAGTGCCCTGTCTTAATATCGTATATAATCTGTGAAGTGGGGGCATGTATCTCACATGACCCGTTTAATGGATGGCTAGCAGGCATTTCCCATTTTTAGGATGATAAATTGCCATGTTTCATACATCATTTATCCGGTCTGTGTGTTGTGAAAAACTTAAGCTACAGCACAAAATAAGCGCTGTAAATCGAAAACTATGCTTTTGCCTTGCTCATCTTTTTTTTTTTCTATTCAAATGTAATAACAAGTACACCTTGGAATGTTGAGATGGCATATGAAATCTGATAATTCAAGACATTCACTGCTTTGCGTTATCAAATTGCTAGAAAATAGAAAACAGAGCATGGGATATTTTTACTTTCTTACTCGCAAACAGAAGCATTTGTAATCATTAATTTGATCTATTCTGAGACAATGCTGAATGCAACCGTTGTTTACATGTACTGCTCAGCACTTGATTTATGACGGTTGCCATGTTGATATCAAGCTGAGTTGACTAATGCTTGACCTGATTTCAGATGGTTGCTATGATACCTGAAAAGTGCAATGCATGTCTACAAATGGCTCCAAATGAAGCGACATTTAATGCAAATCCAAGGTGCAATGATCAACAATGAAAGCAGTGACTCCTTTTACTTGATTCAGACCCTCTAGCAACAGTTTCACTGTCTACTGCGGTTATTTAATGTACCCATTTCGAAAAAAAAAAACAATTGTTTACATTCAACATCAAGTGAATTGTTCATCTTGTCGCGTTTTGTACTTGTTTTCTAGATAAAAATCATGTATAAACCTACTGGTATGTTGTATACATGCTCATTCTGGCTGCTAGAACTACTGCTAATGTGTTTTAAAGGTACAAATGTCACTCCTTTGGGAGCAAAGAGACGTTTTAGAGATGGTTCAAATGAGCGACCTGTGAAAAATGAGCCAGATTATCATTCAAGAGGTACGCAGCCGAACAGACCCACTGAAATATGCTTCTTTGTTAACAGTTTGGTATTTAGATTATCGCTCATCCAGCTCATCAGCACCACCACCTCCATCCAATCCAACATCTGATGGTTCAGCACCAAAGAGAAAGCGTAAGAGTCGTTGGGGAGATGAGCAACAAAAGGTCATTATCCCCGGTTTACCTACTACCATCTCAAAGGCAAACAGAGATCAATCCGAAAAGTATCTTTGTAAGTATACATCTATCTGCACTAAACGGAGCACGATGTTGATATGAATTCCTAGTGCAAATTAGATTGGAAGAAGTAAACAGAAAGATTCGTACAAATGATTTTACGCCAGGAGAGCGTGAGAGGTGAGAACAAGATAAATTGACTAAAAGCGCATGCTGACATGTTTGATAGATCACCTTCTCCTGAGCCCATTTACAATGCTGATGGTAAACGTGTGAATACCAGAGAAGCCAGATACAAAAAGAAATTGGAAGATGAACGTCATAGATTGATCGAAACTGCCATAAGAACGATTCCCAACTTTAGACCTCCCCTTGATTACAAGCGTCCTACAAAGACTCAAGAAAAGGTCTATATTCCTGCTAAAGAATTTCCTGAAATCAACTTTATCGGTCAACTCATTGGTCCTCGTGGAAATACGTTAAAGAACATGGAATCAGAATCTGGCGCAAAAATCAGCATTCGTGGTCGTGGATCAGTGAAAGAGGGTAAATCAAGAACTGACGCAGCTGCTGGTGCTGGTCAAGAGGAAGATTTGCATTGTTTGGTTACGGCAGATACGGAAGAAAAAGTCAGAAAGGCTGTCAAATTGATTGAAAAGGTCATTGAGACCTCGGCCTCTGTACCTGAAGGTCAAAATGAATTGAAGAGAAATCAATTGCGTGAGTTGGCTGCTTTGAACGGTACATTGCGTGATGATGAAAATCAAACTTGTCTGAATTGTGGTGCGCCTGGTCATAGAAGATATGAATGTCCTGAAAGACAGAACGTTACTTCCAGCTTAACTTGTCATGTCTGTGGTGGTTTGGGCCATATTGCTCGTGATTGTAATCAGAGAAACAACCCAGAGATGGCAAATCAAGCTCGCGAGCGTGATTCTCAACTCGACAGTGAATATATGAATTTGATGGCTGAATTGGGCGAGTCTGTTCCTGGAAGCGATGCTAACCGCTCTGTAAGTATTGTGTATCATTTTGATTGTTGGTAGATACTAATGATGTTACTCCAGTATGGTGGATCTGCTCCTCCTGGCGGTAATGCTGCTCCATGGCAACAATCAAGATCTGGTGGATCTGCCGCCCCACCATGGCAACAACCTAAAACTGGCGGTGCCGCTCCTCCACCATGGTCTACACCCAGCGCTAGCAGTTATGGATCACCTGCTGGTAGAGATGCAGTACCTGGTGGTCAGAGTGCTCCCTGGCAATCAGGCGGATACAACGCATATCAGGCACAAGGATATTACAATGGTTATGGATCTTATGGATATTACGACCCATCTCAAGCACCACCACCTCCGCCTTCATCATCGGGTCAGGGCGTAGATCAATGGGTACGTTTGATTTGAGTAAATGTTGATTCGCGATACTAACAAGCATAATAGGGTATGGCTCCACCTCCACCTCCACCATCATCGGATGATAGTCTTCCTCCTCCTCCACCTCCACCACCATCTTCTGATTCAACACAACCACCTCCACCTCCACCTCCTAGCTCCTAGCTCCTAACTCCTAGTTCTGCTCAATTAGTCTCTTTTTTCATATTTTTTCCATATTTACAATAAAAAAATCATTATCGTATTTTTAATTACGGGCGGGTTTCTTTTGACAAAAATCAAGAAGTTTCTGTATGACGCACTTGTTCCTAAGGTTGCGAGAATGCCCTGTTAATCACGACATTTGAATCTTTTTTGGAAAGTTTTCTGCAAGTGTTGGATCACACAGATGGAAGCTTGAGGTTGATTCATTGATCAAGTCCAAAAAGGAAATATGTGATTGTATAGGAGCAGACACTCCAGATCAGATAACCGATTGAATGGACCTGTATTACGCTGTCCCCGCCTCTTCATCATATACGCAGAGCAACGGGATCATTATAAACATTTATACCAATACTGGGAACGAACTGACACCATTTTATTGAAAAATTCTCAATTCTCTTGCTTCTATAGAGGCAGGTTTGGTTTTCCTTGTGTATCAGTTTGTACATAAACAACGTCTTGGTGTTACAAGCAACTCAAACAGCAATGTACATCTTTCTTCGAATTCTTTGTGCTAAGCGCCATCATGGACCCTATTACATGATCAAGTTCTAGAATGCTATCATTTATTAGATTGATTTGATACAATTGGATACAGCTTGTCAAAAAGATGGAACTCTTAGTTGAATCAGAAATTAACGTAATAATCAATACGCCTGTCAAATATTGCATACAATACTCTTCGGAAGCACATATCTTCTTGCAAAGCTTCCGGTTTTTCCTAACGCTAAAAGGTTAATGTGCATCAGGGAATGAGAACATCATGCATTCATCCAATGATGTGCTAAACTCGTCTTCGAGTTGCACACAGCAGTCTCTAGATCAATGGACATGTAATGATGGAAGCGCATGTCTGTCTACACGCTCATGATATGATATCATTAGCTATTAACATAACTGAGCAATACGATCGATAGAGCAAAATCAATGCTTTTTTTTTCTTTTGTTTACATGTTATTTAGCCTTATTTATTAAAAAAAAAATCAAGTTACGCTTCCAATGCTTCTTCAAATTCTTCTTAAACACCGTGTTTTTCGGTCTATATGACTTAATCATCATCATTAGTAGTTGTAACTACTTGGTCTAAATATTGAATTGGGGAACGCGGCTAGATAAATACTCGTATAAATGAAACTTTTATCCATGCCTGATATTATCGTCATCATCATCATTCCAAGAAATACTTGAGGACCTAATGTGTACGATGCAAATCACCCAATATCCTGCTTCTTGGTGCTCTGATTGATTACATCTGCCGCCAAAAAGTCTAACCCTAAATCTTAAATTTGCAGGCTTGATACGGATCATCTCCTGTTGACTTTATACGTATGGCACTTGTGTCTAATATTAGGTATTTGATTCGTATAAGACAGAATGTTTTACAGTACACCTGTCTCTCTCCATGACGACACACATGATTGAGGCCTAACTTGTCATTGCCTTGCATTGTTTATATGTATATACGGAGATGTCGTTTGCCTATATTAGGCAGCTATTCAACATTGGATACCGGACAAAGCTCAAATGGTTTTTGTTTGCATTTATAAGCATGCTGATGAGATCCTGAAAGAAGAGGAAGAATGACAAGCCTGAACTCATATCACGAAAATGCTTACATTTGACTGAACCCTTAAATAAGATTGGAGCTAATTGCTGGTGAAGATAGGCGCACTCAGAATCTACCAGCTGTCAACGAGGTAGCAGCCATCATTCCGAATGAATATTCTGATGCAACTTTTAAAGATATCCGTATCACATACCGAAGTAGCTTTTCAGCCAGTGGTAATTGTCTCTTTTTTTTGAACGAATCAATCAAACACATACTGTCTACATGTCATGTTGAAATGCCACAAATCATGATTAGGATGCTGGGATTACATACATTTTACTGGCGAGCCAGGCTGACTGGCGCTGTCAGATAATAGAATGCCCAACAAAAGCAAAAAAAAAAAGTGTGTTTGGGCTAAGCTATTGTCCTTTCAAATCCATGATCCTCTTTTAATCAGCATCACAATCATCATTGTCATCATCGGAAAGGTATTTGGGCCAGCCAGCAGCAATGCCATCGCTAAAATTGATTCAAACTCAGTTTATTCTTTCTGTTCGAGATTGGACAGATTTCGTCTTCTTTTCGACTTCTTTAATTTATTTTATGATATTCGACTATAGAGACTGTGATGATCACCCTGTGCTTCCTAATACATTCCTGAAGTACTTTTCAAGGCGCTTCCAATGGTGCTAACTGTAACAAGTGTTTTGACTGAAACTATTGAGCAATTTGGTAAAATATGAAATGAGGTTTTTAGCGAAAATAGGCATATTTTACATCTGAAAACCTCATAAAAGTGATTTCATAGGTTGCTTTGGATCGAGATAAATATTTTGGCTCAATATACTCTATAGTAAAAGTCTCCATTTCCAAGGTAAAAAAATACGATCGTTTGATTTTCGATGAAAACCATGAGGTACCCCTCATGCTTTTTGGCCGATTTTTGGCCATGTTTTTTTGGTTCCCAAAAAGTTGAGCAACGGTGTCAGGAAGTTACTACTACTCAAGTACAATTGTTTGGCGTTATCCCGGTGGCTCAGAAAGGTCTACATGTCAAGATATGAAGGCTTGAAAGCTGTCAAATTTGTTAGTGTTTATACATTTGCTTGCCAATAGGCGCGTTCTTGTTATAATTCAAGGGCGCAAAGACATTGTATGCTTTAATTTAGATTCAGAGTATGCTATTAGATCCAAATATTCAGCTGGAAACAGTAAGTTGAATGGCACTAATGTATCGCTGGATTATAGCACAATGATGCAGCTTGCTAGTGAGACGAAGGCGGTTGTAAGGCATTCTGGAAATTGTAGAAGCAATAGAGAGTCTGCATCTAATAAAGACTATACGGTAGTCCATTGCTTGGTAGTTCAAATCACTAGGTTATCTGTATCATATTCGCGAAGTTGGCGTTAACACTACCACAAGCAAGACGATAAGCCAAGGAACACTTGTTTACCGTCCATCAAGCCCAAAGCCTATACGTATATCGTCATATAGGGGCATATCAGTTTTTAACGTTTTACTTATATATCTTCACTATATATACTGTAAAACATTCAAAAAAAAAAGTAGACAAGCTAAATCATATCCTTTCAAAATTTTAAAAAATTGTGTGTCGTACAAGGTGAATAAAACCATCGGCAAAGCCGGCAATGGGGAGGGGGTGTCACCGTAGCGAAGCAAAGATGTAAAATCATGGTATTAAGGCGTCTAATCCAACACTTGGTAATATTGATCTATATGAGGCTTGATCGCAGCGAAGCGAAGGTACAAAACCATAGTGTTCAAGCAGCGAATTCGGTTACTCATTTCCATTACTATCAAGCTTACCAACAACATAACGTATCAAAATTTGCATGAATTAGTCTTACCAAAATCAATATGTCTCCTACTCGAATTAGAAGTTGCACAGGCTGCAGAACTGCGCTTCTAGAAGATTTCAATTACTAAAGATGTGATTCATGCCGTGTAAATAAAAGCCATAAAGCAAAACGTAACCAAATTGGACAGCTTTCAAGCCTTCATATCTTGACATGTAGACCTTTCTGAGCCACCGGGATAACGCCAAACAATTGTACTTGAGTAGTAGTAACTTCCTGACACCGTTGCTCAACTTTTTGGGAACCAAAAAAACATGGCCAAAAATCGGCCAAAAAGCATGAGGGGTACCTCATGGTTTTCATCGAAAATCAAACGATCGTATTTTTTTACCTTGGAAATGGAGACTTTTACTATAGAGTATATTGAGCCAAAATATTTATCTCGATCCAAAGCAACCTATGAAATCACTTTTATGAGGTTTTCAGATGTAAAATATGCCTATTTTCGCTAAAAACCTCATTTCATATTTTACCAAATTGCTCAATAGTTTCAGTCAAAACACTTGTTACAGTTAGCACCATTGGAAGCGCCTTGAAAAGTACTTCAGGAATGTATTAGGAAGCACAGGGTGATCATCACAGTCTCTATAGTCGAATATCATAAAATAAATTAAAGAAGTCGAAAAGAAGACGAAATCTGTCCAATCTCGAACAGAAAGAATAAACTGAGTTTTAATGTATGGCATGTTACGAACGATAGTAATATATTACTTTTATCATTGTGACAAGCTAGCCATTATTCAAAATGTGGCCAAACAGTTGTCGAATTTATCAATTTTCTTCAAAAACTCTTGCCTGCGTTTATGCCTGCGTTTATGGTTGCGTTTACACAATGTCATGCCAGGCAAATCTGGTTCAGATACTTTTAAGCGAATATGAGCTTTATTCAATCATGTGCGAGGGATATAGTGGGTAATGCTCATTTGGATGCTGTTGATGAGAATTTTGTTAAAGATAATATTTAATAGACTAGTTTTGAGCAAGTTTACATTTCTTGCGAGGACGTTTGACCACCAGCTTGGATTCGTAGACATTACGAGACAAACAGTACTTGTATCCAGTGACAATGGAATCATTCTCTTGGAATGGCTTCAAATCGCCTTGGCTTGGTACGATCAGGTAGTTGCAATTGAATGGATGCTGAATGACTTGATAATCATAGTCGTCATCATCATTGTCATATCGTTCAAGTAAGTCGTTTACTTCCCGTACTAAGTCTTGAATGTCGAAGTAATCAGCTTCATGTCTCAGCTTTCTCAATCCTTCTTCAGTCTTAGAATAGATCTTTTGTGATCTCCAGTATTCCAAAATGTCTTGAAATATCTCGCCATTCCTATCAATGAAGATCTCCAATACTGGGGGCTTGTTTTCGTTAATTACACTAATACCGGCATTGCTGTGATGAGTCTGTGCTTGCTTCTTTTTGTACTTGTCTAACAAGACGCTCGACTTCTTTATTGTATCGTAATTGATGAGAAAGAGCTTTCCGCCTACGTTTAGCTTGAGTAATTGCACTTCGCTGGCCATGTTGTGAAAATGGGAGAACAAAGAAAAACGAAAGAGAAGGCGATGGTGCATGATTTTATCATTTGAATGGTTTATAGTGCCGATACTATCAATAAGGTCCTGATTAAATTTGATTCCACAGCTTGACAACTTTTCAGAAGCACATCTACAGTCAAGACCCCATAATACTGTACGAGAATTAAACAGCATGATACTTTTAGATCAATTCAGATTATGCTATTGCTCATAACTCATCCAGCATATAAATGTAACCGACAAAACTTATTAATCAATCGAGTAGATCAAGGCCCAAAGATCTGATACTTGCAGAATATTGCTATTTTATAACAAGAATAGATGATATGCTTTTTCTTGGAGCATTTTGCGTAATTGCTTCTTGAATATAAACCTGCTGCTGAGAGGCCAGTGATCTAACATTACTGGCAGTGAGATAGCAGAACCATTGAGGTTGACGACATTAGAGGAATAAGCACGACTGTGCTAACCTTTAGTGAGTCAAGTGAAATATCCTCAGGTGATTATCCATAAATCCAATTATCAATCATTTCATGGGCAATTACAATACCTATCTTGCTTGAAGAAGCAATGCATTTTCAGGTACATTTTATGCAGAAAGGAATACCTTACTACTACAAAAATATCTCAAATTGCAGCGTACTTGGCCATATCTAATCTTTAGGCTCTCTACTGATTTGCACTATTAAAATAGTCCAATAGCATGAAGAAACTCTATCATTCACAATGTTACAGCCGTTGACCAATTGTAAGATCGAAAGGTTCAAGCTTTTTTCGAGACATAATCATTGGATAAACTACATATTTTGCCCACGGTACCATCAAAGTTTTATTTAGCAACGAGATTCACAACTGATGGCTAGAAAAACACAAGACTGAATCTCTTTCGGTACCTTGCAATGTCTACTTTGCAACGCGATGGTCATCCGCTAGTTTGAAAAGACCAGCAATGAAGAATCGACAAACCAAGCATTTGATCCAATGAATTGACAATCTCGACTTCATTACGCTGCATTGCGTTGCTGTTGTCGCTTCAATTGGTACTCCGTATTCAGCTGTGTCATCAGATTTTGTGTGGTTCTTTCTATAAATCCTTCTTGTTTATCTATATTCTCATTATTTCATCCATAAATTTCAATGCTATATAACAAAGAAAAATTAGTCCGAGGCCATCGTCGAGAGTCAGCATTATTTACGCTTGTGGAATTGCAAGATCTCAGAGGTTAGAAAGTATATACAACACAAACGATTGAAACTATGTATAAACCAGATTGTTCATCATCATGTAGCTCATCAAAGAACATTTGAAGGTGCATACTGGAGAACTGCTTTGGCTGCTTTTTCTTCAGGCCTGCTCATTTTGAAAGTATTTACTCGAGAGTTTTACAAGATTGGCATCACATTTTTTGTGTTTGGATTAGCCATGTTAGCTATAGCGCTGTGGCGTAGAAGAACTTCGTTTGATGTATTTGATTCAACCATTCCCTATAAAACCAGTGGTGATTGGGTCATCTTGACGACTGTAGTAACCATGGCAACGTACATTGTGCTGCTTGTTTTACTTTGGAACCTTTAGCATGTAATCAAGAACAGAAACAATTCAAAATCATACCCCCCCCCATAACAATAGTTCTCGCTCAACATTGCGCTTAGAAAATAGGAATGAGAGATAAAGTCTATTCCAAGCTAGCCCTACATCTTTCTTATATATACACATCAAATAAACATAACGGAGATATTCTCCAACATATAGCACAATGATTTGGTTGTACAAATTGCAGAATCGTCCTTCTCACGTGTGCATGCTTGTATGGGTAGAATGAGGCCAAACAAGTGTGCGAAAAAATCATTAATGTTACAAAATCATATAGAAAATCAAGTAAAATTAAAGAAGGTTGCCATGAATTGACAGGTCGCAACACGTGCGATTCTATAGGATATAAAATGAATCTACCAATGGAATTGACCATGAAGTAATTGTCTTGCCTTTGATTCATCAACATTAGCATTGGCATCTGGGAATATAAATTGAGAAATTTAAGTGTTTTTTCTTCTCTCTTCCTTTCTATTCTTTCTTTCTCTCTCTCTCTCTCTCTCTCTCTCTCACACACACACACACACACACACACACTTTCTCTTTTCTACTTGTCTCTATTTATTCCCTGAATTTGTTCATCAAACACCATGTCCATCATGCAAACCAAAGAATGCCACATCTCAGACTGCGAGGATAACGACGATGAAAGCGAATGGGATTTATCCAACACGTATGAAAGCAGTTCGGAAAATGATGAAGCATCCAGCGACGAACACAAGGATCATTATTTCGACCCTACAAAGATCACGACCTCTTTACCGTTGTTACCCTTCAACAATCAAGTAGGCGGGCACGCGTCCTTTTTCCGTTTCTCAAAACGAGCCATCTGCAAGCCTGTGTCTAGCAGAGAACAAGAATTTTACGAACACATTGATGCCAAACATCACGAATTGCTTCCTTTCACCTCCCAATACATGGGTGTCCTCAACGTCACTTATCGCTCTACTGGAACAGCTGAACCTCCAGTGCCTGAGGTGCTGTTTGAAAAGAATAAGCATTTATTGCGCGATTGGCATGCTTGTGCAAACAATCTGGGTAGGCGCCATTCATCCTCATGCTCCCCAGGCTCGCATCCTTCGCAGGACTATCTGAGGCCCTCCATCTGTCGTGCTCGATCCAAAAAGTTTCAAGAGCAAGTGCTTCGAGAGGTGTTTTCTCCAGAGGCTCTCAAGGAGAGGTTGGTCCTGGCTGAGGATTGGAAACGTCGGAATAGACTTCCCAGTAATGCAAGCAGTGGCAATTTGGAGGAACTCAAATCTTGTTGGGACTCCACTCAACCTGAACTTGCACACAGTTACTCTGATCGCTTCCCTGTTAGAAAATTATGGAGGGACGAGAATCCAATTGCGGAAGGTGGCCGATCCGTGCCTATCATGAGCACTTGTCAGCACCATCAGCCAGCCGAAGATGACTTTGATGAAGATGACGACAGTAGCACACTCACAGATTCAATTGATACCATGACACTAGAACCAAGACGACCTTCTTTTATCAGCTCAACAGCCTCTTCACCCAGCATCAAGAAGGAATCGCCCGGAGAATCAGTTGATGACGATAATATATTTACAATGGACGACTTTGATGTTGGAAAGCGGCCTCACCTGGATACAATGAAACGAGCACCACCCAATATTCCACTCTTGCAAGTTGATTCCACATGCCTCAAGAAACAGAATAACAAACAAAGAGATTGTGCGACATCAGATACCAATGCGAAGCGACTCAACAATCCTTGGTCTCTGCAGATTTACAACCGTGATTTACAGAAGATACGGAACAGAAAGCAGACAAACGCTGCAGACGAGCCACAACAGACTATGCAAAAGTACATCCTTATTGAAGACTTGACCGACGATGTGAAATATCCTTGTGTACTGGATCTCAAAATGGGAACTCGTCAATACGGCGTCTATGCCACACGTGAAAAAATGAGAAGCCAGACGATCAAATGCGAGAAATCCACTAGCAAAGTGCTGGGTGTGCGAGTGTGCGGCATGCAGGTAAACTTGATTCTGGGTCGTGTTTATTGCGTATTAATCCGCGTTTATTGTAGGTGTACAAGACCAACCTGAGAGAGTTTCTGTTCCAAGACAAATATTATGGTAGGACTTTGACGCCAATATCATTCTGTCATACATTAGAGGCATATCTTGATAATGGAAATGGTTGTCAAATAAAACATATACCCGTTATCGTTAGAAAATTGCGTAGATTAGCAAGAATTGTAAAAACTATGAACGATTATAGGTTTTATTCTTCTAGTTTACTGATGATTTATGATGGTAATGCTAGCAGTGATCGCAAAATCGATGTTCGTATCATTGATTTTGCAAACTGCGTTACGTCTGAGGATGTCCAATGTCAATACCAGAACTTTACATATCCACCAAGAAACAAGGGGCCTGACAATGGTTACTTGCTCGGTCTGAAATCACTGGTTTTATGCTTTGAACGCATCTTTGCAAAACATGGCGGCTCTGCTCAAGACCTGTTTACGGAAGGTGATGATGTTTTTCAAGACATTTACGAAACTGCCAATGACGAAGCTATCGCAAGCATAATGCAACAGTAATTACCATGTATATATATATATTCATCCACATCGTATAGTTACCCTTCTTCCCGCAACGCTGTAATAATCCAAAAATCATAGCTTCCTTGTATTATACTCTCTTAATCAATAAAAAATTATAACATTTAAAACAAACCAAACTTGATGGCAATAGTATATTTATTATACTAGTTGGTTTTTTACATATTTTATAGCATTATTATTAGATGAGAGAGGGGGATTCGGCTTTTGGTGATTCTTTTTCTTGTACTGTGCTGTCTTCTTCTTCTACCACTTCTTCGCTAGCATCCACAAGAGGCTCCTCTTCGATTTCTTGCTCTGCCTTACTAACAACATCGACAAGAGGCGATGATTCCTCAGTAGTAGTTTGTCTGTTTAAAATTTCAGGGAAGAGATTAGGGTACTCTGATGGATCTGCTAAGCTCTCGGCTGTCTTTTTGCGGTTTTTGCTCTCGAGTCCAGACTTCCATAAACCAACGATTCTAGAGATTTGATCAGGAGCGTAAGTTCTAGCCAGCATGGCAGCTTCAGGGATACGGTCTGTCTTGATTAGCAAATCAATTGCTTCTTCCATTGCACCCAATTCGAAGAGGCAAGTAAATGCGATGTTGTTCTTGCCTTGTTCAACTAATAACACGTTAATAAGAGTGCTTCGTGGTATAATCTATGCAACTTACTGGCTGTATCGGCAATTTGTCTGATACCAGCACGGTTACCATTGGCTGTGTAGAAGAGCAATAACCCACTAAGATCCTTTGCCTTGATTAGACATTCTTCAGCCAACTTGAACTTCCAAGAGGACATGGCGACATCACCCAGTGTTCTCCACTTGGGCTCAGAATCGACTTGATGTGCAATTTCGGAGGCAATGTCGAGCTTACCGAGTTGAATAGATAGATCAAATCGTTGGTCGATATCAGTAGTTACTTCGAGCGCCAATTCTTTGAGGTCTTGGGATTCAAGGAATCTGGCGACACGGCCACGCTGATCAGTAGGAATAGACTCGAGTAAACCAGCAGCGGAATCGAGATCACCACGGAGAATGGCGGTTTGGTATTGAATGACGGTCAAAGATAATCCATAGCTGTAAACATTGACGTCTCTATCTGCCATGTAAATTCTATTATCTCTAGGAGCGTAGCCCAACAGGTACATGGGCTTGTCAAAATGACTGATAGTGTATGTCTCTGTACCAACAAGGTAATTCATGCGGTTGGAAGTGTTGGTGTAAATGAAACAATCGCCAGCCCAAGTACCAGTCTTGACACCTTCAGGAATTTCAGTGATAAACTCGAAAGCATCCTCAACACCCTCCTCTCCTGGATCGCCGCCATTTTCAAGGAATTGGGCATAAGCTTGAGCATTGTATCTCAACACGTAGAATGAGTCTTCACAAGCAATAGCAATCAAATCGCCAGCATCAGACCAGTACACACTTCTAGAATCGACATCGATACGACGAACAACTTCTCCATTTTCCCAATCATAAAAGTTCAAGAAGCCGTTACCACGAACACCAAGCAAAGCACCACCATAAATTCCTTCGGCACTGTAGTTCAGCTTAGGGAGTAAACCAGCTCTTTCCTTGAAGTTCTTAAAGACCTTGACCTTTGTAGAGGACTCACGGACAGCATACACATTTGAATCGTCAGCCCAAACAAAATCCAGACCGCTGCCAAAACTCTTGTTTCTCCAAGCCAAAGCAGTGTAAATGATATACTCGCCATCGCCACATACGACAACAAAACGACCGTTGGGAGAGTGTTGCAGGGTTTGAGGGTAGACTTCGCAGCTTCCAAGATCCTTGATGGGCAGAGCCAAACGCTCGCCGTCCTTGACATTATCATCAATACCTGTTTTGATGTTGGTTGTTTGAATTTCAGAGTGCTTGGCCCAGATAATCTTTCCAGACAAATCCATAGAGACGGCAGGCTCCTCTCTGCCAAGTTTGATAACAACAGCACCTTCATCGTAGCCCAAAGCTACATTGTTGCCGTTCTTTTGAGTGGCCATGCACCAAGAGCGCTCCAAGCCATAGTTTAATGTGTTTTCGAGGCGGTAGGTATCAGAATTCCAGAGACGCACAGTGCCATCCTCAGAGCCTGACAAAATGATGGGTAAATTGGGGTGGAAAGCAGCGAAATTGACATTTTGGTTGTGTCCTTCGAGTGTTTGAACGCAGTTTTTGTTCTGGTAATCCCAAATCTTGACAAGATTATCATCAGCGCAAGAGATCAAATAAGGCTTGTCACCACCTTGATAGTAATCGACAAAATTAACACCCTTTTCATGGCCATCCAAGGTGAAGTTGGGGACGTTGGATCCAAGTGACCAGACCTTGATCATGCCATCAAGACCTGCAGATGCAAATGTGTTGGAATCTTTGGGGTTGAATGTCAAGTGCATGACAAAGTGAGCATGGCCTTCAAAGACCTATTTCAAGTACAGTAGCGTTAATCTTCATCCTTGGCATATAGCGCATTAGGTTCCTACCTGAGCACACTTCCATCCCTTCTCCCAATCCCAAAGACGAATGGTCATATCATCAGAACCAGACAATAAAAGAGGTTGAGTAGGGTGAACTGCAAGACAACGAATGTAATCGGGATGAGCTTCAAAATGGGTCACCTTCTCAAGTGTGTTGTAGTTGAATACACGAATTTGAGAATCATCAGCACCAGTAATAATCCAATTTTTACGAGCAACAAACTTTGCAGCACGAACTATAGTATAACACACGATCAGTATTCATCCACAATGTGCTGTCTGTGTATGTCTGTACCGGGTGTTTCTGAAACTTCGATGGTTTTGACCAAGGCCTATTCAAACATGCACTGAGTGAGTTGTTTAAGCACTCAGACAGCAATATTTACCTGTGTTTCGTAGTTGTAGATTTGAACGATGCCGCTGTATAAACTGGTCAATAGCCAAGGCTCAGTTGGGTGCAAGTCGACGCATTTAACACGTTCTGAACGCGATAACAATTTACGCTGCAAGTCAAAAATTCCATGTTAGCGTCTCGAAGATACAGGTTACTGGGAATATTGCTGTTGCTTATACTTGCCTTAATATCAATGCGCATGCCCTAGAAAATGAGGAAAGAGATTAGCAAAGGGTTTTATATGTACGCGTAAGCAACTTCAAAGAATCAAATGGCATTTATGTTCAAGTGCTTCCTCATCTTGACCCTTCGTCGAATAGTGCCCTTTATTTAATTTAGCTGAAATAAAGAGGCCCACATCCAATGTGACAAAAAAGACAAGATGAAGCACCCACTCGATATGTAAAATATCCACAAAGAAACAGCATAATTTACCATTTTTAATAGTTGACAAAGTGTCTTGTGGTGAGTCTTGTAGAAAAAAACGGTAAAGCAAAAGAAGTTGTTTTAAAAAGAAACAGGATGTATAAACTTGAGCTATTTGGAACACCTCACTGGAGTGCAGCCAATCCAATAAGAAGTGGAAACGAAGATGTAAGTGGCACGTATCGCGGTTATTTAAAGTAGCATTCTATCATCTGCTCAACAAAAACGTTGACCACTTTGCTTGAGTCATATTCGCCTGTAGGCAACATAATTTTGACTCTTTCGGTACACATTATAGTAGACATAATATGAGGCACGCATTTGCAGTATGTCTTTTTCAGCAGGTCCAGGGTTCATCTTGCTCGTATGACAGACATTTATGGCATGAAAGGTGATAACGCAAACCTTGCTCATTGGATATCTATAATTATGGGTGATGTTGATTAGAAGCATCTATGAAAGCTCAATTAAAATGACATTTTGCATCGTATATTAAAATAAACCAGCCTTCATATGGCATCTGTTGTATTAAACCCTTAATTATCTCAAGAGATTTCATCAGCTCTTTCATTATACTATTCGTTTCAGAAGCATAAGGAATAACAATTGTTTATCCTAAACACATGTAAAATACGTAGAGGGCGCAATAAGGAAGCGATCTGCCATCTGACGTTTCGTTTTCATCATGCGGTGATCGTATAGCAACTCTATACAAAGTTTATCATTACAATCCTGTCAGAAAATATATTAAAACTTATTTGCACTACTGATCTACTTGAATTCGTTAAAGATACTTGCATTATCCGACCTTTTCACGCCAAAAACAATGCCCTGAACCATCAAAACGAACACTGCGCTACATACACTGCATTTTGAAGATTTGACAAAAAGAAATGCTGGTAGCAGGAATCGAACCTGCGTCGACACGGCCACAACGTGATGTACTGCCACTATACTATACCAGCTTCCATATTTAGTAATTTTAAAGCAAAAATATATTCAAATAATTAACAAAATAACAAAACGTGATTTTTCATAGCTCTCTTCACAAACTTGATCGCTCTAATTACTATTTAGTGCTTGGAATAACTTCTTAAATGGCTGAAAGGCTGTTACGCTACCCCCCTTGCATGAGACTTAACGTTGCACTTCTACATCGAGTAACAATAATATGCAAAATATAACTTATTTAACTCAACAACACAACAAACCTTCTCGCGTTGTATATTACATAAGAGGATCTGAGAATGGGCAGAGATGCATAGTAGAAGTGAGAGGTCTTTATTCAAGCAGCACGAAGGAACATGAGCGGTGCCATCAAATGGCTAATCTATATCCTGGTTCCTAGAGAGTGGTAGCCTATGGCCTTTCGTCCCTGGAAGTGGGTTTCAATTCCGACAAATGTTCTTCTGTCAAAGCTATTAGGAAGAACATTCTATCCTGGATCATCTTTGTTGTTTATCCTTGACTGGTGGTTCATGAGTTCTTATGCAGCACATTCTCGTTAACTGGTTCAAGGCTTATACAATTATTCCGCATTCAAGATCAAGGTCCTATTGCTGCGGCACTGTCAAATAACTATAAATACTTTGATATCTACACTAGTTTTGATCCCCATTCAATCTTCGAATAACTCAATAAATATATTATTCAGTTTTAATTGTAGTTCCTCTGTCTATATTTCATTATTCTAAACAGCTGCAAATGGAAATGCACACTTCATGAGATAATCAACATTGGAGATGCTATTTTTAAGCGGGAGAATATACATACTTTAAATTGGAAACGTTATTATTCTTGAATAAAGCAAGCTACAGTTGTCTAGTCTTGACAACAAGGTTCTTCAACATGTCAGGTATCTATTGATAACTTAAAACTAGCATGTTATTATGGCCCTTTTCGTACGCTCCAATTTTTAAAATGCTTGGTCAAATGCACACTTGTGTGGTGTACACATGCGGAAGGTCAACGGAGCTTCAATTTATAATATTCTAAATGAGGATCCATAGGATTCCAAAATCTATCGACCTTAACATTACGCGTTTCTTGATAGTAAACACCCCTTCAAACTTATAAACTTGTAGAGAATTTAAAGGAGAATACAATGGTGTTTGTTTCAAGTCTCTGGTGTACATTGTTCACCTGATATTTGGTACGATTGATTTTGCAATTTTTTGACTCTTTTCTAAAGATTAATTAGTATCTGTCATCAAAACATTTTGTTAAGCAATACTAAACATTGTAGACCAAAAAACTTCCTGTCGAATGAGCTATTGCTTGAAGCTCTAGCATAACTCTATCATGAAATATTGAAAATATTGTCCTGACCGAAAAATCGTCACCAGATTTTTTGCTTGCTATCACAGGCAGATTTTAAAGAAAAATCCATGATTTTGCATGATACTCTTTTTTGACCATATCTCAACAAATACTCACTGGATTTGCACAAAACAAAGACCGTTTGATAGCTCTACGTTAGTCCTATTATAATATAAGGGTTTCAAGTACCAGATGTACGCTCCCTTCATAAACTTGCTCAAAATTATATATTTTATGAGCTACAAGCAGGGAATATTCAACTTTTTATTTATCTATCTATAGTAACCATACCATCGTATAGAAAATTGAAAAAGAAACAGAAGTTATTAAGCTTGAGCTTTCGTTCACTTAGTAAGATCTGTTGTATTCACACATCTAAATGTTCCTGAATCACAATATCGTAGATTGAATTCAGTAATAAACTATGCACATATGGAGCATATGTAAATAAACTGTATCAACATGTAAACGATAACCATGATATTCACATAAGCTAAGTTTCAGTAAGCTATTCTCTATATGTCAAAAGATAGCAGATAAGGAATGTAAGTAATTAACGTTGCCAAGAGCAACGAAAGATATTTAGACTAATCATCATCTATATCTGAAATAATTACCATCTAGCATAAGTGAGGATTGACACTAAAACTTAGCATGAGTACACCATTCTAGACGGGTGTGTAAGCAATCCATAAATCATACATATAAATAGCAGTAGACATTCACTCTTCCCTCTCCTCTTCATCTGATTTTACGAAAATAAACTTATATCCATTCTCACGTACTTTCAGATTTACAACAAGATCCAGCGGTATGGCCCTTTGAAAATCGGTCATTTTGAACATTTTCCGTCATTACTCATTGACATCGCCCTCAATAACCCCACATCAAACATGCCCTACTCAATCAAAGTACCCTCTACAACTTTCACTACACATACATCCCACATTCATATAGTAATCTAAAAAGTTTTACTAGCAGCATCTATTCAAAATGAACTACTATTTTCTAAAATCTCCCTTTTCTCAACGACCATGCTACCTACGCAAATTTCAATTACACTATCGTTTAGAGGGCAATAGCGGGGTCTAAAATTAAACAAAAACTCCGAAATAGGAGTACGAAATTTCTTTAAACGATTTTGATTGGCTTGTTCGTTGAGCTTTGTATCTGCTCTACCATGTTAATTATATAATGATGCTATGCTGTTTGATGATAATAATCCTTTATGAAGTGTAATATATGCTTTTAAATGGTTATTAAGGGCAGTCTAGGTGTACTAAAGTGCCTTATGCTATATTGAATATGTAGTAGGCATATTATATAGTTCTATTTTCTTTTGGGCTTTCAACTGTTTGATTCATTTTTTATGAAGAAACAGTATAATATTATATAGTATTGTTGGCAGTAGTGGCGAAGACCTTTTTGAGAAGCTTCATTCGTTTATAAATGCCCACAGAAGATTTGGTCCATTCGCAGAAATGAAAATATGTATGAAACATAAAAGTGAATGCTCGTCAGAACGACAGGTGTATGTTATATCGTCAATATATGAAGGATTATTGTAGTTTTGACCTGTTTTTTTATATCATATGCATATGTATATGTATAGACTTTGAATTAATGCTATCCTAATAAGTGAGATGCAAAAGTATATGGGTCTCACCAAGCTAGATAGTGAAATTCATGAGCATTAACCGTGTTGTTGTCGTATTGTGATTGATAGGATGATGGATGATATAGCCACTCAGTGCCATTCAAATTCTTCAATTGCATGTATATAAATCATTCATATTCAGTAAAAGCGATCAGCAATAAAAACACTATTGTGTGTACATGACATGTTTATTTTTATACGAAAAAAAGAAGCGAGCATCTGTGTGTGTATATGAGAGTGAGTGAAGATGAGTATATAAAAGAAAACGGAAGCATAGTTTCATAAGATGACAACAGATTGAATGAATTAAGATATAAAATTATTGAACGAAATGAAGAGGATTTTGATGGCACTATAAGGACAACGACATTTCCTTACGACAGCAGATTTCTTGCCTCATTTTCCATGGATTGTTTTGTTGATTCATCCAATCCCTTTGACCAGCCTGTGGTCGATGACTCCACCCAATCTTCCCATTTGCCTGTTGTTGACGGCGATTCCTTGTTGCCTCGTTGCTTGTTGTTTGCATCGTGAGGACGAACGAATATATCTTCTGAACCAACAATGTAGTACATGTGATAGGTATCTTGATCAATCTTGTATTGAAGTTTGGAGCGAACAAATATCTTGTTCAAATGCTCATCTTGAGGTCGCAGATTACTATCAAGTGCCGTGTTAGAGTTGAGTAATAGCTCAGCTAGAATAGCAATGCTTACCGAGTTAAAAAGGTGGGCTTCATACTTGCTGCATCGATACCTTCAGTTGTGTTCACCCAATCCATATAGCTTGCAACGTAGTCTTCGTATTTATCAGCTGCTGTAGGCTCCAACATGTAGTCGTCTTTGCCAATGAGCTGGATTGTCATGTTTCTAGCATCATTATCCTAAATCAATCTTGTCAGTGTACTTGTGCAAAGCAGCACACACACAAAAAAAAAGACACTTACGAAATTCAATTTGTAAAGATTCTCTTCCGATCCAACAATATCTTCAGCCCTTAATCGATACACAGACAAGATTCTAGGCGACATGGATTCCAGTCCCTTGTCACTGCGGAATAGTCGAATAAGTTCAACTGATTTAGGGTCGACTGTGATGGCTTGAATCTAATGGCAGTGTTTATAAGTGTCATGTCGTGTATGTAAATGAACTATCCACCTTACCTGTTTCACCATGGAATGCACAAGTTTATCAATTGTAAATATGAGGTATGCATCCGTTGTGAAGATATAACGCGTGTGCTCCTCAAAGACTTGCTGGTCAATGTCACCATCAAAGAAACGGTCAATCATTTCGAGGATAGCACTGTAATAGCCCTTGGAGACATCAACATCTAATGAAGCCAGTAAGTCTACTTTCTTCCCCTCGAAATAAAAGCCATATCCATCTTACCATCAAAGCGACTACTGTACAATCCAAGATCACGAGCCACCTTATTGACACGTTTGCCCATGTTGGGGTGCTTCTTCATTTCTTCATCCAATGCGTGCAACTTTGATAGTCTTTCATACAACATTTCATAGAGTCTAAAGAAACAATAAAATGTAGTATTGCAAAAGAAGCTATACAGAATTCTCTTCTTGACACCAGGTGCAATGGCAGCAGCAGCAGCAGCAAACAGTTTATCTCCAGAAGGCTCCTCGTTAGTTTGCAATGGGGAATCAGCAATAGTAGCAGCAGCGGTGTTAACAGCTTCATCGGTTAGGGTAGAAACGACAGTGGTATCAAGCTCAGTTTTGACATCAGCGACTTCTTCTAAAGGTGCAAATGGAGATGGCGAGCGAGAACGCAGCGTCAAGCTGCTTTCATCAAGCGCATTTTGATTCTTTGTAAGCACATCACGCAGAAGGTCCATGGTATGTTCATCTTCGTGGTGATTACGACTTCTACCAGATCTGCGACGTGAAGGAGACTGACTTCTCTTGCGAGGAGAGCGGGCCACATCGGATTCTGATTCCTCCGTGTTGGTTGAATTGTTGTCATCGTCGTCTTCAGCTAAATCATCTTCCTCCACCTCATCTGCATAGTGTGACATACCCTCAGGCACAACATCATCCAGTTGAAAACAGAGTGGTATAAAGGTTTGGATGAACGTACGAATCTTTTCGCGGTCGCTGCTAGTATAGCCGGTTTGTCTGTCAATAAACGAGTAAATAACACGCGTGACATCCTTGAAGATGCCATTGTCGTTGAATGCGAATTTGAATTGATAGCTTTCTTTGCTGTGCATTGCTTTATCGGATCCTCCTTCTTTCATCTTTTTATCGTGTTGCAAATTCTCAATCTCACTGACAAGTGCCTTGGGTGCCATGGCTTTACGATCGTTGCTCTTGAAGGTGATGCCTTGGTAATCCAAAGCTCTGTAAAAGTTCTTTGCGTCCAACTCTCTCCAGATCTTGTTCCATTCACGTTGAGCTCGCTTCCATTCCTCGTCCTTTTGCTTGAGACGTTTCAAGAGGATAGGTATCACTTGAGCAGGGTTTGAGTACAATAACTCGATAATCTCCATACCACGTTCCTTATCGTACACCTTCTTGATGATACGCTCGTAGATGGTGACGGATTGACCGCCTAAACCAGGGCGCAGCTTGAAGTTGGCACGCTCCTCCATGGACATGGCTTCGATACGATGGGCAATAGGCTCCAGCAAGGCAATAACATTCAAATTAGCCTCGATGTTCATATTGTAGTCGTAGCGCTCCTCTTCACAGCGATGCATAGCTTCCTCGTACTGACTCTTCTTGGAAGCGACGAAACCGTCGTCTTCGCTAGCCCAGATAGGATGCGACACATATTCATCATTCAACACTTCCCAAGCAATTTGATCTCTGCCAGAACAAGGTTGATTTTGCCACTACAAGTAACACATGAGTCAATCTGATAACGCATTCAATCATCCCAGACACACTTACATTCTTTGGCACACAACGATAACTTGGACTGTCAGCAGTCGTCTTGCAGTGAGCAAGATCAGGCTTAGGTATAGGATTGGTAGGCTTCTCAATGGGATGATCTTTGGGTTCATAGCCAACAATACTCTTGAACCAATCAAACAGCTCCTTGTTGTTGCCAATAAAAATGCCCACTTGTTCCACCAAGGTGTTCAGATCCAAGATTTGCTGAGTGTACAGATTCAGTGTCTTGAGGAACTCTTCATAGGATGGTTTGTTGCCAATATGCTTGCGGATGCGATCAAACAGCTCAATTTCTTCAGTGGACACAGAGGGTCGAACGGGGTCAAATGGAGAATTGGGGTAGCTGTAAGGATCACGCATGTTGTTTGACAGGATATCACCATTCTCCTTGTAGAGCTTGTTCTTTTTGGATTGTGTATTGTTGACTCGCTTCTTCTTTCCAGGTGGAAGCATGCTGTTGTTGGAAGCATTGTCGATAGCGCTGCGCTTGGAACCGCTGTAGTACGATGGCGAGATGGAATCAAACAGTACACTGGCAGGCTGGCCAGTGATATCAGGCAGGAATTGCTTAAATTCATCCAATAAATCAGGTGCGCCATTGAACAAGAACTGGACATGTGCATAAACCTGGGCAACATATAAAAGTCAGCATCACATCTCGTCTGTGGGCGTGTTGTATTTTACCTCCTGAATAGGTTTTTGATCTTTTTGATAGGTCTGAAGAATCTCTAGGAACTGCTTGTACACTTCAGGATCACCAGAAAATCGGTTCTAGTCATACAACATTCGGTAAACAACATGAACACGCATACACACAGACTCTGTGCACTTACCTTGATCTTGTTGACATAGTTGATCGCATGATTGAACTCAACAGGGGAACGTTTCTCGGTGGGAGCAGAGGGCTGAGTTGGACTATGATGAAGAGGAGGAGGCACAGGCGCACGATTATGCTGACTAGGTGGTGGAGGAGGCGGTTGGTAAATGGACTGACTCATCATGGATTGTGGGTGTGATTGTTGAGGCGGTGGTGGTGGGATAGAATGCATCGCATGGGCTGAAGACGCGCCTTGATGTGGTGGGTGATGCATAGAGCTGGATGGAGGTGGAGGTGGCTGATGCATGTGACCATATGGATAGTAAGACTGAGGTGGAGGTGGTGGAGGTGGTTGATGGTGGTGATGCTGCTGTGGATGTCCATGCATGGAGGCAGAATTTTCCGCTTCCATCTGCATTTTGCTGGCAGAACCACCTGTTGTAGTTGTAACACCACTAGGCGTGGTGACAGTAATCAAATCAGGCTCACGAGGATCTGTAGAACATTCAATACGATAGCCTGGAGGCAGAAATGTATTAAATCCCGAAATCAAGGTAGGATGGCCTTTGAACAAAGTGGATACGCGTTCAATCACACCAGGTGTATCAATGCTAGTAGAAGAGAGATGAGTGTTTGCTGCTTGATACGGGTCATCGCACACACTTACGCTTGACTCTTAAAGTCTTTCATTATGTCCAGGAATTGATTATAGACATCAGGATCATCAGAAAAGCGTACTTTGACTTGATCAAGATAGGTCAAAGCGTCTCTGACATTCAAAGGTCGATAGCCACCACCCTGTGATGATGAAGGAGAGGTGGTGGCGGCAGCCGATGAAGCGTTGTTCGTAGTCTGTTGTGGGTGCTGAGATGATGGTTGTGAATGTGGTTGACGATGCTGCTGTATAGGAGATGACTGGATAGATTGTCTCACAATACTTGGTCTACGCTCATTGAAAGGTGGGGTCGCTGTACGAGATGGAATAGGCGGTAATACAGTGCTTGGGCCATTGGCATGATCATTGCTGCTGCTGGAGAGCGAGCTAGCAGGAGGCAGAGTATGGTGGTTGGTGAATGAAGGCGAGGCACTGGTACGAGAAGGAGATAATATGGATGGTAATTCAGTAACTCGTGATGGCGGTGGAGGCAATGGATTGCTCATAGATTGGGCTGCTGATGGTGATGGTTGGCGTTGCTGTTGCTGTTGAGAGCCTCCACTTTGAGCAAGATTGGGTGGTAGAGGAAGATGATGAGAATAAGGTGAAGGCACTGATGGAGTTGTTGCTGCTGCTGGTGGAACAGCACCAGACGTAGGTTGAGAAGATGACTGTGAGCCAACAGATGGCGACCTAGAGTAAGATAAGAAGGATTGATGAGTATGTCTGTGTCTCTTTGAATGATTGCATATATTTACCGTATATTAGGTGGCGGTTGAATAGGGGATGACATAGCTGGATTAAACGTAAGGTAAAGCGGAAAGGAAGGAAGAGGGAGAGGGAAAGGGAGAGGGAGAGGGAAGGTGTGAGGTGAACTTTGAGTTGCTTCTTTTCCTAGGGCCCAGAGGAGTGTAAATGATGACCAATAAGCCACACACAAACGAGCATGGAAGTGTGTGTATCTTGATGTTTGAGAATCCATCATTTGGTTCACATCAAGCACGAGGAGGACATAGATCGTTACAAAGCATTGCTTTTTATCATGCTATTTTACCAGGCAGTTTTTTAGTTTGAAAATGGGGATTTTTCAAGCCATTGGGACAATGCGAATGCTGCTTTAAAATGTGATGGATGTACATTTGGTACATGGCCAACGATAGGGGGGGTGGCAGATGCGTTCAATCATGCAAACAAGCCTTGACGATGTTGAGTCGATAGTGCAGTAGGGCAGTATTCGTTGATTTTATGCTTGAATTAGATGATGAAATGTTGGTATCCGGCTTAATCAGATTATCCAGCATCAAATTAGATTTTCTGATGAAATCTTGTGTAGCACAGCCATACCACCATTGTGTGCAAGTTTATAAATGATCAGAAGATTGGCTGTTCAGTTGGACTAGCAGGAAAGACATTGGCCCTTTGTAGCGCTGTTTTCAAGGCGTTGCATTCGCTCATCTGATAGATCAAAGCAACGACGTGCAGAAGAGTAACCATGAGCTAGAGGAGACGCCGATTTTCATTCTGCTCCATCTGACAGCAAACATCGTGTAAGTATTTAAATTGGCCACCCAAATTTCAAGTGTTCCGAGCAATACAAAAGATCAGCCTGATTTGCAATTCTGCATTTACACATGGCAGAGGATTTAAAGCATTGCCGGATCCACTCTGGGATGGTGATATACTCAAATGCACGGCATGAGCATCTGCTAGGTGCTGATGAGCAGAGGTGGTAGTTGAGAGACAGCTCATTTCCATCTAAATGACCTTGCCATTGAGCAGCACATGTCTCAAATCAATGCGTCTAGTCACGAAGCCAATGCAGATACGCAAAATGTTAAATGTCTCATTCTTTCTTCTCTTCTTCTTTTTCCCTCACTTCTGCACTTTATACTATGTCTTCACAGCCTTTACTAGAACCCGCAGGCAAACGAATCGCACTGCCAGTTCGAGTTGAGCCCAAGGTGTTCTTTGCCAACGAACGAACATTTTTATCATGGTTGAATTTCACAGTGGTGCTGGGTGGATTAGCCATTGGATTACTGAATTTTGGAGATCGCATCAGCCGTCTATCCGCCATGCTGTTTACAGTTACTGCCATGTTTGTGATGCTTTATGCATTATATACCTTTCATTGGAGAGCCACCAAAATTAGAAATAGAGAGGCAGCACCGTACGACGATCGAGTTGGTCCTACCGTTTTATGTATATTTTTGATCATTGCTGTGGCATTTAATTTCTATCGTAAGTTTACATAATAACAGAGTGTGATCTGGCTGGCTAACCTCATCTCACAGTACGCCTGAGGAATCCATCAGAGCCATAAATCCCCGTGCTCAGTGTGTGTGTGTGTATGTGAGTGCTTGATTGTAATACCATGATGAGCAGCAGTGAGAGGGGCTATGAAGCAAAATGACTCACCTTTCATCCACCTCTCGTGTGTTTCTCCGCCTCCCAACCAAATGTTCATATAAGCACATCCCTTCTCTCCCCTTTTTGCGATTATCTAAAATTTTTTTTACTGCTTCTTTCTGCTCTTTGATTTTTTTTTTAATTTAAATAAAACTTTGTCATCGTATGAAAAACACTATCAAGAAGCTGGTTCATGAGCCCGCCCAATTCACACCTCAGGATGCTGAACATGCCATCAACGAAATCATGAAGGGATCTGCTACACCCAGTCAAATATCGGCATTCTTAGTATCACTTAAACTGCAAGGCATGGACAATGATCCTCGTATTGTGGCAGCTTGTGCCACTGCCATGCGTAGTCATGCCAGATTAGTGCCTTACACAGACTATGAGCATTTGACTGGCAATGTCGTCGATATTGTAGGCACAGGCGGCGATGGACATGACACATACAACGTATCCACTACAGCATCCGTAGTTGCAGCAGGAGCAGGTGCCAAAGTAGCCAAGGTAAGCACTGAATCAGCGGCGAGCGATACAAGCAGGGCTGTTGACACATTGTCGGATAGCATGGCAACAGAGCAGCTTCGTCCAAATCAGGCTCTGCTGATCTCATGGAAGCTCACGGATGTCAAATTGCACTCGTCGAACCAAACCAAGTGGCTGGTATCTTGGACAGAACCAACTTTTGCTTTTTATTCTCACAGACATATCACCCTGCCATGAAGCATGTGGCATCATTAAGAAAAGAGATTGCCGTGCCAACCGTGTTCAATATGCTGGGCCCAATGTCAAATCCTGCTCATCCTACTCGTGTGGTGGTTGGCGTCCATTCACCTGAAATCGGAGAACTGATGGCAAATGCGCTCAAATTGACTGGTGTCAAGGAAGCGTTGGTTGTGTGTGGATCAGAGAAATTAGACGAGATCAGTCCAGCAGGCGAGACAAATGTAAGTAACTGAGAGAGTGCTGGATTCTAGTCATCTCATGCCTCTGTCATAGTACTGGAGAATTCATGGCTGTGGAGACATTACAGTGGGATCATTGCATCCTACCCGTGATTTCGGATTACAAACACATCCCTTGTCAGAGGTGAAAGGTGGTGATTGTTTTGAAAATGCAGCAACATTGACTAAATTATTAAACGACGAACTGGAGGAAAACCATCCCATCTTGGATTTTGTGCTGTTGAATGCAGCTGCTTTGTTAGTGGTGTCTGGTGTGGCTACCGACTTCAAGGATGGCGTATCTAAAGCACGTGAATCCGTCAAGAGTGGTGAAGCAAAGAGAGTGTTGGACGCATTCAGACAAGAGACTTTAAATAGTGTTTAATTGGCTTGTCATTAAAGAAACTTTTGCACGAGTTTTGTAATTTGGTGACACATAATATTCGCTTGTGGACACGACTAAATCTCGAGTAGCGTCTTTGGTAGTTGATGTCATTTCAGCATGGCTGCCCAGCAAGCTTACAATAAAAGATAGAGATGTATAGTTTAGAGTGTAAATAGTAACACATGTGTTGGTCCTAATGTGAATCAGTGCACAGTGGTCTTGAATGAAGGCATGTTGGTCGTCGAGAGGCTATAAAGGTGTTGAATAGCTTGCCATGAAAGAAGTTTGCAATATATACTAGGCAAGTTACCTGGCTGTGTTTCATCAGTTGATTGAAATGATAAGCATCTACATTTTTCACGCTAATTTGGCACGGGAAATAAGCTTGAAGGATCACTTGGCTGGATGAGATCGACAGCGAGTCTTTTTCCAGAGTTATTTTTAGTAACATTACCCAAATATTTAACAGCCCGTTTCACACACAAATGAAGAACATACCAAACCATGATAATTTTTTTTCATCAAGCCATTCAATCGAGCACGTTTCTGTGGAGAGGGTTTGTGTTCCCTGCTGGTAGTTGCAGTACACTCTCAATGTCGACTGGATATCATCCATCGTGGTGTCTGGCAGTAAATCAAAGCAGAGAAACAGGCGCTGATACTCGTCATTGCTGCATTTGTTGAGACATGTCGTTTCAGGCAGGAATCTGTTGGGTAAGCAGCAGAGATGTGCGTGCTGTATGCTGGTTTGTCTGTGTAGAGGTACAGGAATTTAGGTTAAATGCAGTCTATTTACATAAAGAGACACACTTACAATGCATGGCATGTTGCTTGAAGCCACACTCGTCTGTTCATGATCCATCCACGGCACTGCGTTACTTCATAGCCCTGCTGCTGCTGCTGCTGCTGCTGCTGCTGCTGCTGCTGCTGCTTTGGTACGGTGGTGGGCGATTGGACTTGACTACTAAAGGTAGCGGCAGGGGAGGCCAAGATGGGTATCAGAGCATCTTGCTGATTGTTCAGCGAGATGCGCTGCTTTCTGGGCATGTTCTCAGTCAGTGCATGAACAAGATGGTATTGTAATACCTGCTGTGATTCTTGCAGCAACGTTCTTTTTACTGTTTTCTACATCAAGCAAAGAAACGCGTGTCAATTGTGTGTCTTGTGTACGCTTGTGCTATTACCTTTTGCACAATCAGACGCTTCTGCTTTTGACATGCGACTAGTTTATCCTGTATGATACGGTACGCGTGCTTGAGCTCTTGTGCAGCAGTCGGGTCCATGGCTAGGAAGGGAAGCAAGTGATCTGCAAGGCTGCTGTGTGTTTTGGGAGAGAGGATGCTCAATAAAGAGAGAATTGTGACACTATGTACTTGGGTGATATTAGTTTCTTTCTGAGCTTGGTTTCTATTTCATTTGATTAAAAGGGTCTGTGCTACAGAATTGGTATAAAATAGATCCATTTTCCAAAATTTCCCTTTCTTTCTCCTTTCTTTTCTCTTTTCCTCTTTTCTTTGATTCATCTTTGTTTCTTGTCATATCTCTTATAAAATGAAGGCTCTTATTCTCGTTGGTGGTAAGTGGTAGCCATGTCCTTTGATGCTGTTCTTGTTGACTTACATTCCTCACGACAGGCTTTGGTACTCGTCTCAGACCTCTTACCCTCACTCTCCCTAAACCCCTCGTTGAGTTTGCCAACAGACCCATGATTCTTCATCAAATCGAAAGTCTTGCAAAGGTATTTTCAGACCAAAGACGCTGCCATTGTCTGTAAATAGTAACGTCATTTTAGGCTGGTGTCACCGATATTGTCTTGGCTGTAAACTACAGACCTGAAATCATGGTTGCTGCTTTGAAAGAGTATGAAAAGGAATATGGCGTCAACATCACCTTTTCTGTCGAGACTGAACCTCTTGGTACCGCTGGTCCTTTGGCTTTGGCTAGAGAGATCCTTGGTAAGGACGACTCTCCCTTCTTTGTCTTGAACAGTGATGTTATCTGTGATTATCCATTTGAGCAAATCAGGGATTTCCATCAATCTCATGGTAATGAGGGTACAATCATTGTAAGTGCATTTTGCCTGGAAGTTTAGTTTATATCAACTAAACACGTGCTATACTTGTCTAGGTTACCAAAGTCGATGATCCCTCCAAGTATGGTGTCGTTGTTAACCACGCTGAATCATCAAAGATTGAGCGATTCGTTGAGAAGCCCCAACAATTCATCAGCAACAAGATTAATGCTGGTATTTACATTTTCAACCCTTCTGTTTTGGAACGTATTGAGGTAAGATTTACAGCATTCTTTTTATTTTTGGAACCGCGTGATTTTAATCTTGTTTTTATATTTAGTTGAAACCCACTTCAATCGAAAAGGAAATCTTTCCCAATATTGCTAGAGATGGTGAACTTCATACATTTGATTTGGATGGTTTCTGGATGGATGTGGGTCAGCCCAAGGATTATTTGACTGGTACCTGTCTCTACCTCTCTCATTTAGCAAAGAGCAAGCCTCAAGAGCTCGCTAATCCCACTCTGGATTATGTGTATAAGGGCAATGTGATTGTGCATCCCTCTGCAAAGATCGGTAAGGATTGTCGCATTGGTCCCAATGTGGTTATTGGCCCTAATGCTGTCATTGGTGATGGTGTTCGTCTTCAACGCTGTGTTATCATGGAGGGTGCCAAGGTCAAGGATTTCGCCTGGGTTCAATCTAGCATTGTTGGATGGCATTCCTCCATTGGCCGCTGGTCCAGATTAGAAGGTTGCTCGGTCTTGGGCGATGATGTTACCATTAGCGATGAAATCTATGTCAATGGCGGATCCATCTTGCCTCACAAGACCATTTCAGCAAACATCACTGAACCTCAAATTATCATGTAAATATCCCTTTCGTCCTTTTTATTTCTCTATCATTTTTATTTTTTGGTTCTTTTTTTTTTTTTTTATATTTCAATCGCATATATATCTTTCTTTCTCTCTTAAAAACCCTCCCTACTTAATAAACAAACACCCAAGCCTACATTAAACATCCATCATATGAAACGATTTCACCCAAGGGTCTGATTCTATATCCGACATCTTCATACGCAATGACGGATCCTTTTGAAGCAGTTTGGAGATAAAGTTTTGAGCATGCACACTGATATCAATGGGGAATTCCAATGGAGCTTCGGCGATTCGTCTGTAGGCTTTTTCTAGATCTCGAGAGGCAACCTTGTCTGTTTCAAAGGGTGGTCTACCTACCAACAATTCATAGCAGAGGATACCCAAAGCCCAGGCATCCACAGATTCGTTGTGCGTGTCTCTCTTGATCATCTCTGGTGGTAGGTAGTCCAATGTACCACAAAATGTAGTGCGTCTATTGGGCTCATCTATTAGCTTGATATTAATGCTACCTTTTTGAGTTTTACCGTGGTTTTGGATCATAAACTGCCCAGCCAAAGTCTGCTATTTTTAGGCCACCTTCTTTGCTAATTAATACTGCCAAGATTCAATATCTTTAATTCATTTGTATGCTTATATCGCGGGTGCCTTACTGTTTTCCAACTTGATGTCACGATGGAACACGCCAAGCCTATGCATATAAGCCAAAGCATCTGCAATCTCTAGCACATACTATTTTTTTAAAAAAAAAAAAGAAAAAGAAAGCGCGAGATCAGCCATACATTTGTTAGATCAAACTCTATGAGGGCTATATTTACATTTACAGTTTCGGCTTCGCTGAATCTTTTAAATGTTTCTAGGCATGTATACAAATCGCTATCACCGGCATATTCGAGAACAAGATAGACATTGTCTTGGTTATGAAAGTAGCCGTAGAGTCGAGTTATATTTGGATGACTATCCGAGAATTCATGTTTAAAATAGACCCCCTCCCATTTGAATCAGCTATGTCATATCTTACTTGAGATGTCCTTGGATTTCGATCTCTCGCTTCAAGAAGGGAATCACTTCAGCTTCTTCTAGCTCCTGTTTCCTAAGGATTTTGAGTGCTACCAACTGTCCAGATCGTTTTTCTTTGGCAAGATACACTGAACCGAACCTTCCCATGCCTAGATTACGTCCCACTACAAAATCATTGATAGTCCAATTGGATCGTCTTTGCAGCAGAATAGAATGTTTGTTATTTTAGAAACGACTAATTGTTTGCTTCTTCATCAACTTACTGTGTAAATGACGGTAGTGGCGGTCTTGATTGATTTGATGCATAAAAAGCTGGATCCTCTTCCACGTTGACCACTTGCTCGTTGATAGAAAAGATTCGTCTCACGGCCGGCGAGTCCATGTAGTCTGACTTCTCATCAAAGCCCTCATCCGCCTCTAATGCAATTTGATAGTAAAAATTGGATCGTCTCTGTTTGGCATAATTGATATTGCTTGGCACATCTTTTATTGCGTTGTGATTGATAGATGATGCCTGTATGCGTCTTGGGGTATAATCTACGTAATTTGACAATGATGCAGTTGTTTGAGAGGTTGGGCGAGTGGGTGATTTGAATGCTTCCATGATGACAAAAGAATTCAGACTGATGCAAACGCGCAACACTCAAAACAAGAGAGCAATAACCTTAAAATCCCATTGTCCCTCTCTTTTCTGTGACGTTTTTGAAGTCAAGGTCCAAATCCAAGCATCAAACAAAGTCTATATGTAATGTGAAATATCATCATTAAAGAACCATTTCAGTTGTAATGCCAATTCATAAACCAAGGCCGAAAGCATTGGCATAAACATTGGGGAGGCTTCTTATTTCTTATTGGAACCAATTTGTTTCTTTCCATCATTAATCAAGTCTCTCTTTTTGTTGTGATCTAAAAGCAAAAGATATACCACAACAGCAGTAATATATAAAGCGCTTCATCTGTTTCCATTTCTCTTTTATTTTTCTCTATCTCTTTATCACGCATCGTTTCAACCATGATTTGTAACAGAAACAAGCTCTTCCTATTCATGCTTTTATTGTATAGTTTGATTTCAACATCGAATGCTGCAGGTAGGCTCAACATTGGATTTCGATCTCTCAAGCTCAACCATTTTTTTTTTTTGAAAGGCAGAGCATGTATAGTTGGACTAGACGATTGTCCTGATGGTGAGACTTGTATTGTACAAGAAGGAGACTACGGCCATTGTGGATGATTCTACCATGTTCTATAGCAAAATACCTACTAGCTTGACAAGTGACACTATATTTTGTATAGAATAAACTCGGACAATTCTTTTCATGCATGATGACACAAATATATCATTTTCTCAAAGCTTTCATATAGACAAAGATCTTGTTTGGCTTTGGTTTCAATGTTGAAGCACTCTATACTCAAATCAGCGATGCTGATAATCTTTCCAAAGTAAGGCTTAAATGCAGTCGTTTTGAAAATGATCTGCTCAATTGAGGTTATCTCTGATGAAATGCTCAACATATATGCTCTCCATGAGTTGTGATTGTAATATGCGTTTCTTGTGCATTGCATTTCCCGCTAAAATTCTATCCTGATTATTTGGGAGAGCATTGTATTGGGAAAAAATTTACAAGTGCCTACCCTCTTCCTGTACCCCAATGCTGCCATTAAAAGCATGGATGTCTCATTTCAACAACGAGGCTAGCATGCCAAAGGACAGATATGATGATCCAAAGACACGATTTAAAGGGCTAGCCAATGGTATATATTACTTTTATGCTTAAAGCACATGGCCGCGTACTTGCAATTCATTACATCTACAGCTGAATATACTGCATTTTAGGAATAGGCTGTGCTTTCCTAGCCATCTTTGTACTAATAGCAATGATAATCGAGGCTTATGCTATGCATTTATCATAGCAATATGAAAAAGGCCATCATGTAGTATTCTTCATAACCAAGAGCGAACAAATCATTCCGTGATTGCCAAATAACTGGCCCTCCAATGCATGAACTCAATATGACAAGCTTCATCTTAAATTCATGTATAGTTCTCTGAAAATCTGATAATGAATAAACATGATTGCTATGTTTTCCAAATACTCATTTTGAGCGGATAGCAAACAGAGCAAAAGCATCTGGAAATCATTACCAAGGAGCACTCCATTGAACAATTCAAAAATCGAGGAGTTTTCCTTCTCCAAACGCTCTAAAAATTTCAAGTATTCTTTAAGATAGCTCATTATTTTGCTTTCCCTGATGCAGCAAGCTCCTCCAAATCACACTTTGTTTGTGACATTTGCATATGCTAAATCTCGAGAGCGCTTTATAATCAACGGGACATCTAGTATTAGGCTCTCCTGGCACCTACGGTAGTGTACTACTGTACCTACCATATGACTTTCCTCCCCCAACATCATAATATCAAGTTTAAAGGACATCCTTTACGTGCCGCTGTTTAATGCATGCTAGATCAAATGATTGCACCTTAATTTATGCTTAAATAAAGAAGGTCTTAAATCGTATTCACTTGGCTATTATACCCTTTTATTGCATAAACAAAATCATGGTAATGAATGACAGATCAATAGGAAATCAACTAGCTGTAGACCTTTGCCGTTTCAACCCCTGAGCCAATCAGATTGCTAGAAAACTCCGCTGACCTAAAAAAAATTTTGCGAGGGTTTCCCCCTGTTTTGATGTGAGGCAAAAATTTAAGCGCCGCTATAATGGCAATATAGCCGCTGCTGTCATCAAATTTCCCCCAGGTGCTAGGGAATGCCTTACTTACACCACCTAGCTTTAGATTCTGGCATTGAGACCCTCAATCATCACTAAAGTAAGTAACGATAACCAAGTGGAGGCGGCCTATCTACCTCCTAGCCTCGGATAAAGTCTTGTTGAGCTTCAGGGATAGGCACATCCACACAACGTAAAAAAGGTATGCTTTAAAAGAAACATAATAATAATAAACGAAAGAAGAAAAGAACATATTACTATAAGAGTATAGTAGTATGTAGGCAAAAAAGGGATGCTCACACAAAATGAGTCAAAGAAAAGTATAACAAACACAACATCAAAGATGTTCAGAACAGCTCGCTGTTGTTGCAACGAAAATGCATACATGAGCAACGTGCATGATAATAGTCAGATGTCAAGCAACACAAACACGCACAATTGCAGGAGCAACAGCAGTATTATAAGTGCGCAATACAACATAATGACTAATGTTGTTTCATGTGAAGCGACAGTGGCAACACAAACAACAATTCACAACCATATAACAAAGTAGTATTACGACGGCAATACAGATATATAGTAGCATATCATGCTTGTTGTTCATACAACATAAGAAGCAACAACATTGCAAGCATCCGTTGAGCTGATCATATCACAGTCAACAAAAGAAAAAAACAGCGCAACAAAGCAAACATTACGAATGCATTACCACAAAAAAGGAAGCAATAATACAAACGTTCAGAGAAGCTTTATATCATTGCGATCACAAGAAAAAAAAGATTCTTACCACTTACCACACCCACGGATAGACCAAAAGAGAATAGGCAATCACCAGAGATAGAACAAAGAACAACCATACAACAGAGACAGCAGCAACACCAGTATTAACAACACCAGCAGCAAAACCAGTAGCAAAACCAGTAGCAACAACAGCAGTAGCGAAACCAGAAGCAGCACCAGAAGCAACACCAGTAGCAACACCAGTAGCAACACCAGTAGCAACACTAGTAGCAACGACACCAACACCATAGAAAAACCGAAGAACGAGCGACACCAGAGACCAGACAGAGACTAAAGAAGCAATTGCCAGAGACAGAGACCAAAGAAGCAACTACCAGACATAATAAACCAAAGAAGCAGACAGCAGAGATAGCAGGGAAGTAATGGCAGTAGCACCCACATCAAACAGGCAAGGAATTATCGAAACTTAATAAACAAATTCGATTAGTGTTTATTCTGCGTCTTTCTGTGCTCGTTGTCGAACGGTACCTGCTATGTTCCACTTCAAAGAAGTAGTATCAAGTACTTCTAACAGTACAAGACCGTGCTGTCAGAAGCTAGAGTGTTATTTTCAATCAAAAGGTTTTCAAAACCAACATGGTTTGATACTAAACGCGTTTTGCAAAAAAAAGCAAAAAAGCGAGGCCATGGAAAAATGAGAGGGCGTCCTATCCGACGTCACGGCCAGTATACTTGGTGGCAGCTGCAGCTGCTGCACTTTAATTTGAAAATGTGCAGTGGGTATTTTCGTATTCAAATTTGACTTGATCTGACATTCTTTAAACGTTTTTGCGAAATTTGACCAAAAATAATGAGCAATTTGCAAAAATATGGAAACAAGGTTTCTGTGAATATGTCAAGACTGACCCTATACTAGCCTCATAGAAAGAGCTTTTAGTGTTGCACTGCATCTTTATGATTAATTTGATCTTATATGTATCATAGAAAAAGTTTTCATTTTTGGGGTAAAAAACGCGATCGTTTGATTTTCAAGAATTTTCCTTAATTAATACACATAAAAAAATGAGGATCTTTATGGATTTGCGATGATCCAAAAAAAATTGAGATAAAGCATCGGTAAGTAAAGCGTGGACAAGAAGAGACGTTTGGCCCTATTCTAAGCGTCCATTAGGCTTTGTAGCATGAGTTATTCGTGCTTGAAAATGACTAAATTTGTACAGAGTTCGACCAAAAATAAGATGTAGTAAGTTGCGTTGCCCAAGAAGTAAGTAAATTAAAGTTCTGTCTGATGTCTCTGATGTTGTGCATTGTACAGAATTCAATCATCCCTAAGTTATTGACGCTTTTATTCTAACTTCGAGACACAGGTCTTTCATTTTGAGATGCGCGAATACGGTGATTTTATAACTGGAGCGTCAGTGGTATTATGCAAATTTAAGTCGAACAGCTTGCTCAAATTGAACGAGATGTTTATCAAATTAGTAGGACACTTGGGATGGTTGTCTACAACAAAGATGCTGTTTCTAGCCGAGAAACTATACCTGAAATCTAGCCACGATGTTAAACAATCCTAATTAAGGAGAAATGGCTGAAGCCGGACAGGCTGTCAATGTCAGCATAATTGAGGAAGCAAACAACCAAATTCTGTATCAAAGTCGAGCGTGTTCAGAATAACGATATATAGACAGAGAAAATACAATTAGAACTGAATGTATCTATTATGTTATTCCAAGATTAAATGACACTTAAAACTAGGGTACATTTCGAAGGTATTTATATTTATTTGACAGAGCCGCAGCAATAGGATCTTGATCTTGAATGTTGGATAATTGTATAAGCCTTGAACCAGTTAACGAAGATTTGCTATGTGAAAGCTCATACACCACCAGTCAGGAACAGACAACAGAGATGATCCAGGATGAAATGTTCTTCATAGTAGATTTAAGGGAAAAACATTTGTCAGAATTAAAACTCGCTTCCAGAGACGAAAAATTATAGGCTTCGGTACTTTAGGAATAACCAAAATATAGATTAGCCATTTGATTGCACTCTTGTGCCAGAAGGGCTACAACTATCTATAAAGATTAAAGTATTCTTGATGGGTAGATATGTCTGTGTTGTGCAACAACATGGACAAGCTATGATAATTGAAGCGCATCTCAGCTATCTAAATACTGAGGTTCACCAGATGTGATAAGCGTTGTACAAGATAAATTGCTACTTTGGCATTCAGAACTTAGTATAAATAGAATGACTCTTGTCTTCATCAATAAATCTTTAGTTTTTGTGTCTGATCTTATTCAAATAAGTCTTTTCTTGTTTTTATAAGCTACAAATAATAATCCTTTTATTCTTTGTGCTTGACAAGAAATATATACTTTTTTTTATGCTTGTTCGCGTATTTTTTTCATACTTCTATATGACATTCATAAACTATAAGAGCCAAGCAATTATTTTATACCTTTTTTGAGATTATTTTTTTAAGCAGTACTATTGTTTACATTCAATTCAATATTAACAAAATTTCAAATTTCAAATTATATATTATGCCTCCAGCCAACACCAATCTCGATGTTAACGTACTTGTTTCTGTCAACAAACGTTTTATCAACAGGGCAGACCTAAAAACTATTTTGCAAGCAAAGCATGACTGGAACACACCTGGATTGTGCTTTAAAGAGAAAACCGTCGGCCGTTCAACAGTCAATGAAAAGGTCAAGTACCATGTTATTTTGGATGAAGCACCTGGTATCACATTGTCCCTTTCCTGCGGTTGCCTCAAATACATTCGACGACTTGAGTCTAGCACTTCCAGCAGCACCAGCACTCAAAGCATCCCTGATATGGCAACAACCGAGGATATGCTAGAAGATACTATCGAAGGGGACAACGGAGAGGAAGAAGAAATTGATTTGACTTCTGGCGGGTGGACCGAAGGTCAAGTATTTGTCGACAGTCGTTTACGACAATCTGGCTCTGACTTTTGCTCCAAGTCCACACTTAGCATGAACTATGCATCAGTTTCTTCCCCTCTGGACTATTTCTTGTTCTTCTTGCCTTTAGATCACTTTCATTTGATCATAGGAAACACTAATGTTCATGCAAGAAATATGCTTGATTCTTGGACCGATATCACTTTTGCCGAGTACTTGATGTGGATTGCTCTGTTGACCGTTATGACAGTGGTCAAGCATGGTGACCGCAAAGCTTACTGGAAGCAAGGATCTAGCCACTTCACGATGACAATAGATTTCAGCGAATATATGCCATTCAAAAGATTCAACGATATCATGAGAATGCATGTTTTTGAAGTTCCCAGCAAAGAAAACCAGCTAATCGACCCACTTTATCAAATCCGATCTACGATTAGCGCTTTTAACTGCCATATGCCCATGTGCATCTCACCAGGGAAATATTTGGTGATAGCTGAATCAATGAATCAATGGCTTGGCATAGGTATGCCAAATATAAAAAAGGTCCCTCGCAAGCCTCATCCTATCGGCCAAGAACTCAAAACGCTGGCTGATTGCCATACGAGCTGCATCCTCAGAATGGACACAGTCAGCGACCCAGTATCCAAGGAGTTTAACTATGAGCCTGGCATAAAGAAGTTGACCGCCACCGTTAAGCGTTTTGTGCAGCCCTGGTTTGGTCGTGGAAGAACGGTAATTGCTGACTCTTGGTTTGGGTCTCCAGATATGGTCAAAATGCTTTTCAAACTTGGCTTGTTTACCATGCAAGTGTGCAAGCGCCGCTACTGGCCTCGTGAAATGCCTCAGACATTGTGGAAAAGTTTGAAGAAGCCTATGGTAGCTGCTACACCATGAGCAAATGTCTAGGTAATGGCAGTAATCTATTCACTTGTGCCTATCGCGATCAAAAAGTCAAAACGTTTGTCTCATCATGTAGCACAACAATACTTACTGGCAAGAAGGTGCTCGAAGGAACTCACGGTAGAATAATTACTATTCAAAGGCCCGAGGTTGCAGAGGAATACGAGACACACAAAAGTAAGTAGATAGTAGCAGTATATAGAGGCATGCAAATTTACATTTTAATTTTAGGCTCTGTCGATGCTGCAAATAATTTGAGAGATAATATGGCCTCGTATCACGATATCATCTCAACTGAGAGGTGGGAAATGTGCTTTTTTGGCTTTTTCTTGGGAATATGCGAAGCAAATGCCTTTAGTTCATTTCGGGTCTTTGCCAATGATGGAAAAAAGGGCATATCACATGCTTCTTTCAAGGATATATTGGCATGGAATATGCTGAAGCACTGCCAAAAGCTGGATAATAGCGACGCCGAAGAAGCAGAAGAAAGTCCAAGACCACTCAGAAGATGCATGACTCATACGCTTGTGCCAATGAGTCGAAATAATGGAAGCAAGCGTGTTCGATTAGCTTGTAAGACTTGCCGCATGTCAGGTAACAGTGGCACCAGAGTCGAGAAATCGTGCAGCTGCAACCCCGACACACCAATTTTTGAGGCTTGCTATAAACAACATTTGCATGATATTTGGAAGCTCCAAGCACAACTAAATAATTCTATATAGTTGTTGAAATGCTTCTCTAATTTTTTTAATAAAGTTGCTTAAAGTTGTACACAAGTTATAGTTGGTAAAATGATGACCATAAAGTCAGTCTTTGACTTTTTTCAAGAAAAACAAAACTTACTGTATGCAGAAAGGTTTAGAGCTTATCTAGTTAAATTTAAATTTTACTGAGAGCAATATTCATAGATGAAGCAGTTTTTAACGAATCGGCCCAAATGGGCCGATTGGGGTAATCTGTACTTGTTAATAAATCCAAATAGCATGAATTTGAATGAGTGCTATTTGATGAATTTCGGTTTTCAATCAAGTTGCGTTTGGGTAACTATTTCATTACATTACTAACCTGCATCTCGTTCAATCCGAGCAATTCGTTAGATTCAAGTTTGCATAGTATAATTGTCGCTCAAGTCTTTAAACCACTGTAATCGCGCATTTCAAAAAGCAAGGCCTGAGCCTCAGAGTTAGAATAAAAGCACCTACTACTTTGAAAATGAGTTTCGTACAATGCAGAACATCTGTTCCATCAGACAGAGCGGTAACTTACTCGTATGGCAATAAAAATCACTACACCTTTGTTTTCGGTCGAATTTTGTCCAAATCTGGCCATTTTCAAGCACGAATAACTCATGCCACAAAGCGTTTTAAGGGTTTCGAATAGCATCAAACGACTCCTCTTGGATACGCTTTATTTACTCATGCTTAATCTCAATTTTTTTTGGGTCATTGCAAATTCATGAAAACCCTCATTTTTTCATGAGTATTAGCAAGGGAAAATTCTCGAAAATCAAACGATCGCGTGTTTCACCCCAAAAACGAAGACTTCTCCTATAATACATATTAAACCAAATTGATCGTAGAGATCCAATGCAACGCTGGAAGTTTTTTCTATGAAACTTGTATATGCTAAATTATGACATATTCGCAGAAAAACGGTTTTGAAACTTTCCCAAATTGCTCATTATTTTCAGTCTAAAAGCTAAATGTAACCAGCATCATTCGATGCGCCTTTATTGACTCTTCATAAATACATTAGAAAGCAAAGTATAACAACGATAATTTTTATAGTCAAACTTAGCAAAAACATTTAAAGAATGTAACATCAAGTCAAATTTGAACACGAAAATACCTACTGCGCAGTTTCAAATTAAAGTGCAGCAGTGCAGCTACCACCGAAGAAGACTGAGACCAAATTTACTGGCCGTGACGTCGGGTATGGTGCCCTCTCATTTTCCCGTACTCCCTTTTTTTACTATTTTTTGCAAAACGCGTTTAGTATAGAACCACGTTGATTTTGGATCACTTTTGATTGAAAATAACACTCTCGCTTCTGATAACACGGTCTTGCAGTGTTAAAAGGACTTGAAACTACTTCTTTGAAGCGGAATACGGTAGGTACCATTCGATAACGAGCACTGGCATACGTAAAATCAGCACCAATTGAATTTTTTTATTAGGTTTTGATAATTTTTTTTGCCTGTTTGACGTCGGTGCTGTTGCTATTACTTCTCTGGTGCTATCTGTGTTGTTTGCATCTTTGGTTTATTATGCCTGGTAGGTGCTTCCTTGGTTGGTGCCTCTTTCTGGCGGTTGCTTCTTTAGCCTTTGTCGGATCTCCGGTATCGCTCGTGCTTCGGGTTTTTCTATGGTGTTGCTGTTGTTGCTGCTGGCATTGCTTCTGTTGTTGCTTCTGGTTTCGCTACTGGTGTTGTTGCTACTGGTTTTGCTGCTGGTGTTGTTGCTACTGGTGTTGCTGCTGCTAGTCTGGTCTTTCTTGGTCTGGTCTCTCTGTTGTATGCTTCTTCTTTGGTCTATCTCTGGTAATTGCCTATTCTTTGGTCTATCTGTGATTGTGGTAAGCGGTAAGTACCGTTTTTTCTTGTGGTCGCAATGATATGAAGCTTCTCTAAACGTTTGTATTATTGCTTCCTTTCTCGTGATGATGCATTCGTAGCGTTTGCTTTGTTACGCTTTTTTTTTCTTTTGTTGACTGTGATATGATCAGCTCAACGGATGCTTGCAATGTTGTTGCTTCTTATGTTGTATGAACAACAAGCATGATATGCTACTATATATCTGTATTGCCGTCGTAATAGTACTTTGTTATATGGTCGTGAATTGTTGTTTGTGTTGCCACTGTCGCTTCACATGAAACAACATTAGTCATTATGTTGTATTGCGCACTTATAATACTGCTGTTGCTCCTGCAATTGTGCGTGTTTGTGTTGCTTGACATCTGACTATTATCATGCACGTTGCTCATGTATGCATTTTCGTTGCAACAACAGCGAGCTGTTCTGAACATCTTTGATGTTGTGTTTGTTATACTTTTCTTTGACTCATTTTGTGTGAGCATCCCTTTTTTGCCTACATACTACTATACTCTTATAGTAATATGTTCTTTTCTTCTTTCGTTTATTATTATTATGTTTCTTTTAAAGCATACCTTTTTTACGTTGTGTGGATGTGCCTATCCCTGAAGCTCAACAAGACTTTATCCGAGGCTAGGAGGTAGATAGGCCGCCTCCACTTGGTTATCGCTACTTACTTTAGTGATGATTAAGGGTCTCAATGCCAGAATCTAAAGCAAGGTGGTGTAAGTAAGGCATGCTCTAGCACCTGAGGGAAGTTTGATGATAGTAACGGCTATATTGCTATATATAGCGGAGCTTAAAATTTTGCCTCACATCAAAACAGAGGGAAACCCTCGCAAATTTTTTTTTAGGTCAGCGGAGTTTTCTAGCAATCTGATTGGCTAAGAGGTTGAAACAACGAAGGTCTACAACTAGTTGATCTCCTATTAATTTGTCATTTAAAACTGTTTCGTTTTTGTAATAAAAGGGTATCCAAACAAACTATTTTGTATTAAATGATAAAATAAGATGCAGTTATTTGATTTGGCATCCATTACACATTCTTATGAGATAGATATTTATTAACTTTACTATGTGGAAATGCTTAATATTAAGTATTACTTGAATACAATGTTATTTACGTTGTTATTACAACAGTATTTATTAAGAATGATTGCAGAGTATTTATACGTTTGCAACTAGCTTGTAGGATTAGTGATGATAGAGAGCAATAGATGCTGCTATTGCGATATCTGGCAAATGTTGTTGACGTTTGGTTTAAAGTGGTAATCAATGCAAGAGCACTGGCCATAAGGGTCGATTTGAGTAACCTTGATGGGCTTGGGTGAGCTATCGTCATGGCATGATTTAATGTAACCTTGATGGTTTAAAGTGTGATGTTTGCTATTGGAGTATGGAACCCTTTATCTGGGATACTGTGCAACTATGGCAGCAGGGCATAGTTGTCATATTTGCATATGCTTGTTATTGATTTGATTTTATTTGGATAAAGATAACATCTCTTATTACGACCATCATGGGTGTGATTGAATACACTGTGATCAGGAGTGATTCATTCACACGATGTGCGATATAAGCGTGTATCTTTACTTTAGTATGTTTAAATGGTTGTTGATGTACATTTGAGCGCTTTTACTAATAGATCCAAATAGCATGAATTTGAATGAGTGCTATTTGGTGAATTTCGGTTTTCAATCAAGTTGCGTTTGGGTGGCTATTTCATTATATAAATAAGTTATTTCTAATAACTCATAGAGTGCCACTCATTCATGCTACCTTACTATTACAACTGCCGTCATGATTTAACATTTGACTCGATATCATCAACTCAGGGCGTCCCTGACGTTTGGTTTCGTAAATTGGATGTTTTTTACAATCTTCTTCAGTTAATGATGCATGAATCTATTGCCGATGCACGCAAGTAGTGTCACTTTTGAATGATAAGACATTTAGATACAGTAGTGTTTCTCTTTTACGAGAAGATGGCAGGCACAACCGTGAAGACAGATACCTGCAGAACTACTACATTGATTCCTCAGTGTATTGCAAAACATCAATGATTCGAATTCATACTACTGTTGCAAAAGCGTCAAATATTTCTAGGAGTTAAAGGAGAATTTCACTCTACATCACATTGCTTATATCTGAGTAGTATCCGGCAGTGTTTTCTTACCCTGCTGAAGAAAATTTGCCAACTACTAGCATGGGTTACGGTGTTTTTGATACATATAAACGTTTGTCAAACAAAAGTCGTGAACGACATTGAAACGCAGCATCCATTTTGAGTAATCTTTGAAAGTCTCTCACGCATGAGTTTTCTTTCTCTTCTGTACTAATTCGTATTCTAGAACATGAGTGAAGACACCTTTTCATCGGCTATTCACTATTGGAAAGGTATCCAACTCTCCAATCTACAAAAAGAGCTCGATCAGCAAGGTCTGGCTATAGTCGAAAAGCAAAAAGATGGTCTTGTGTCTCGAAAAAAGCTGGCAGAACAAACCAGAGGTACATGAAAGCGTGTTTAGATGAGGGTAACTGTAGCTTACATATCTGCAGAGTTCAAGAAGATTCCAGATGAAGAAAAGCTGCAAAAGTTCAAGCCTCTATTGAAAGGTGTGTTGATAAACAGATTTCTATGAACTGTAGATTAACCAGGACAACCAAACAACAACAAAGGGTACCAGGCTGAAATTGACAATATCACCAAACGTACAAAGTATGCAGAAAATGCATTTTTGACAGTGTATAAACTGCTTGCCGATGCTCCCGATCCAGCACCACTTTTTGAGATAGCTGTGGTAAATAGAGAGAGTGTTTGGTTAAGCCAGTGCGCATTGTATTGATAAGAAGTGATAGGATCAAAGTGCGAAGATGGTAGATAGCACTTCACTGCAGAATGAAAACAGCTATTTGAAAGAGCAATTACAGAAAGCAAATGATAATATCAAGCGTCTCGAAACAACAGAAAAGACAAATTTGGAGTTGGTGCAAAAAGTATCAGCCTTGGAAGAATCTGTAAAGTCTACACATTTGAGAGCTTTATCGCTTGCACTAATCATATTGGTTTTCATAGTTGGCAGAACGAAAGTCGAAAGATACCAGTGAGATGGAGCAAGAGATGAAGGATCAGTATAGTGACAAGATCAAACAACTGAAAGAACGGTAGGTGACAGGGTAGAGATAATATGAAATGCATACACTCATACTGCAGAAAAATCAGGGAATATGATCTTCAGAAGCAGCTTAATCTGGCATTGGATCAGCTAACAGATTTAAGACAATCTCATGATGATACACAGGCCGAGCTTATAGGCCACGGCCAAAAATATGGTGGGTATAAGAGGATTAGGTCGAGTTTAAGGGTTGCACTAACGGACACTGTAGATGAGGAAGTGGTCGGCAAATTGGCAGAGTTAGACATAGTTACAATGGATCTGGAACGTGCCAATGGAAGAATTATTCAATTGGAAAAGAAGAATGATGACTTGAAAGAAGAGATGGCTAAACTGCATGGATCCAAAGATAGCACTGAAGGGTGAGTTACTAGTATGTGGCTAATGATGAGCCCCAATCACTGATGGACGACAATAGAAACGAATCAACACAACATGAAGCCGAGGTGACTAAACTCATCAACGATGTTGAAACCTACAAAGACATGTTCCAAAAGACAGAAATAAGATTATCGAAAAAGGTCAAAGAGTTAACCACGGAGAACAACGCACTGGTAAGCATGCTTTGTCACTTATTACGAAAAGAAAGAAGCAAGCTTATATGACGAATCCCATAGACTGAAGAAAGAGAGAATCTGAAGAAAAAGATGAAGCATTTTGAGGATTATGACGAAATTAAGCGAGAGTTGCAAATCATGAAGGTAAGGCAATTGAATGCATGTAAGCAGAGAATAACTCCAACCCACGTATCGTAGTATGTTGAGTTCTCAACAGGTGAAGATGAGGACGACTTTATTGCAGACGATGTATTAAAGAAGGATGGCACCATTGAAAACAGCCTCGAAGTGCGATTGATGGAGAAAAACAAGAAATTGGAGAGTGAATATACACAAATCAAGGTCTCTTTTGCAGATCTTCAAAAAGCATTTGATAAGAACGCTAGCAGCATACAGTCATTAGAGAAAAAATTGCAAGAGAAATCAGCACTTGTCCAACGCTTGGAGGAAGATTTACTTCGCATGGGCCATAAATCCAATTCGGATCCCACTATCCTGGACGCACTGAGCAGAAGTGCCTCAGGCACACCTATGCCTCGAACACCTGATGGCGCACTTACTCCTCTTTTGGATGGACCGAGCGGCGTCAAGAAGGAAGATAAGAGTATCTTGCCCATTGTGATCAGTCAACGGGATCGTTTCAGACAGAGAAACAACGAGTTGGAGGAACGTGTGCGATCTCTAGAGACATCGTTGCAGGATGCAAGAACTGAAGTGCAAAAGCTTAAAACAGATAATTTGAATCTGTATGAACGACTCAAGTTTGTTCATGTGTGGAAGGAAGGACAGCAACAGGAAAAGGGCATAACGGTAAGGCAAGCTGATGCCTCCATGCTGGTTTGATGCTGACATTTAAGCTATCTATAGAACCGCTCAGTTGCTGTCACTATGGATGAGCCCAGTACATCCATGAGAAGCTTCAGAAGAAGTTCCATCAACAAGCAAGTAGATGATCCATCTGACAAGTACGGCAAACTATACGAAGAAAGCATGAATCCATTTACACAATTCCATAAAAAGGTAAAACGGCGATAGACTAGTGTATACCGAGTCGACCAACACTTTACAAATAGGAGGAGACCCGTCGATACAATGCACTGAATCCAGCAGAGAAACTCACTCTAAACTTAACCCGCCTCTTGTTCTCTCATAAATGGTCTCGTTACTTTTTCATCATTTACTCTCTATTACTGCATCTATTGGTGGTTGCCACTCTCTATCAATTGAGCTTATGGGAATGCCGACATGACCATGAAGCCATCAATTTTCCTACTAACAATGATGATGCGACAAAAATACTCAATGACATTTAATAAAAGACTTTATTCAAATGTACCTGAAAGAAACAGGGCTTCACGTGAGGTTACCATCACAGTAAATGGAGTCTCAAAAAGGGGATCCGCTTGGCTCAACATGACATAATGTTAAATTCGTGTTCCATTCGCATAAAAATAGGGCCCCAAAATGGCCTATTCGTTATTTTTTCTCTTTTATATTTTGTACATTTTTTTTTCCAGTTCATCATTAAAAGCATAGTATAAACATGTTGGAGTCTGTTGTCTCCACGCTACTAAACAGAGTGTTGGGCGCGTATGTCTCGAACTTGAATTATAGTCAACTCAAAGTAGGTATTTGGTCAGGTAAGTTGTGCTATTGAGAGGGGTTTCCGAGCTGTTATATTCATGTGTCTGTGTGTTGCGTAGGTGAGGTTACATTGCGTGACCTAAAGCTTAGACGTGAAGCCTTGGACAAGTTTAATTTACCTGTAGATGTCCTCGAAGGTAAGGCAAGCTAGATGTTGATAGAGGCAAAAGTCACTTATAAACCTACAACAGGTTATCTGGGTGAACTCACATTAACGATCCCTTGGAACAACTTGAGAGGCAAACCTGTCGTCATTCATGTCAAAGATGCTTATGTGTTGGCAGTGCCCAGAAATGAGTCCACTGTAAATGATAAAAACGATTAAACCTTCAGCCCCTTATTTAATCCCCCTTATTTTGTATTGTAGATGACAGCTGAGGAATTGGCGCAACGAGATCAAGATGCCAAAATGAGAAAGCTGGAGAATGCTGAATTAATGGTGGATGCCAATGAACATGACGCTGCCGAGGACGCTAAAAACGACACGTTTGCCAACCAGTTGCTCACCAAAATCTTGAACAATTTACAATTCTCCATCACCAATATCCATATTCGATACGAGGATGATATCTCCACAGATCATCGATTTGCTGCTGGTGTCACTTTGAGCGAATTATCAGCTATTACTACGGATGAGAATTGGATTGCAAACACCATCAGTGAGACTGTAAACACGATTCATAAGGTAGGTGTTGAAGGGTTGTATAGATGAATGATTGACTGACTAGAATGCTTTGCTAGCTGGCGACATTGGAGTCACTTTCAGTGTATTGGGATACCAATGCACCTACTCTATCACAGCATCAAGACTACACTGCATTCCAAGATTTGGTAAGCTGGTCTACATTGTGTCAGTGCTCATTTGCTGATAATGTTCCTTTAGATTGCCACCAAGCACTATGTCCCTGATGCACATCAATACGTACTGAAACCCGTGTCTGGCACAGGCAGAGTCAAGCTGTTCAAGAACTTTGGTGGAGAAACGCCCAAAATTGACGCCAATCTCTTGTTTGACGAGCTCTCTTTTGCTGTGGATAACGAGCAGTACAGAGACACTATATTGATGATTGATCTATTCCACTCGTACCTCAAAAAGCAAAAATACAAGAAATTGCACCCTCCCAACGACATGACGCCCAAATCCAACCCCCTGGATTATTTCCGATTTGCAGGCAATGCAGTGTTATCAGAGATCCATGAACGCAATGAACGTTGGACTTGGAAGCGTATCAAAAAGAGAAGCGAGGACCGTAAATTATACCTGGAGTGCTATGTGCAACACAAGCTGGACAGAGCATCACCAGAACAACTGGAGAAATTGCATGCGTTGGAACGAGAGTTGAGCTATGAGGATCTCAGATTCTATCGTAGTCTTGCCAAGCCTAAATTACGTAGTGAAAAGGCACGTCTTGCAGCGATTGAAAAGAGACGCAAAGAAGAAGCTGCTGCCAACAGGGCAAAGCAGGGCTGGGGCATCAGTAAATGGTGGTATGGTACAGGTGGTAATCCAAACAACAATGCTGCTCATGATGAAGCGTTGAATGAAGATCTTGTTATCACTGAAGAGCAGAAGCTCGAGTTTTATGATGTCATTGACTACGATGCTGATAAAGCAGCTATTGCTGCATCCATCGATTTACCCAAAGATGTAAGTTATGCTGTGTGTGTGTGTGTGTGTGTGTGTCTGTGTGTGTGTGTGTGTGTGTGTGTGTGTGTGTGTGTGTGTGTGTGTGTGTGTGTGTGTGTGTGTGTGTGTGTGTGTGTGTGTGGATCGTGTTGCCATGATACTCACAGTTAGTCATAGACCATGCTATTGTCGTTGACGACATCACTGAACAAGGGCTCTTTTACCGTGCGCAAATATCCTCATGACAAGCCATCCGATCTCGTCTCGCTCATCTTTGACAATGTCAGTCTGGGCATGATCCAATACGTTGAATCCTTTACAGCTACTGCTGCTTTGGGTGACCTCTGCCTCTACGATGGTATCCGTGTGGACTCTCCTTATTACAAGCTCATGGGAGCCAAGGACAAGGACAATGCAACAGACGAGGAAAAGCTCAAAAAGCGCAGAAAATCGTCCTCAGCAGCTGAAATACTGTCTCAAGCAACAATCCAAGATCCCTTCTTTACGGCCAAGTTCGAGCACAAACCACTGGATAACCGAGCCGACAATGCGGTTGCCCTGTTTATGCGCAACATTGATATTGTCTACAATCCGCTTGTGATTCATGAGATTGTGGATTTCTTTAAGCCGCCTGAAACCAGTGCCGACAGTATCAATGCTTTGATTGAAGTAGCGGGTGATACGTTGGAAGACATCAAGAACCAGACCAGAGCCAGTCTTGAGTTCGCCCTGGATCAGCATACCACCTTTGACTTGCAGATTGATATGGATGCGCCTGTCATCATTATTCCTGAGGACTGCACGTCTATTACATCGCGTGGTATCGTCATGGATGCTGGCCATATCAATGTCGAAAGCAAATTGGCACCTCCTGATGCCTTGAACATGTTGAAATCCAAAGCAGCTGCCGACATGACGATTGACGACAATATGAAGCTGCGTGAGCTCATGTACGACAAATTTACGGTTCAGTTGACACAGACCAAAATTCTGGTGGGCTCCATTGAGACGTGTTTGGTGCAAGTGCGTACACCGCGCGAGGAACTGCGCTACCTCCATCTGGTGGATCGCATTGATATGACGTTTTTGGCAGAGCTATGCATCATTCGCAAGTCGGTTGAAATGCCTCGATTCAAGGTATCCGGTCATTTGCCTTTGCTCAAGGTCAACTTTTCAGACACCAAATACCGTGGCATCATGCAACTCCCTCGCTTGATTGACGCATCCGGACTTTTGGGCGATAAGAAGGCTGATCAAGACGATATGCTGATTGGCAGTGATTATGCCAGCATGAACAAGAAGAACCAGGTGGATCAACGATGGTTCAATCTGATGAATACGCCTCTGTGGAGCAAGAGTAAAGATGATGTGTTTGTGGATACAGACAGTGAACACAGCAACGACGACAAGGAAGAAGATGCGTCTCTTGCGGACACAGTCGAAACGGAAGCTACAGAGATCACTGGTTCCAACAAGACAAGCAAGCGTACTGGCAGCAAAGACATGGTCAATATGGAGGAGCGTATGTTTGAATTGAATTTCAAGGTGGACCGTGTGCTGGCCAATGTTTTAGAAGCAACACAGCACGACGACAAGACCGATGTGCCAGAGACACTTTTATGTGAGGTGGATTTGCAAAACCTGGTACTGGGCTACAGTATGCGCCCTATGGATATGACGGTGCATCTCACCTTGCAATCACTGGATGTCACAGACCGCATGAAGCATGGCAATGAGTTCAAGTATTTGGTGACATCAGATCAATATGCACTGCAGCCAGGCCAAAGCCATGGTCATGACGAGCAGCTCAAAAACTTGGTCAACGTGGAATACGTGCGTTGCGACAAGACTAGCCCTGAGTATGTAACCAAGTACAAGGGCATTGATCAGACGGTGCAAGTGACCCTGTCTACATTGAATTTTGTAGTTACAAGAAGCTCTGTTTTGCAGTTGCACAACTTTATCTTGCACACATTTGTGGATGAAGAGGTATCTAGCACATCTACTGCTCCTACTCCTCGCAGACAGTCAGTCTCTACACCAACAGCAGCACCCTCTATTGCACCTGTCGCCACTACCAAGGACAGCAGCAGCATCTATGTGCGTCTCTTGTTGGACAGTGTCAATTTTGTCCTAAACAACGATGGTGTTCGTCTAGCCACAGGTGAACTGTCATTAGGTGACTTATCTACTATCATTCTGGATGGCCAGGTGAATGTCGCTGCCAAGTTTGCCAACTTTACATTGACAGACAACTTGACATCCACCCACAACAGCCCACAGCATTCCACCAGCAACCAATTATTGACCATTCAAGGCGACGAGCTGATTGATTTGCGCTACAATTCATACGTCAATGATGGTCGCGAGGGCTATCCTGGCTATGATCATGCGCTGTACGTTCGTATGGGCTCAGCGCAGTTTAACTTTTTGGAGCAGCCTATCCATCAATTCATGGACTACCTTAGTAAATTTGCAGAGATGAAGTCTACTTATGACATGGCGCGTCAAGCAGCACTCGAGTCAGCACAGCAATTGGGCCAAGCAGCGACCAAGATGCATTTCGACGTGGTGATTGAGACACCTGTTGTCCTGTTCCCCGAGAACCATCAGCATGCGTCTGATGTGGTGGTGGCTCATTTGGGTGAAATCTGGGCTTCCAACTCGTTTGTGGATGAATCTGATGGCTGTATTAATACCATCCAGGCTGGCTTGCGTGCCATCAATTTGACCTCCAAGTTCAACATTGCTCAACAACTGCAAACACTGCCAATTGTTGATGACATTGATTTGAATTTGGATATCAAGATTCCTCAAGAAACGAGCAAGACGCGTCCCCATGTTGATATTTGTGGTAGTATCGAGGACGTTACCATGCGTTTGACAGAGAGACAGTACGTGTTCCTGATGGATGCGATCAATATGTTTTCTCGCGTCTTTTCCAGTCCTGCTGCTGAAGAAGAGGAAAATGCCGAGACATCTGTACCTGAGAAAACTACTGACACGATCAAGTCGATCAAGGAGAGCTCTACTAGCAGCAACAAGAAGGCCATTGAGATGTTTACAGAGACCAATAAATCGCACGATTTGCCTCGCATTCAAATTACCCTGGACGCCAAGACCATTGGATTGGAGATCTACAAGAACAATAACACGGATACAGAGACCAAGCATATCCAGAAACCCGACAGTCTGGCTCGCATTGCACTGAACAATACGCACGTCAACTTCCACATGTACAACGACGACTCCATGGACGTTCATTTGGTGGTTCATGCGCTCACTGTGGATGATACACGACCTGGCATCAACAGCAAGTTCAAGCATATTGTACCTGTGATTGAAGACGGCCATCAATTTGAGCTTCAGTTGGACCTCAAGGAACCTGATCCTGTGCGTTCTGGTATTGTTGTCATGACGGTAAAGGATCCCAAGGTCATCTTATCACTGGATCACGCCTTTTTGTTACGCGATTTCTTTACACTGCCCTTTAATGAAAAAGCAGAAGAGCACAGAAGTCCATCCACCACCAACCAAGATCAACAGCAGCAAGGCATAGAATTGTCGTATTTGTTGACCATTGTCAATGCGGAATTTATCTTGCTGGCCAACCCCGATCATGCTGATTCAGAGGCTGTGGTGCTCTCTACCAAAGAGCTGTTGATCACGCAACAAGCAAAGACAGCACTCGTAGTCAAGCAGATGGGCATGTTCTTGTGCCGTATGGATATGCGCAAAAAGTCGACACTGCGATTCATTCAGCCCTTTGACGTCAACCTGTCCATGAATGGCAACCCCAAGAACGATCAAGGTGGCCTACTGACGGACCTTGTCATGAATATTGACCCACTGGTACTACGTCTCTCTTACCGTGATGCCATGTTGGTGACAGACATCTTCAACAAGGCGTACGAGCTCTACAGTGTCAGCATGCACAATGATGACACCCAGCAAACCACAGCTGAATACGCTCAAAGCCTAATCTCGTCTGCCAATCAACAAGATGTGGAGCGTTTGAACGAAATTGCACTGGCACAAGAGTCCTTGCGTATCTCTTTTCACGGGGCTCAGATTGTGCTCATCGAAGAGCTGCATGAAACGCCCATGGTGGATATGAACTTGAAGCCATTTAATGTAGAGGTAGCCAATTGGTCAAAGGCCCTGTCTGCTACAGTGGAATTCCAGGCATATATCAATTATTTCAACATCAAAAACTCGCACTGGGAACCACTGATGGAGCCATGGAGCTTTAGATTGGAACTGGCTCGCAATGCCTCCACGAAAAAAGATCCTCTTCACGTCAAACTGATATCCAATTCCATCCTGAATGTCAATATCACGCATACCTTTTTGGAGAGTGCCTACAATACCATGCATTTGATGGACAAGCAAAAGAATGTAAGTGTGGAGAGAGCCTCGCGTATTGACAACAAAAGATACTAATATAAACACATAGACTATCTATAGTGGCGAACGAGGCAGAGTGGCACCCTACGAATTGCGCAATAGAACAGGCTACAATATCATGGTCTGGAATTCCACCAACTCCAAGGAAGGGCCTGTGATCCAAGAGATCAAGGACGGCAGTAACAAGCCATGGTGGTTTGAAGACTGGAAGACGCGTCGAGAAACTACTTCTTTTGCTAGTAACAACTTGAACGTTCAGATTGACGGTGCCATGTGGGAGAGCTTGCGGGATATCCAGCTGGATACAGAAGGAGAACACATGCATGCGCTTCGGCCCATGATCAAGAACGTCCAACATCGCATTGTGTTTGATGTCAAACTGGTGGACAATATCAAGATTGTCACGATTCGTTCTTCACTGGTCGTTGAGAACAGAACACTGCTGTCCGTCGATGTGGCCTCCATTGATCCCAGTGGTAAAATGGACGGTGCTGTCAAGAAGGTGGCACCCGGAGAGGATTATGCAATTCCTATTGAAAAGGCGTATACCAATCGATTCTGCATTCGCCCGGATGCTGGATTTGGTTATCGTTGGACTGAAAAGGCATTCCACTGGAAGGACTTTGCAAGCCCTGCTAAACCTCAAAGCACATTTAGCTGTCTAGCAGAAGACGCTGACAACAACATGCCGCCATTTATCTTCCAGATCAACGCTCGCTTGGACAAGAAGAGTATCCTGTTTGGCCAATATCCAGTCATGGGCATCCGACTCAGCGCTCCCATCGAAATTGAAAACTTGCTGCCGTTTGACTTCAACTTTCGCATTGTCGACAAGACCTCTGGACAGGACTTCAGTTCATATCTGCGTAAGGGAGGTGTTACGCCTATCCACGTGATTGAAAATGGCCATTTGGTGCTGTTGAACGTTGAAATGCCTGACACAGAGTACAAACGCAGTGAATACGCCATCATTAGCACCAAACGCACTGATGATTTGGACATTGATCATTCAATTGAGTTGGTGAACCGCAAGGACAAGAGCAAACTCAACATTCGTATCAATACACTGGACATTCCAGATTCGGGTGGTGCTAAAAAGTACAGCATCTTTAGTCCTTACATCATCATCAATAAGACTGGGCTACCCATTAGTTTCAAAGAGAAGCCTGCCTGGGCTGAAGCTCTGTATTCTGCCGGAGAGACGGTGACCATGTGCAAGCCTGGACCCAAACCGGAGCCCTTTATGTACTCGTACCCTCATGTCGACAACCGCAACAGAACGTTGATTCAGGTGGATAAATCAGACTGGAGTCAGCCTCTCAGTTTTGAAGCCATTGGCAGTGTTTATGATGTGGCTTTACCTAACGCCGGTCGCTCTGAAGAGATCCATGTTGGTATCAATGTACAAGAGGGACAAGGCAAATTCAAGTTGACAAAGACCATCACCATCACCCCTCGTTTCGTACTGAGCAATCAAACAGACGAAAATATCCGCTACCGTGTACCTGAGACCAAGAACGACTACATCCTGGAAGCAAACCAACGTATCCCGCTGTACAATATCCGTGTTCAAAACGAAAAGCAATTGACCATCAAGTTGGAAGGGTACAGTAACTCTTGGTCTGCTCCATTTAATATCCAAGATATCGGCGATGTGCACATTCGATTGGCCAACGACTATGGTAACCAGGACACACTGATCAAGGTCTCTACACTCATCCAAGACGCTACTATTTTTATTGTGTTGCGCAAGGAAGCCGATAACAACTGGCCTTACCTTTTGGTCAACAAGACCAATGAGGACATGATCTTTTACCAAGAGGATCCTGTTGTCTTGCGTGATGATTACAGCGCTGCACCTGTTCGCAATCCTCGCATCAAGCGCTACCGACTGCTGGCCAATTCCTCTGTTCCTTATTCGTGGGATTTACCTGCTTACAAGGACAAGAAGATCATCTTGAATATTAACGGAAGAGAGCGAAGTATCAATCTGCAAGAAATTGGCAACATGCTGCCATTTAGACACACGACACGCGAAGGGACACCTACCATCACTTCTATTGATGTCAAAATTCGTGGCTCACGTCGTATCTTGGAACTGAAGCCGTTCAGTCAAAGCGAGAGTCTATTTAAGCCTGTGTCTCATAGCAGCAGCCAGAGTAACTTGACACGCGTGGATTCTTCTGTCTCGGTCTCTTCTGCAGACTCCATTGCCAAGGAAGGGTTCGAAGCAGCTGATATGGACATGTCTGTCAATGCTGTGTTCCAAATTCAACTCAAAGAAGTGGGCATCTCCATGATCAATAGACAACTGCACGAACTAGCGTACGCTACACTCAAGGGCATTGATTTGAAACTGACAGATTCAGCCATGTATCATTCCCTGCGATGGAACATTGATTGGGTACAGATTGATAACCAAATGTACGGCTCTGTGTTCCCAATTCTACTGTATCCCACCAACCTGACAGACAACGGCAATCGCAAAGACAATAAGATACTGCCTACCGTCCAAATGGCTTTGGATCGTGTCAAGGACGACTCTCATGGCGTCGTCTATTTCAAGTACTTTTCCATCTTGCTGCAAGAAATGAGCATCGAACTGGACGAGTCATTTGTCTATGCTGTCATGGATTTCGTTCATATTGATGATGGTGCCACGGCAGGTAACGACCCCACCAATGATGCCAAGCTATGGGAGTACACAACGGACATTCCAGATGTCAAGCCGCACGACAGTATTGCCCAAATCTACTTTGAGGTATTTAGTATCCAGCCCATTCGCTTCGACCTCTCCTTTTTACGATCTGGTCAAGAAGACGACAAGAACAAGATGCAGCAAACAAACACGCCTCTCATGTATCTGGTGAATGCATTGACCATGGCTATTGGCAACATCAATCAAGCACCTCTGCGGTTCAATGCGTTGGCTATCGAGAACATTATGGCCAGTGGTCCTGATTTGGCCAACCGAATCTCGATTCATTACAGCGATCAATTGGTCTATCAAGTGCATCGCATTCTTGGCTCTGCAGATTTCTTGGGCAATCCTGTAGGTCTGTTCAATAACCTGAGTTCTGGTGTCGCTGAATTGTTCTATGAGCCATGGCAAGGGTTGATCATGAGTGACAGACCACAAGATTTGGGTTATGGTATAGCAAAGGTAGTGTATATCCAGCATGTATCTCAACAAAATTGTGTGGGCTGACTGAAATTTGCTTAGGGATTCGGTGGATTTGTCAAAAAGAGTGTATTTGGTGTATCCGATAGTTTTACCAAATTTACTGGCAGTATTGGTAAAGGCTTATCTGCTGCTACCATGGATAGAGAATATCAAGATAGACGCAGAATGAACATGGCGAGAAATAGGCCTAAGCATGCGCTGGTCGGTGTGGCTCAAGGTGCTACATCCTTTGCTAATAGTGTTACTAGCGGCTTCTCTGGCCTTGTGGTAAGTGTAATTTAGCCAAAGATGCCTCCAACAAGTTAACAAACAATTCAAATTAGACTCGTCCTATGGAAGGTGCTACAAAAGATGGTGTTGGTGGATTCTTCAAGGGCTTTGGTAAAGGCTTGGTCGGTGCAGTAACTAAACCAGTGGTCGGCGTGTTTGATTTCACTAACAATATCACTGAAGGCATCCGCAACACCGCTACGCCTACAGACACCAACATGATTGAACGTGTGCGCTATCCTCGTTACATTGGCACAGATGGTTTACTGAAACCCTATTCCTTACGAGAGGCTATTGGACAACATTGGCTCAAAGATGTGGATGGAGGCAAATACATGGATGATACGTACATTGCTCATTGCCATGTCCAAAACGATGAACGGGTAGCCATGTTGACTACCACACGTGTCATGCTGATTCGTACGCGTAAATTGTCTGTAGAATGGCAAGAACCCTTTACAGAGATTCAAACCATCAAACGTGAACCTACGGGTATCGCCATTTATCTCAGAAGTATGAGCTGGGAGCCCTTCCTCATCATCTCGGATAAACATAGCAGAGAAGACTTTTTCAAAAAGATTGAAGAGGCAGTAATCAAGTACAACTCTACTCGTCGTCCAAATCAATAAAAGAACTGTCAATGTTTTATGCTATATACCAACAGCATGAATCCTGTGTTTCGAGGGTGATGGTTTCTTGTAAATTTCTTGCTGGTGTTATCAGATACATCTTAAAATATGTAACAAGAGCAAAGAAAGTGTGTCTAAGCTAAGCAACAGTACTTTTGAATTGAGAGTTGCCCTTCTATGAGCTCTTGAAGCACTTATAACCTTCGAAGGTTCAGGATGGGCATGGAATTGATTTTGCCCCCAGCCAAAAAAACTCATTAAATTCCGCCAAAAGCTCTGCTCTAGATTGGTCAAATTTTGAACAAATTCGACTTAAGGGATCTATTTTGCCAGATTCAACTATGTAAGTTGTGATGATCGTCCTATACTTCATAATACATTTCTAATGTACTTTTCAAGGCGCATCGAATGATGCCAACTTTTGAGAGTGTTGTAACTGAACTTTCCGAAAAATGTCTGAAAATACGAAATAAGGTTTTCTGCCAAAATGTCGAGATGTTACATACAAAGGTTTCACAAATACAGTTTCAGAGGTTGCTTGGGATCGAGAGAAACATTTTGATTTAGTGTATGCTATAGTAAAAGTCTTCATTTTTGGGGTCAAAAACGCGATCGTTTGGTTTTCAATGAAAATTATGAGGGGTACCTCATGCTTTTTGGCCGATTTTGGGCCATGTTTTTTTTGGTCCACAAAAAGTTGAGCAAAGGTGTCAGAAAGTGCATGCTAGATGAATGTAATTGTTTGATACTATTCTTCTGGTCCAAAACGCCTTTTGACGCGAGAAAAACGGCTCAAACGCAACCAGATTACACTGAAATTTGTATACGTACGAGTAGTTGGGAGTCTTGCAGCTATGCATTCGCTGAGTAAATACGACGCAGACGTGAAGCTTCGTAGAAGAGCTATATCTACTGTAACAAGTTGTTCAGGGAGAGCTCTCATGTTATAGGGTCCAAGTCAAGAGGCCCATATTAGTCTGATATTCTATCAAGCCTACAGTATCTTGATGGTATGGGCGAAGAAGGCCGGCAGCTCAAGGCCTAGAGATACTAGTAGTATTCGATAATATGATCGAAGCAACAAGCATAGGAAAAATATCTGACGAGGATACCGAATTGAACGGTACTCGTATTATGGGATAGATACCACAACTATATAAGATGTTTGTATATATGGAGCTTCTGAAATACAAGAAGTTCGCATACAATGAGTAACCACTCTCATGGCGGCATATTAGCTAGAGAACAATAGATCACTCACGTACCTTTGACAGCATCGGCTACTCAAATCAGTCCACAATGCTTCAGCAGGAGCAAGACAGTACCACAGGTTTTTGAGTTTCAGCCTGTCGCCATGTTTGCAAGAAAAAATTTGTATGGAGAAAAGGGGTTTCTTTAATACATCATATCATGGCACTTGAAGTCAGAGCAACACAACAACAGAATGCAGCACCTACACGATGTTTTATTTCGTTAGAATTTATGCAAAGGAACCAAATTGCTACTGGCGATCTCATTAGAATCACACAAAATGAAAAGGTAGAAGTAAACTGCAAACTTCAAACTGGATAACACTGACATTACAACAAAAAAAAAGACGATTATAGGCATCGCTTGGCCTTCGCTTACGGTGCCAGTAGAAGGTTTGGTATAAACTGCTTTTGGATCTGCAACACACTAACTCATGGCAATGTTAGGAATTGAATTGAGCACAGTAATGAGATTAAGTAGTGCACTGGAATTAGGAGCATTGGTCAGTGTGGAAAAGACAGCATCATCTCACTCGACAGAAGCGAGCCATATCCAAATCAACTTTATGTCTACCCCCACATTTGCAGTTAATTCGAGTTTTCAGACATATTTGAAGCAATTCTTGGGTATGTATCAAAAATTTGCTATGTATATACCATTATTCACCGCTCAATGGCATTAGTGGAGCAGAAATATGCGATGCAATCTCAAATCATCGATTTTGACTACCTTGGAAGTACGTCAAGAGTCCAGATTACAGATATCGCATCTAACACTCCAAGTGACATCTATACAATCACTGAAAAGACAAAAATCAGTTATGAAAATGCAGCACAGTCCACCAAACAACCAAAACCAGAACAACCAAATCAGACATTGAGCTATGATCAAATTGGAGGATTATCAAAGCAGATCGAGATTGTTCGAGAAATGATTGAAACGCCCTTAAACAACCCTGGATTATTTCTGAAATACGGTTTAAAACCGCCTCGAGGCGTGTTGTTGTTTGGTCCTCCAGGCACAGGCAAAACATTGATCGCCCGTGCTGTAGCGCAAGAAACTGGGGCACACGCTATTATTGTCAATGGCCCTGAAGTGGTGAGTAAATTCTACGGCGAGACCGAGCAAAAGCTACGAGGCCTATTTGAGCAAGCTGTGCAAAACGCGCCTGCTGTCATCTTTATTGACGAAATTGACGCACTCTGCCCCAAACGAGACGAAGCACCCAGTGAATTAGAGAAGCGAGTGGTGACAACCTTGCTGACCTTGATGGATGGAGCTAACACTGAGCACCAACGCGTTGTTGTTATTGGCGCTACAAATCGGCCCAACTCTTTGGACGAGGCATTGCGTAGGCCAGGCAGATTTGATAGAGAGGTAGAGATTGGCATTCCAACAACAGAGGCACGACAATCCATTATACAAACCATCATGAAAAAAATACCCCACACACTCGAGCCATCCCAGTTAGACATGCTGGCCAGTAAATCGCATGGTTATGTAGGCGCTGATTTGGCAGCTGTATGCAGAGAGGCTGGACTGAAATGCATCAAACGATGTGCAACGGCACCCAATGTAGATTTGCGAGTGAATATGCAAGACATGACAGAGGCCATGTCAGAGATCAGACCCAGTGCTATGCGAGAGATTTTACTGGAGGTGCCTAAAGTTTATTGGTCTGATGTAGGCGGTCAAGCAGATATCAAGCAGAGATTGAAGGAGTCCGTAGAGTGGCCATTACAACATCCAGAGGCGTTTACTCGATTAGGCATTCGACCACCCAAAGGCATTTTGTTGTACGGACCACCTGGATGTAGTAAAACATTGATGGCAAAAGCACTCGCAACTGAAGCTGGATCTAATTTCATTGCAGTTAAGGGGCCCGAGTTGTTCAGCAAATGGGTTGGTGAATCGGAAAAGGCAGTGCATGAAGTGTTCCGCAAAGCAAGAGCAGCATCGCCCTCGATTGTCTTCTTTGTAAGTCGCTGTTTGGTCTATCTTGGCGGTCATATGGGCTATTTATAAATTATTTATTGGTTTTAAATTAGGATGAAATTGATGCGCTCACAGTAAAGAGAGGTTCATCTGGCGATGGCGGTACCTCGGTGGCTGACAGAGTCTTGTCACAGCTGCTGAATGAATTGGACGGTGTAGAGGCCTTGGTCAATGTTACAGTGGTGGCAGCAACAAATCGACCTGACATCATCGATGATGCTCTATTACGTCCCGGCAGAATTGATCGCATCTTGTACGTTGGACCGCCTAATCTCGAATCCAGAAAGGAGATCTTTCGAATTCAATTAAAAAAGATGACAGTTGATCGAGATATTGATATTGACGAAATAGCGGAGAAGAGCCAAGGATGTTCGGGTGCAGAGGCAGTAGCTATTTGCCAAGAAGCAGCTCTATTTGCCATGGAAGAGGACCTCCATATTGATTCAGTCAAGATGCGACATTTCAGAAAATCGTTGGCAACATTCACAAGACGTATTACACCAGAAATGATTCAATTTTACAAAGACTTTCAAGAGAGGTCTGGATTGCAGAGCATTTGATAGAGTCCTTTTTTTTTTTTCTTTTTTTTTTTTGCTTGTGCTACTGGCCACTCCCAATTAAAAATAGCAAGGGGTTTATTGTCATTTAGCTTTAATTTTTGTGGTGGTCTGTTACCCTTCTTCTCTCTTATTCTTTTTTTTTCTTTTGCACAGCAAAATGAAGGTAAAGTATAGTATCTCGAGTAAACTTGTTTTGCTTGTTATATTATTCATATCCTTTATAATAAAGTATCATACAAATACATTCAAATCGAAAAAGCGATCACTGTCTTTTCCGTTCAACCACTCCATCATCTCAACGACCAAATCATCCATTATACCAGCACCATTACCATCAACATCAAGGGCATCTAGCACATCAGATGAAAAGTATATTACGTTTTTCACGCACAGTGGATTTCAGAATCAATTGATTCAGGGTAATTAAACTGACACAGGTTCCAATTTTCAAGCATCTCATTGTTTTTTTTTTCCAATCAGTGGAGAACGGAATTCTCTTAGCTTGGTATCTCAATCGGACACTGATTTTGCCAAAGGCTTTATTGGGCGAAGCATTCGGTTGGAACCAGTTTTCAAAGCTATATCAGCATCATACGTATCGTGATACAACAAACAATTACTGCAAGCAGTTCAAAAGCAAGAAAGCAAGAAAATCAGCATCGTGCCCTGACCCTTCAAATTATGCTCTCGCTTCCTTTGAAGACCTGTTTGATTTAAATTGGGCAAAGCAACATGTCAAAATCATAGAACGAGAGCAAAGCGACTTTAATTGGTTGAAAGATGCATTGGACATCGAGACAAACCAGAAAGACATCCAAACTGGCGTCTATGTGGATGGTGATATTTTGTTTTACAAAGGTTTGAGTCTATTGCTCCAAGTGCTACATCGTTATTAACATGCATATGGTGTAGACGAAACTCGCTATGATTGGAGAATATACGATCAACCTGTCAAGAATCGATTTCTAGGAAGATACAACGATAGTCTCGACATCACTCAGCTGCAAAACCATACGCAGAAATTGATCCATTTCACCAGCTTATTCGGTACTGGCAAATTTCCTATCAAGAAGCCAGAAAACATGGTATTCTTCGAGCAGCTCAAAAATAGCATCAAATACAAGCATCCAGCAGTACTCAAAATGACTGAAATCGTTGTGGAATCCTTGGGAGGGGCTGGCAATTTCGTTGGAGCACATCTTCGAACGGCAGATGGGCTTTTCATTGATGCGATACCTGATAACATTCAACATTTAATATCCAGTATCCCTAATAACGACCAACAAATACCAAATAGCGACCAATTATCAACTTGTGTAGCACTTGCCAAGCAAAATCACACAAAGCTTGTATTTCTGGCCACAGATGCTGTTCAACCACGAAACAATGCTAAATTTCAAAATCTATGGCAGCATTTACCCTGTACATTTACGTTGGCCGAGATTCTAAACGACAAGGATCCTCTATGGAGTCATATGGACCAGTATAGAACATCGCACACAGGTCAAAGCATGAGGAAATACCTGATTCCCCTCATTGATGCACTTGTGGCTAGCCAAGGCGAGAAATTTGTTGGCACAAAAGGCTCCACATTTTCAGGTTATATTAATAGATTACACGAATCATATTGGAGAGCGTAAATAGCTGGTCTGTTGCCATTTCCTCATCATACAAATGTACATAGATAGATATAGATAATAGATTAGATAGACAAATAATTAAACATTGTAAATATTTTATTTGGTTTGATACATTGCCAAGGGTATATCGTCATCATCGTCTGATTGCAGTTGCTGCTGTTGTAGTCTGTTGTTTCCTTTGGAGAAGGAAGGCAGCCATTTCTTATCCTTTTTCTTGCTGCTGAATATCGAATACTTGCTCGTCTTCTTCGCCTTTTTCTTTTGGTCCAAGTATTCAACATCTTCCGACATGGATAACGAAGAGTTTGATGAGGTGAACGAGAAGCTGTCTGAATTGTCATCTGAATCCGTGTCAGTGTCGTCCCCATCTTCATCGTCATCGTCTTCTTCAGAGCTCGAGTTATTGGAATAAGGTCTTATAGCTGTCTTTTTGTTTACATGAGGGCGGTGCTGACGAGGCTTTTTCTGCTGCTTTGTAATGATATCCATTGCATTGCTGTTCTCCGGCCTTACTTGATTTCTCATTCTCCTCTTTTTGTGCTGTATTTGCTGCTGCTGCATTCGGCATGCCTTTTTAGTCATGACTAGATGTTCCATAGGTGCTGGCTCGTTTTCCGTGGTGGTGCTATTTGTAGATACGATGGAAAAATACCAAAACATTAAATTGGAAATAATCACTTGATCTCGCAATGGGCGTCTTGGGGTTGTAAGTTTCAAATGAGACAAACGGTATATGGCTCTTTCTGTGTGGATAGGTAATCTTGTGTAATTGAAGGGAACTGTATTTTTTGATAATGTACAACTGTCATTTTTTGCTTTACTAGTACATTCTAGTGATTTGCTGCTGTTGTTAGTGGTGCTTTGGTTGCTTTTTTTAGAGGATGACGATGAGGATTTCCGAGAAAACAAGGATGAGATATTGAACTTTTCCTGCTTCTCGTCTATGGTGGACTTTTTGGAGGAAGCAGAGAACATTCGCCTGGGTGACCAACTCGACTTTTTCTTCAATGCTGTTGTCCTTGTAGGAGCAGGGGAGCAAGAGGAGACAGAGGAAGAGGAGGAGGAGAAAGGAGGATCAGAAGAGGCAATTGCAGAAGATGAAAATAAAGAGGAAGCAACAGATAGATCAATCACTTTTGTGCATGAATCATTGTCAGCAACATCAACACGGGCTTGTTCTATGCCGTCTTTTTCCTGCTCTAATGCAGTGATCCGTAAATCAATAGCAGAGTCTTTTGGGTTTACAACATTCGCCCCTTCTGTTTGTTGTTGCTGTTGTATTGTTGCTTGCTTGGAAGGGATGCCATTTTCCTCCTCTTCTTCTTTCTCTTCTTTTCTCATGCTGCCCCTGTTCATTTCTTGAGGCTTTCCTAGCAGCTCGAAATCATGTACATCGCCATCATGGACTAGAAACCATCCATATGTTAGCTTATCGTTCAGACAATGAATAACACATGCACTTACCGTCAAATATCAAGTTTTCTTGGGAGTATATGTTTTTTGGTGCGTCGAAAATTGACTCCCTATTCGATAGCGGATCATGTTCGAGAATCCCTTCTTCCTGTTCTGCTATTTCTTGCGTCTCTGTCTCCTCTTTTCTTTCTCCTTCGCTCCGATGGCCTCTTTCCAATGCAGCCAGCGTTTGTTCCCTGTCAATACGTATAGCTTCCGCCTCGTCCTCTGCAGTGAAAGAGGCGGACAGCACTGATTTCCTGCGCTTCACTATAGATCTCTTTCTGTTTGCAAAGCTATGCGTTACAAGCTCATCTGTCGCGGTTATTATGGATGTTTCCTCTTTGGATGCCACATGAGAGGGAGCTATACTACTGTTGCTGGTACTATTCAAATGCGCGTTTGTCAGCCTAAGCAGTAGTCGAATAAAGGATAAATAAATTTCATTAATTTGATTGAGATGTAGATCTTCTTTACCAATATATTTGTTGCTGTTGTTGCTGATCCTTGGAATTTGTATTTTCCAATAAACATAATGGGATTTCTAGTATCCTGGAGAGGCCCGTGGCACTGAGGGATTTTAGTTGACTGAGACCAGGTTCTCCGTTCGGTGGCTGGTTGTGGTGGTGATGGTGGTGCTGAAATTGATGGTCTTTCTGGTCTAGAGGGTAGATGTAAAAGGTGGACATGTTTGTATTCAAACGAGAAAAAGAAGGGATAAGAAAAGAAGAACCAGATGCACCGTAGCCTAATTATGTATAGACATCTAGACAAAATACAAGAAGACTGTTTAAATTTGGCTTGTAAAAATATGTTCATCATGTTATTCTGGCATTTCACCTGTATGCCAGAATGTTTAAAAAGGGAGCTACAGAAACAAATGTAGTAGTTACACAGAAAACAATAAAAAAGTATAGCGGTGATGTGGTGGTGAATGTTACGCATGCCCCTGAATCTCTACACTGTCCTTCTCCCCTTTAAAACCCCTCTCTGCAGTCTCTTGATCTTTTGCAAATTCTACACGAGTATCAATACTTATGACACATGGGGATTGTATTTTTATCTGCAGCAATAAGCAGCAAACGAGCATCGATAAACAGCTAGTCGCAACATGTTTAAAATGTACGATGTTATATTTGTTTCTTGTTTTTTCTCCTAAGAGATTGCTGACTCATTTCACGATTGACATATTGAATGATGCTAAAAATTACCATGGAAACCGTAAGGGAAGAATGTAGTGTATGTGAAATACAGTATGCGTATATACACTCATCAAAAGACGGCTATTAAATAATGTCGATGATGCATGCTTGCTTTGAGTGTGTATTTATTACTAGACATTTACATCATCTGCGCCAGTGTTTTTCGCTCAAGTCAAGTAAGCATCTCTAAGAATAGCTTTAATGACGAGACAATATTTTGTCATTTGAACTCAATGACAGAATACAAGCGCCCACTTGTGTTAAATATACTTTAGTAGTCTATTAATAAATGTTCTTTATAAGCTTCAAAACGTTGCAATATGAATTATACAGTGCAGCTGGAATAATATCACCGACTATTCATATCCTGGCAGAGCATCTTGTATCAGCGATATACAAACATACAGTCTGATCGTGGGTATCTAGATATCTATGCTTTGTCTGTGTGAGCTTCAACTCTGCTTGCTGGTCTATGGAGATGTTAGTCAATGAACATAAAAGATCAGGAAGGATATTTTCGACAGCAACTGCATACGGTAAAATTTGGGTTTTTGGCCTCTGGAGATGTCAAGTCTCATTTCAGTAGGACTCGCGTAGCTCAAATAAGCACCCATGGAAAGGCAAACCTATGAGAACATTAACGAAATGAAGCCATTCTTAATTAATACAACTTCTACAATCATATCTAATACAACTTGGAGTTACAAATCCATGCATCTTCAGGCGTATTGTTCACATTTTCGTTGTTGGCTCGCAAACATAAAATGGTTATCAAGAAATAGATTTCATAAACATCTTATTGTTACTGTCTGAAAACAGAACAGTAATTAAGATCTTCATAAATGATTTTGAATATGTTCCCCATCTTGTCTTGTCGATATTTGATTACCTTCGTAAGTTCTTGATAAACGTCTGGCTTACATAGTTTGTAAAAGTATTGTTGAATATGTACGGGAACTCGAAAATGTTGTTTCCTACTAACTTGTGAGTCTCGTATAACCTATTTACTGCTTGAAAGATTGTTTGGACCCTGCTTGGATTGTTGTTAATCAGTGCAATCCTAACTTCTGCAATATCTTTTGGTGTATTTTCCTGGTTAATGCATCGTCCAAATTTGTGTAGCTTAATATTCTTGAGAGCCGAGACCCTTGCATGTTCCACATCCACCTTCACAACCCGCTGATAGGCATTGCTAAAGCTATTCTGCAGTTGTGTATAAAAATTTGTAGATGCTGCATATACTGCTATTTTCTCCAGTACATAATTAAACGCAAGCATAGAAGTTTTGTACTAAATCGAAGTGTAAATCAAATGGTACCACTCTTAAAAGCCATTTACAATTTGTAAACAAATAGGTCTATTTTTCAGATATTTTAAAGGTTTTCAGACGAAAGTATGCACTAAACCTATATTAACTCACTTGTATCAGTATTTATTGCGTTGGCCTAATAAAGAATTATCGTTAATGGTCTTACTCAAGGCTGTAGCATCAGCTCTCATGCAACTATACTGCGAAAAGGTTAGCCGCCGTAACGCTAACTATTGCTACAATGGCGCATATAAATATTCTTACTTACGCCAACAATAGTCAATACACGTCCTGGATCTATCTTATACATAGACTTGAGCACCATAAGGACGTTTTTGTGCTTTTATTAAAGAAAAACATGTTTCTGTTGATACGTTCGTATTTGCGTCTATTCGAGATGTAACCGTACATGGCTTACTGCTACTTTGACATTCAGAATGTAGTATAAATTGGATAAGGCCTTGTCTTTATCAATAGATCGTTGCTGTATACGAGTGTTTACGCTTTCGATGGCTCTCTGCTTTCGTTTCAGTGAAAACCAACCTGCGCAGCGGTAACTCGCGTTACCGATTGCCCTTGAGTATCATCAACAAACTGCTACTTTCATTTTTACCCTCCACTTACACATGAAACCCCTTCATATTGTCTGAGAACCTGATTCTTATGCGATGCTCTACATCCATATATACGTAGCTATTTTATATACGGGCAAGTATCATACAGATGTTATCCCATTTTAGTCAAATGTGTGCTAAATACAGCGAAATCTGGGCGCATTTGAGCTGTGTTTTCTCGCGTTAAAGGTCGTTTCAGACTATCAGAATAGTACCAAACAACTGCTCTCATCTGGTAGTTATTTTCTGACACCATTGCTCAACTTTTTGGGGATCAAAAAAATATGGATAAAGTTAGACCCAAAAGCATGAGGTACCCCTCATGGTTTTCATTGAAAATCAAACGATCGCGCTTTTCACCTTGATAACGAAGACTTTTACTATGGTATATCTTGAATCAATTTTTTTTTGTATTTAAATGTGTTTTTTTATTAAAAACTAGACAGTAAGGTACTATTTTGTATTTACATGTCTAGGAAAGAGGAAATTAACTTGGCGTTATCGGCAAGAAAAGACGAGAAAACTGTTCGAGTAAGCCATGATTTACCATCAAGGGTGCAGCCCCAATGATGTTGCCACACGCGAGAGAAGGCAACGCCAAGAAGTTTCAAGATGGAAATGTCTAGAGGATGGTTGTCCTGGCCATGAAGGGTAGTCAGCCCAAGCCAAATGGCAGCGTCAATAGGGAACTTAGCAGTAAGACCGAGATGGGAGACTACCTCATACCAGAAAAGGGACTTACTATTGCAGCCGATGACCATGTGGTATTCATCTTCAGGCGCCTCCTAGCACACCTTACAAAGAGGGGAAGGATACTTCACAACGTTGATGGAGTGCAGACAAGCCTGAACCGAGAGATGACCATACAGCAGACGCCACTACCGCGTAAAGGCCTTGGCGGGAAGGCAGAGGGACCAAATATCACGCCAGAGGCGGGGTGGAAGCAAGAGATGTGGTGGGCGATACCGAGGAGGGTGGGCTGGGTCACGAAGCATATCAAATGAGGGGTGACATGAACGTCGCAGCGTACCGAGCGTGATCTTGTCCACTGTAGCTTTTGAGCACGGGTCGGTGATGATGTACCAGTGCGAAAAGCTAGGAGCCGGAGGAGAGGGGGTTGTCGAGCTCTCCAGCATGGCAGTACGCTCTTGGTCGGTGAATGCCATGACCGATCTGAGAGAATCAGGAATGATCCACACAGGAGGACCCTCAAAAGGGCACAGAGCATTGAACAGATATTGCAAGAATGCGGTAATGCGAGGGCGTAAGCAAGCCAAGATGTTGGTGTCTGGTAGCACGCTCAAGAGGCTGGCAATCAGCCTGTGCGGGGGGGTAGTTTGTCACTAGTTCTCGTCAAGGTCGCTGTTGGCGAAAGGGAACAGACTTGTAGCCAAGGTAGATCAAGGAGCCACCAAGACGGCCACTCCAGAGAAGGAGTCAGTGGAGACAAACGAGTTAATAATCGAGCCAGATGTTCTAGATGAGGGCATTTTCTCAAACGAGGCCAGTAGTTACGAAGATACAACAGTAACGGAAGAGCAGTAGCATGACCTGAGTATACATGGAAAGTATATAGTAGCCAGGGAGAGAGGAAGAAGCAGCCGTTTGACATAAATGAGATGCAAAGCGAGATGCTGATTCTTAATGTCGACCAGACCGAGACCACCATGTTTGCACGGAAGGCAGAGAGAATCCCATGCCACAACCGGCCAAAACGAGACAATATATTGACGTACAATGCGCTGGATCTCCTCCAGCCACTTACTGGGTATAACAACCACACGAAGAATATGCCACAAACGAGACAGAAGAAGGGAGTTTGCCACCAAACCCTTGCCACGTATGGAGAGCTGTCGCTTCGTGAGCGAATTGCATTGACGCTGCACCTTCACTGTGATAGTATCCAGGAAATGAGCCAACTGTTCCTCGGTAGGGTACAAAGGGTAGCCGAGATATCTCACAGAGCCAGTTGAAAGATTCATCGAGCCATACAACGTTAGACGAGTCCGCCAAGTGTTTCCAATCGTCATGAGGCTTGCCAAACAGCGACACCAGCACGGTTTTTTCCAAATTGACCTTGGCATTGGACGCTTTGCCATAGAGTGACAAGAGCGACAAAAGCACGGGCCATTCAGCCGGAGACGCCAGAAAGGCTTCCAAATCATCAGCATAACTAAGCATTTTGACCCGTGGAGGGCTCGCTGGAGCACTCAGAAGGACATGATCAGTCTGTGGCTCAATTGGAGCGGAAGCAACCGAAATTCGACGTGCCAAGGTCGGGCGTTTGTCCGTAGACATAATCACACCACGTAAGTCTGCACAAGCCAAGATGGTTCTGAGGAAAGGTTCAAATGCGAGATCAAACATTAGGGACGACAGCGAATCGCCCTGCCGTAGACCACGTCGTTGTTCAATAGGAGCACCCGGCCATCCATTAATGGATAAAGGGATGCGAGTATCAATGAACAGACCCGAGATACTGTCAACCAAGGATGCCGGAAGAGCAAACTGATGAAGCACCATCGTCAGATACGTAGGGCTTACACGATCATAAGCTTTCTCCTGATCCAAAAGCACAGTAACATTAGGATCACTGGGAGCAGCGTCACGGAAGTTGTTCATCAACGTCTGGTTGAGCTAGGCGTTACCCGAGATCAAACGGTGAGGCATAAAGCCAGTTTGATACGAGGTGATTAGCTGAGAGAGATCACGCTTAAATCTGTTGGCGAGCAGTTTGGTGAACAACTTGGCATCGCTATTGATCAATGACAGAGGGCGTCAGTTCTTGAGCAGCTCGGGATCTTCCTTTTTGAAAAGAAGCACCATCCTCGTCTGTTTCCAGGAGTCTGGGAAGATACAACACAGTGTGTCAGTCAACGCTTGTTGTAGAAGAAGCAGAACAGGAGGGAATTTGTCACACAAATATCGATAGACCTCGAACGGAAGGCCATCTAAACCAGGAGACTTGTTCTTAGTTGTATGGTCAATCAACCCTAAGGCACTGTCTATAGAGGGTGGTTCGATGAGCCTATCCGCCTCGGCATCTTGTAGCTTTGCATCCTCAGGGATTTTTTCCAAAAGAGTGTTCACTGCCGCCAGATCAATGGCATCCGGGGTGCACAGCACTTGATAGAATGATCGAGCTTCTTGAAGAATTTCACCCATATGCGTCAATCTTTCACCTGTACTAGCCCTTTTCAAGGATTGAATTGTCTGTTGAGCCTCACGATCCTTGATCACACCATAGAAGTACTTGTTATTCTGTTCACCCATATCTAGCCAGCGAGTGGCCGCACGCAGCGTCGCTTGGCGAGTATCATCGAGAATCTTCTGTTCAATCAGTTTCTCCAGTTTCTTAACCCGAACCGTCTCCGCCTGGTCACCAAGCAGCTGTTCTCGTTCACGATGAAGACGAGAGACTCTAGCTTTAAAGCGAGCCTTCTGGCCTTTGGTGAACTGTTGGGCACAGTACTTGATAATAGATTTGAGCGACTCCTACTTCTCCTGGACAGACCGTACACCCAGATTCCGACACTCAGCACCAGAGACACCTGGATTGCCCACAACCTCCTCATAGTAATCAGAAGCCAAGAATTCCACTGTTTTATCCATAAGAGCTTGGAATTCCCTATTTTCAAGCAAGTATGGATTAAAACGCTAGCTGCCAGGACCCATCTTCACGCCAGAGGTGACCAGGTTAATAGTTAGAAGACTGTGATCTGTTCATGCCGGAGGGATGTGATGAAGCTGAGCATTGAGCACACGAGTTGCCATACGAGGAGGCGCAAAAATGTAATCAATGATAGAACCTGCACGAGGGAGAGTCATAGTACCTCTTGGGAAGCAGTTTAGAAAATGCGTATTTAACCATTCGATGAAGGGTTTGATCTTTGGGCCACGAGCTTCACCCGCATCATGCAAATGGATATTGAAATCCCCAAGCAAAATCCACTGGAAGTCGAGCATATCAGACCAAAAGGGCATGGACATTGGCTCTGGCAGGAAAGCATGACGACTGGCTGCCTGTGCTGGCATGTACACATTAGCCACTTGGCAGATGACTTGGTGAGCGTCCTTGACAGAGGCAGTGATGCAGCGTTCGTCGCGAGAGATGACAGTGTTCGTGAGCTCTAGGCCGGGTTTTAGGCAGATGATGGCACAGTGTTTGGAGACGACAAAAGCAGACCGAGGAAACATATAGGAAAAAGTACACACCTTATCATAAGTGAGATGCTCTTGTTGACAATAATAAAAAACCTCCTGCAGACATAGAATATCAAGCTGAAGGTTTTTGGAGTGTAAGAAGGAACTGAATTCCCTGTGTGTTGATTTAGAGGAACTCTTAAAGATGCTTCGGGCATTAAGGGTAACTATACACAATGATTTTTGTATCATTAAGCCCTATCGGCGGCGTGATGCACTGGAGTCTGCGACATAGACGTTGAGCTCACGGAGTGACGGCGGAGAGGGAGCACATCAGACGAAAAATCAGCGTTGGCAGCATCACTACCTTCGGAATCCACATTCATGTGGAGAGACACACCGAGAGGCGTATGCTTGGAGGCATAGCTACCCTGGGGAGTACGCTGGAGAGCCTTGGGATTGACATCCATCGCTTCAGTCGTTGAACTGCGTCTCGGGCGGCCAGTGGACCCCTTTTGCTTGTTGGCAGTCTGAGCGGCGGCGGCGGCTTGATGTTGCAGTTGCTGCTGCTCGACGACATCATCGATGGTGGGAGTGGATCTATGGCGCTTCTCTTGGTTATTCTCAGGGGTACGGCGTTGAGCGTTGGCAGTATTGGGCTTCTCAATGGCCTTCTTGCTCGATTCGTACTCATCTAGTGCCTCCTCAAAAGTGGTCTCCTCTTCGTTGCAAAACGTAGCGTTGTGACCAAGCTTGCGGCACTTGAAGCATTGGCGCTTCAATAGTACAGGGCAGGCAGCGCGGATGTGGCCACTCTGGCGACAGAAGTGGCAGACGGGTGGGGCACCGCGATATGTGGCAGGCACATAGACGTCATCCCAAGCGGACAGATACATCATGCGGCTCATCGGCTGGACGACATACTCCTTGCCTTCGGTGTTCTTGTATTTGACAGCAGTGTCAATCATAAAACTGATATGACCCTCAAAGAAGCCATCAATGGTGTATTTTTTGATCTGGTACACCTTACCATAGTACTCGAGCGAACTTTGCAAATCTTCCACGAACGTCTCCATACTGAGTGTTGTGCCAGAAGGACTACAACTGTCTATAGAGATTAAGGTATTCTTGATGGGTAGATATGTCTGTGTTGTGCAGCAACATGGACAAGCTATGATAATTGAAGTGCATCTCAGCTATCTAAATACTGAGGTTCACCAGACGTGATAAGCGCTGTACAAGATAAATCGCCACTTTGGCATTCAGAACTTAGTATAAATAGAATAACTCTTGTCTTTATCAATAAATCTTTAGTTTTTGTGTCTGATCTTATTCAAATAAGTCTTTTCTTGTTTTTATGATATCGAACATTTTTTATAAGCTACAAATAATAATCCTTTTATTCTTTGTGCTTAACAATTAGAAAGTAAAGTATAACAACGACAATTTTCATAGTTAAACTTAGCAAAAACCTTTAAAGAATGTGAGATCAAGTCAAATGTGAACACAAAAATACCCACTGCACAATTTCAAACTAAAGTGCAGCAGTTGCTGCTGCCACGGAAGAAGACTCAGATTAAGTCTACTGGCCGTGACGTCGGATAGGGCGCCCTCTCATTTTTCCATACCATCGTCGTTTTTTTTTTCCTTTTTGCAAAGCGTGTTTAGCATCAAACCATGGTGGTTTTGGAACCTTTTTGATTGAAAATAACACTCTAGCTTTTGATAACGCTGCCCTGTACTGTTAGAAAGGCTTGATACTGCTTCTTTGAAGTGGAATATTGTAGGTACCAATTGATAACGAGCACTGGACGACATAGAATCGTCACTAATCGAATTTGCTTATTAGGTTCTCATAATTTTTTTACTTGTTTGACGTCGGTGCTGCTGCCGTTACTTCTCTGCTATCTCTGCTGTCTGCTTCTTTGGTTTATTATGTCTAGTAGTTGCTTCTCTGGTCCCTGTCTCTGGCGGTTGCTTCTTTAGTCTTTGTCTGGTCTCTGGTGTCGCTCGTTCTTCGGTTTTTCGATGATGTTGGTGTCGTTGCTGCTGGTTTTGCTGCTGGCGTTGCTACTGCTCTTGCCACTGGCATTGTGGCTACTTCTGTTTCTACTGGTGTTGCTACTGGTGTTGTTGCTACTGGTGTTGTTGCTACTGGTGTTGTTGCTACTGGTGTTGTTGCTACTGGTGTTGTTGCTACTGGTGTTGTTGCTACTGGTGTTGTTGCTACTGGTGTTGTTGCTACTGGTGTTGCTGCTGCTAGTCTGGTCTTTCTTGGTCTGCTGCCTCTGTTGTATGCTTGTTCTTTGGTCTATCTCTGGTTGCGGTAAGTGGTAAGTAACCTTTTTTCTTGCGGTTGCAATGATATAAAGCTTCTCTGGACGTTTGTATTATTGCTTCCTTTCTCGTGGTAATGCATTCGTAGCGTTTGCTTTGTTACGCTTTTTTTTTCTTTTGTTGGCTGTGATACGATCAGCTCAACGAATGCTTGCAATGTTGTTGCTTCTTATGTATGAACAACAAGCATGATGTACTACTATATGTCTGTATTGCCGTTGTAATACTACTTTGTTATATGGTCGTGGATTGTTTTTTGTGTTGACTATGTCGCTTCACATGAAACAGCATTAGTCATTATGTTGTATTATACACTTATAATACTGCTGTTGCTTCTGCAATTGTGCGTGTTTGTGTTGCTTGACATCCGACTATTATCATGCGCGTTGCTCATGTATGCATTTTTGTTGCAATAACAGCGAGTTGTTCTGAACATCTTTGATGTTGTGTTTGTTATACTTTTCTTTGACTCATTTTGTGTGAGCATCCCTTTTTTGCCTACGTACTACTATACTCTTATAGTAGTACGTTCTTTTCTTCATTCTTTTATTATTTTTATGTTTCTTTGAAGCATACCTTTTTTAAGTTGTGTGGATGTGCCTATCCCTGAAGCTCAACAAGACTTTATCCGAGGCTAGGAGGTGGATAGGCTGTCTCCACTTGGTTATCGCTACTTACTTTGGTGATGATTGAGGGTCTCAACGCCAGAATCTAAAGCTAGGTGGTGTAAGTAAGGCATGCCCTAGCACCTGGGGGAAATTTGATGACAGCAGCGGCTATATTGCCATTATAGCGGCGCTTAAAACTTCGCCTCACATCAACACAGGGGGAAACCCTCGCAAAATTTTTTTTAGGTCAGCGGAGTTTTCAAGCAATCTGATTGGCTAAGAGGTTGTAACAACGAAAGGTTACAACTAGTTAGTCTCCTATTGATCTGTCATGTATTATAATTTTGTATTTGTAATAAAAATGTATCCAAATATTGATACAATTTAAATCCTTCATTATTCAATAGTAAAATAATGTGCTATGATTGAATTCACCATCCGTTAAACAGTTCTATGTGAGGAATACTAGTTTTAAGCCTATCATGTTTGATGTATCATTTATAAACCGGATATCCAAATACGTAGAAACAATCAGTTCAAGCACAGATCACATCAGATCATAAACTTTGGCATGAAACAGGATTCAGTTACGATCTGTATCATGGTATGTTCAGGATAATAGATCCAATCTTCTATCCTATCACCCAAATCAACCCATCGAATACCTTATCCTCACATCAGATCCCTCAATTCGAATAGTATATAAATCCTCTTATTTCCAATGTAATAAACGATATTCTTCACTACCTGGTTAATTTCATACTCTTTTTATAAATAATTTGTTTCTGATGAATCATTTTTTAATCTGTATTCAACAAATCTCGTTTATCACAACTCTATCTACTCTGGATCTCTTACTGCTATCAAGTCTTACTTACTATTTCACCCAAGAAATCCATTAGCAAGGTCATTAATCAAGAAGCTCCTGATTTAACCGATGCTGGTGAGGCTACTGTTGCTACTTTTGGTCCAACGTCCACTGATCAAGCTCTCACTGCTGCCAATCCGGTTGTTTCTGCTGCTCCTGTTGGTACTGATGCTCAAGGCTCAGCTGCTGCCAGTCTAATGGAGACTAATAATCCTATCATCACTGCCAGTCAAGATATAATCAATGGTGGTGTGGAATTTGAGGCTTGATAGACTAAAATTCACGGAAAAAAAAGAATAAAAAAAACAGTAATGTCAACTTGATAAAGGTATATTTTGTTATCAAACTGACAGGTGTAAAGTAAACTGAAGTCTCTCTACTGGCCAGGTAGATGATCCTTCTTATATACTATAACAATGGATAAAAGTTCTATTAATCAGATTGACAAATAAGTCAACTCAGATCAACTAATGCCTAATCATGCTAAAAGACAACTCCAGCAAGCTAATCATGATTTAGCTCTGTCTGGATGAATAATTAGACTCTCATCCGAAGTATCCTAATCTATCCTTTCTATAAGGATAATTAATATCGATTTAGCTTAGTAGCATGTATCCGATAGGTACAGTCTCCTTAGTCTATATCAATAGTACATATCTGAGTGTATATCGCTGAGCATACATCTTTAGCATGTATCTGGATATATGGCATGTCTCATATATAGTACAAGTCTGTAGTACATAAAGTATCTGTAGCTAGTATCACGGATATAAGCATGTGTCTTATAGCGTGGATCATAAAGTGCACATCTGAAGTAACAAGCTCATATTGCATTAATCTTGGTGCCTATCCAGATATGGTAAACATCCGTAGTCAATGTCGGAATACAAGTATAAGTCTATAGCGCCATCCATGTCCGTGGTGCCATCTATAGCCTATATCTTATATAGTATGAATCTTATAGTACTAGCGTATCTGAAGTCCATATCTTCTTATAGTATAAATCGGTATCGTACATCTAATCCAGTGTACATACAGTTTATATCTAAATCTGGCAACTGGATGAACTACCGGAATGCAGATCAGAGTGGATGTATTCCGCACTAACTCTTACTGCAGTAACGTGGAACAAGCAAGTTTCATTTCGTGCGCCAGCATTAGTCAATGCGCACGCTGGATTTATTTTATGAACTTCAGCACAGTATGGACGTTTTTATGCTGTTGTTATCAAAGGAAAATGTGTGTTTGCCACTGCAAACTCACATTTGGGCGTCGAAAACCGTATTTTTGCAACGAAGCATCGTAGACAGTCAAAAAAAAGTCTCATTTTGTAAACGAAGCACAGGAAATCGTTAAGATTTACCTACTGAAGAATTCGGATGATTGAGTTGAGAGTTGTAGGGATAATTATGTCGAAACTCTGGTTTTATATATTATTATAGTAGTGCTTACTTTACACTCTTCTTTCTAATTTTTTTTAACAACCATTGTAGCGACTGAAAATCCGTTCAGATGTTTAGCAATCTCCAAAGTGCGCGTTTAGTGGCTCTGGTATAAAGGTTCTAGTATAAATATAGGGCCTGGAATAGCTATTCCCTCTTTTTCGTGAAACGTGGTGGTGCTGCATAGCTTCAAACCTTTGCTGTACCACAGCGAAGCAAGATATCACCAAGAATTTTTAATACAGCGCCTCCCAGCACCTCATTTATCGATTTATTACTCTTAATAGCTGGTAATTAGCAGAGTCGAATCTTATTAGCGTTTGCCTGTAACATGGGCAGTACAAGTTTGTCTTTCCTCTGTCAAACGGCAGAGTAGGGTGTAGTCAAGCTATTTTGACTACAAGTTGCTCCAACATCTTATCCATCACTCATCCTATAAAAAATAAAAGCGAAAATCAGCAGCAATAAGTAGTAATAAAAGTACTCTGTTACATTCTACAAAAAGTATGGAGTGGCACCTATAGCATGATAGATGTAAGAATATTGACTTCTGATTAGAAAGCGTTTTTATAGATGAATGTGATAGAAATGACTTGAAGCATATCTCAATCACGACCAGCTCAAGCATCTCTGTTTTGGATATAAGTTATACATCTGATGTTTGGTCTTTGGTGCTTAACCTTGCAAACCTCAGAATCATTTATCCAGGTTTAAGCAAGGTACAGACATTTATACAAGCAATATCAACATTTGATCAATTGGACACGATAGAGCTCTCACTCGATCGCATCAAGGAGGAGGACATCAATGATGACCAATCTCCATTTCACGACAAGCTTACTACTATGGCAATCGCTAGTGCCGAGATGGATGTCAATGTATTCTTGACATTTAATGCCTGTATCCCTGCACTTAAATCTCTTACACTTGATCGATGTCAAATTGCTACCACGAGCAGTGCAGTCAATAAGGCATATCCTGTTAAACCACCTCAGAAATGATTGCGTACAATAGTCATTGCTGGTTTGCCTGCCTCCAAGCGCCTTACTCTTCTACAGCTTGAACTCTTGTCTAAGGAATCTGATTTGTACTTCTTATTGCTGCCATTTCGCTCAATACCGAGGGGCCCTCACTTATCTTCTTTATAACTCGCCAATACGTAAATAGTATTAAAGTCAACCAAGGAGACATTTCTCTATCATTGTATCTTCATAACTGTATAAATGAAATGTCTAGATTTCATATGCAGAACTGTTGAATAGTTGACAATAGTGCTTATCTTTTACCAGTATACGGTATTCAAAATATTGGCGAAATATCATAAAAGGGAATCATAATACCATGAAAGTAAAGTAAATGATATCTCATGAAGGTATTGATTCGGGATTTGGATATCACTCGACACCAAGGTTGTCAGCGTGAAGGTAGGCAATAATAGATGTTTTATTCAGTTATATTCATATTCATATAGTATTTAATACAAATTTCATAATATTCAAGGTCTTTCAAGGGTATTCAAGAAGCTTAGACACTACTTTGTCCAACTGGCCATCGTGCAATTTCAACAAGCTTGTAGCCAAGTCATCGTAACCCGTAAATCCCTACAAAACGTGTCAAAACTCATCATACACTTCAATTGAACGATAAGCATACCATTTCATGCAATTGCACAATCTGTGATCGATAAATGAATGAATCATGCAATGATGGACGTTCTTGTTGCTGCTGCTGCTGCTGCTGTGGAATTACAGTGATTGTAGAATGGATGGACGAGGACATGCCGTTTTGACCAGCAGAAAGTTGTTCCTTAGTTTCATGTTCGCCGTCGATATCCTCCTCAATAATCACAAAGTCGTCATCTTCATTCTTCTCGGTCGGTGTAATAGTCGCATCTTCTGTTTCATCAACATCCACATTCTGGATATCGTCGTTATCCTCATGATTTATAATGAAGCCAGGTCCAGCATGAGTGGCGTCAAGACTGGGGCTGATCACATGGTAAGCACGACTGATGTATTCCTGTTTGTGTCCGTTCTTATCCTCATCGTCAGTAGCATTGTTTTCATCGTCTTCATAGCCATAATCATAAAATATATTGTGTGCTCGCTCTCCAATGTCCAGTTCAGAAGGAGAAGGACTACTTACTTGACTGTCTGTGTAAGTTCGGGTAGTATGTGATGCCAAGGTGGATGCATTGTCATTGGTCGTAGCCTCTGAATAAATATCGTCACTGTAATTTACATGCGCATATTCATCGTCTGCCTTAGAGTGCTCTCGTTGTTGGTCTTGCGAGCCGTGGACCGAGGACAAGGTAGATATCGTAGGGTAAATCATGTTACTGCCTGAATTCATCATAATGGTAGCAGCAACAGAAGAGACAGACATGGATTCAGCAGACTTTGATTCGCCACCTTTCTCAGGTTCAAGATCTTCATCCACTTTGATAGTGCACCAAATGTTGTCACCAAATCGCTTGCCATCTGGCGTGCACAGACAAAAGAAGCTAGTATAGTGTCCTGGGGAATCAGGTGCTTGGAGCTCTGCAGTAACACAGGTTTCTTCATCGGGCGAAATAACAGGCACAGCAAAACAATCCGGGCGAGAGATAGGATATGGCCTTAAAATGGAGCCACCGTTGAACAGCAAATGCGAACCCAATGGCCAGTCCACGTTGCCGGTGTTCTTGAGTTTCCACATTTTGATGAACGTCTTCCTAGGCACAACGATAGTGCCATCTGGGATATTCAGATCAGATACAAATGAAGCGTCGATGGCCGTATTTGGCGTTGGTTCAGAGATGGGCAATGTAGTGGAAGAAGCAGCAACAGTTGCAACAGCAACACTAGTAGTAGCAGCAGTAGCTGTCAAAGAGGATGTTGACGATGCAGCTGAAATGGTATTGATGATTTCTTCCGGCTTTGATATGATGCAAGGGCTCTTTTCATTGATACTGTGTATCATTTCTTGCACGGTTGATTTAGAGGTGTCGCTCAACTCTTTGAACTTGGGTAACAAGGGCTTCCTTACAATGCTTTGAATGGGGTATCTGATTTTGATGAAAGCATGTGTCTTGTCGTGGATGGAAGCAGCTTGGTGCTCACAGGCTTCACACAAGTCATAGTTTGTACAATGGCCACACTATAGAATAGGATGTCAACCAAGAGTGCCACAACGCATCGCTTGTATATTTACCTTGTATCGAATGCCTTCAATATTGGCTTGGCAATGATCACATTCAACGCCGAGATGTCGAATAGGAGCGGCGGGAATAGAGTTGTCAGCTGATGTGGATGATGAGGATGCTGAGGCAGAAACATTGCTGTCGGCTTGGGTGGTATAATAGGGCCTTGTTTGTTTTTGCTTCCTTGTTGGTCTCGTTGTACTTTTGTCTCTGGAAGCCTGTGTACCTACGAGCCTAGTAACGAAAATGTGATCCTGAGGATGGTTCTCCTTGACAATAGAAAAGCAAGCATGGCATAAATCAAAATCTAGTCAGATAGCTGATGAGTTTACTGAGCTTTTTTTTTTTTTTTTTTTTTTTTTTTTTTTTTTTTGCTTTGATCAAAACGCACGTACCAGGACATGCTCCACATGTATGTCGGATGCCCACAATGTCAGAATCACAGTAATCACATACAAACACAGTTTGGGGTGGCTGATTGCTTTCAACAGACGCAGCACCTTCCATTGCCTCTTGCCCTTGCTCTCCTGCAATGCACCTAAACTGATTGACATGCTTGTCTTCTAGTCGGAACTTATGTGCTGGATCATGGTTCACACGACATTTACAAATACTGCATAAATCATAGTCATCACATGTTTCACAGTGATAGCGTTGACTGAGAGAAAAAATAGGGAGGATATTAATACCATGTGTGTACTAAGCAAGCCAAATAACAACAACATTTACCCTCTTATAGGAGAATAACATCCATCACAGATAACATCAAATTGTGGCTTCTCGGAGAGACTGGGCTGTGGTAAGAGTGATCGATAGACATGAGCTGCGGTTTCGGCTGCTGTCTTTACAACACTATCTACCGTTTTGACTGTAGTTTGAAGTTGATTCATGCCAAGCTCTAAATGTTTCATCATGGTTTGAATTGAATCAGAAAAATCAGTTTGAAAAGCATGCGTTTGGTTCGTACTTTGTTGTGGTTGAGGTTGAGATTGGAGCTGCTGTTGCTGCGATTGCTGCTGTTGGTCGTTCTTGTTTGCAGGAAGGATGGTGAGTTTGAGTCTATCGTCTGCGTCTTTTCCAAGCATGTAATTCAGCAATTCAATCGTTTCGGTGATTGCAACCACATCGCCATCTTTGTCTGTCAAGCTAAAGTGAAATTCGTAATCATTGCTCAGTTTGAACACTCTTCTGGTCTATCATCAAGGTTAGAAATGAGTTGAATGGTATCATCCACACAAGTGTGCCTCTACATACATCGGATTTTAAACGTTCGTAAACAGTTGGATCACTGTTAACGTAAACTCTTGACCAGATGATGCGAATTTCAGGTTGCTCTGGGTGCTTTACTTTGATGAAAAAGTCTTTAAACATGATTGTAATGATAAACTGGTTGGAACAAGGGAAAAAAGGGAAAAAGATATGAATGGCGCTTCAATGACCAAATGTAGAATGGACTCCGTATAGAAATCACTTGGCATGCCATCACTACAAGCACATTTGAGGCAGTGGTGGTTCCGGTCACATAGCACAAGCTTGGCTTTGCTTGTTTGACTGTTCAAAGCCTCCTTTTGAGCCCTCACCTCAATAGGCCTTGGCAATTGAACATTGGCCGGATGCAAGGCACTATTCATCTTACTCGAGCATTTCATTCACCATGAATGATACAAAATGGCCGTTCAACAACCGCAGCGTTGCCATCATTATGCTTGCTGATGAATACATTGGAATGGTTTATACAAAGGATTGATCGACAGCACTAATCCTAGCATAAATTAAACACATGCTACTTGTATGCTTCTGATTAAACCTTAGTCTTGCAATAGATCAATATTACCATTTGGTCTTGGTGAATCAATGCATCGACATCCTTCCCCCCCCCCCCTGAAAAGCTGCAAATCACAAAATGTCGACCTGAAATTCGAGTCCAAGAATACGCAATGGAAGAATTCACACTTTCTGAAATAATGACGCTTTCAGGCTAACTCAAATCATCCTGAAATCCCTTAAAACACAAAGCATGTGGCATCCGTTTTGCTACGCAACGTAAGGGGGAAATATGCAGTAAAAATATATTGTAATATACAATAAAGGGGTATTTTAGATTTATACAGAATAGATACTATAGAGTTCTAGATCTATTGTAGAACATGACCGGGTCGCCATTGCCATCGCCCACAGAGATGGATGTGTTTCTGCGTCGAAGCAAATGGTCTTCCTGTTCCTTTTGTTCCAATTGTTCGGACGGAAGTAACACAGCTCTATCAATAGCAGCAGGCAAACCCCTATGGCGGCCACGATACATCAGTATAATCAGCACCACTTTACTCAGCGTGTGATACTGCTGGGCTTGAGAAGCAGATGTGTTTGGATAGCCAGTGGATGCACCCACATTACCGAAAGCAGAAACGCATTCGTAGATTACAGTTGCCATGGTAATGGGCGAAGGTGAAAGAATGGCCTCTGACTCGATAACACAGATTGCAAAGATACAGCAAATGACCCAACAAATCTCGCTGGTGAGTTGGCGCTGAATTTGAGTCATGACAAAGAAATCAGGCTTTCGAAGCACTTTTCGGGAGGTTGTTACAATGCTGCTTATGGTAGGCTGCCTCTTTAAGCGATGAATAAAGTTGGGTGCATTTGAATCCTCGTATTCGCTATCATCATTATCTTGTCCGCTGTAGATGCCCAGCGCTCGTTCCTAAATCCAAAGTTAATTCCGGAGGTGTAGCTATGGTATAGAATCATGCAAACCTGATAGACATTACTGTTTCTCATTGAGATTGCAACAGGGTAAGCACTAATATACATGGCAATTATAAACACGATCTGAGTTCCCGGGTTTAATGCCATCAAATCAACCACACTGTAGCCAGCTAATGTTTGTGTTAGTAGTCAGAATTGACGCTAGTACATACTGCTTACCATTTCTTGTAGCCACAGATTGAAATAATCCGTCCAAGATGCGAGCTCCCCAATCGAGGTGACTCAATACGGGCAGCCAGTAGTTGAGAGCAACAAATGAGATAAATTCGACAGCTGTAATGCCAATCAGCACAATCAATAGCCATTTCGTTTGAGTAGCTGGGAACAGTGTAGTATAGCATCTACGCGGGTGATCCAGTAAATAGCGGAATGTCTCTCTACGCATAATGTACGTCTTTGGTGTAATTCTATATAATATCCAAATAATTGATCTTAAAACAATTGCATATGCCGTGTTTCCAGCCAGAATAAGAATCATATTAAGAATAAGCATACAAGGTGCTGATTGAAAGGGAGTCATGCTTGCATCCACCAGCGACAATCCAAGATTGTTGAATGACGATAAGCTCGAAAAGAAGGAAAAGAACCATGGATCAATTGAACCAGCTGCGTTGGTAGTTTGCAATACGCCTTGAGCATAGGTCGATGCTGCAACGTAAATACGAAGGAAGAAGCCAAAGCCTAGAACGCAAAATAGATAGTATATGGGCACCAGTATAGTCAGGAAATCAATGGCTCGGTATTCAGCACCACCTAATCGATATCGCTGTTGTCTCGTCAGCTCACTCTTGTGGATGGGCTCTCTCATGATGCGTTTCATTTCCTCGTCCTCGGTTTCAATATTCATCATGATGCCTTGATCTGTATTTGCTGTTGCTGCTGAACTGATGTTATGGACCGAAGTAGAATCAGCTGTCTCGCCGGCAATGCGTTGCAAGATGTCTTCGAATCGTCGATCTTGCTCTAGTCTTCTACGAGCAATCTCTCTCTGGCGTTCTATATTCTCCGCAAACGCAATCCCTTGATTTCCAGAAACTACGTTATTATGTTCATCATCGTCATCAATTGCTGTATCTGTTGGGTGATGAGGCCGGCTATCATCAGCAAAGAGTATGCTGTGGTTGGTATTGTAATTGGAGGAAGCAAGGTTGGGACGATGGCTTGACGATGAAATAGAAGGATTGGTGGTTGTATTACCAAGAGGATGGGTATGGGTATATGCATCGGAACTGGGCCGGGCTGGCAGTGTGTCTTCCTCGCTATGGCTGCTATTGTTCTGCAAGGTAGACATGCTGATATCGTCCTCGTCTGTCATATCCATGTCATGAGAGATGCTTTTTACATGCGCTTGGCGAGGATGAACGACTGGATAGGCATCGCTCTCGCTATGTGTTTCAGAGGCACTATCATTCAAATTCTGCATAGGCTGATCAGTGCCAATGCTTTGACTGTGCTTCTTTTTGAAGTGAGCCATGAGGTCGAAATGGCTGAGACCTGTTGACAGCGGCCGTGGTGCACTGAAACGGCTCTTCTTTCTTGTGGTTGTTACAGGCTGAGGCAGTGTGTCGTTGTCTTTGGTGCTTGATCTCACAGAGATGAATGACAATCTGCGCCGCAATGGCTTGCTTCCTTTGACGCTTTCGCCTGTGCTCTTTCTGCGCTGCTTCTCCATTTCGCTAATGTTCTTTTCAAACCTTCTGCGATTGGCCTCTCTCAAGCGTTGGGCCTTGTTGAAGATCAAAATGTCCTCGAATCGCTTTGAAAAGTAATGGCGTCGCACATAGACAATGATGATGGAAATCATAACGTGCGATCCAAAAAAGGAGCCAAAGTAAATAACCAGCGTCTGCCATGTGGACAAGAAGGACATGTTGATGGTGTTGAGACCTGTGTTTGTCACTGCGCTGGTTGACATGAACAGTGCGTCGATGTAGGCGAATGTCGTACCAGGCTGAAAATAGAAAAATGTTGAACCTAAAAATGAGAGCAGTAAGATATACAGATAGTGGAGCTGCAGGAAATGGATCTTGGTGTGATAAAATCGTTTCATGTAGCCCCCAATATTCCTTAAATTTGGTAGCATATTTTAGTTGTAATGCGAAAGAAAGAGAAGCACAAGGAAATCTGAATAAAATTTCCTTTTATACTAACTATGCTACAGCATGAAAAGCATGCATGCAGGGTTTCAATTTAAAATTTTTTTTATTGGGTAAAAGTACCTAATTTCAATATATATTTACAAGTGTAATTTCATTCTTTTCGTGTGTGTAAATAAATGTATTCAAAAATATGCGTGATTGTGTGATTTGGTGCGTTTTGATTGTGAGTTGATTGTGTAACGGGATCAATAAACAATGCAATTTGACACATTTATATCCTTAAGCCTTGCTTTTCTTCTCCTTTTTGCTCTTCTTCTCCTTCTTCTCCTTCTTTGCTTTCTTGGTTTCGGCCTCCTCAACATCTTCCTCACGAGCACGCTTGGCAGGGGCGTTGTCCTTGGCGGCAACATCGAGAACTGTGATCTTGGGAGCCATACCAGCAGCAGTGACAATGGTCTCTGAGCTAGTGCCGAAAACGGGCTCGGGTTGCTTGCCATCGGCATTGTTGGCATAATCAACGTAGGCTGACTTCCAGACGGCAGGAGTCTCTTCAGTGATACGACCGTACTTGTCGAGCTTACCCTCAGTCTTGAGCTTCTTCTTGGCGAGTGCAACAGGGCCCATACCCCATCTACGAGGATATGTGTCACGCTCCATGATAACACGCTTGACCTTGGCAACAACACCGTGATCGCAAGTGGCCATGACAGCAGTAGTCATTTGTGCGTAGGCAAGAGCAATAGCTTCACCCTTGGTGGTCATCAAAACAATCTCATCGTTGATCTCAATACCGCTCTCGAAACGCAAGAGACCAGGAAGCATGAGCTTGGCACCGTAACAGAGAGCATTGACAGCACTGTCCTTGACAACGACACGCTTGTAGTTGGTCAAAAGAGATTCCAAGGGACGAACAACACGACGGAGGTAAGTCTCGTCCTTGGTGTTGTCATACAACCATTGGGCATCCAAAACATCGTGCATAGTGACAATATCATCCTAATCCAAACCACATGTCGTTAATCTCCCTTAGCCTGACAAGCACAGCACTATTTAAACTTACATTTTCGGATGTAGTACCGGAACGAACACGACGAAGTTCTTGCATATGACCACCAACACCGAGCAAAAGACCCAAGTGAACACAGAGAGTACGCATGTAAGTACCAGCTTCACAAGAAGCCCAGAAGACGGCAAGATGGCGGTCGTTGTCGAATTCAAGCAACTTGCTTTCGTGGATGGTACGAACACGCAATTGACGCTTGACGGCAGAGATGAGAGGAGGACGTTGGAAAAGAGCACCAGTCAAGGTTTCAATAGCCTAGGGTGAACTAATGTAAGTAGGCTGCTAAGCACTTGGATCAATTCAAATATTTACTTGGGACAACTTCTTTTCGCTATCAATGGCATCGTGGAGACGGAGAATACAGACATACTCTTTACCAGCACCTTGTTGAGACTTGACCAAACGAGTGGCTCTGTCAACACAGACAATCAAACCGCCAGTAACCTTGGGATCAAGGGTACCAGAGTGACCAGTCTTTTCAACACGAAGAATACGCTTGATCCAAGCAACAACCTCATGGGAAGAAGGGTTGGCAGGCTATAGATATTTAAAATGAGCAACATATACATCACAAATGCCACATGACATGAGATCCAACGCACCTTATCAAGATTGATAACACCATAACGAACGTACTCATCAAGAGGACGCTTCAAAGGAGAACAACCACTAGGAATGGGAGTGTAATGACCGGTACGAACATTCAACTGATCATAGTTCTATATAGCACATGACATTTGCGTTAATATTTTACATGTTGATGTCAGAAAAAATCCAGATTTTGTCAACAATTTACCTTCAAAAGAAGAGGCCATTTAGAAGTATCGATAGCAGGAGCTGAAGCAGTAGGCTTAATAACTGTTTTATCGGCCATTGTTGTTATTTCGTTATGGTAAAGAAGAACAAAGGTTGAAGAGAGAGAGAGGGAAAAAAATTTGACAGGCAGACTTTTTTTTTTGGAGTGGTATAGTCAGTGGGTTGAATGGCCGGATAGAAAAAAAGCAAGAAAAAAAAAGCCACCCAAAGGACTGTTTGCTTTTAGATGATCATTACACTATTTGGCAGGAGTACTAGTTACAGACCAACATCATTGGGAAGGGTTTGGATTCACAAAGTGAGTTTCAATTGAGGTTACTCCTGAATCAGATATTAGAAGATGTGGTGTGCGTTGGGCTTATTAAAATGCTTCTTGTTGGTTTCATCATCCACCATCCAATGTTGCGACACACTAAATCTCGACATATACTCATTCTTGTTGTTGTCATGGTGATTGGGTTTACATGCACCTTGTTCTCAATGCTTTACGAAGCAAATCTCAATGTAGAGCAGCTCGTATCACAAAGGATTTCAGTAGTTATTTTAACCAAGGATGGACAAAGAAATACTCAAGCCTTGAAGAGCCATTTTCCACAAGCAAGGATATCTCTTGGAAACAATGTTTCGACGGAAGGCTCGCTGGAAGACATTTACAAGGAAAAATACATACAAGAATTGGAATATTTCATGAAGCATAGCAAGACCATGTTGGTTATGCTACTGGAAGATGATGTTATACCTGTGTACACCAACAAGACTTTATGGTATCACTTAGCAATCAATACAGTGCCGCTCTTTTCAAATGATCTCGCCAACTTCGATTGCTCAAAAAGAGGATTGTTTCTGACAACGACATCAGATGGCAACAAGTCGCTATGTAGAATGTTCTCCAAGGAAAACCTAGCTGAGCAGATAAAGTGCCTTAGATCCATTCCTGATCCTATCGATATCACTATTCATTATTGCCAGGAGCAATTGAATATTACTCAAAAGCGATTCCTAGCATTTGTTCATAGCGGCATGCCTTCCGTTATTCAGCATCAGGATGTAATCATCTACTAGCTTGAATAATTTAATATATACCACACGTTTTCATTATATCATTAAAATAATTATTCTTTTCTATGCTAAAAACAATGAAATCAGAACGTTATTTGCTCTGGCGCTTAGCATCTAGTGCATTTGTTTGTTCGCAAACGTAACATGAGGCATTTGACTTGCCACACGTTTCTTTGTGCGTCCATGATTTCTGCGCCAATAATCTCGGGCATCCAGCATTTGTGTGCAAACGCTTGACAGCATTCGCACTATGTTATTCTAGAAGGTATTAATATAACTTAAACATGAGAAGGGGCGCGTATGATTCGTGTAAAAAGGTCAAGTTTGATAAGGAAAAGCTAGCAATTGAGCATTATATCAGTATTTGGACCGTCAGCAAGGTTGCCTTGGCTCTGGAAATTCACTTTGAAGTTCGATTTTCAATAACAAATCTCGATGTCAGCTATCCAATATGTTAATAACATGCATTTTCATCCTTGAAAGACTATTATCTACCAGTTTATTTGTTAAAGCAGATTACAATATTAGTTTCCAATATTCACTCAAGCAGCCGCTATCAAAACTTGCCCCTTTGGCTTCGGCACTTCTACGATGTTCTGCGTCTGTGCCAATGAAAGTAGTTCATTTTTGAGTAAATAACATACTTGCACTGCCTCTTACTAGTCAAAAATCTGCAAAGCGCAGCAAACTTTGGGTGTATTTGAGGCGCGATTTCTCGTGTTAGAAGCCTTCCCAGAGTGTCAGAATAGCATCAAGAGATTGCTCTGAGCTAGCAGTTAGCTACTGACGCTTTTACTCAACTTTTTTGCGATCGCCAAAAATCGCCTTCAAACCATGGTGGCCAAAGTTGTTTTTGGGCGTTTTTTTCGACCAATTGGTTGCAAGAAAAAAAAAACGACCAAAACCTTAAATAATGCCCACCTCAAGAGTTGGGCGTTCTGCATAATTTTCTTCATTTTTTGAAAAAAAAACAGTTACAAGTCTAGTGTAATAAGAGTGCAATGATTCTGTAAAAAAATAGATATATCTACTAGGGAGGGGCGGATTGGTGCTATTATTTGTATGTCTTTAAACTTGGGCAATATCTATTAAAAAACATGAAAAATATTTTTGGGCGAGTAGTATTAGGATCAAGTGATGGATTTACTGTGATAAAAGTACTGTATATAATGAGTAGTAATGACAGATATTTTCACTACCGTTCAATGCTTGTCAAAAAAGAAGACTATCTATCTATATATATATGTGTGTGTGTTATACTAATGTTTCAATCATGCGGATTGAAACGTATGTAATGTGGATCATTACATCTAGCTGTTTCTTCTGCCACTGATTGCTCCTTCAATTTCTCCTCTCATCTCTTGATATACTCACGCTTCTTTCAAATTATAAGCAGACGGTGGCATAATAAATGTAGTCAAAACAAGTTGTAGATTGATAAAAAGGAAAGGATATGAGACCACATTGACAGCAGCAGATCAAGGATGGCCAATGTTGTAGGGCATTCGGTTGGTGCTGTTTTTTTTAACCAGAAAACGCCCAAAAACAACTTTGGCCACCCTATGAGGGATACCTCGTGATTTGCATCAAAAATCAAACGATCGCGTTTTTGAATCAAAAAATGAAGACTTTTACTATAGCACATATCAGATCAAAATATTCTCTCAATTCAAAGCAACCCCTGAAACTACTTTTTTTAAATCTTCATATGCAAAATCTCGACACTTGCGCCAAAATATCTATTCATTGTTTTTGAAAATTGCTCAATAAGCTTAGCCAAAGCAGCCTTCTTAATTACTACCATTAGATCCGCCTTAAAACGTACTCCAAAAAAGCATAAGGGAGTATGAGATGGTCATCACAATTTGAAGTCGAATCTTGCAAATTAAGTCGAATCGAGCTCTAAAAGCTTAAACAGAGAAGAATGTAAAGCAGAGATTGAATTCTTTTTGGCTACTGGCGAGTCCAATGCCTTTCCAATTGTAAAGATGCTTGATGCTGTTGAGAGCGCTTAACGAAAGGAATGCGAACCACAAACTATTTTAACCTAACCTGAATAATTATTATTGCTTGCTTTGCAATTTCTTTGTTTAATAAAATTCATAGTTTAAGAGGTTTTTTTAGGATGCCCCAGCTCAATGCAACATGCAAAATTGCAATCATGCAGATGAAAGTAAAACTGGTCCACTATCCCTTGTCGCTCCTCATTAAATCATAGCAAGGATCGATGATAATTCTGTGCCTATCTCGTAAACAAAGTAATTTAATAGTGATTGTAAGCTACGGGTTAATCTTTCATATAGCTGTGAACATGTGAACGAGTCAAAAAGCTGTAAAATATGGCGTCAGAAAGTATGCATCATTAATCATATTGTCTTGAGCAATTTCATTTCGGAGATCACCTTAATTCATATCCAAGCCTTGCATTTTCCCCTGAATAGAGCTTGTCAAGAAGCTTGCAGATCAATTATAAAGTTTTTGACTGTCGCAAAGTGAGTGATATAGCCATCGCAAGTCCAAATTGACTTATTTTCAACCCAATGTCTCGAAAAGAAAGGCGTATACACGTTCTTGAAAGCCATGTTAACTGGTTATGTCTAATGACTCAAGTAGCCAAAATCAAATGAACACACTAATTTGAACCGGCTGTTTCGGGACAAGGTTATGACCGAGAGAAAATCAAATCTACACTTTCCAGTTGCACTTGTATGACCAAACAGATCATTTCATGTACCTCTTGTTTACAGGATGACCAAATAGAATCGGATCTATGGCTTTATTCTTTATATCATTATTCCTCAAAATTACTTGCATCAATGTGCTTCTCAAATGTCGATCCATCAGTCATAACTCGCATGTTCCGACTGGCTAGCATCGTAAACGTTATCTGTTTAATGAATCTAAAACTTAAAAGATTTTGCTGTCAAGCAGTCCGAAAGCAAAAGCTTAAAACATGTAAAAATACACCTTTTAATTAAAGAATTAATAGCTCAATTGGTTATTGCAGGCAGAAAGATGTAATTAAAAGTGAAGCTAATGATTTCTAGGTTTAAGAATTTTGTAAAATGAAAATGCGGACGAAAAGAAAAAGAATAACATGAAGAGATGGGAGGATTTGAAGTATTTAAGGGAAAAGGGGAAATGAGTATTGATACATATTAAAAAGAAAATAGTGAATGGAGACAAACTGAACCATACTACGAAAATAAACAACGATGGAGGCAATGAGGATTTCATCTATGTGAGCTTATCTTTCAATAAATAAAGAATAAATAAAAAAACAACATAAGCAAACTCTAAAAAAAATCCTCATTACATCCTCTCTCATCGTCATTCAAGTTGTATATGGGAATCAAATGCATCGTATTCACTACCATATCAAGAAAAAGTGGATTAAAATTGTTGTAATAGATGTTGTGTGTCGAGTAGCACCAGGTTACTCATTAATAGATTAAAGAGTTTTGGGCTTTAAACCAAGGGTCTCACCCTCAATCTCCTCAGCGTCATGAGCTTGACGAGCCATCACCTTTTGATCATCGCGAAGGGCTTTGTCGTATTGTTCGTCGGTGGGCTGACGGTGAGAGTTGCCAAGCTTATCCCAGAAGGTGAAGTATTGACCATAGTTGTAGTTAAAGTAAACGTGGTGAACGAAATGGTGAGCACTGGTGTTGATTACAGAAGAATGAGAAATGAATTCACCTATTGAATAGTTGCTTATTAGTAAAAAAATTTGCATGCATTAAATTTTTACTCCTTACCATCATGAATCATCACAGTCCAAAAGTTAACAAAAGTGAACATGAAGAGATACAAGTACTTGTTCATAGGGATCATGAAGACATACAAGTGGTAAGGAAGAGATTGGAGGAAACCATCGCAAGGGTTGAAAGCATGGGAAGCAAAGGGAGTAGGAATGACCCACTTGTGGTGGAGCTTGTGAAGATGCTTGTAGATCAAAGGATGATGCATCCAGCGATGGAACCAGTAGATACCACAATCAGTAAAGAACAAGAAAGAAGGTACAGAAGCAGCCAGGTAAAGCCATTCGTATACGTTCTTGGGCATACCACCATACAACATGGATTTACCCAAGACTTCGCCAGTGAAGAAGGGAAGAGTGAGCATTGTCATCCAAGGGATTGCACCAACAGCACATTCAATCTCCATGCGAACTTGATTCTTCAAAAATTTAGGATGCTTCATGTAGTCATGATCAAATACAAGATAGTATGAAAGAGAAGCAGTGACCAAATAAAGGATCCAACCGAATATACAGGTAATCATGAAAAGAGACAGGTTGATACGCCAGAAATCATCGCGAGGCCAGGAAGAGACGATTGCTCCAGCAATTTGCTTGGTATATGATGGCCAAACCTTGGCATAAAGTTTATCAAAGACAAACTGATCAGCGTAATGCAAGACAGTGTCCATCTTTAATTGTGTTAGACTAATGAAAGAAAAAATGAAAGAAGGTTGATTACAAGAAAAAAAAAACCTAATATTTGTACTCTTTCTGATTTGAATGGCAGCAAAAAAAAGTGGGTTCTTAACTCGGGAATTTCTGTGTGTCAGTCCGCACTGATTTTCATCCCATTTCACCAGGCCGCTTAAAAGAATTGGTGCAATAATCTTCATTTGTTCTTCTTGAGACTATCTCAAATCATACCATCAGTGATATCATAATCATTGTCGAAAATCGGCATGGTTGAATGCAGAGATGTCTTTGTTCATCCTTATGCATTTGGCTTTCCGCCTAACGAAATAGAACATGGATTTATCGCATGATTGATATGAGAAACATTGACAATAATATAATTGTTTCTCGCTCATTGTCTGTCACGTATTCCAGGACGTCAAACAGCACGGAAAAAGAGTGCATGTCAAAAAAGATGAATCACTGATCTTTTTTCTTATCTGATCGTTGCTATGGCAACATGTAAACAAAACGATATACCTTAGAAACAAACATTTCATCCTTAATTAAGGTATTTGCACTCTGATCGTGCAGATGTTGAGTACTCACCAAACAAAGCTACCTGTGACTAGAAAGTGGCCATTCAAGCCAAGCCCGTTGACATACACACACTCACACACACCCTTATTTATGTTTCTCTCTACATACCAAACACTTTAAATGCCATCTGCAAGCGTACCTACTGTCGAAGGAATTAATATTTATCCTATTAAATCTTGTCATTACACCAGTGTGCAAGAATGTCAAGTTGATTCAATGGGCATTCAGCATGATCGCCGTTTTATGATTGTATACGAAGAGAATAATCGATTTGTCACTCAAAGGTATATGGCTAATCCACCTTGTTTTGAAGTTTTTTGATCCAACAGTAAATCCACAGAAAATTTGCTTCGTTATCTCTCCTAAGACCTACTGTAAACGAGACCGACAACACACTCACCCTGTCTGCTGATGGCCAAGATCCTCTTACCTTGCCTCTTAAGCCAGATTTGAGCAAACTAACTCAACGCACCGTGCAATTGTGGAGTGCCAAACTGAATGTCTATGATATGGGCGATGAGGCAGGAGCATGGATCACCAAGTTTTTGCTCAACCATCGCAAGCATGATCGCCAAAATAACCACAGTGTGGATGATCCCATTGGAGAGAATGATCCTGTTGATCCGGTGCGTTTAGTGATAGTGGATGATCCAAAGAATGGCGTTTACAGTCGTCCTGCTCATCCCAAGTTGAATGGCATTCATTCGGCATTTTCGGACTGGTCGCCCATCTCATTTGGCTTCTCGAGTAGCTTGGAGGAACTGAACAAAGGCTTGCTGGAAACCGGTATTAGTAAAGGTAATCAGATTCCTATGAATCGATTCCGAAACAACATCACCATCAGTGGCACAATTCCATGGGAAGAAGATCAGTGGTTGGTTGCCAAGTAGGTCAACATGCTATTTGTGCTGTTCTTAATACTAACTCTTTGTAAATTCAGAATCGGAGAAGCCACCGTATACATCGTTCAACCCATTGCACGTTGTACAGGTAGATTGCATTATCTGAAAATCAATTGCATGTCAAATATTTAACATTCCCATTTGTAGTTCCTGGCATTAATCAAGATACGGGAGAGAAGGATGCCTGGGATGGCAAAGGTCCTACTGACTATCTCAAGCTGAGACGTCAATTTGCTGACGAACCCTCTCAAGGACAGTTTTGTTGCGATGTCGTGCCTTTGACTTCGGGTAAGATTCGTGTAGGCGATAAGATTCAAGTATTGGAACGCATCCCAGAGGAATACAAGCAAGGCCCATTGCCACCTGTTGCTTGAATTGGATAATTGAATTGCCATGTATAGTTTAAGAATTCCAACATTTTCTTCAATAAAAGCTTGAATGCGCTGTGACCCTATCCGTTGATGTGTCTATTGTTTCCATTGTCCGCAAGAACTATTGACATGCTGTTTCACTAAAGGGGCATTTGCTATGTTTATATAAAACAAGGCATGTGTTTGTATAAATCAATAGTTGTGTATATGACTTTTATGATATAGGCGTTTTTTTTTTTTTTTTTTTTTTTTTTTTTTTTTTTTTTTGCAAGTTCTAATGCGATCCAGTGTGTGGAACTACCAAATCATCCCTAACTATTCATCGCAGGTAATGCAACACCGACTTCAAACTTGCAAATGATGTGCTGTTTGACTGAGTTGCACGGATATGCTTATTTCGGTTTGGTGCGCTTCCATTGTTTAACAAGAGCTCAGGTAAAATGCCAGCTTCTGCTCAAAGAGTTCTCGCGGAAAATGTTGTATGACAATATGACAAAAGATCAAGAATGCTAACGTCTATTCATTTGTATTATAGGTTTCTTTCTCTACCTTCGCTTCGCTTCAGTGAGAACCAATCTGCGCAGCGGTAGCTCGTGCTATCGATTGCCCTTGCGTATCTTATCAAAATACTGCTATTTTCATTTTGACCCTCCACTTACACATGCAAACCCTTCGTATTATCTGTGGATCTGATTCTTATGAAATGCTCTACATCCATACACACGTAGCTACTTCATATACGAGCAAGCAACATACTAGTATCTCCCCTTTTTAGTCCTTAGTGTCCATGATACAGCAAAATATGAATGCATTTGAGTCATGTTTTCTTGTGCTAGAGGTCATTTTATATCGTCAGAATAGCACCAAACAGTTGCTCTTAATACGATGGCGACATAGAGCTAGTCATAAGTAAATACAAGACTTGCGTAAGATCTACAGCAACTTTTTTCAGATATTATCACTGCAAAAGACATCACTATGAGGCGACACTTCCCAAAAAGTATTCAGGCTAAGTAATTGTCCTTTCGAATCCATGGTCCCCATTTAACCAGCATCACAATCATCATTGTCATCAACAGAAAGGCATTTAGGTTGGCCAGCAGCAATGCCGCCACCAAAATTGATTCAAACTCAGTCTATTTTTTTTTCTGTTCAAGATTGGACAGATTTTGTCTTTATTGGACTCCTTTAATCTATTATATGATATTCGACTATATAAACTGTGATGATCACCGTATGCTTTCTAATACATGTCCCTGGTGGTAGGGCGAAGTGGTAGAACTCCCGTATGCCAACGGGAGGATCCCGGTTCAAATCCTGGTGAACGCAAGTTGTTTGATTTTTTGACGTAGTACTGATGTCCTCGTTTGGTGTTTTTGTACTCTTATCCATGATCTATATTTTGACGATTTCCGCAAGACTGTACTGGCTCTAGGAGTCGCACCTTATTAGTAGTAGATTTCTTTCCCAACTTAGTTCAAAAATATCTTATTCCCCTTCATTGCAGACATTGGGTCCACCAACAGTCTTTTCTATCCCTCAGCATGACATTTAAAGGACTTTAAATAAAACCTGGAGCTTGACTCCCCTACAAAAAAAAAAAAAAAAAATGCTTTCTAATACATTCTTGAAGTGCTTTTCAAGGTGCTTCCAATGGTGATAACTGTTATAAGTGCTTTGAATGAATCTATTGAGCAATTTGATGAAATATGAAATGAGGTTTTTGGCGAAAATAACCATATTCTGCATATGAAAACCTCATAAAAGTGGTTTCAGAGTTTGCCTTGGATCGAGAGAAACATTTTGATTTAATATATACCATAACAAAAGTCTTCATTTTCAAGGTGAAAAAATGCGATCGTTTGATTTTCGAAGAATACCATGAGGGGTACCTCATGCTTTTTGGTCGATTTTTGGCCATTTTTTTTTTGGTCCCAAAAAGTTGAGCAAAGGCGTCAGGAAGTAATTGCTATATGAGAGCAACTGTTTGGTGCTATTCTGACGATCTAAAATGACTTCTAACACGAGAAAACATGACTCAAATGCATTCATATTTTGCTGTATTCTGTATATATTTGAGTATTGAAGAGGTTGTGCTAGCATGCTCTCTCATTACATATAGGTTGTTTTCATTGATACCGATGTGGAGCATCTTAGATGAGTCAGATCCGCAGTTTTAGACAGGCCTCAAGCGAGAGTAGAGTTAAAAATGTCATTAGGAGACTACTCAGCGAGTCCTACAATATTTGACTGAAATAGACAAGGACATTCATTCTCTTAAATAAAAAGCGCTCGCATGTTTTTAAATACTGCAGTTGCTCCAAAAAGATCAAGAAGGCTAACTTCAAATACAAGTACTAATAGTGATCGTTCCACATTTGAAAGTATACTTTGATCAGGTCTATATTAAAGAAGCATTCATGCCTTTTACACGCGTTTATTGATTTTTTTAATTTGGATCTGATAAGCAAGATGCATGCCACCAACATTACAAATTAGGGCCAATGTTTGCATCCAATATCACTGGAGCATCCAGCTTTTCCCCCCTGAGAAATGGTATTCGATTGGTGAAGAACCTTTTAAAGATCTTGTCATCTCTAGTCACAGTTTTCAATCAGATAAAAAATTTATTTGTTTATAATAGGGCGAGAGAGATTAGGTCCTTGCTTATCAGATTTTTTTTGTACAGTCCTTTTTTCACTCTAAACATTCTTTTGCTTTTCTCTCGTTCTCCAGGCCGTCCTTATAGAACAAAAACCTGATGGACATTTCACAAAAATTAACTGAATGGTTCGCTTCTGAAAGGTCAGAAGTAGAGCCATCGCTCCTGGCCTATGTGTTATTATGTAAGAGCATTGGATATTTGGGGCCGTGTCAACCAGCTCACATTTTTTTACGTCATGTAGATTCTACCAAAAATCTGACGGGTCTTGTGGATGTCTTGAAGTGTCTCGCTTCATTTTGGGATGAAGGAGATGCTGTATGTCGAACTAAATGTAAATTGCACATGACAATGATATAATACGGTGATAGTTAACAAGGGATAAATGTGATAGGTATTGAACTGTTGGCTCAAGTCGTTACACCTAGTCAATCATCGCTTGATTCCACAACAAGTAAAGCTCATTAAATGCAAGTTATGACAATCCAATTGACACTCATCGATATCTAGACAATGCGATTATCCAATTCTTAAGCGAGCGTTTAGACGATCCTGTTCTTGTGCCTAGATTTGTTGATATATTCTCAATCTTAATCCAATCAGACAACATCTCCAGCACTGATGCGCTTCAGTTATGCAATGCGTAAATAAATTAAAACATGTAAACACTGTATTGCGCGATGGCTAATCTCTAACAATGCAGTATTTTCACTCATATCAAAGTCAAGAAATTACCTCAACAGAGCCGGTACAAAATTCTGATCATTTTGGGCAAGACATTGGAAAAATATGCCTTAGGTACAAAACTCTAGCTGCTCATCAGATCAAGGAAAAGGGATAACTGACAGATTTGATAGAAACGCAACGATCCAAGGTTAATTTCATAGGCGGTTTCATCAATTGCATGGATGGCGAAAAAGATCCCCGTAATTTGATGGTTGCGTTTGAGCTAGTGCGAGCTATCATTGATCGATTCGACATTTCTCGCCACATTGAAGATTTGTTTGATGTTGTATTTTGCTACTTCCCCATCAGTTTTGCAGCACCAGCCAATGATCCATTCAGCATCACTACAGAAGATCTTAAAGACAGCCTTAGACGATGCTTAGCAGCAACGCCCTATTTTGCTTACTATGCTACACCATTATTGATAGAAAAGCTGCTGTCAACTACAGGCAGCGCTAAAAAAGACGCCATGGAAACAATAGGCCTTTGTGCTCCCGCTTATGGTGCACACGCCATTTTGCCTCATGCCCAAGATTTATTCGACGCTCTTGTCAGAGAAGTGTACCAAGAAGCCGATGCTTCCATGGTACAAGTTGCGCTCGATGCTATCCACAATGTTGTGGCCACTTTAGGCACAGGCATCAGTATTGCCAATATCCGTGATCCAGTTGAGAAAGCAATCGATTCCCTGTTACACAAATGTGTGGAAGAACTAAAGGAGCCAGAACTGAAAAATGCCAGATCAGCAGCTTATATCCTGAGAGCAGCAGCATCAGCATCTGATCCAGCATGCACATCTGTCACACATACAGCACTTCCCATCATCTGCCAGCAATATAAGACAACAGACCCTACTATTAGAAGAAAAGCCATACTCGATATCTTGACTGAATTGTTAGTTGCCAGCAAGAAGCTATATGGATCAGTGGAAGACGTTGGATACGACCGTGATTTTCAAACACCCTTATTAATGTACAAGCAGCAAATCTTGCAAGTCTTTATGCTTTCGCTCGACACAGCTGACATAGTGCTCAAACAAGCTAGTCTGAAGGGCATTCACGAGATGGTCCTAATGAAGCAATTCTTGAAGGGCGAAGAGGTGAACATGACTGTAGATCAGCTTACAGGACAATTAATGCAGGAAGACGCGCAATTACGAGCACTTTCTCTATCCACACTTGGCGTTGTATCCAAGTTATACCCAATGATATTAGGTCAACGCACCTTCCCTGCTCTCCTTGAATGCCTGCCAAGCCTAGACAACCCCATCATATCAGAAAACTACAGAAACAGACTGGATGAAATTCAAGTCTTGGGTGCACATCCTGCTGTATTCAAGATCATTGTACAATCCATATTGGAAAAGGTGGATTTTGCTTGTAGACACGTTGGCAAAGACAACTGTGGTTTTGTTCATGACATGGCATTGACTTTGCTCAAGATTTACAAGGCTGCTTCCAAAGACTGTGAAATCGTGATTTACGGACGAACTGCGCTGCTGCCTACTGTACTGGCTGAATGCATAAAGTCTGTCTCTGGAAATGAGGGAAGCTGGTATTTAGACAACACATTAATTGAAATATTTGCCATGATTGCAGCCATTACAACTAGACTATCTAGCAGCAGGTAGGATCCAGTGGCGAGCAAGGTGATTGCATGTACTAACAGCACCTGGTAGTGAACAACAAACATCTATCAACGATGCTTTCACACTGTTTGTGCAGGGCGATGCCTCTCAGCTGGACCAGAACATACACATTGATTCATTGCCTATATTTGGTGATATTACGGTAAATTATGATGTGCTATATTGTATGGCATTGGATATGATCTGACTTTCTATTAAGACATTGCCTTCTGCTATTGATATCACTTTACTCTTCACTGCCATCATCAGCAATTGCAGTAAAACTGTAAGTTTCTACTCTGTTCTTCTTATGACTAATGTGATACTAACCTGGCGTAACCCCTTTGACAGGTCCAGTTGCCTACACCTAGTTTATCCGGGTTTATGACGAATTTAATACAGACAGCGATACAAACACCTTCCGAAATGAAGAGATTGGCCTTGTCAAAAATCGCAGCCTCAATTATAAATAAATGGCTGAACGGTAAAACCGAAATCAGAGCAGACATCTCGGAACTATAGGACTGACTGAATACGTATAACAATAGATGAATTACTAAGCCATGTCAAGCATCTAGTTGCAGAGTCAGTTTTGCCAACATTGGAGACAGCAGCCGACGCACGCAACAAGCGACCGACGTTTGTTATCTTGGTGTGGATCATCAAAGCGCTCATTATTCGTGGCCATCAATATGGTTTTGAACTGCTGGACAGTGTGATCAAACAATGTGGTTCTCTCGAATTAGGAAAAGACGCTGCTGATAGCTTCATCATCTTGTTGCATCAGGACGAGTTGATCTTGAACAAGAGTTCGCATGCCGTTGTATCAGTAAGTGTGTGGTGCCATTCTGATGTTTGTTTTTCTCTGCCAAACTCACACCGGTTGATCTGCAGATCTTGTTCAAACAAAGAGTGTTTACACACTGCTTTAGAAAGCTCATGCATGGTGCTGAATCCGTGGACATCCGCCAACCCGAACTGCAAGTAAACTATCTGTTGGCATTGATCCATGTGCTACAGAACATCCCAAGCCAAGTAGCGACAAACGAATTACACAGAGTAAGTTTCTTTTATGACGGATAAAACCACCGTCTCAAACCGGCTAACCCGCCTCAAAATAGCTCATGCTGCCGATCATTGTTGCCCTATCGTCACACGACAGTAATCTCGTTACGTCTACGCTGACTGTAGCACATAACATTGTGCCAAATGCCCAGGACCTCGTCGTACGACATCTTGGGTCCTTTATTCATGCATTGCTGAGACTGACCCGATTCCAGTCAGCTAATGTCAGAACAATTGCACTAGAATGTCTAGCCAGCATCGCCCTGAAAGGAAAGCCCGATGTACTGAGGCCCTTCCAGCCATCCGTGGTCAAGGAATTATCAACAGCGTTGGACGATAAGAAACGTCTAGTGAGAAGGCATGCGGTTGATTGTAGAGAAAAATGGTATGTAATTGACTGTAACACGAAACTAAATATACCACGGTTCATTTACTCGTTGTTATTGTTTATTGTTAGGTATGCCATTGGAAAATAAGATACACGGCATTCAATACGTTTGTTGAATTGCACCCTTCAATAGACTCTGTTTATAATAAATGCTACTAGTAAACCTTGTAACTGACTTAGCATGATGACAATGATGCCAGGCTTGAGTTTCAAAACACCTTGTGCCAATTGAATCCGCTACCGTATACCTCGGCTTCAGACATGTGAGGACACGCCACGAGATGGAATCGTAGAACAAAGAGCAGAGTTAGACGTCTATCTGAAGACGTAACGTTGTCAGCTAAATATGTATAAATAACCATCCTATCACCAAGCATAAACAAATGCGTGCATATCATGTCCCTATATCATGTTGTTGCTGCTGTCAGCCCCCCCCCCCACATAAATTATACATGAAAAACGCTCTCAAACTAATACATGTCTCCTATTCAATTCAAACCGAAACTTGATTTAACCGATTTCCTTTCTGCCCAAGCCAATCAAGGGTGAAATGCAAATGATTTGGATCCATTCGTATATAAACCCTCATATTTCATGTTGTATACAAATTGACCCGCCTTCTTTTTTTTTTTTCATTTCATCTTTTTCTCTCTTGATACTGCAATGAAGCTATTTCTCTGCTCTATTGTATGCTTGGTGTTCATCTTGAACCAGGTCAATGCGCTGCCTGTACAACATGCTTTTGTGCCATCCTCGCTCTCACATGAAAGCCCTATTGACGCCCAAGAATACACTGTCTATAGCAGCGTGGTTGAATACTACGAGAACCTTGTCGACACCACGCTCAGCTCTGAAAGCGAAGAGCTCTTGATCAATTTGATTCACTTACCAAAAGAGTCAATGAAGAATATATTAACACTACAAGCGGAATCAATGGGATTCAAAACTATTTCAGGTAAAGAGGTACTCACTTTTATGGAATTTTAGATAAATCTAAAACCTCCTCTTTATCATGGCAAAAATAGATAAACAGCTCAACAAGATGCCATCACTCATTGGAAAGCATATCCAAGCAATGAACACGCATGTCTATGAATCCATTGAGCCCATTGTCAAGAACCACTGGCCTACAGTCTGGGACAAGAAGCTGCTGTATGCAGATGATCAGGAAGAGATCTTGTCCTTCTTGTCATCCTTGAACGGGATTGTCGCCAAAAAGTTGATGGATCAAGTGGACAATTATAGTCTCTTGGAAAAGATCAAGCAGGACATGGTAGCACTGTACGAAAGGGAGCAGGAGCGGTCGTGGTTTCACTGGCTCAGCAGTACCAAGAAGATTGTGCTGTCGTTTGAAGACACTGTTGCTGAAGAGGACGCCAATTTCCTGAGACAGCATGCCACCGACATCCGCACAAGCTTGCTGATGGAGCTTCATATACAATTTATGGATTTCTTCACCAGAATCCAGTCTGATATCATCGAGCAATTGGTCATTTACGAAGATTAATCATTACCATTCACAATGTATATATCACATAATAAAAACCCTGTATATATTTTCATGCTAAAAATCAAACTCTGAGTTGAGTATAAATGGGCTTTGTTTTTTTCTTTTCTTTCCTTTTTTTTCTTCCATTACAGACATTATGACGTTTGGTACAGACTTAAAGGTAGTATTTTCAGTTGAAAAAAAGAATATCAAAATGAGCTATACTCACACAAGCACAAACAGGACCAAGTGCCTTCAATATTAAAATATGTGGGCGATGGTATCAACTCGTTGACGCAATTCCGTAACTTCATCAAGGATAGAAGTAGCATCGAGCGTGAATATGCTCAAAAGCTGGACACCTTATCGAGAAAATATAAAACGCACAATAGCAACAAAAAGGCTGGCAACACAACAGACCAGCAAGATGAGTGGGATTGGAATGACACGTCCAGGTTTGTATAGCACAGACATGATGTGGTAAATGGGAGATTCATTGGAGTTTAGTACTACGGCTTCGGCTTGGTCACAATTACTTCATCAGACGACACTGTTAGCAAAGAGCAGACTTTGCTTGGTAGACGATTTGAACAATGCGATTGTGGATTCGCTGAGAAGCACTGCTATCAGAAAGGAGGAGTCTCGAAAGAAACATGCTGCGTTTTACCACAAACTCAAATCTGAGAGGGATAGAACATACGCTGAAAAGGACAAAGCTAAGCAGTTGTATGACGATGCATGCGCAGAGATTGAAAGTATCAAGGCTAAGATCAGCAAATCAAGTGGCGATGTCGAGAAATTGCAGAGACAGATGGACGCTTGTCTTTTGAACCGAGACAACAAAAAGGTAGGGTTTGTTGCTAGTGTGTGTTGTTTTGGGCATTAAATCTGTGATAAGAACCTGTATTTGCTATCAATCAATGTTGCCAATGCTGAAAGAAAAAAGTACTTCGAAGACGATATCCCAGTCTTGGCTGATGTAAGTTTTCATTTTTGCATTAATTTTAATTTGATCCACTGATGGTTAATTAAAACCATTGTCAGCATTTGGAAGAATTGGATGCATCTCGCATTACTGCATTAAAGTCAATTTTGAGGAATTACATTGATATGGAGACCAAGCTAATCACAACAGTACAAAAATGCCACGACGATACACTGGAGTCCATCGAGAAGCTGGATCCTTCCATTGATGCGGGTGTGTTTACTCGCTCTGCTTTGGGTGCTGTAGAGTCTACTGAAAAGGCTGCGAATGTCACATTTACTTTTATACCTTGGAATGGCGGCGCTAATGCTGCAGAAACCATCATTGATCGAGATGATAATCTGGTGGCAAGTGATTCCGCTGTCATTTTCCTCAACAACAAGCTTATCAAGGACCGCAAGCAATTGGATGTGTTGGCCGATGATCTATCAAAGAGATCTGCAGATGTGAGTCAACTGGAATCAGCAGTGAAAGCAATAGAAAACAAGGCTTCCGCTGATTACGATAAATCAAACGAGGTAGGTCTAGGATGTGTTTGGGTAACTTTAGTTCTATGCTGAGTATGCGTTTGTTGCAGAAATTGATGGATGTGATTCGAGATATCACTCTGTTATCAACTCAGAAAGTGCGTGTTGAAAGCGAGGTCGATCTAATCATCCAGAATATCGGTGATGACGGTTTGCGAGCAGAAAATCATGATTTTAAAGCTTCGTCGTTTACGATTCCAACAGCCTGTGATTTATGTAATAGCACCATTTGGGGTCTATCAAATAAGGGGCTTACATGTAGAGCTTGTGGTTTCAACTGTCATGCGAAATGCGAAATGAAAGTTGCTCCTAATTGTAGCAAAAAGAAAGGTCAAATCAATCCTCAGCCTTCGCCATCCACGTTACAGCCTATTGGCACGAGAACCGTTCGACAAGGAAGTGTTAGTGGTGGATCAATTAGCTCTATCCCAACAAGCTACTCCACCAGCAGTTACAATGAACTTACATCAGCTACCGTGCCATCTCTTGCAACATCTTCTCTAGCGAACTACATGCGCTCCCTGTATTCGTATGATGCACAAAACGCAGATGAACTTAGTATAACGGAAGGAGATGTGCTGACAATTGTAGAGCCAGATGATGGCACTGGCTGGATCAAAGCACAGTTAGGAGACCAAGTTGGTTTAGTGCCTGCCAACTACATAGAATACATTAACCAACAAGATAATGCTGCATCATTAGCTAATACAGACACAGCAGCACCAGCCTCGGATAGTTACTATGCTGCTCCCACAACACCTCTAGCTGTGGATCAGCTTGTTGATGACACTACCATTCAAAATGACGACATTCTTCCACCTCCACCGCCTCCACCCATGCCTGGATCAGCTCAATCTCCTCCTCCTACTGAAACTGTTGTAGCGCTGTATGATTTTGAGGCTGTAAATGCAGAGGAGCTCAATATCCGACAGGGCGATATTATCACAGTAACCAAAAAAGATGATAGCGGTTGGTGGGAAGGCACATTGAATGGACAGTCTGGTATTTTTCCTTCTAATTATGTCAATTCTTAAATAAATATATATCGCAAGAGTCAGATAGTGTCCAAATGGCGGGCAAAAATTACTATATATAGTATCTACCATATATAGTAATTATATAATCACGTGATTTTGTAGACTTCTACAGCATGTTAGCTATTATACGGTTAAGCTATGAAAGACAAAGGGGGGGGGGCTCTTTCCTGAGAGGGTCAGTAGGTCTATCTTTTGAGAAAGAGCGGCTATTTGGAGTCAATTGTAACTGTTTTAGGGATTCTAGACAAAAGCTTTTGTATTAGTTGTTTGTGTGCGAATTCCAAGCATCCGCTATACACTAGCATTTAAGGATACTAAGCATGCGATTCTTGATTATTTTCGTTTCTAAATATGCTAATTTTTTAGACATGGCCGTTATTACATGGCTGGTAATCAGAATACATGTCAAATTGGGCAGTGCGCGTAACATGAAGGCGATACATCTGTAACGCTTTGTCTTTCCGACATCGCCATCCTTTTTCACATTAACCATGTCCAATATAAAAGATATTGTTTCAAAATTTCAATTCAATCGTATATTATCCAACGATACAAGAACCAAGCTTGTTTACGTATTGGGCCAAATTGACGGACAAGACTGTATCATCTCGTTTGAAAAGACACAATACGATGCCACGAATATACCCAACTTAACAAGCACTGTCAATAGTAACACGATGAATGATGTTGTTGAAAACAACATTTACGGATGGTGCATGGCTCATCTCGAGAGCAAGGAACCTGATACTCGTATCAAAACTATCTATCCAGCTACAGATGTCCATATTGCCAAATATGAAGCACAATCTCGCGTTATACTTGTCGAGACGCCCGAACTATACGAATCCATCACATTGCCGTACATCAAGAGCATCCCAGAAAAGCGCACAGCATGGGTTCACAACATCCTACATGGTTCAGCTGAGGCGGATCGAGTGATTTTCCATGATTGTGATCCTGAGAATGGATTTGTCATTTTGCCGGATATGAAATGGGATGGACGCGACGAGACCCTGTACTGGGTAGCTATTTCGATGCGATCTGATATTTTGTCGTTGCGATCACTCTCAAGCCAACATTTGAAATTCTTGAAAAAGCTACGAGAGACAAGCTACAGACTTGTCAAGGAGAAAGCAGGTCTGTCACCAAGTCAGCTGCGATTATTCATCCACTATCAACCGTCTTATTATCATTTTCATGTGCACATCACAGCAGTTGCCTTCTCGGATGCGCCTGGTGTTGTTTCAGGACAAGCTCATTTACTGGACACAGTCATCAACAACATTGAACTTTATCCAGACTATTATCAAAAAGCAACTATCCCTTTTGTAATTGGGGAGAATCATCAATTAGCTAGTGGATTCACCAAGAAATAAAGTGCATAGGTGGCTCAGTGTGAAAAGTTGACATGATCGCAATGTGTGTAACTCTATTTGAATGTGTGTGTGCATTTCTTATGTTCATTTAGTGTTTCTCCTTTTTAGATTCTCTCCTTCTTTTTTTTTTTTTTTTCCCTTGTATAAATATACACATTAAAAACCATGAATGACTTGCGCCAACGACAAGCACATCAGCAGCAGCAACAGCAGCAGCAGCAAGTGAATGGCAAAATGAATGAATCCGCCTACCTGTTGCACCTTTTGACCATCATCGTTATTGAGTATTTGTATCGTCTGTTCATTCAAACTCCTGTTTCAGCAATCAAAGCATGGTCAAAGCATCCCATTTCACTGCTCGTCATATTCTTGATACTATTCCCTGTCTATGTACTAACAAAATGCTGTATATCCATATCAAGATTCATGATCAAAATCATGGTGATTCCAAGAGACATTCGATTTCTGTACATTATCAATGTCTTTTTCACAAGCAACAAAGAACAACAGCGTCCGTCATTATTTGATCTCGCTCATATGAATGATGAAGACGACGAAGACAATCTCAACCGATACCTGGAGCGATGTAGCATTTGCTTTGACTCTAAATTGGACTTGTGCTTGGAATACTGCAGAGATCAGTTTTGTTTGGAATGTTTTCAACGGTACGGAATAGCACTGCGAAAAAAAAATGCGTGCATGGCACTAACAAATAAGCTACAGTTATGTTACGGATGTGGTTCAATCAAGCTGGGGCCTCAGCGTAACAAAAATCAGATGCCCCGTGTGCAGAGTGTATATCCACCAGGCAGAATGGTCGAAATATGTGCCTGCTGCAATCACTGAACTCTACAACAAATTCAATCAACCATTTCGAAGCTTTTCTAGATGCTGTTCACATTGTGAAACGGAAATGGCCCCATGTGATTTTAAAAGGATCTATGATAAAAAGTGAGTACGGGATTTGCATGAAAGTATGCGCAGCTCATGCTTATTCTATCAGTCAATCCAAAGTGATAGCTGCCATGATAGGCAGCTTCCTCAGTACAGCCAGCTCAAAATGCACTTCAGATGAGCACCTATTGAAGTTGATCGAGTGCAAGGCTCAACAACAATACTACGTGCGGCTGTTTGAAAAGATGGAGTGGAGAAACTCGACCATCATAGATATCCACCATCAATTACTTGAGAAACTGCTGCAAACATGCCAAGTAGTAGATCAGACAACCAAGGCAAAGGATATTTCGCTCAAAATACTGCAGCTTGAATTGAGACCAGATACATGGAAGAAACTGCAGTTTGATCACATTTCCATGTTTCCAGACATGCGCTGGTAAGATGGTATTGCTACACATAGCTTTGGTACATACTTACAATGTTAATATCATAGTCCAACATGTTACAAGAAAACGTGCTTGCAATGCGGAGAAGATAGCCATCGTCATGTTGCAACCTGCGAGGAAAACATGAAGCAACTGATACAACAAAAGGAAGAGACTGGGTCAAATGCAGATGACGTGCAAACACTGAAATGGAAGATGGAAAATAGTAGAAAATGCCCTAGTTGCTCCATCATGATCAATCGAGATGAAGGCTGCAATAAAGTGGATTGTACATTGTGTGGATTCAGTTTTTGCTGGGAGTGTCGATCAATATGGTCAGAGGTTTGTATCTATACGTTGACGGGAGGGGGGACATAAGGACAGTAGGACTCAAATGGGGGGGGGGCATGTTTTAGAGTTGCAGCTATTTTGTTTGCGTTAATGACAGAAACAAGCAAGCCAGCAAGAGCAATTCTGTTGCGAATTTATCTATATCTCAAGGGGCGGGTTCGATTGCCAGCAGTGCACCAAGAGTGAGTATGATACCTGTCAGATAAATCAACGGAGCACTGATTTGCCCTGTAGGCTGAATTGGGTGTTCCTGATATACAAATCATTCATGCTAGAAACAGCCAATCGTAAATAACACTGATAGCATAGGATGCTCATGAATAAATCCACTTTCAAATCACTTGATGGGAGTTGCTTTCTCGCTTTTTTTATTATTATTAGTAGGTGGATGTAATAATTAGTTGTAAAATAGTAAATGTTTAGTAGTCTTCGGCCAAAATACCCGAAGTAATGACAGAATTCATCTCCTTGAAAGATTCTGAAGCCATGATGATATTGGAAGGGCAAGGATACTCTTTCAGGATGGCTTCATGAAGCTGCTGGATCGTTGTGTTCAATAAAACGGCATCGCCTTGCTGCTGAGTAAACTGAACCACACAGCTTTGGGGATCCAGATCAGACATAATCAAGTCAATTCTACATTTAACTTGACGTGGTCTTTGACCATCCTGTGATTTTGTCTTGATTTCAGCCTTGTATCGAGTAACACCTGTTCTATCGCATTTCTCATAGAATCTAGCTTCGTTTGTCTAGTAACAGAATCCTTGATTAGTACAGTTTTAAATCTAATGTGTCATGTAAATTATACCTTGTTCATTAAACGATGCAATGATCTTAAAATACCGGCTGTGTGTGTGCTGTAAACCACCAGGGAGCACACTTTGGGTTGTTTGAAGATGAATAAGTTATTGAGCCACGATGCCTTGGCTGGTTGTGATGGGATGCCGTTGTTATTGCTGCCAGGCGTAGTGGGTGAAGCAATGGTAGAGCTGTTGGATAACAGACTGGGCGTGGTGGGTCTGTTATTATTCATATGCTGTTGCTGCTGTGCCAATGTAGATGTGCTGATATTGCTGCCTCTGCGGTCCATGGATTTGAATGACAGTTGGCTTGATCTACGAGGGTTTCCAGTGGCATACACGTTGCTGTTGGATTGCTTGTTCATGACAGTCTTGAACGTAGGCGGTACTTTCTGTAAAGGCGATGTTAATGCTTGATAATAACCACTGTGAGTGCTTGAGCATGTGCTACTACTACTGCTACTTAATGTACTGCCATCTGATAAAGCAGGAGGAGGCAACAGACTGGAATCATTAACAAGTGTCTTTTTGCTGCTTGCCATGATGCTGCTTGTCTTTTCCTTTTGCTGAGCTTGTTCGGTTTGAAAGAGTGACAGATCCAACTGCTTTCTTTGTTTACGTGAGTTGGAGCCAAGTGTGAAGCCAAATTTTTTTGTGGATGACGAATTGACAGTAGAGTCGTTTCTAAAGGCATTGGGAATACGAAGCGAAAGTCGTTTAGCGCTGAGAGTAGCTGATTTGTTTGATTTGCGGTTCTCCTTTTGCTGTTCCATGGAGATGCTCTCCTCCTCGGGATCTTCGTCAGAAGGATCTACCTTGTTGCGTTGTAGGATATGACTGGAGGGTCTCAGTGCCGATTTAGGTGGCACTGTGGGCGAGGCAGGCTCCCTCATTGAAGTGGAGGAGATGGCAAAATCAGTTGTATTGATTGGTGTACGATTGAAGGGGTTCTTGCGTCTCAATGTGCCTACCAGTGTTGCAGCAATTGGCTTTGAAGTAGGGGTTGGAGTAACTGGACTTGAAGGCGCTGTCGTTGTGCTTGTAGTACTTGGGCAATTGCTCTGTTGAGATGCAGAGGGAGGCACTTCTGTGTTTTGGCTGCTCCTGCATTGGCATGGAAAAGAAGGTTAATCAGTGCACCAGCTACATTGCACTACTTTTTTTTTTTTTTTTTTTTTTTTTTTTTTTTTACCTTGCATCTTTGCTCTGTCTGCGAGAAGGTGACAGAACGTTTTTGACAAACCGAGCGTAAAAAGTTTCGCTCTTCTTCATTTTAGGCTTCTTTTCATCGCTGGGCACTGCAGGACTAGCAGGTAGATCATCCACAACAAATGTAGGTGTACGTTCAGATCGAATAGTAGCAGCCGAGTAGCGACGAAGCACGTCGGGTTTCGATTGCACGGGTGATGAAGGCACAGAGGCATCGGATGGCATCCAAGGCGCAACTGGGCGACTGCCTACAACTGCAGCGGAATTCTTTCTGGCTGTAGTAGCAGACCCTGACTTGATAACGTTACTGTTGGCGTCCACCATGGAGTGGCAACGTCTGTCACGCTCGGTTCTATGGCCAATGGTTCTATAACGACGTCTAGGGGCATCTATGGGAGCGAGTGAATACAAGGCTTTACACATCAGCTGGAAAGAATAGCTTACCTGAATAGGCATCCTCGGTGTCATCATCACTCTCATCATCGTGATCTGCCTGCCAATATCTCTCTGCATGCTGTTGCAAAAGCACATAGACCACCTTTTGCATATTGTGTCTACATGAAAACCTGGTTAATAACGACCACACAAGAAGAAGCTATAAAAAGACATTTTACTTTTTTTGAATCAGTGCATTGATCACTGCTTGATTGTTTGATTCTCCCCATAAAAACTTGATTGTTTCCAGTATGCGATCATCGATTTCAGAAGCATCATTTACAGGCTGCCCGATTTCTTTTTCAGTAGGAGGAACCGGAAGCACAGAAATGTTGGTGGGTTCAGTTTCCCGAAACCATGGATGAGACATGATTTGCTGCATATTCAGTCTCTTGGATGGATCAACAACGAGTATGCGGCGGATGAGATCTTGGGCTGAGCGCGATATGTTGTCGGGCATAATGTATTTACCTGACTTGACCTTCTTTAACAGTTGACGGATGTTCTCATCATCGAATGGGAGATGGCCTGTTAACAAAGCGTAAAGAATAACACCACAAGACCAAATATCACACGAGGAACCGTTGTATGGCATGCCAGCAACGATTTCAGGACTAGCATAATGAGGAGACCTACAATTGAGGATGAGTCGCTAAGTTGAGTCTAAACTATCGAGTGATAGGCACGTTACCCGCAACTAGTTTCAAGCATGGAACCTAATGGCTGGAGTGATGCCATGCCGAAATCAGCAATTTTGATGCCGTTTCTAGAGTTCAAAAGCAAATTTTCAGGCTTCAAATCACGATGACAGATCAGATGGTGATGGCAATAATCTAGTCCCATAATGATTTGTTGGAAATGGTGTCTTGCTTCTGCCTCGCCCAATCTCCCTTTGCTGACAAGGTATTCAAACAGCTCGCCACCCTCCACATATTCCAGTATGAGATATCTATTTTGAAGTCGGTTGAGTATAGGAGTTGCGTTATATTATATACATAGGGGAATTTCATGGTTCATGGTGTTAATAGGAGAATGAGGGGGGGGGGAGGTCATCGTAATAATTATCAAGATGAATGATAGGAGAAAGAGAAAGAGAAAGAGAAAGAGGCACTTACAAATCTGAAGATGCTGGATCGTCAATCACATCAATGAGCGACATGACATTTGGATGGTGAATCAACTTCATAATGGCGATTTCTCTTCGTACAGCTTTTTCGATGGCAGGATTTGCAGCTAAATGCGCTTTGCTAATGATTTTTATAGCAACTTGTTCTCCTGTGTGTCTATGAACACCCAATTTAACTCGGCCTAATCATAATAAAATTAAGATGTCGTGTGTGCCTGAATTCATGGTCTTGTACCTGAAGCACCTTTCCCCAGCGTCTTTCCCACTACATAATCTCCAATGCATTTCTTGGGTTTTTGTTGCTGAGAATGCGTGGAAATTGCACCAGAACTTCGACGTCTGTCTCGCGTTGATCTGGATGATCTGCTGGACGAATGATTGGCGACGGTTGCTGCTGACGCTCTTCGGGAATTGGGGTTGGATCTTTGATATTCCGGAATAGCAGGTGGATAGAAATATGGCTGTGGTTGATCTGGAGCAAATGAAGCCATGGTGGATTGCATCTTGATGGAGAGAGAAAGAGAGAAAGAGAAAGAGAAAGAGAAAGAGAAAGAGAAAGGAAGAATCGAAAAAAAAGTCAAAATGTCAAACAAGAAAAGAGTGTGTTATAAACTATATCCAATCTCTAAATAGGAGCCTTATTCCAACACAATAATGAAAACAAAGAAAGCAGGAGTTGATTTGAAAAAGGCAGACAAGAAAGGGAGTTGTGTGAATGAAAGAGAGAGAAAGAGAGAGAGAGAGAGAGAGAATGAAATAAGTAAGGGAGACCTCATCATTATAATAAGTTGACAAACAGACATCTTGTTCTATTCTATTATCTCACATGGTAATGCGTTTACATTGATTATATGCATTTAGCGTACAGAGAATGCCTCTTTCTGCTGCTAATTGAAATCATGCAAATTATCCACTTTTTCTTATATTCTTTGAATAGATTGCGATACCAACGCATAACAAATATAAATATCCATCATTAGCACCGAACAGAAAAAAATACTACTAAAATCAAAAAGTAGGGCTCCATTGTGATGGGGTATTTCACAAAGAAATGCAACTCGCATGACACTCGTCATTTTTTAACTAAGGCTTGCTTTGCTTCACCTCCTCCCTCCTGCTTCTCCCTTCTTTCTACATCTGCTGCTGCTGTTGTTGCTATTGCTGCTGCTGCTGCTGCTGCTGCTGCTGCTGCTGCTGCTAGCAGGGAGGGTATATCAAACATCCCTTGTTGATATTATCTAATTTTAGATGCTTTTAGTTTTTCAAAAATAACTTGTATGAATATCATGATAATTTACATTTTGCCAAGGAGCTGAGATGTTGATAATTTCATATCAATGCTATTTTGTACGCTGCTCTACATACATCGTATGTGTGATTCGTACACGAACAATGTATGTAGGTTTTTATACTATAGACTATACTATGCATATTCCCTCTCAAATGCATCTGAATCCATGACAACCAGTGCAATTTCAGTTTCAAAATGTAGCCATCATCATTGAGTTAGTAGGCTTTTTAGCATCATTTGCATGTGCTATTAATTCTCTAGCGCTACTGATCTCATTTTGATATCAAGCTGATAGTAAAGCTTACTAGGGGGCAGGTGTTCATTTTCGCTACTGAAGTGAGTTTATGAGCTATTTTGAGCGACATTTAAAATCAATTTCATCTTTATGACCCTGATGCACTCTAATTTTGGTACGTCTATCAATCAACCAATCTCCTACAAGTACTAAACTGCATCAATCAATGATGCTTTGCTGATATTATACTATTTTATTGATTCTTAATCATCCATGCGATGGGTAGCTATGAATATTTCAGATACAAATGCTTTGAACACAGTCTTTACACTGAAAAGAAGCCTTCACCATAGACAACACATTCCAATGCAGCGAGATGGTCGATTCTTCCCTTGATTTTCTTTACAAGGTCACCAGTGCCCTTTTCGTCTGTTTGTTGTTGAAGCCACTTGACCAGGTGGCTCATGTTTTGGGTTCCTTTAATATACCACCATTGAACATCATGATCTTCAGGATGAAGGAAGCCTGGACCAATGATCACAATACCATACGCCCAGCATTGTTCGCTGTTTCGATAATCAGAAGCATGGCTCAAGTGATCCAACAGATCATTGAAGATCCAGTATTCATTGCCTAGCATATCGACACCTGCGGGTTCCATTCGCTTCTGTGATTTAGCACTGGCTACATCCAGTTGAATCTTTTTCGTCTCTAAATCAATGCGTTCATCCCGGATCAACATATCCAGTTCATCTAGCTCGATCTGTGCATTTTTCAGCTCTTCCCTTTTGCCACGCACAGCCATGAGTTGACTGATACGAGTCGTCAATTTGTATCGCTTGCTTTTATTTTGAGTTGCTTCCACGTTGTATTCTTTCATGTGCTTTTTGAGTTCAAGCACCATATCACGCACTTCCTTGTTGGCTGAACCTCCATGGTTGGGCACATTCAATGATTGTCGAATTTGGGTATGATATAAAAGCAATTCAAGTAACATGTAGACCAACTTGAGTTCCGTTTGTGCTGGTAAGAGCGCTGTATTACGAACCGGTTTGCGATACCTCTCAATTTCATTCAATAGTTCTTCCTCTTCGTCTATGTCCATAGCATCGTATTCTTGGTCGTCCTCGTTTTCAACGCTTGGCTTTTTCAATGGATATGTGGGGATGGGAATGTCTTCATGCTCGGCTAATGCAAGTAGCTCAGCTACATCCTGCCATCTTCTGCATGTCATGCCCTCTGTTGTCAAGGTACACATGAGTGCTTGGTTTCTCGACTCGTTGTCCAGGTAATATGCAGCGAGTTTTTTTTCCTTGATCCATCCGTCTAGTATAGCTTTGGCTTTTTGTGGTATTGTCTCTTCTGTTAGCGGTGAAAGTGGTGCTTCATATTCTGTTGATTGACTCATGATATACAGACAATGGTATACTAAATAAGCGCCCAGCCTTTTGATCTTCCAATCGCCTTGAACGTTTTGCAAGTTGGTTAGCACTCGATCATCCAGTCCATATAACTCTCCAAATCGAAAAACAAACTCGCGAATTTGTAAGCGCATCCAGATCTCTTCTTCAGAATATAACAGTTCCAGTTGCTCAAGCTTTGGTGGATTGATCGGCTTGAACGGCGCCATGTTGAATAGCAGTTTCGATCCCTTTTTCCTATACATGTACAGGATGAATTGAACGTTCATGCTACTTTCTTTGGTGAAACTAGCTTACTTTGGCACGGGCTGCTTTGAACAGTATCTGTGTTTCTGACATGAGTATAGCTGAAAGTCTGTCAAATAACGTTCGCTATATTTACCCGCATCTGCATAACCCTCTACACACGAGACATGCCCATTTGAAACTTGATACATCTGGCCTATGTTGCACTGTGTCTCCATTTCGACACACATAATCTGCATCATTATTCTCGATCCAATTCATATCCTCACTTGCCCATTCCTTGACACAGGCATCACAGAAACTATATGTGCAAGGCTCAGTAGAGTTTGACTTTAGTGCTGTACAATGAATCCTTGGCCTTGACATCTGCATGTCATTGCATTCAGTTTACTGCAACATTCTCTAGAGCGCTTCCATCCACTTACATCACATTTTTTACAAAGATCCTCATGCTCATTTAGCTCTTGGTTGATGGTAATCTTCAAATCGAGAATTTCTCGTTCCAGTTTCTCTGCATAATTGTCTTTCTTCTTAGCGATTGTTGAAGGCGATGACACTGGAGCAAAGCATAGTCTAGTGATTTACTCAATCTGTTAGATGATACACAATTATTCGCCTTTTGCATACCCTTACCTTGTTTGTTGGAACTTTGGCTTAGCAGACACCTCGTTCTTTGGATTAGCTTTCGCCATATTGACAGAAACAAACGCGCTTGAATATTTTTTTCAGGATTGGTGTTCCAAGTTATCTCGCGTGGAGCTGAAAGGTGTAACACTAGACCCGATCAAATCGTCACAAAGATGAAGTTACATTTTGAATGTCCAAAGGTAAATGTATACACGCCTTCATACATAGCTAGTCAGGCTTGTTGGTAGTATATTTTGCCTCGCTATACCCTTCATTTCAGCCTTAGAAACATCAATTTTTTATGACAAGAAATGCAATGATCTTGGCTACGGAAGGTAATTCAAGCTCCGGTTACATCTGATTCAGATTGGCCAGATTTGATTAAATTCGACTTTAATTTTAGCTATTTGCCAAATTCGACTATGTAAATTGTGATAATTCGCCTGTACTCCCTTATGCTTTCCTCAAGTACTTTTGAAGGCACTTCCGATGGTAATATTTATAGCATGTGCTTTGACTGAATTAATAGAGCAATTCCTAAAAACCTGAAATGACGATTTGGGCAGAAATGTCGAGATTCTCCCTGTAGAGGTCCTGCAGTTGAAGTTTCAGGGGCTGCCCTGGATCGATAGAGTCATGTCGAATTAATATATACCAGAGTAAAAGTTGTCGATTTTGCGGTCAAAAACGCGATCGTTTGATTTTCGATGAAAACCATGAGGGGGTACCTCATGCTTTTTGATCGATTTTTGGTGATGTTTTCTTGGTCTCCGAAAAGCTGAGCAAAGGTGTCAGGAAGCAAGTGCTAGGTGAAAGCAGTTGTTTGGTGCTATTTTGGCCGGCTAAAACGGCTTCTAGCACGAGAAATTGCGCCTCGAATGCGCCGAAATAGCGCTGTGTTTTGCAACTTTTTGAGTAGGTAGAGATAATGTCAGTATGCTGTCTATCTGTATATCAGCTCTGTTCTTTGATACAGACGTGGAGCATTGCAGACTACTTAGATCCACACCTACAGAGTAATTATAGAGGTTTCTCGTGCGTTAGAGGAAGAATCTGCAATTCAAAAGCTGTCATCAATATAGCTTAAACTCCTTGACGCTAGTTTGGTGGTTAAATGCGAACCATAAAAGGCAGTTTAGAAGCAATGTTTTTAGTTGCAACCTGTCTTTTGATTTCTGTTCAGAGCAGGAGAGTCCATGTAGATGTAATCAATGGGCTAGCCAAATAGCTAGTGTTTGTTTTATAGACTACATCAACCAAAACGCATTCGTTTGAAATCATTTGGTTTATTAACACACTTTACAGAACGCGGCAGCATTTGCATGCAAGATAACCCTTTCAGTGGACATGTACAAGCACGCTTTAAATTCTCGCAATGTGGGTTACATTCAAAATCAAGGCGACAGTGCTGGAACCAACGGCTGCCAAGCAAAATGACAGGCAGTTTTATTTAGAAAAAACGTGCAAAACCTTACTCTTTCCTGTTCCACCAATGGTGCCTGGTCATGGTGCCTGATTTGCTGGTTTGATCTGCATTCCAAAAAGATGAGAGTCAGTGTTTATGTTTGAGTAGAAATGAACTGAGATCTAGCACTCGAAACACCGAATTTGAGCAAGGCATCTTTTAGAATCAATCGACATGCTTTTTTGCAAGGTAATGCTTTATCAGTTTGATGTCACCAAGTGCCTATCCTTACTGCTCCTTTGTTCCTGAGCCTGGTATATCCCATGATATGAGTATTTAGTGAATGCAATTTCAGGGGATGCATTAAAGACAATCGAGTTTTGGAATCGAAGATCCCTGATAATTATCAACTGATTTTTGATTGATGTTTAATTAATCTCCCAATTGCAAATGATCACCCCCAGTCGAAGGATATGATGTTTGACTATTTGCAAATGTTGTGCTACATTGATTACTCACTCACTCTTTACATTTACTGGTAACCTTAAATCAAATGTGCCTTCAAGTTGCACAAGCAGTTGACGTTAGCCTCGTTTTTTTGTGTTGTTTGTTGAAACAGTAACATGTGTATGGGATCCCTTGATGACTTTTTTCGTTAGGTGATCTGCTAACAACTTGAATTGTGGTCAAATGTGATGCTATTTGGGGGAAATGTTATCAAGGGTCTAAAGCAGATGAGCAATTCCTATTTTCCCCATGTTTTTCGCCTTCCTTCATTCTTGTACATCATGCGGCTGACCAAATAGGACTTGAAAAACAAATCTCAAATCCTTCTATAATGTAACAATTCTTTTCATGTTTCCCCTTTCTTCTTCTCTTTTCTTTATATAACTTTTTCTGCAAAATAAGGTAGAAAATTAGCAGAATTTTTTTTTTTTTGTTTTCTACATTTAATCTTCTCCCCTTTCTTCTGTTTTTGTCAAATAATAATGAGAATTCCATCAGGATGCTCCAGATTAGAGACTGCAACCATTGTGGATAAAGTAAAGGGGTTGATTTTTGGTAAAAAAAAAAAAAAAAAAAAAAAAAAAACTATTTTTTTTTAGTTTTGAACAACATGTTTCTTATACTCTAATTTTCAAATCAGGTGCTATTTTGGGTGATAGTCTCGGGTTAGCAACCGAAGGATTATCTCGGTCAGAAGTTCGAGTAATCTATGGTAATGGGCCCATACGCTTTGGTATGGACGAGGATGGTGTCCCATTTCATCGAGATGAGTACAGATCAAAGTTCGAAGAAAAGTAACGCACCGCCCAAATGTGTATCCTGTATCATACTAACATCAATGCAGTGATTTTGGAGACGACGCAGAGCAAGTGTTGCTAGTCATGGAATCTCTTTTCGAGAATGGAGGTCATTTTCTACCAAAGGATTTCGCTTCAAGATTACTCAGTTACGGCGAGCATGGCATCAAAAATTTACACAAATTACCAACTGGAATGAATGCAACCAACCAAGCTGTTTTAGCCAACCCAACCTATAAAACGAGTCCTGTAAATATCGAAATAGTCAATCTTTCATATCCAAAGCTTAAACTAATCTGTATTATAGCAAAAAGCTGCCATTGAAGTCTGGAAAACGAAGAACAATCTGAGAGGTGCTAATGGTGCATTAGTTAGAGCCCCACTATTAGGAGCACTCAAATTTTGGGATGGTACAACTGTTATTGAAAACACTACAGAGTGCTGTCGTGTTACCCATCCTGATCCACGTTGTATGATATCATGTGTTATAGCGTCGACTCTCATCGCTAGGTTGCTGCGAGGCCAAGATTTAGAGATAGAAATCAGTCATTCCCCAACACCCAGCCTTGATCAGCAACATCAATCGCCTTTCAATTACTTTATCGATACACTCCCTCTCAATGATCGACTGCAAGCCCTAGTGCGAAACGTAGTGGAAACCAATAAATCCATGCTCATAGCGCCTCAGACAGATCCATTGTTCATCACACCAGAAACAGATATGAATCAAATGCAGAAATACTACCATCAGCTTGTGGATTATTGTGTTCCTAGTTCATTAAGCGATCTTGCACTTGACGATAGTGCTGATTGTCGGGATACATTCAAATGTCTAAGCGCCGCCCTGTACTGTTTGACAAGAGAAGTACCTCTGCAATCTGAAACTGAATACTTTAAGAAGATGTTGATGGATGTTGTGATGCAAGGTGGTGAAGCGGATACAAATGCTACGACTGCTGGTGCCATGTTGGGCGCCAGATTTGGATACAGCCAATTGCCTACTGAGTGGGTGGTTGGAATGAAACGTTGGGAATGGTTGGAAGATAAAGTGGACGAATTCTGCTCTTTACTCAATTGATCTCTTCTACTGTTTCAAATATGCTTTGCTTCCTCCCTTTTTTTCATATTCAGGCTAATAAAAATATATAAACCTACCCTTTAATTGAAGCATTGGACTTCTCTGCAATGAGCAAAAGCTGTTTCCGACCAATTTATTATAATTGCTAACCATCCATCAAGATGTCAATCGCTTTATATCAGCAAAAGACGCTATTCGAAGCTTTTCAGCTTTGAAATGCAGACCGTTTTTGTGTATAAGGGGGGGGGGCTACCAGCGTTCATTTAGCAGCACTTGACTACAAACCAAGCCTTAAAATGTGATACGTACATCTGATCAATATATTTCTTTTGTGTGCTGGAGAAGGTTAGCTAGAACCGGCTAGAAATAAGATAGTCTGCTATAAGCAATGTCAAGTGGCATCGAAAGAGTTGTTACTTTTAAGTGATATTCAGCAATGGAGATCGGGTATCGCCAGGCACATTTTAAATAGCAGCGGTTGATACGTTTCCGTTTAAATCTGGCTAGTTTTCTGTTTATGATAGTGCGACGTACGATTCAGATGCAACTTGCACTATTTACAAATAACAATTGAGCATCCAATCTGTCAGGAGAGAACTGCAGTGGAATGCGACCCCTAATTCTTTGATATTTCTAATTTTGACAACGCACTGCAATAAACCATCAAGAAGAGGGAGGGATATGGTTATGCAGAACACTATTGACATTTTGGCCTCAACAGCTTTAGCGCTGCTCTTAATGGCTAAATTATTGTTTACAGCCAAGGGGGGGCTGCAAACCGATCGTGATTTATGAATCTAGATAAGACCGGCTTTACTACATGTCTCTGTTTGGAAGTAACTTTGCGTGCCTAACTGTATTTTGCATTCATTTAGGCTGAAATGAGTTCTATCCTGGCAATTGTTTAGATTCCTCGCATGCTCTCTGCTCATCTAGTGTGTATTCTTGATTTCATGGATCAACATTTTTTATTAGATTCCGTGGTGTAACGTTCTATTTACATGAGGTGCTCCATTATCAGTCGGTTTGAGTGATAAAAGATAGTGGTTATCTATGCTTTTTGCACTTGTGGTGAGACAAAGAAAAAAGGCTATTTCGTATACATCAACAAAAAGGAAAAAGCGAGGGAGTAAAGAATAGTACAGGACGTGCAATGGAGGAACACAGATATAAACATATCTGGTCCTGCTTTATGCCATTGATTGACACACAGCGCAAGAGCCACAAAGCCCAGTAGAGCAGCTAGTTTAATAAATTATGAATTTGCATGACAGGGCATGGTTCATTATGCGCAACTGCTGCTGCTACTACTACTGTCGGCTGTGATGGCGATGTTGCTGATGATGCGTGGGTTATATTGTCATTGTCTTTTGCTGTGTTGTTTGTTAGACTGGACACAGGGGTATCAGGTAAGCTTGGTGTCGGTGAGGAAGTCTTAGTTGCTTTCTTTCTCATTGATATAGAAGACCCTTTTGCAAATGCTCCATTTTTGAATTTCTCCATTTGCGTAGGGTCTATAGTCCAATAACCGCCTTTCCCTCGATGGTTGGTACCTACTAGCTCAGATTTGGGCACTTTCTTGAAGCATCGATTTAGGGAAAGATTGTGTCGAATGGTATTCTAGATGATGTATATTGAGCGTTTAAAGATCAGGATGTATCATACTCTCGCCATGGTTTTACCTGCCAACCAGTATCTTCAGCGTTATATAAGGCTGGATATCTACCAGTAATCCATGTGTATATATCTCGTAGAGTCATACGTTCATTTTCGCTTTCTAGTATTGCTTGTGCAATCAGTGATGAATATGAGAATGGCGGTCGTCGTCTCTTCCTAGGTGGTTTGATTAGATTCGGTGCCATGGGGATGAAGGATTCAGAGACGATATGATGTTGTAGTTGCTCATTCTGTGCTTCAGAGCGATATTGCTTCACAGAGGCCACAATATAGGGGTGGCGCATCATCACTGGGATTGGAGGTAAATAATCAGCATCTTTATCTCTATCACCTTCGCTGCTGAGAGAAGTATTGATATCCATGGTGTAGGTTATGTGATTCCCTATGCTTTCTAATAATCTTGTTTGCTGTGTGATGTATTATGTTTTGTGCTCACAAGTCCAATTATCGATTGGGAAAGAAGGAAGAAAAGAGATGAATGAAACATTTACAGCATTTGGGAAAAGATTTTATTCAATCAAGGTCCGATATAGTTAATTCATGTAAATATGAACAGATCTATCATACACAGATGAGATCTTATCAGATGTTGGTACAACACTTGCACTATAAATTGGCCTGTTCTCACAGACATGTATATATCAACCTTACATAATGAAACAGTGATGAAATCAACAGACAGGTTTGCATTAGTATTCTGAGTCTATTTCCAATGTTGTACTATACATGCAACCCATTTCAGGATCTCATGGTCTTTTTTTTTTTTTTTTTTTTTTTTTTTTTTAATGTTATTTACAATTGCTCTATCGTCTTTTTCTAGCTGTATCATGATCTTCTTTCATTGATCTCTTCCTTCTCTCTTCTTCATACGCGCGTCTTTTGCTACAGGTCATTGTCAGTTACAAATGGCAAGCAATGCTGGCCAATGCTTACCTTTCTCTCTCTGCCAATTGGTTTCTGACCTCGGGATACGTGGGTAGGAGTGATGGATCTTGAGCTCTGGGCGCCTCTTGGAAATAAGGATGCGCCATCGCTTGCTTTACATTGAATCTTGATCTGGGGTTATATGTCAGTAGTCCTGCCAGTAGAGCGAGGGTATTTTCACTGTATCGAGGGAACACTTCTTTAATGTTGCTAAAACTGGAGCACATGTCAGTTTTTGCGCGAGTCTTGTTGAAACTAAACATAGTCCTACCTTTGCTTTGGTAATACAAGCATTTTGGCTGCGGGTAATTTACTGAATCCGGGCCAAATTGTGTCATTAGGTGATCCCAGTAGTTTGACAATCATATCTAGTTGAGCCTGCTCTGTGTTTCCTGGTAATAATGGCTTATGTTGCATCAATTCTCCCATGATGCATCCCGCTGACCATAAATCTATCGCTGTTGTGTAGTTGGAATCGCCAAATAATACTTCTGGCGCTCTGTACCATAATGTAACAACATTAGGGGTCATAGATTTGCCTGGCAAGCTCAATGTTCGCGCCAATCCGAAATCAGCTATCAAATAGTACGAGTCAGTGGACAAGCTTCTTCTTGATTCGCATATTATTCTTACCAATCTTCAATAGTCCTGAGGATGTCAATAACAAGTTTGACATTTTCAAGTCTCTATGGATAATCGAATGGCTATGGCAGTATTCTAATCCTTTTAGTAATTGAAGCATCAAGCATTTGACTGACTTAATGTTAGTTATGGACCTATTGCTTGTTTCTGGTGGTACTCACTTTCGGAGGGAGTGTATGGCGTAGACACCATGTCTAATAAGCTTCCTAGATCCTACCAAGCAAGCACTATAAGTCCATTTTATATAGATAAGTCGTGCAAGTGGCCTATATCTTACTTGTTCACAGTATTCCATCACTAAAAAGATGGACTCGAGACGGGGTCCCACCGCAACATCTGTTACATTGACGATGTTCTGATGTCTCATTCTCTTCAGAATACTAATCTCTCTCAAACTGGACACTGGCATGCCATCTGTTTCCCTCTCCATTCTGATCTTCTTTAGGGCAACAATCTGTTTTGTCTTTCTGTCTACTACACGGCTATTTGTAAATGTTAGAGAAAATCTCCCGCCATCTGCTCCATATTGACGTACTAGACTACACCGTATGTGCCTTCTCCAACTCGATTCAGTTTCTCGAAATCCTCTACATCTCTACATTTTCCAAAGAAGGGCGACTCTTTGCAATCGATGGTTGTCCCTTTGACAGTTGTCAATTTGATGTTACGAGGCGTTGATTGTGGTGATTCGGCCATCTATTGTCTGTTGTAGTTGAACCAAGTAAAAGGTGCGAATTGTTATTTCGAAAAACTGTAACGGTGTTCTAAACACATTGCACAAGCCTCTCCCTTCCATTGCCTCACTGCTCTGGTTGAGTTCATGCGTACTTTCAAAAAATTGCACGGTAAAAGGGTTGACTTGTAGCATCAAGGTGATAATTGATGTTCATGCTATTCAAAGTCGACTGTATGGCACAAAACCGATTATAAAGAAATCTTTCAGAAGCTTACTCAAAGTAAATGAGTCAGTAACCGAAAATATTCTCCTCGTTGTCTGTTCATTATGAACCTTCAACTGTTCCTTAAAAAAGCAATGCAAGACCTACTAGTTTTTACACTTGGTGAGTAACACTCGGATGCAGCATTGTCCAAGATATTAGAGCAATCATCTTTGACGAGAGATAGAATTTTCCAATCATATTCAAATTTGTTCGTACCTAGGATGTCAATTGACTTCAGAGAGTTCAAATAATGCATCCGTAGTTGTATTCTCTCGATGATCGTCTGGATACAGTACGTGGTGCATAGCAAGTTTGCACGTTATCAAAAACTGTCCTTACTATAACATCAATTGACGGTCCTCTTTATCAGGTTGATGAGCACAGGTTGCAAACTATGTACAAACACTAGGCCAGAAAAACTTTGAAAGTGAATGTTGAGAATGTCAACATTTTATTTAATCATTATATAGTGCTGTTTGATTAGATGACAGCTGTAGATCTTTAAAATACGTCAAATCGCAAGCATTTGCTGTTTCTTCTCTTCTCTTCATTTCATATCATAAAGCAAATGCTTCGATCAAGAGCTCGATTTGAGGCTTCTGAAAAGCGTATAGAAACTTATTGAATCAATTTACAGGTACACATAAAGTTTTGTTTTAAGCATTAATATACCCAACTGACCTTGTGGACGAAACACTACTCCAAGAGTTCGCTAAAATGGTCGTACAGTTCGTTCAAGTGACAAATAATCTAAGAATAGCTAAAGATTCATAATTTACTACAATGCCATTCAATACAACAGTGAGTACTAATTTAACTCATCATTCAGTACCAAATTCATACCCATTTTAAGAAGAGTAGCAGTACAAGGAACAAAAGTTCATCGTGAAATTAACATGACAGCAGCAAACGGTGCAACTGCATCTGCCAGGAAGCCACCAACAGTTGTCAGCAAGCTCGTAACAGCCAAAAAAGGCATTGATGGTAAGAACAAAATTAGAGTCGAAACTTTAGTATCAACGAAGAGGCGTTTGTTTGCAAGCAACTCAAGTTGTACTTGAAAAAGACCTGTTGAAACTACAAAAGCACTGGGAACAACGTTTACTAACGAAAAGAATACGTTTGAACTACGGAAACATGATATCTAGCGTATGTAGTACACTCTGACCCAACTTCCTCTAACACAACCTGATAATTATATTGTAAGTACAGAAAATGAATCCATAAATATAGCCTTGGGAGTCATCGAATCCAAAAACGTCAAAGCATACCATGATTTATTGCTGTTTTACAAAGGATCAAAGCTGTTGCGCTGCGCATTCTGTTGGGGCTGACTCTTTAGCACTGAAAATTCATGTAATCTGATGCAACAGCCTTGAATCAAGCCTCAAGCGATGGATACTTCTCTATCTATGAAAAATGGGTCTAATTAGGCACAAATTGAAAATTGACTATCAATAGTAGTACCATTTGATGCACATTTCCACTCTACACCAAGTTACGTGGTTTATATGACTCTGTCTTTAGTTTTTTAACAGATACTAGTAATAAGAGCACGATGGTCTTGTAGAAGGAAGAAAGAAATAATAGGAATAAGCAGGTTGGTATTACTATTTGTAGGCCCTTAACCTTGAGCAATGCTTACTATATAATGCAAGTGTTCACGCTTCGGATGGCTCTCTACCTTCACTTCACTTCGGTGAAAACCAACGTGCGCAGCGGCAACTCGTTCTACCGATTGCCCTTGCGTACCTTATCAACAAATTGCTACTTTCATTTTGACCCTCCACTTACGCATGAAACCCCTTCATATTATCTGTGGATCTGATTCTTATGTGATGCTCTACACCCATATACACGTAGCTACTTCATATACGGGCAAGCAGCATACTGGTATTTCCCCTTTTTAGCCCTGAGTGCATTTGAGCTGCGTTTTCTTGCGTTCAAGGCCGTTTTAGATGGTCAGAATAGCACCAAACAGTTGTACTCGAATAGCAGTAACTTCCTGACACCCTTGCTCAACATTTTTGGGACCTAAAAAACATGGCCGAAATTCGACCAAAAAGCATGAGGTACCCCTCATGGTTTTCATCGAAAATCAAACGATTGCATTTTTGACCTTGATAATGAAGACTTTTACTATGGTATATCTTGAATCAAAACGTTTTTTATCGATCCAAAGCAACCTCTGAAATCATCTTTGTGGGACTTTGATATGTAAAATTTCGGCATTTTGCCAGAAACCTCTTTTCATATTTTCATAAATCATTCGATAAGTTTATTCAAAACATTTATATTACTTAGTACCATTGGATGCGCCTTGAAAAATACTCCAAGAAAGCTTAAGAAAATACAGGATGATCATTATATTCTACTTGGTTGAATCTGCAAAAATAGCTCAATCAAGTCCAAAATCATCAAGATATGGCCAATCTGGAACAGACTATGAGTCTGGGCTTGAACCAATTTTGGCTTGTGGGACCAACTGGCAAACTCAATTCCCTTCTAATTATAAAGGCAATAATAGATGCTTTTGAAGCTATTAGAAAGTAGGCGGCGAATTACATAATACTACCATTATTCATGCTATTTCTATTTGAGGTCTTATTTTTTTAACAACGTCAGACCATCAACATACTTGTAAGATTAACTTCTTTCCTTTTGGAGGCTTTGAAAGTGTCTAGTAGAGACCATAAACTTATTACGTTACGATGAGCATTTCGACACTTTGATTGGTTTCCTGATCTACGTTTTGCTTTGGCGATAACCAATCTAAGTTCAGGTGGCTCGCGCTGCTGTGGACCGTTGGCTAATATTACAAAAGTAATAATAGCTAAAAGGTTAGAAGAAACTTGATTGTTAATTAATAGTAACTTGATATATAAAATTTCTAATCATATATGAACCATGCCTGACAAATACTTCGCAGCTCAGCTTCCATATTAGGGTTGTAAAAGTGTTTAGGGACTATAATAAATTTATTATGTTACGATATATAAATCTTATTGAACAAGTGGTAGTATTGAGATTACGTGATGGATATATTGTGATAAAAATATAAATAATCAGTAATGAAATATATATTTACCAACGTTCAATTCCTGCCAAAAAAGAAGACCATTCTTATATACTAATGTTTCAAACATGTGAATTGATACATACGGTATGCAATGTAAATTACTACACTACCCTAGTACGTAAGAGTTCGTAGAATATAGAATCTCAACAAAATCATGGAAGGAAGGTGCACTTGTGCCTTAAAGCCCTCACACCGTAATAGACTCACAGTAGAGCTCATGAATGGTTTTTGTTTTATCTTAATACAATTCTTCTGTCCTAAGATATGACAAAAAATGCCCTCCTACGAAATCGTCAATTTTTGGCTAAATTTTGCCTGTAAAGCAAGGCGAAACTTGAGCGACGATTTTTTGGATGCACAAAGAAGAAGCTGTCGATTTCTCATGATACATTTATGCTGGAACTTCAAGGCAGGGCGCATTCAGTAGGGGTTTGTTTGCATTACGCTTTGATACGTACTACAATTAGATTCCTAATGACAGAAACGTGGTAATTTGTTAAAATCAATCAAAAAACCGCAGAAACTATTCTACCGAAAATCAGTTTAATAGCTTAAATCAGTACAACAATAAAGACATCTACCATTTAAGACCAGAGCTTCGTACAACGCTAAGTATCAGGATCATCAAATAGAAATGTGATTTACTTACTCGTTTAGCAATGCGAACTACAACGCCTTACTTATAGGTCAAATTCTGTCCAAATCTAACCATTTTAAAGCACGAATAACTCATGCCACAAGGCGTCTTGGGCTCTTGGAATAAGACCAAACAGCTCCTTTTGATTGCGCTTTACTTATTGATGCTTTATCTCAAATCTTTTTGGGTCGTTGCAAATCCATGAAAATCCTTATATTTTTCATGTGTATTAGTAAGGGAAAATTCTTGAAAATCAAACGATCGCGTTTTTCACCCCAAAAACGAAGACTTTTCCTGTAATACATATCAGACCAAATTGGTCGTAAAGATACAATGCAGCACTGGAAACTGTTTCTATGAGACTTGTATATGCTATATCTTGACATATTCGCAGAAAATCGGGTTTGAAATATTTGCAAATTGCTCATTAGTTTCGGTCTGAAAGCTGAACGTAATCAGCATCAATCGATGCGCCTTTATTGACTCTTTATAAACGCATTAGAAAGTAAAATATAGCAACGACAGTTTTCATAGTCAAATTCAGCAAAAACGTCTAAAGAATGTGAGATCAAATCAAATTTGAACACAAAAATGCCCACTGCACAATTTCAAATTAAAGTGCAGCAGTTGCAGCTGCCATGACAGAAGACTGAGATCAAATCTACTGGACGTGACGTCGGGTAGGCCGCCCTCTCGTTTTCCCGTACTCCCTTTTTTTACTATTTTTTTGCAAAACGCGTTTAGTATAAAACCATGCTGGACTGGGAGCCCTTTTGATTGAAAATAACACTTTAGCTTCTGATAACACGGGTTTGTACTGTTAGAAGTACTTGATACTGCTTCTTTGAAGCGGAATATTGTAGATACCAATTGATAACGAGCACTGGACGACATAGAATCGTCACTAATCGAATTTGCTTATTAGGTTCTCATAATTTTTTTACTTGTTTGACGTCGGTGCTGCTGCCATTACTTCTCTGCTATCTCTGCTGTCTGCTTCTTTGGTTTATTATGTCTAATAGCTGCTTCTCCGGTCCCT